AAAAAAGTCTCAAAGTGGTTTACACAAAACAGATTGAAAAATAAAAATAACCAACAGGAAAAATTAACAATAATTTAAAGCTTTTGAACATTTAAAATAACAATAGACGAAAAATAGATTGAAGCTCATATCAACTTTCTACAAATCTAGGCCAGCTTGTCTAAGCAAAAATGTTTTTAGCAGGCACCGAAAGGAGTGCACTGAAGGCTTCTCCCTGATATCAATAGGCAGGGAGTTCCAAAGTGCAGCCACACTAAATGACTGAGTTCTTACAATTGTGGAATGGGTATTACATGGCACCTGTAACAGCGCCAGTTCCATTGATCAAAACAGTCCAAGGGCATGTATGAAGTAAGGTGATCTCATAGGTAAAGTGAGAGCTCAAACTGAGCAGAGAAGGTCCGTATTGTATTGAGATGGCTTTTTGGGGGAGCGTTACTGAAAAGATGCAGAACACTCAATGCAGTATCTTTAAACCATGTGAGTTTCAACCAGCTTCCGTGAGGGCATTTTTCTCTCTTCCTCCAAAATACCAACATACAAAAAGTTGGTGTACCTGTAAGTTCAAGTTTCAGACAGCAGTTCCAATCAGTTCTGGGGGAAATAGAGTCTCCCCTTCCACAGTAGCTCCTGATGCTGCTATTACTGTTGACCTAATTGAGAAGAACAGCGCAGCAGGAACCCTCCAAGTCTTCTAAGGATGCTTCCCTCCTAACTGCTGCGTTCCTCTCCCTGTGACAGCCAGATAGGGGTTCACATCAGGCTTGGTGACTAAGCATCCTCCCAAATACAGTTATTAGATAACCATCATCCCTCTTGGGGAGCGAGAGAGAACCAAGCGTGGATGATTAAAGGGGCAAAACACACTGACTCACTCATCTCCACTGTTGTGATATTTGCTCAGTTCTCAGGCTGCATGGGACCATGTGCAGTCACGACATGCACCCTAGGGGGACAGACACCTCGCCGGGGATGAGGCACGCGTGTCACACGATACTCCTCCATGTGGTGGCAGTTTCCGTATGGAAGCCGATAGCAGTGCCACTTTTCCCATGCAGAGCTCTCAGCTGTTGTGCGAAAAGCAGGTGAGATTTTGCTCACAGAAATGCAGGAAGCTGCCCCAGCTGGATTTCTGCCTCCTGCTAAGCTGTTCAAGCAGAAGCAAGGGACCTGTGGGCCTCTAGAGATTGCTGGACCACAGGTTCCGTCATCCCTGACCAGTGGTATAGTGGGGGGGAGGCACAGGGGCTGTTGCCCCAGGCTCAGAATTGTTAGGGGCACAAAATTTCAACACCCAGTGTTGTCTCCATACAGCTGTGCGCTTCTGTCACTGGGCTCTGTTGAAAAGAACTTCTCCATACGAACCAGGAAGTGACCCCTCTAGACAACAGAATGACTCTTCTTAACTCTGTGGATGTGATCTCCTGGGTGACACAAACACCATTACGCAGTTGAATGGGCATGCGTACTCCAGCTGTTTTCCTCGCTCCCACCCACCCTGCCCGTGCAGCCCCGGGCACTGGCAACCCACTCTTCATCACTGTCAGTGCCAGATTTATGTATAGGCTAAGTAGGCTGAAGCCTAGGGCCTCTAAATCTAGGGGGCCTCACCAGCGGGCAAAGGAGAAGCAATCTGCTCCGGCACCCAGAGCGGCGCTCATCCCAGAAGCAACTGAACTTTTTCCTCTGACGTCTTTTGCCCTGCCTCCTATCTTGTAGCCCTCCCATTCGCCGAGACCTGGGACTAAGAGGGTCAGCTCCCACTGTTTCCTCATTCTCTGAGGGACTGTCTCTTCGCTCTTTCCCACCTGCTGAACTGCTTCCTTCTCTATTTGCGGTAATCTGCACTTCTTGAGAGCATTGGCAGTGCTCTGGCTTGCTCTCTGTCATTCTCTTATCAACTGCCATTCCTAAGGGTGTGAGCCGCCAGCCCCAAGAGGATCAGGAGGGGGAGGAACCTATGCAGCTGGGTGCCACCAGGGGGAGGCGCTTTCCTGGAGTTTCGCCAGCTGAGAGGGAGAAAGCAGCTGTGTTTTGTTTGCAGCTCAGAGACACACTTGGCCTGACAGTGTGCAGACAGGAAGACCCAGGGATCCCTGTCAGGGATGTGTGTGGACCCCAGCGCAAGGATGTGTTGCTGGGAAACGACCAGTCCCAGCCCCTTCCGGAGGTCCAAGGCTGGGAGAAAAGGCAGTGGAAGGGCCTCCGCCAGGACCAGTGATTCTGGGAATTACAGTGTGAGCCACAATATGACTCCCAGGGGAGCAGCGAGCAAGTGTGTGCACTCACAGACGCTAGAGCATCTACAGACATTATGGACGTGAACTTAGTGGAGAGGCTGGGGTTAGCCACGCAGAAGTTAGACCGCCCCCCCACCCCCCAGAAATGCGAACCATCGATGGACAGCCCTTGTTGTCTGGGCGCGTCGCAAAGAAGAAGGCCTTCTTCATCCTGGCCAGGTGTTCAGCATCCTGGCCAGGCCTTCTTCATCCTGGCCAGGCCTGCGTCCTTCTCTGAGTGATAGAAAAAATGAGTGATAGAAAAATGGTGGAATGATTTTTTTTTTTAATGGGTTTAACAGAAATGTTATAAGGAGTTAAGCGCATATAAGTATTTTAGTTTTAATGGAAATTAAGGTTAAAAAATATGTTATTTACAATATCACAGAAAATGGAGAAAGATGGAAAGGATTTGCTGAAACAATTAATAGAAGTGGAATACAAAAAGGGAGGTGAGAGGAGGTCGAGGAAACAAGGGAATGAAAGATAGAATATGGAAAAGAGATGATGTATGTTTTTAAATTGTTTTTGTTTTGTTCCATTCAGGGTTAAGGTTAGGGAGTGGGGTTTGTTTAGTTTAGTTTAATGTGTTTAGTTTTGAGTTTAGGTTGTGTTTTGTATTGTTTATATATTGTATTGTATTGTCTTTTTCTTTTTGTTTTTCTCCTTTGTTTTTTTTCCTGTTTTTCCTGTTTTTTCTTTTTTTTCTTTTTTTCTCTTTTTCTAGTCTATAAAAGTAATTTTTTTTAAAAAAAAGAATTTTCCATCTCAGAAGCCAGAGCCCGCAGGCCCAGAGTCAACACCCAGCTGCACAACCTTCTCCAGCTCAAGGGTCAGGTCAGTAGTGGTACGTGCTGCACTTTAATCAGTGGGAGAGTGTGAGGGGGGGGGGGCGGCTGGGGGAGATAGACCAGGCAAGCAAGCTCTCCCAGGTCTCTTCCATTCCTTCCTCCCTCCTTGGCTTGAACAGAGCAAGGCAAGCACATGTGACTGGCACTGGCCTCACCCCTCCCAGGCAGGGAAGTTTATCTTTCACACTTCACACAGCTCTGTTGGTGCCTCCAGCATGCACTGTAAATTGCCCACCAGCAGAGAGTGGCCTTGGGGACCAGGGAAGGCAGTAAGTGGGAAGAACTACCTGTAGAAGGCAGGAGGCCAGACTGCAGGTTGGTAACTGGACCTCATCCCGAGGGGAAATAAGTATAAAGATCAGTTCAGGGTCAGAGGAACTGAGTTTTGTCTTATTTTATTTGTGCCCAGTGGTGTTTTCCTTTTCTGTGTTTAATTTAAAGTGCCTTTTGTGTTTAAAATCCTGTTACTTGTAGATAGTCAAAAAATATTTGTTATTTGTTTAAAAGCCCAGTCTCCCCCGCTCTGCCCACTACCAGTGCCTTAAGAAGGGTCCTGGGAGGGGAAAAGCCCAAAAATGTGCAGGTGCCAACCCTCCAGGAGAAACCCAAAGTTAGGGGTTTTCATCTCCAAACCCCAGGAGTCAGCCAGAGGGGTCTCTGTGCCCCTCAAGAAAGGCATAGGGAAGTCAGTGAGTGGTGGCAGCTACTGAAGAGTGACAGAAGCCCAAGTTTATCCAGTTGAAGTGGGGGCTTAGTGAGTATGCATGCATTGGATTGGGCTTTTTGTGTCTAGAGTTGGTCTCTTTGAATTAGGCAAAACAGGATTGGTCGCTGTCAGAGCTAGCAAATTGCAAATGATAGTGGGTTGGGTTTTTTTCTTAAGTTGTTTTAAATGGGGAAGATTAGTTACTTCAATACCCTTTCTCTTTTTTTACAGGGGGGGGGCTGTGCATGTTGAAATCTAAACAATAAGCAAATATGAGGCAAGTTAGAAGACATTTCTTTATTCCTAACCAACTAATTTTGAAAAAAGAACTTCACTGCAGCACTCCCTGCTGAGAGGGTGAGCTACAAGTGAATGGCATGGCCACAAGGGGGAGCCATGGCGCTGACAGAAACAAACCGTTGCAAACGTAAATGACAGCTAAACCTCAAGATCTTGATATCGCCTTTCAAATAATGAATTTTGCCTCCGGTATTTACACCTAACGTGACTGACTCCTAATAAGGGGTCCCAAAAGGCCTTCTTGGGGGAATCATTGCAGAGTGATGACAAACACCCTGATCCCCCTTACATCTTTTAAATCTCTCAAAAACCATTGAGAAATTCCCAAGTACAGTGGTACCTCGGGTTAAGTACTTAATTCGTTCCAGAGGTCCATTCTTAACCTGAAACTGTTCTTAATCCGAAGCACCACTTTAGCTAATTGGGCCTCCTGCTGCCGCCGCACCACTGGAGCACGATTTCTGTTCTCATCTTGAAGCAAAGTTCTTAACCTGAGGTAATATTTCTGGGTTAGCGGAGTCTGTAACCTAAAGCGTATGTAACCTGAATCGTCTGTAACCCAAGATACCACTGTATGTGTTAGAGCATATATTCAGGGTTGTTGATATAGCTTAGGGCCTTAGGATTACATAAAGTGGAAGGGGAGCATGGTCTGGAGCAGGCTAAGAAAAAGTACATCCTGAAAATCTCACTGTTCATTTTTTTATTAAAAAAAACAAGTTTCCAGTCCTTATGGATGCAAAAATATGCTTAGAAGTGAGTTAGCAATGCATTCTGAAATCTCAGGATCCAGTAAAATGTGTCTAAATTATAGTTACCAGTAGCTGGGAAGGGGGTGAATTTGAAATTTTAGAAGCACAGGACCCCCTTCAGACTAGTGTTTTCCTTTTGTCGTTTTTTTCATTGGCACAGTAATAGTGCATTAGTGGTGGATTTGTACTGCAATCTCCACATGCTATTCTGCTTTCTTGGTTGTTCTGCAATGCTTCCCCGATGTCACTGCATTATTGTGATCTTGGAGGGTCACTCTTGCACCATAGCAAGACAAAACGCACACATCTCTGCAACATTGGTGTAAAAAAAAAGTTACAGGATTACAGCAAGAAGTTACAGGACATGCATTGATTGGAAATGAAACAGCAGGTTTCTGCCCCAAAACTTTTGCCCCCAAACAATATTGAAAGCAGGATCGCATATGTCATCGCCCAATGTCATCAAGAGCGCAGAGCATAAAAAAGCAAAACAAATGAGACACCAGGAGGGCAGAATTAATTGTTCAAAGTTTGATGGAAGTTTTGCAACTTGCTGAAATTGCATCCATTGTTACAGGTCGCAGAATCCAGCTGTTCTGTGTGCAGAATGTTAATTTGGCATAGATAGATAGACAGATAGATAGAGTGACCAGATGCAAAAAGGAGGAGCAGTTTCTCTCCCCCCCCCCCATTTCTTTGATGCTTTTATAGCAGAGGAAGTTTCCAAAGGTCATAGATGCCTTTTATCAGGACAAACCTGCCTGCTAAAATTCCCTCTTCTCCACAAAGCTACTGGAGCCACATTCTTTAAAAGCACCAGAGGTGGTGACTTCCATCGCATTGTCATTATTTATTACATTTATTAATCATCTACTACATAAATTGTCATGAAGTGGCTTACAGTTGCTAAAAGCCAAGCAAACATACACTTTCACAAGTGTAAACAATCATAAAAACCAGTATTGTTTACTAAAAGTATTCACCATGAAGTATTAGAGAGAAAGACAATTCCTACCTTGCCCTACAAAAAGACGAACACTGTAACAAGAAAGATCATTGTGCCATATGATCCTAATTAAATGCCAAATTCCTGGCTAAACAGGAACCTCTTTGCCTGGCGCCTAAAACTTGCTAATGCTATCGCCAGGAGTACCTCCCTGGGGAGAATTCCACAGACAGGGCTCCATCGCTGAAAGTCACAGTCCTGCTTCTAGATTTTTAAGAGCTAGCATAAAGGAAACAGAGAAGCATCGAGATGGCTGCTGCATTAAGCGGAACGAAACACTGTGGCCTGACCCCCCCCCCCCCCGACCATTTTTGTGGCTTTATTTTCGCAGAAGAAGGCCTTCGGTCATTACAGAGGTTTAACATGTGAGATCCAAATGTTATCTTGGCATGTTGTGCTGAAGAGGTCAAGCAAACAGCCTTGTTTTAAACTGGCAGAATCAAATTTCGGAATCAATTACCTTCGCTGTCTTTTTGCTTTTACCCAGCCTTCCAGAAAGCTGCCTTGTCCCTTGTCCCCAGGGATAGCTGTGTGCGTATTAAAATTTTCAGATGAGACCCTTCTCTGACTTCCATCAGGGGAAGTTAGTCACATAGCCACAAGCGAGAGGGCCTTTTCGGTGGCTGCACCAATTTAGCTATGAGGCCTGGGAGACCTGCTCCTTGCCTTGTAGGCCTTTTCTACCTGGCCTGGGTGAGGCCCTGATTGACTTCAGCTACAAAAGCTGAGGCTGCTGAACAGACTCTTGGGCTGGGGTATTGTTTCGTGGAGGGGGTGTTTAATTTTAGATCTAGTGATTTATGTGGAAACTTTTCAGTTTGGTTGCATGTTTTTAAATGTTTTATTTATTGTTTATGACTATTTTTGTTATGTTGCAGTTATGTATTTTTGCCATGTTGCAAGCTGCCTTGAGCATGGTTTGAACTATGGAAAGGGAGCATACAAATAAAATTATGTATGTGTGCATGCATGCACCATGTCTTTGGATTTTTACGTTTCTCCCAGAATGGAAGGATACTGGAGACGAGAAGACGTAAGAGTTCACTGCAGATTATAGAATGCAGAAGTATCTTCTGTTTTTCAAAAAAGAAAGAGCAAGAAATCCTTCACAGGCTGAAATCTACTCCACCACACACAAACACACACAGAGCTCAGCACAGCATCCTTCCCTGGTACAAGAACACAAGCTAAAAATCAAATTTGCATGAGAGGGTATGTGTACAGTCATCATTCACAGGACATAGAGTTACCTGGAATTAACATGAGTTGCAGAAATGATTCCTTGAGCTCTCCTGTGACACGACCTTAAAAGTGTAATTTCAGCAACTACCATTTTCCAAAGATTTGGATTTCAGTTACTAAAGAATACCCAGAATTGGCAAGCAAAACCATCACCCACCTGCTGCCATTTGGCATCTTTCTGAGCAAGGCTCCTCAACAACACTGACATTCAAAATAAAAAATAATAATAATAAAAGTTTAGCCTTATGCAATGAGTTGCAAGTTAACCTGATATCACCCCTCAATGGAATGAAATCTGGAAGAATTAACTTGCCCAGGAGTCTCATCAAAAATGTCCTTTGGAAATAATAATAAGCCACTGGTTTTCAATAGCTTCTCAGCTTTTTGATTAAGATAAAGTGTAAAAATCACGGGTTTTCATTTGTAGTGTGAATGCTAAAGCAGAGCTATGTATATTGCTTTGTGAATTTCCTTTTTAGGATTAATAATGTGCCTTATCAGTGCTGTTAAGTATAAAACAAAAATGAATATGTGACAGTTTCATGTTGCAGGTTGGGAGTCAGAGGTGGGTCTGGAGCAGTTGAAGACTTTGCAAGCTATTCAGAAAAGACTGAAGGTGGCTGCATCACGATATCAAGGTGGCTCCTTCCAATGCCATTGAGTCTGGTTTGCTTGTCATAAGAGGTATTTATAGGAGTGTCTATAGCAAATGAACCCCTAGGGAGTTTTGGCTTATGGCTCTGCCAATACCTTGTGCAGAGAGAACGGTAGAATGGCCAACCCAAATAACCCCCTGTGAGCTTTATTTTCCTATCCCTTGTTGCTTTGAGCTCAGCTTTCAGGGCGAGGGGAGTGCTTGTTATCCACACCACGTTGCCAAGACTTTGAAGGCAAAGAGGAGAGGGCTAGGTGCATGCAGCAGTGAAACAGACACTCAGTTTGTGTTTGTGTCCATGTGTGAGAGATAGCGTTTGGCTCCTTCCTCGCCACAGGGCATCCAGTCACAGGAAGGCTTCTCAGTAGGGTTGCCTGCCCCCCTCTGTATATAAGCTGGCCTCATCATAATTTGGAGTGTGCTATTTCCAGAATTTCACAGAGCTAAGGGTGGACACTGAGCAGCGTTCCTTTTCAGATTTCAGCTAGGTTGGTAACTTGCAAGGAGACTTTAGGAATGTTGCTGTTCTCTCAAGCTTCCTATCTGCAAAATGGGGATAACATCAATGCCACCCTTTGTAAACGATCCTATAAAATATGCTGCAAAGAATGTCCACTAGCCTGCTGGGAGCTTGCAGATTAAGGAAAGGGAACACCATTTCCCCATAAGAACACAGGAAACTGCCTTATACTGTGTCAGAGTCGAACCATTAATCTAGCTAGGTCAGTACTGTCTACACCAGTGGTATTCAACTGGTCCAGGCCCCAGACCCATCTCTGACTCCCAGCCTGTACCATGAGACCCACTTTCACATATAGTCATACCTCGGGATAAATATGCTTCAGGATAAGTATTTTCAGGTTGCGCTCCGCAGCGACCCAGAAGTAACAGAGCGCGTTACTTCCGGGTTTCGCTGCTCGCACATGCGCAGATGGTTAAAAATGACATCAAGCGCATGCGCAGACGCACTGTCACGTCTTACGTTCTGTTTGGGATGCAAACGGAGCTCCGGAACGGATCCCATTCACATCCTGAGATACCACTGTATTCACTTTTGATTTAAATTTAATAGCACAAATAATTGATAAAAATGGTAAAATTTTATAGCCCAGACACCGCACGCAGTGTCCTTTGGTTTGGTCAGCCTTAGCTGGGGTCCAACATGGCAGCAGTGGCTTTGCTGTGACCCATCTTGGATTGCCGCACGACCCACCTGTACTTCCCAACCCACTGGCTGAAGATCTGTGGTCCACACTGATTGGCAGCAATGGTACTCAGGAGTTTCTAACCAGAGGTCTCCCCAAGCCCTAACCTAGAGATGCTGGGGATTGAACCTGGGACCTTCTGCATGCAAAGCAGGTGCTCTACCACTGAGCTACAGCTCTTCCCCTTAGTATCATCCTGCTATATGACTCTGCTGAGCCTGAAGGAAGGAGGCTTCTCTGCCAGACTGCTCACCCGTCCGCATGCTATTCCTTAGTGCCTATGACGACTCACACAAGTGTTTAATTGCGGCGCCTGATAGCCCCCTCCCCAGACCTAATAGGAACTGAGGAATTGCAGGCAGACAAGCTTACGCGTTATTAATAACCACATTTATTTCTAGCTGCGTATGCCCCGCTGTTAAGCCACGTTACCAAAGTGGCTTGCATTAAAAGATTAAAATACGCTAACAATAAAACACGCTAAAAATGGCCAATGAAAAATGCAGCTGTGTTAAATAAAACCGGCAGAAATCAAATTATCTATTTAGGGCAGCGTATCTGAAAGTTCAAAAGATGGAAAATAAAAAGGGATTATTTGGCTCGAGACTGCTGACCTGATTTTGGACATACCACCAAACTTCCAGAAAATGGGGATAGGGTGTGGGAATATCCTTTTCCTGCCCTGGTGCAGCAGGGATGGGTGACAAGATTTAAATCTAGGTCTTAGATCATTCGACAGATTCTTGCTCAAACTTTCAAAGCACCATCCTCTGGCAGCTATAAAACTCTGTACAACCCCACTGTTTAATTCACCCTTAACAGTAACTGATAGTGAATCTTGACCTTGTGTTTTTCAGAATAGCAACTGCAACGTGAGCCCAAGGTCGGCCGAGGTTTTTTTTTGCTGCTGTAAGCACATTGTTAAAGTTTTGCCTTCACCCAAATCCTGAGCTCACTGACATACTGTTTTTCCATCTCCATTTTTAATTTGGTCATAAGAAGAGCCTGGCTGCTGGGTCAGAACAAAAGCCCATTTAGTCCAGCATCTGTTTCCCATAGTGGCCAAGCCGATGCCTCTGGGCAGCCCACAAGCAGGGACAAGGAGCAAGAGCAAAGCCTGAAGGAAAGGGGCTTCTATCCTTTGGCAGCCCTCTTGGTTTCTACACAGGGAGCAGAAGAGGAGTGTGTGGGAAATTGCAGCCAAACATGCATGAGTCCTAGTTACTGCATGAAGGAGTTAAGATCATAGTGTAAGTCCTCCGAGGCCTGGCTGGATCACACTCCATCTCCTTCAGAGGAAAGGGTTGGCAAAGTGTTTATCACACGCCCCTCACCCTGGAAGAAAGGAAGTCAGGCTCCCTCCCCTGTTCTTTCTCTCTCTGCACCATGTAACCAACAAAGGCGGATGTGTGTGAGCTTGCCCCCAAACTTAGAGCCTTTGTTTGGAACTGTATTTTCTACCCAATAGTATTTTGCCTGTGTTCTCCTTCCAGCTGCATGGAACAATGCATGTATCAGACCTTTGAATCTGTAAAGAAAGCATTTTAAACTTACTTAACAGTGTGTGATCTGTTCAGTGCTAAGAGGGTACTGTTTCAGCAGACTGAACAGGGTATCTAAGCAGGTTTAACAGCCTATTCTCATAATGCACAAGTTGTGACTTGATTTTAGACTCTGCTGGGGCTTTCTGTGTGCAAGCCCCACATTTTGAAACTAGACACGCAGCTGGTTCTTTGGTTGTTCATCCACACATGTGATCCACAGGAATTCACGCTGTATATTTAATTCCCTGCAAAGTGGGGTGCAGTAGATCCTGCCACCTGACACTAATGACTAGCAATAACCAGCCTCTTTGGGTGAGAGGTCTTATAACAGCTCTTAGCACCCTTAAAAACTACAGTTCCCATGATACTTTGTGGGGAGAGAGAGAGAGCCAGGACTGTTAAAAGTTGTATACAAGGGCTTTAAATGTACTTTTAGAAAGTTGGGAGATTCAGCCCCAGACTTCCTTCTTTGGGGCCCTGAGTCTCTTCTCTAGATGGTTGGTGAGGATCATAAATATCTTGCTGCTGTTCCTCCGCTTTCCAAATGCAGGGGATACCCCCCCATCAACTAATGCTAAGCTGCCTCTCTACACCTCCTTCTAAAAAGTAGGCACTCGTTCTTTTTCCAGGATATTTGCAGAGCCAAGGTAGGCTCCCCTGAAATATCGATATCCCAAGCATCTGCCCTAATTTGCCACAATGTTTGTGCTAGCTCTGCATGTGCCTCTGTCGCCACTGACCCTTCCTTCCTACCACTGGGATTTGTATGGGCAATGCAGAAAGAATGAGACAGCCTCACCATAGGCACAGCACTTCTAAGCAGCAAGAACCGACAAGGGGGCACCAGCTATTAGTCATCATTAATAAGCCAAAGGCTTATTAGGCAATTAGCCACGGCTCTGTGGTTGTGCATTTGGAAACTAAGCTCCACCTTTGACCGCAAGCCTGTGCTTGGGTGGTAGGAGACCTCTGGTTGACCTGGCATTGCAGAAACAATGGTGGAAGTTGGCAATTTGGGAAATGCAAAATTCTTCTTCTTGTTGTTCTTCTTTTGAGCGGGAAAGCGAAAAAATACATATGTTTTCTCTGGATTGCCAATTGCCAGGAATAATAGTGCATAGAGAAGGAATGAAGGGGAAAGAGCCTGCTATGAGCAGAGGTTGTTTGTTCTGAGAGATGAAGGCATGTTGGATATTCCTGGAAGGGTTATTTAAAGAGCAGAAACATGGGCTTCTCCCTGTCTTGCTAACATTTAGCAGTTTGACAGCTCTGAAAGCAACTTACAGTCACTATTTAAAAACAGGATTTTAAAAATAATAATAGCATTACAGACAAAAGGAGGAGGGGAGGGACAGCCATGTTTATACCAGCTTGGGCTTCTTGGAGAAAAAGGTGGAAAATGAATGCCAAAAAATAAATACAATAAAATAGCAGCTTCAGTGAAAACCTCACTTCCCCAGCATCTCAGTCCCAACGGAATCTGAACTTTGTCTCTGGCAGCTGCTATTACTATTATTATTATTACTATTATTACTACTACGACTATTAAACATGTAATTTGTTTGTTATACAATGAACTTCTCCAAACGACTCACCACATTTTAAAGACCATAAGCCCGAAGAAACAAATGCATTATAATAAACACACATGGTGGGATACCCAGTCACAGGTTTCGCAGTGTCATATGTTTAGTAGTTTGGCCCTCTTGGGTTTCCTTAGAAGACAGACAAGGTACCTCAAAAGCCACCCACTGGACCCGTCCAGCATACTGTGGGTTTCAGATTTGGAGCAAGATGAGTTCATCTTATGATAATCAGTGGACTACCTTCCTTACTCGTTTTAAGGCAGCGGTGGGATGCTTAAGGTTTGGAGGCCGAATACGGCCCTTCAAGCCACTGTCTGGCCCTTGAACCTCTTCCCATGTCCCACCCCTTACTGGCCCTGCATTGCTTGTCATGTGCTTTTGCCTGCTGCCTGGAATATGCCCTTGGAAACTAGCCTACCATATAAAGGGAGGGGGGATTAACTTATCTGCCTACTTTTGCCTCTGGCCCTGTCCACCACTGGTATGCTGCCCCTAGAAGTTTGTTTGAGGTCCTCAGGATCTGTAGATTCTGAAGGGTATGTTGGGAAGTGGAAGCAATTTCTTTCCACGGGGGATCAACAGACCTCATTGTAAACATATCCATCACAAACTTGTGCCTGGAACATCTCGTGAATTTTTGCTCTACCCCCATAAAGCCTGTGCCTGTTTTGTCACTTGTGATCTTATCTTCTAAAGAACCACTTAAAAGAACTAGGGTCTCACATCTCAGCCTGAACCTGGTTCAGCTGTCTCGAAATCTGTGGCCTTATCAACCAACCCAGCATGTGAGGATATTCTGGGAGGCTTAAAATGGCCCCTGCACCCAGCAAAAGCAGGGATCTGTTTCCCCAGCAGCATCAAGACAGGAATCCCCACGGACAAAATACACAGCCTCTTCTTTCTTCTCCCTTTTCTTCCTTCATGACTGCCATTTTGTGTGCTTACTAAGAAGGTCAAATGGCAAATAGCTTGCCAGCTCCTTTCAGTATTTTCGCTACCAGTTTGGTTTCACAGATTTTTGTTGAATAAACCCAAATATTTTAAACGTGGGGGAGGGTCCCCCCCCATTTGGCATCATCATCACCATCAAATTTTCGGTTGCCTTCTACACATATGCCTCAGTGAAGTACAACGAAAACAAAACAAGAACTCAGTTAAAAGTGCGCACAAAAATCAGCCAATACATTTAAAACAAAACTGAAACAATGCAAGAGAGACTCTCCTGGCAAAGACTCCTTTACCCAGCTGGGAAAGCCTGTCGGAACAAAAATGTATTCAGTTGTTTCCAGAAAGAGTGGATAGTGGCCACCTGCCATATCTCGACAAGAATGCTGCTCTACAGAACAGGGATAGCCACACTAAAAACCCTGCTCCATGTTTATTATTATTATTATTATTATTATTTGCCCTCCTTTCATCCTAAGGTCCTTGGGCAGGTTACAACATTAAAACACAATATTAAAAACAGTTCAAAACAATTTACAATCACAAAAATCTGGTGGGAGGGTCCTAAAATGTATATGCCTCAAGTGTCAAAAGGTTATGACAGAGATCTTTGGAATTTGCAAGAGAAACTTTCCTGCATACTCCATAAGATGATCCTTTGCCCCACGAGGTGGCAAGAGCAGTCGGGCCCCACCCCTGACCCACTCAAAGCCATTGACTCCACCCCACGGACCCACCTCGTACCTCACTGGGTGCGGCTGAAAGAAGAGTTGACCAGCTGGATGATGTTATCAAGAGAGGCTGTTGAGTTTCTGTTTAGCACCAGACAGTTAGAAAAGAAGGCCTAAGTATTCAAAAGTCAGTTCCTATAAAGTTACAAGCAAAACCTAGACACCCTTGCTATTTATATGTTTGAACCCTTTTCCAGAGAAAGGTAGTTGCAAGGGATAGCCTTTCGCCCAGATGTAGAGCTGGGTCATGTCATCACCAAGGGGCAGCTTTCTGGTGTGGGTTGACTGTCTGGGGGGCGGGGAGTAGCCTGTTTGGGCGCTGTTAGAAATACATCATTTGTGGGATTCCATTATGTTTTGTTCTGTTACTTATTGTTTGTAAGCGCTTTGGGATTTGTTTGAATTAAATCAAATCAAATCTGAATAGCTCAACGTCCCTGATTCTCCCCCCCCCCCAAAAAAATAACTCCTCAGGCCCACGCTACTTTGAAGGCTAGTACAATAATGGCGCAACTGCTGAAATGCTATGTTCTAAACTGATGGGGTGAGTCAAGTCTAACCTACCTCGCAGGGCTGTTATGAAGATGAAACGGGACAGCCCCAAACAAATACCATTGAGCTTTGAATTGTGGTTGGGAATACTAATATGATAATATGAGGTGCTTTCTGATTTCTCCTGTGGTTTCCTCTCCCTTTGTATAGTCTAATGAGGACCAAGCAGCTCATCAGAACGAAGCAACATAATAGAAAGAGACAGATCTACCCCACCCCCTCATCCCCAACAGAGTCTCTTTCCCACAGCGGCTGGCTCTCCGCTCATATTTTATTCCAGTCACTTGTATTAGCATTAAGTAATGGAACAGAAGCTCCGTTTGTGTGTGAAAATCAATGTTTCACACAGTAGTGATTTGGCATCGTGGCTGAAGTGAGAACGTGGCCTGTGTATAACATTTATTGCAAATGGGCTTGCTTGTCTAGTTCCACATTTCAAATGGGCTCTCAGCAGGGATGGCAGATTAAAAGGCCAAGTGTTGTTATAATGCAAACACAGCAGTTCACCTGGGTACAGGGGGAGGTTTCTGAGACCTACAGTGACATCAAATGCCTCCTTATGTAAGGGATATTTGAGGCAACTGCTAAAGGAAGAGTGGTTTTGAACCCTGTTTGCTTTTGGTTGACCCTTCTCTCCAGAGAAATACAGCCCTGCACGGGACCTTGGGCGGCGGCGGGGGACGGGAGAAAGCGGCTGGGGTGGCAAAGCTTAAGTTCTTTTATTTAGTGTATACTTGGGGGTTCTGTGTCAGCGTCACTTGGGAAAGTTCTCTTTCTATTCACTTGTTATGTTTCCTTGGTGGTGAGAGAGGTTGAGGTGGGCTAGGGTGTGGTTGATCGTCTTTGGCTGGCTGAAGTGGGATTTGCTTGTGCGGGGGTGAGGGGGTTTGTTGGGTTAAGTTAGCCATATTGAATCATATGTTGTTGGTGGGTTATGAGCTCTTTCTAGTGTGAGTGGGCATAGGGCCAGTTCTGGGGTGTCTTCTAGTACCTGTTTACAGTAGTTATTTTGCTTATTTCTGGTATGACTGCGCACACTCCTTTTCTGACTGGGTCCTCGATTACTTGGCTTGGTGGGATCTGCTGGTTCAGACACAGCATACAGTATGTCTGAGAAGGCCCCACAAAGGATCATGGGGAGGAGGTGCAAGGAAAAAACTGTTGTGTCCATGGTCCTGAATGGGGTAACTGTGTCCCTGAAGGACCAGGTGCGCAGCCTGGGAGTCATTTTGGACTCACAGCTGTCCATGGAGGCGCAGGTCAATTCTGTGTCTAGGGCAGCTGTTTACCAGCTCCATCTGGTATGCAGGCTGAGACCCTATCTGCCTGCAGATTGTCTCGCCAGAGTGGTGCATGCTGTAGTTATCTCTCGCTTGGATTACTGCAATGTGCCCTATGTGGGGCTACCTTTGCAGGTGACCCAGAAACTACAACTAATCCAGAGTGCGGCAGCTAGACTGGTGACTGGGAGCAGTTGCCGAGACCACATAACACCGGTCTTGAAAGATCTACATTGGCTCCCAGTACGTTTCCGAGCACAATTCAAAGTGTTGGTGTTGACCTTTAAAGCCCTAAACGGCCTCAGTCCAGTATACCTGAAGGAGCGTCTCCACCCCCATCGTTCTGCTTGGACACTGAGGTCCAGCACTGAGGGCCTTCTGGCGGTTCCCTCACTGTGAGAAGCCAAGTTACAGGGAACCAGGCAGAGGGCCTTCTCAGTAGTGGCACCCGCCCTGTGGAACACCCTCCCACCAGATGTCAAAGAGAAGAACAACTACCAGACTTTTAGAAGACATCTGAAAGCAGCCCTGTTTAGGGAAGCTTTTAATGTTTAACAGACCACTGTATTTTAATATTTTGTTGGAAACCCCCCAGAGTGGCTGGGGAAACCCAGCCAGATGGGTGGAGAATAAATTATTATTATTATTATTATTATTATTATTATTATTATTATTACATTGATTTCTTTGGCAACATGGAAGGGCTGCGGTGGGATCCAGAAATGGCAGCCTGGAGCCCCACTGACCACTTAACTGCTCTCTTCTCCATCAGCTTGGGAGCATTTTCTGAGACGCTTGTGGGGTATGATAGCATGCTTTGTCCTCTGATTCTTTAATATTTTCCAGCCCAGATATATGTTAACCAAAGGATCTTGCGGGAGCAAAGAAGCATAGGAGAATCAGATGCACCACAAGAGCACCTTGGATGGGATGGCTTTCAAAGAGGGCTAGACAATTGCATGGAGAAGAGGCCTATCAAAGGCAACTAGCTGTGATGGCTATGCTCAGCCTTCCCGGTTGGAGGGAGCCATGCTTCTGAAAAGCACTTGCTGGAAGCCACAGACTCCCCAAATGTGTTTCACAAGGACCCCTTCCTTCCCTCTGCCCCAGTACCTGAGGGTCGTCACGTCTCTCCGGGGATTTAGCCAGAACAAAGTACCGTATTTTTCACTCTATAAGACACACCAGACCATAAGACGCACCTAGTTTTTGGAGGAGGAAAACAAGAAAAAATATATTCTGAATCCCAGAAGCCAGGACAGCAAGTGGGATCCTGGCTTATGGGATAGCCAAACGCAGCCTCTTCCAGGCAGCGGCATGAATTCTCCCCCTGCCTGGGAGAGGCTGCACACGGCTAAGGCTCCCCCAAGAGCCGCGCTCCCTTTAAAGAGTGCATGGAGTGTGGGTGCGGCTCTTGGGGGCTTTTTCCCGGGGTAGGTATACAATTACAGGCAGCAATAGTCATTTGCATCCCAAAGACCCACTTTTTGGAGTACAGACAGTGTAAACACATCTGATCTCAATGTTTACAAGATCTAATGGCGGAGCTAAGACTGAATAACCGCTATGTGTTGTTGTTTTTTAAAAGAAAATCTTTATTAATTTTCACATAAACAAATATACATGGATTACATAACATATAAAACAGAAAACAATACAAAAGAATAGAAACAATGAAATAAGAAAAGATAAACAAACATAAACAAATACAATATATTACACTTACATGACAGATTAAAATATATAACTTCCAATAATTCTCATTATACTACTTGTATTATCTGTATTCCTTGCACAGATTCGTATTATTGTCTTTTGTATATAGATATATAATCCACTGTTGTATTTTATGTAATTCTTGGTTGCCAGTATCACCCTATTTCTGCAAGTATCTTATTGTTCGTACAGTACGTTTTTAAGTATTCTTTAAATATTTTCCATTCCTTATATACCTTTTGATTTGACACATGATGCTATGTTTTAAAGAGCATCCAATGCGCCTTTAAAGCACATGACTTCCCCCGAAATGATTTGTGCCATTGTGGCTTCCCTCTCACAGACCTACAATCCCTAGAACCCCTAACAAACTACAATTCCTAGGATCGTTTTGGGGAAGACACCTGGTTTTTAGGACAGGGATGGAGAACCTGCAGTTTGCTCACCCCCATTTCCTAGGAACCAGGAATGGGAAGCTCAAGTTCTTCTAACAGTATGGTTACAGGGAGCAGTGTGTATAAAATATTGAATGTAATAGGGTTATTAAGATAATTGTATCAGAATTATTGAGGGAATGTTAAGGAGGGAGGGGGAAAGAGAGATTGTGGGATTCTGGTGGTGAGTGATGATTGGATGAGGATTTGAAAGGGAGTTTGAATGTGAGGCAGTTGAGAGTCAGTTGAGGGCAGTGGGTTCTGGAGGGGATGGTTGGGCAACTAACTATTCAGTTTAGGATAAGTAGTCTAGTCATCATTTTTGTAAAAAAGCAGCATGTACGATAAAGAGAATTTGAGGCCATAAGCTCAGGTACACACGCCATCCTACAATCATTTAGAGAATCATCCATACAGCCTCCTTCAGTGAGGGTGCAATACCTAGGATCTGGACCAAACATTGATTTTTTTATTTTGATTTTTTTTTGCTCTTTTCTAGTTTCATTGGTTTATGTTCTGGTTCTAATGATGTAATAGGGGAGGGGGCTCTTTAAAGACTGGGGGCTGCCACACACTCCTTTTCTTCTTAAAAAACAATAATTTCCCCTCGTTTTCAAAAGCACATGCATTGTCTCCTTCTTCAGGTTCTTCAGTTACATTTGCTGTGAGACATTGGTGTTATATGCAGTATAGGGTTGGGAAGAAAGGGGGGCCTCATCGTGCAGATTATCATGAACGCAGATTTCAGTTTGCAAGTGGAGTATGAAAGCAAACACAGATGGGAAAGAAGTCTGATGCTGCCTCAATAAACCTCAGTTAGCCATAAAAAAGCTGATGGGAAGCCATCACAATGCAGTGTATGCAGCAAAACTTTAAAGGAAACTCAGTTTGCCACTGTGAGGCACTTCTTGGCTTAGTCTCATCAATAATTCTCTGCAAATACCAAAAAACAATTGTCTAAAGAAAATTGACCAAATCAAACTCTTTTGTGGCCAATGAATCTACACCTTAAAAGAAAGAAAGAAAGAAAGAAAGAAAGAAAGAAAGAAAGAAAGAAAGAAAGAGCTATCACAGGGAAGAGAGTTGGCTATTTTTTTATGGCTAGTTTAAATAAGTTCTTTGGTACTGTTATCACACATTGCTTTTTTAAATTTTTCAGATGGAATTGCAATAATCTCTATCATGTTTCCTCCTTGCAACAAACCTGCAAACCATTTTTCAGATGGGAAACTAAGGTCTAGAGATAGCAACCGGTCCAAGACCTCACAAAGAGCATATGGAAGAGGGAAGACTTGAAAACACCTCTCCCAAAGGGACAGTTTTCTGACTCTTGGCTCTTGAGGTGCAGCAGAGCCTCAAGCCAAAATCTGCTCATTTCTTTGTGCAATCATATTTCTGGAGTGTCCATTTTTGTGTGTGCTGTGGACAAGAGCCAGAATAGCGGTTATTCAGTCTTAGCTCCGCCATTAGATCTTGTAAACATTGAGATCAGATGTGTTTACACTGTCTGTACTCCAAAAAGTGGGTCTTTGGGATGCAAATGACTATTGCTGCCTGTAATTGTATACCTACCCCTGTAAGGAACTGCATGTTAGACGCTACTAAAATAGATCAGTTTTGTTAATCTTTCTCTACAGTTCCTAACTTTTTAATATTTGATGAGATTTCAAGGGCCAGCAGCCTTACACTTATTTAATTTTGTTTATTTGAAAGTTTTATATCCATGATGGGAGAAGTGGAAATCTGCATGTAAGACTTAGCTAATAATATTTCCTCCCTAGCTCTCATTTCTTCATATTTTTTCCTTACCCATTGACATTGTTATCATACACCCCATTGAACAGGCAAATGACCCTGGCTTTATCTTCAACTGTCTCTGGGCTGAATCTCTCTCTCTCTCTCTCTCTCTCTCTCCTTTGTTCTCCATAGTCAGTCCCTTGCCAAGAGATGTTGCTTCTCCCATTACAACTTGTACAAAATGGCTGAATAGTTTCATTTCATCATAAGAGGTATAAAAACATCCTTATGATCAGGTCTGTTTTCCCTGGACTATAATTGTCAATTGACATCCATTCATATTTGGATCCTCTTTATCAGATAGGTACATAAAATCCTATTTTATTCTTAGTAAGCAATGCTTAATTTCTAAAATAAGATATGCTGGACCTCAAGACTTTCAAGAAATAATGTCTTTTGATTTAGAGTCATTTCTCCATAAACTGAGATGTGTGATGATTAGTTCTATTTTTAATCAAGGATAAGCTAAAAGAATGGCACACTGCACATGCTCAAAGTCACTCTTTAGAATTGTTTCTCACATTGCAGGGTTGAAGTGCTACACAGAAAAAAAATCAGGTTCTATAGGATCCCTGTACCAAATGGCCATTTGACGCATTATGTTGTCTTTGATGAGTATCTATTATGAAATGAAACATGAGGAACACATGAAATGGGACTAACCCATAATTTGTAAAAAATATGTGCTTCTTACAGAAAGCCAGGTTTAGATGCAACTCTCCTTCATGCCTATTGCTGAATAGAAGCCTGTTACTTATTCTGAGATTGTATAGGTGTTTAATTTAACATTTTACCAGCTGCAATACTGGGTCTGTATTTTGGATTACTTATTGGTATTTATTGATTTGTTCTGATTTGTTGCTCTTTTATGGTATGTATTTCAGGTTCTATTTTATAAGCTACTCTCGAATAATTTGGGTGCTTCTAGATAGGTGTTTACTGTGAGCTCAGTGCTTATCAAGGATGCAATTTTTTTTTTGCAGCACCATTTTGATGGTATCATTGCCATCAAAATGTCAGCCTGTAATTTCCCACTCCCTCATTTAATCCAGATTTATTCTTTCCAGGGAAATCAGGGTGGGTGGGATGATTAGTTAACACCTGTTGACAGCAACCTGTTTGCAACATCTGAATGGCCTGTTTGCAGTATTAAGCTCCTCATTGGAAACACCCTTTGTGTAGAGAAGTGAGATAAAAGTAATTAACTAAACCACATTAAACATCTCATTTCTTCTGAAAAGGGTCCTGTGATGCTCTGGAATAAGTTTTAGAATGATATTCAAACTAATTTATTACAATTATAAGTTGCTTCCTATGAAGCATCTCAAAGCAATGCCACAATAAAGGACAATGAAACAGAGGGGGCAACAACCATTTTACATATAAAAACAATTTAAACAATTTCAAGTACACAAGCTTGTTTGTGTTATTCTAAATATGCATGTGTGTGATGTATTTTTTAACTCTACACATGCACGATTAATATTAATACCTGTAATAACAAATAGGAAAAGCGCCCTAACCAGTTCTCACAGTCTACTTTCCCTAAGTTCCTGGTCACTTTCTGGGACGGACCTAGCATTTCTTGTCACCTGGATACTGTTTCGATGGTACCTTCAACAACTCGCTTCGACTCCGTTACTCCCCGCGACCCCGGGGCCCAGGTTCCCAAACTGTTTCCTTGTGGGAGGTGGGGGGCTTTGGAAGAAACAAACAAACCCATGGAGCTAACCGCCGCATCCATCCTTTCCAGGCTTCTCCTGCCCCTCCGCACGACTGTGGATGCGGTTGCCGAGGCAACGGAGCCCCAGCATCTCTCGTCTCCTAGCAACCGTTGCCCGAGCTGCCGAGCGCTGCTAAGGCGGGCATCTCCCGCTCGCTCCCTCCTTCCCTCCTTCCCTTTCTCTCCTCCCACCCGGCGCTGGGACCTGGCCAGACGGGGAATGCGCAAGCTCCGGCCCGGCCAGGCGGACGGCTTAGTTGCATCCCCATCATGGCGCTCAGGCGGCGGGCGCTCCTTCTCCTGCTGTTGCTTCCCATGTTCCGTGAGTCTCGCCCGGCTGGGGAGCGGGAGAGGTCCGGGGTTTGGGGTTTGGGGGAGGCGGGTCGCGCGGGCTTTGCCTAGAGGGACCCCGGTTTTTATTTGCGGGGGGATAACGAGGCTGAGCGGTTTGCAGCGGAGTGGGGCGATTATACTTCAGCCCCCTCCCCCGCCCATCATTGTTTTCAGCAGCCACGAGTTGGAAATTTGAAGGGGCGGGGGTGCCTGGCTGCTGTGCAAGCAGGGCGGGGGTCATGCGTGAGCTTTGCACCCTTCCCATCATCCAGGAGCGAAGGCTGCCTGGGACAATAGAGGCTATTGAGGGTGGCTTTTGCATTCACAAATGTGTGGCTTGGGGAGGGTTTTTTTTTTAGGTGGGGGGGATGTTGAGTTTTGCAACGGAGAGGGCAGCAACATTTATTCAAACTAGAAGGGAGGGATGAAAGGGAAAGTTTTAACCCACTTTTTTAAAGTGGTGAGAGAAAGTCTTTCCCCTTTTTTTTGGTGGTGCTCTGTGCTGATAAGACCGTACTTAAAAATAAGATGTTGATGTCTGTGTGGTATGGAACCTCACAGTAGTCTTGGAGTAAAAGACATTGTACTAACAAAGTATTTAAAAGTGAACGGGGTGTAAGGTTTGGAAACATTTCCGCAGCTGAGAGTCCCCTGTCCCTCCGCATATTTATTACACTTAAAAATGTGTTTATCTATTTAAAGTGTTTTGATCCTGCTTTTCAGCCCCCAAAAGGCTCCCAGAGCTGCTTACAAATGTCAAGGATGAGATAGTCCCTGCCCTTGGGTTTATAATCTGAAAAACACTGAGACAAAAGGGAAAGGGTTTTTTTTTGGGGGGGGAGGGGGGTTCCCTGCACTTACAATAAAGTACTAATGAAGATTCTCCCTAGCTCAATCCATCCCATCCAAGTAAACAGATATCTGAAGAAGTGTGCATGCACACGGAAGCTCATACCAATAACTAACTTAGTTGGTCTCTAAGGTGCTACTGGAAGGAATTTTTTTATTTTGTTTCGCCTACAGCAGAACAACACAGCTACTTACCTGTAGTTATTTTAGGGTTGGGGTAGGAGTTTTGATGGAAGTGAGTAGACTTTGTTTTAGTACAATACAGGTAGAAAAATGGAAATTGTGGGTCACAATTTTTATAAAAGTTTCGTGTCCCTTTTAAAAATTGGCATTAGCACTCATTACTCCCATCTGCATGTAATTTGTATGTGTATTCAGAATATATGCACACACACAAATACCCCAACCCCAAGATTTAATTATAAAACAAGAGGGAAAGGCGTGTCCCCCCCCCCCAATCCAATGACTTGTTTTTTGTCTTGGTACCCTTGAAGAATATGACAGTGAACCCCACCCCAATAAGAAATAAGGGACCTTGCTTCCCTAAAACTCTTTCCATAACTCAAGCACCACCCCCACCTTTCCAGAGGATGAGGGAATCAGGAATGTGATGGTTGGCCAGGCAGGAAGAGTTGATACTGGATCCTATTCACTTGGCAACAGAGACACCCATTGTTCCTGGAGCCCCACGCAAATGTTTGCAGCTTTAATTGCAAAAACATTTGTTAATTCCATTCACGAATGAGTTGGGACTTGCTTGTCGTCTGGCTATTAATAAAGGCCCCAGGGAGGGAGTTGGAGAGTGGCAGTCACAGTTTGGGGGAGGGGGGTTCTCTCTCAACCATTTGTGTCCTCACCCCCAGACAGACAGGCAAAATCGAGATAAATGTGGTGTTTTTAATCCTGCTTCTTACATCGAAATCATTCAGTGTAGGAAGTAATACTTACCTCCTGTGTAAATTATTGCTTGCGATAACCACACACAAATGTGCGTCTTCTCTTGCAACTGCCAGAAAAATACACAATCTCACATAGGTTTCTTTCTACAAAGAAATTTCCCTCTGGAGTGGGCATTTTGAAGGGTAGCTCTCCAAGATCTTCTGATACTACTTTTCCAAACTTTATTTCAGTTTCTACAGTCTATTATGCCTTTGGTCTGGGACAGTAACAACAGTTTAAATAACACATCTGAGCTTATTTGCAAAACAGCTGTGAAATACCAAAATGTGTCTGTTACAGATTGTGGAACAAGTTATAAAAATTCTGACTGATACCAGATTGGCGCATATAGCATTCAGCACTCATAGTTTTTTACAGAGAGGCATTAAAAGGTTCCTGCCCTAAGCTCTTCACAGTGTGAATTGCAAACATCAGTAAATGTCAGGCAGGTTACTGAACATGGGACCCACATTTGCCATTATTTGAAGATCTTCACTAACTTTTTTTTCTGGACAGAATTAAAGGTGCTAGTTTTAACTGCCCCCATGATCTTCAGATGAAGGGCAGTATACAAATTTAATAAATAAAATAAATAAAAATAAAACCAATACAGCTCTAAATAAATCTAAAACCAGTTTTTCTAAACAACTACCTTCTCCCATAAAACTTGCATTTTGCTAGAATCATCGCTCCTGCCCTGGAGGATATTGGAGACAGAGCATTCCCTGAATCTTCCAATTTTAATTGGAAAAAAGTCTGTGGGGGGGTTATCTCTGTGTACATAAATTAGAATGATTTGCCTAGGGTAATTTGCAGCAAAATATTTTCAGTTTGCATCAAAACAGTTTCTGATACCACGGTTCTCTAATACTGTATTTGAAGCCCTTCCTTGTCACTACTGACCTTATGAAATGGGGGGGGGGGGGGGGGGAAAACCATGGAAAAAGAAAGGACTGGAGGGATACCCCCCCCCTCAATAATTCTATGCCACATTACTGAATGGTTTTTAGTTTGTTAATTCTGGAATTTAGGATTCTTTTTTGTTAGCTGCCTTGAAGACTGAATCTGACAAAAAGACAAGAAATGCTGGTCTGTGTGCATTATCTATATGTATACTATACATGTATGTATTTTAAATAAAACATCTACATTCCCAACAAAGGACAGTGATAGAGAGGAAAGAGAAGATAAGGGATGAACCCAAGAAAATTAATAAATTGAAATAGATATATACTAATTTTCTGCTTACCAGTCTAAAAACCAGTTCACAACAATAAAACAAATAGTACTCTAATAGTGGAATCTTATACATGTCTAGGCAGAAGCAAGACCCACTGAGTTCAGTGAGTTTTACTTCCAAGTAAATATGCATAAGATTGCAGCCTAAATCAGAGTGTGCTATAATAATCAAAACAGCAAAATACAGACCGCAGCAATAAAACAATAAGGGAACCAACATCATCTAAAAATCTATAGCTGCAGCAGGCCTTTACATAGAAGCTTGATAAAAACAATTGAAATAAATTTAAATACGGACAGCCAGCAAAACCATTAAAAATAATAGGTGAAATAATTATTTTTTAATTAGGATACTAGTGTAGTCACTTACTTTAATGCTTGATTTTTTTTGTTTTTAGATATGCTGTAAGCCACCCACAGTGGCTGGGGAAACCCAGCCCAGATGGACAGGGTATAAATAAATTATTATTATTATTATTATTATTATTATTGAGGTGGGGGCTCCTGAAGAAGGCACTTTGTTTCAGATCTCAGTGGATCAGATGAGTTCACATAGAAGAAGGTCCATGCATATGTCAGGCTTTTGGGTTCAGTTTGGGATAGAGATTATGGATTCACAGAAAAAACAGATTTTGAGGAGGGATTTGAGGGAACAGAGAGACATAACCATATACATAACCATCACAACCACATTAAACCATAAAAACAATCAAGTGGAGGAGGGGTTTGTGTCCCCGTGTCCAAGAGGAGTTCTGGGTTATCAGGCTAGATCTGATGAAGCTGGTTTATATATTTCCTCCCATATGGGGGATCAGCCAGTGTATGCTCCTCATTTCCAGCAGGTTCTGCAAAGCGATGAACAGAGCCTCAGTTGAAAGTCTGCTACCTCTCCCACATTCCATCTTGTGACTAAATGCAGACGCCATCCATGGCTCCAATTGTCACATTCTTTTCCAGCATCTCACCCTTGTTTTATATAGCACCTAGCCAAATTAAGAGTTCTGGAGAACTTGAAAGCTTGCATATATTATTCTGTCACAATTTGGTCAGCCAGACAAAAAAGTACAGCCCTAATGTGGGTTTTGGAATTTTACCTAAATTCTGTCTCTCCTCTGTCCTCTTTAAAAATGTTGAGTACTACTAGAAATACTACATCCTCTTCTCCATGGGAGTAAATTTTACTGAATCCGTGAGACTGATCTCCAAGTCAACATGCGCAATGTTCAAAGTGCTTTACTGTTCTTTGCTTCTTTATAACCGCAAGACAGATAATTCAAGCCAAAAAGTGTGTGACTTGCTATAGCCCATTCCATACAACTTCTAAATGAAGTAGTGATTTTTATGGGGTGTCCTATACTTAAAACCAGCTGTTTGGCCACTGCCCTGCACTCCTAATTTCTTATAACGCCACCAACTCCTCAACCTTGGGACAGAATCGTCAATGAGGATTTGCATCCTATGGTGTGCTAAGATAGTTGAGAGTCATGAAATTCTCCAGAGTCACAAGTGGGTTTTGTGCCCACAAAGATCTTTTTGTAGTAAGAATATCTTGAGAGTCCCTGCAACCACCCCCTTTTAAAAAAAAGTAACATCCAGCTGTCGTTCAAGCAAGCAAATGCTCCAAGCCAGCTGTCTAGGCCCGTGGAAGCTTTTGTGGGGTTGTAGATTTAGACTTTCAGACTTCTCAATTGGGAAGGGGGACTTGAATGCCAAGAATGTCATTAGGGCAAGGAGCTGCATGCATCATTAATGTGCAGTAACCAGGGCATGCAAATACAAACTCATCAAGCTGAGCCAAAATTGGGCGTTTCAAATGGCAAGTTCAGTAACATCCTTTAGGCAGGATTTGGTGTTTTTCATCCAGCAGTAAATAACCAGCAATTTCGTCAAACCGTAAGAGAAGCATCTGTGCGTTCCTCTTGCCTGGGTCCACTCTACAGCTGTTGGCAAAGAATGTGTGATACTAGCAAGCTGCCTCTCCCTCTTGACATTTATCGCAACTGTTTTTTGTTGCTCAAATACGCCTCAATTCGTGGAGAGGTGTGTGTAAGTGTGTGCAAACACCGCCCATGTCTCTTTCCTTCTCTGTGCTGAAAGTCAAGTGACCCAGCTATGAACTTTGATTCCTTTCTCTTTTTTTGACCCGTCTTTATTAATATTGCCCAGGATTAATGTTGCATTGTCGGGATGGATACCAGTGGTGCTGGGTTTACCTCGTTGACAATTCCATTGGCGTGCTTATAATTTGAGCTATAAATAACCTCTGCTTTGCTTACAAAACAAAACAAAGTCTGTGAGGTTTTGAAGTATAAATATACTTCTTTCCAATTTCCAAGTTCATTCGGGTCACTTGTGGTTCACTTAAGGCTCATCTGCTGTCCATTTAGCCGTCCCATTTTCAAGTTTTAAAAGTGGTTTTCAGATTTTCTCTTTTCAAGGCAACTTTCCCCACATCACGTCCCAGTCAAGAGTTTCTCTGGATAGTACTAGAAATCCCCAGTTCTGTTCACAGCTGTCGTTTGTGATGATCCATCAAGGCTATAGGCTGCAGTGTCCTCCTGAGCAGCAAAGGGTTGCCATGAGGGATGTAAGAAGGCAGCAGTTTCCATTCTGATCTGTATTTGTCACAACCGGCGCTGTTTCCCTTCAGGCCTCATTGATCTCATCAAACTAATAGTGCACCTAGAAGGCACCCAACACTGCCAAACCACTGTGTACAGTGGAACCTCGGTTGTCGAACGTAATCTGTTCCAGAAGACCGTTCGACTTCTGAAACGTTCGACAACCAAGGTGCAAAGGGCTGTCTGCAATGTCCATTGAGAAAATTGAAAAACATGCAGCGGAAGCCATTTGACTTCCGAGGCGTGTTCAAAAACGGAAATGTTTGGCTTCCAAGACGCTCGAAAACCAAGGTACCACTGTATTGGGACAGGTTGGTAACAATGAGCATGAGTCGTTGTAGTCAGTGGTGGGAGAGTGTCTACCATCACTAATCTTCTTGTTGAGTAACCCTTGATACACTGCCAAGCAACACCAACATTCTCTGGAACACGGTTTGAAAAACCACTGGGGTAGAACAATGGTGAGTTGTTTGTACTAACTTTTGCTCTTTAGCAAACCACATCTTTTCTTTGGCATTCTTTGCAAACCCCCTTTATTTTTGTGCATGTGTGTTGAGGCAGAACTGGATGCTGCTGTAAATTTAGAAGTAATGTTTCACAGCTGATTGCACCCATCCCCACTAATCCAAGGAATGTCAGTGAATCATTCCCACCCCCACCCCGCAAAGCAGGGGTGAGCTGTAGTGTGGGGTTGGGGTGGGGGGGAAGAGATAGGACACTCGATTCCCATAGGCCAGTAAGTGCTGATTCAGAATCCCCCACATCTCCCGTCTTCCCATTATGCGAAACCATTTGTTGCAAAATGGTTTGGGGTAAACTAAATCTCTCTCTGCCTGAGATGCTGAACATTTAATGCTGTCTGGAGGCTTGTTTAGAAGTCGCATCCCATAAAAGCTGATGAAGCAAAGACACAAAATTAATTAACGTGGTTCCATTCTCAATCTGTTTCCTCTTCCAGCAGGAAGATTAAAAGCATAAGGCATATTTCTGTTGGAGGGGAAAACAACAACTCCGTCATAGGTTATCCCCAACCCAAACAATCTTCACAAGAGATTGCCGCCACTTGTCTTCACAGATTATGGGTGCCACAGCCGTTTGACCTATCAGACGAACAAAACAAGTAGAATAGCAAGGGGCTTATTGTAACTGTAATTTAATCATAGGTACATCATTCCATTGAAATAATTACACTAGGTATCTTATTTGTTTAAGCCAAAGCCAGCACAAGCACTTCTGGAAAAGACAATGTCAACGCACTATTGCCAAAGTACAACATAGGCCGATAGCGAAATGCGTTGCAGAATACTGAACGAGGATGTACTGATTAATTCAGGCTACTAAGTGGCAAAAATACATCATCTCAGATTTGCCATTCATGTGAAGCTCCTTTTGTTCATTGTGACGGACAAAACACTTCCCATAATGCTTTCTGATTATTATGGTCAAAGCTTCTGAAATATGGGTGATTGGTAGAATGCAGAAGCAGGTGGCAGCTGAGCTTTCAGAGGCATGGAGAGCGGCTTCGGCTGTTCCTTGCTGATCAAGAGGACAAGAAAGCATAAGTTGTCTGTACTTTGTTTCCCTGCCATAACTGCATCAGAAATGTATGCCCAAGCATCACCGCTGCCCAGTTAGTGTTCAAAACTCCCATTTTGCTAGGCGCACTTTGCGACAGGGAATATCATTAGCTTGAGCCGTTTCTGAGCTCTGGGCGTGATACTGCGCCTAAGATTCCATATTAAAACTGCAGAGTGAAAGGAAAGGAGGACCTTCTCTGCCTCCCCACTTCCAAAAAAGAGAAGTTTTTAACCTATTATTTAGGAAAATTCTTCATGGCATGGAGAAAACGGATAGGGAAAAGTTTTTCTCCCTCTCCCATAATGCAGTGCTAGAACTTGGGGACATCCGGCGAGGCCAAATGTTGGAAGGTTCAGAACAGACAAAGGAATGTACTTATTAATGCAGCTCATAGTTAAACTATGGAAGTTCCTCACGCAAGAGACAGTGATGACCACCAACTTGGATGGCTTTGAAAGGAGGTTAGACAAATTGATGAAGGATAAAGGCTGTCCGTGCCTACTAGCCACAGTGGCAATGCTCTACCTCCAAGTTGGAAGCAGGTATGCTTCTGAATACCAGTTGCTGGAAGCCACAGGAGCAGGGAGTGCCCTTGTGCTCAGAACCTGCTTGCAGGTTTCTCAGAAGCATCAGGTTGGCCTCTCGGAGAACAGGATGTTGGACTGCATGGACCCCTGGCCTGATCCAGCAGGCTCTTCTTGTGTTTTCAGGTCTTCTATTGAAGGGATCTCCAGTCAAAGTCTACTCAGACTTCCCAAGTATTATTTCCTGCACAGTGACTAAAGGTACTGCAAAACCATCCCTACTGCGAAGTTTTTTGGGGAAATGCTTTTCTTCTCCCACCTCTAAGGCTGTCGTGTTTCTACGCATCTTCCCCTGCCGTTTTTGAGTCCCCAAAGTATAATCCTCCAGAGCTTGAAAAAAAAAAAAGACTGATAGGCTCAGCTTGGGGACATTTAAACAATCAGACATATGGTTACAAGCAGAATTTCTTAAGTCCTGCCAATGGCAGATGTAAGCGCAAAGCCCCCACTCCGTAGTTGGGATTTCAATGTCAGGAAATGACAATGCGTGCTGGACGTTCCTTGCTTCTCTTCTCCGGAGCAAATTATTAGTTTGCTTAACAATGCACACATGGGGGGGGGGGCTTACAATGCAATGTTGTAAGGGTCTGCTCGGAGGTGAGTTCCATTTAATTAAATGCGACTTACTCCGCTGTCCGACTGCTGCTCTCCAGGTCTTCAAGCAGGAATCGATTCCAGTGGTTCCTGGAGAAGTTGGGGGCTGAACCTAGGACCATCCCCATCCAAAACAGATGCTTTGCTACTGAGCTACACCCTGCCTCATGCTGTGTGTGCAGTGTGCTGGCAACTCATCCACAGCAGTGGTTAAAATTAGCATTTCAAAATAAACACCCCTTTAACATTTGCAAATCAGTAGCGGCTGTTTTTATCCTTCATCTCGGAAAAATGACAACCTTTTCAACATGCATATATAATTGCCTCCCAGTCGTTTTCCTCTAAAAGATCTACTGAGTATTATACTTAGATGTTAGCTATGGCCACATCCCATTATACGTTCCTTTATTGTGTTTTGCAGCCAAAATCTAGCTATATGGAATGTCCAGATCTAGAGGCAGCAAAAACCTCTGAATACTAGGTGCAGAGACAGCCAATAGGAGAGGACTGTTGCCTTCCTGTCCTGGTTGTAGGTGTTCAGATATATTTGGCATCTACTGTTGAATACAGAACTGCCGCATTTGCACATTACACTAAACCAGAATTACTGGCTTACCCTGGTTTATTGTGAACATGAAACCCAATGGGAGTTGGGTGTGCTTAGGCTGGTGAAGAGAAGACTGGAGCTGATACGACAGCCATTTTCAAATATCTGAAAGGCTGTCACATAGAAGACAGAGCATGCTTGTTTTCTGCTGCTCCAGAAAACATCCAGAAAACAGAAAATACTTACATCCATTGGGTGTAAACCAATGGATTCAAATGACAAGAAATGAGATTTTGACTAAACAATAGGAAGGACTTTCTGATATCAAGCACTGTTTGACAGTGGAACGTACTCCCTTGGAAGGTGGTAGTTTTTAAACAAGCATTGGATGACCATCTGCCTGGGATTCTTTAGCTGGGGGTTGGATTAGATGGCCTTTGGGGTGCCTTCCAGCCCTATGATTCCTTGAAATCATACCCACTTTGCTGCTTAGAATGAGCAAGAGAAACAAAACCAGAAGTTGCAGTTAAGTTTGGCTTCCTGTCACATCTGGACCTGATGTCATGATTTGCTTCTCCCCATCAAGCTAGGATTTGTAAGCCAATAACAAACCGTAGCTCAAGGCTGGCTGGAGATCCTTCCTGACTTGTTAAAGGAATAACAAAATGTGAACATCCTAGTGACTCTATCTTAAATGCAGTTTCCTGGTTTATTTCTCCTGCTTGTGCTGTGGAGAAAAAAAGCAGGAACGATTGGACTATGTATACAACCGTAGTGCTCATTTACTAGTGATGTGTGAGGGGATTTTTGGAAAATCTTCCATTGTTCATATTTAAGAAAATGCAAATAATTGAAAATTGTTGGCACACCAATATGTTTTAGCAACCTGAAGAATTGTGCATATACGCTGACTCACATCCTTCTTGTGATAATCACCTGGGGAAAAAACATTAATTACAGCTTTGGAAATGTTAATCTTTCCTAATAATCGTATTTGTAATTGACAGCCATTCATTGTTATGAATGAACTTAAGACATAGCAAATCTTCTGTGTCAAAATTCAAGCAATGGAAAATTTTCTTCCCCAAATCACTGTCATTCACAAGAAGCCAGCAACCCTGACTTATCGCATGATGTGTGAACATACCCATTGATGGACTTTGGTCTGATTCATCAAGGCAATTCTTACATTTGTGACCTCCTGCAATGTGTGAACAAACAGTTTTTTTTAGTGTGATATTTCATGTGGGTAGGTGTGGTTTTCTTTTATTTGCCATAATAATACCTTGGCCTCTCATTATCTCTTGCAAAAGATCAGATTTCTGGAATAATTTCCCATCCTGGAACAGAGGAGTGGCGGCATAAAACTAATTATATTTTATTTGCCTCTCTTAAAATAAAAAGAGCACCAGAACTCTGTCCTATATATATATCCTCTAGGCAGACAGGTATTTTAAAATTAACAAAGCTGTATTTATATATAACAGAGCAAGTTTAGCCTGGGGAAAGATTTCATAGCTGGGTTGTCAACTCTAGGAAACAAGGCCTTGATCCTGCAGGTGCTTAAGAACATATGCCACAGTTAGTCATACAAGTTAATCTCAAAGGGAAACTATTAACTTAAGACTCACAAATTACCCCAAGACATCAGGCATGCAGATGAAGGTGAGGAGCATCTTGTGCTTAATTTCTGCATTCTGGGATGCTGCTCTAGTAACAAAGAAAATTTTAGTGACTGTGACATTTATTTGTTTTTAAAAACAACCTTATACAGGCGTCCCCCCCCCCCACTTATGCACAACCGACTCACGCGTGACCGCGTATACGTGTGACGCCAGGAAGCAAACAAATTGATAGATTCAAACCAGGAAATGGCGGGAGACAGCTGGAGAGTCTTCATGGATCATGAGGAGACCCTCCCTGTAGCCTTAGGAGGACTTCAGTGAGGGCAAAGGAAGCCCCAGAGAGACTGGAGGTACAGCAGGGCTTTGTTTAGGCTGCTCAGCCTCCCTGCCTAGCAGCTGGCTTGTGGGGTAGCGCAGCAGCAGCCTCTTTTCCATAAGTCCTCCAGCCAGCCCCAGAACTTGAACTCTAGAGAGTTGTATGGAGAGAAAGTCGGAGAGCAGGAGAAAATTGGTGTTTTGGATGCTTTTTAGAGGCTGTTCCCCACTTGCACGGTTTTTGCTTATGCACGTGGGGCCCCAGACCGTAACCCTCACTATTCTCAAGCAAACGGGACAGCAGAGGGAACTAGTGAAGACTGCAAAGGCTTGATTCAGGTCATGGTGACCCACATATATTGCTCTTTTAAACTACAGGCCAACACCACTGATAACCATAAAGCCTAATCACTAATGAGAAAACAAATTGGAAGATCAATTTCAACTCTGGAGTAAATCCAGAGGTTTTTCCCCCAGCCAGAACTCACTGGAACTGAGTTCTAGCACCTCTCAGGTAGGTGCCATTGCTATTATAAGAGGAAAAAAAGGAGATGTTTATGGTGAGTTTTGGCACCTCTTTTTTCTAGAAAAATAGCACTGAATTCCCAAGTGGCCTGACCTGGAAAATGTTGCCTCTTCAGATTTACCAAGCCAAATCAAAAACCTCTACCTCTTAAACAGTTGGAAGAGTAACCCTAAGGGCTTTTATACCCATGGTGGTTGTGGCCTTCTGTTCTTTTGAAAAAAATAGTTGGGCTTTAGGTGGTCTGAGAACAGAAAATCCACAATAGCAATGACTGTATGACGGTATCTTGTCAGGGATGATGGACACCTTGTGATCCTCCCAACTTCCATCAGCATCAGCCAGCCTGGCCAGCGGTCAGAACTGATGGGAACTGAAGGACAATAGCAGATGGAGGGTCGCAGGTTCTGCATCCTGGAGTCACCAAAAAAAGAAAGGAAGGTGAACGGCGGATAGCAATCCCACTAGAGTGGAAGCACCTTAGCTGCGGCTGGACTTAATTTTATTGAGGTGAAATCAGGCGTTTTCCCTGCTCCTGTTCTGCTCTTGTTTTGAGGGAGGCAACGGAAGTTCTTCTCTAGCTTGCTGACTGGTATGTCCTCTAAGCCTTCTGTGGCCCAGGCCCTTTGTAATCCTTCCAGATGGAGGCTGTTTATCTTCGGAAAGCCTTGACTTTACAATGTAATGCTTTCGTTCTGCCATCAAGGAGGTGTAGAGGAATACCAGGCTAGATTATCTCACTTGGCTGCTGAGGTAGCCTGCCTGGGGCCAGAGCATGCCTCCCTTCTGTGGGTGTGTTGTGCATGACTCTCTGTGCGTGTTTGATGCTGGTTGCTAACGTGTTCCTTTCCTCCTCTCTCTATAAAGGCTCTTCTGATATGCCAGACTCAAGGCCAGCTGTCCTCACCCAAAGTCCCAGCATGATTTAATAAGCTTCTCTCCCACTTGGGGTTGGGAGAAGGGGGGTGGATAAGCCCTTTGAAGTTTTCTTAAAAGAAAGGGGGGAAAGCTGGAGAATTTTTAAAAAAAATAAAATGCACACACTTCTGCTTTTCTGTGTCTGGTACAGAACACTTTGTACTGCATTCCCTCAAGCTGCGATTTGGTATCTGTGGGCTACTTTTTCACCGTTCTTCCTACTCTAGACTTCCTTTGCTTGTGGTTTGGTTACTAGCCCTGAGATAAGCAAGGGGTGGATGCGAAGCATTACAAAAACCCCTTACTTATTCCTCTCTGCCAGATGGCCTCTTAACCAAAGAGGCCATTCTTACTTTATTTAAAGTGTGTGTACACCGCATTTCAGTCTAAAAACGGCCACACCACTAAGGTGGAGATAGGAACATAGAAAGCTGCCAGACCGTTGGTCCATTTTGCCCAGTATTGTGTGCACTGACTAGTAGCAGCTCCCCAGGGTTTCAGTGCTACCTGGAGATGCTGCCAGGGCCCAAACCTGGGACCATCAGCGTGCGCCACTGAGCTGCAGCCCTTGTCGCAAGCAAAATAGGAAGTTGCCTTCATACGGAGTCTGTTTGCTTATCCATCTAACTCAGAATTATGTAAATTGGAAGGCAGGCAGGCTTTCTAGGGCTTCATAGATAAGCCTTTCCGAGCCCTACCTAGGGAATAATAATAATAATAATAATAATAATAATAATAATAATAATAATTTTATTATTTGTACCCCACCCATCTGACTGGGTTTCCCCAGCCATTCTGGGCTGTTTCCAACAGATATAAGAGCACAATGAAACATCAAACATTAAACACTTCCCTATACAGGGCTGCCTCCAGATGTCTTCTGAAAGTTGTGTAGTTACTTATCTCATTGACATCTCCGATGGGCAGCTGGTGGGTGGCTAAGAGAGGGACACCCGGTATAGAGCAGTGATTCCTTGAGTCATTGCATTGTTTCTGTATAATGGAGCCTCACAGCATCCACTGCGAAAGGAAGATGGTGGAATGTTGCCACCTAACTGCGTCGCTTAATTCTGCCACCACGATCCCTTTGCCATTTGACTGCAATATTCCCACCCCTTTCCTAACTGGGCTCCTGTACATTTGAACAGCTGCCTGACTGGGAGAAAGGCAGCAGCTGAAACATTCCCATCGCACCATCTGCATTCTGGAGATGGTTATTTTTTCAAAATAAAGACTTGCCCCATCACCCACTTTCATATTTTCCCATGAGCAATGGAATGTAGGATCTGCTGCTAAATCCTCTGTGGCAGCCCCTTGCTACTCCTTCAATGCCCTGCCCTGCTTTGTGCCACCTAACCCCAAATTTCCCTTTTATTTCACCAGATACGGCCAGTAGCTGCATTGCACTGGCATGCAGTTATTTTATGTAGTGAGAATGCAGCTGTTTTGACATAATTTCTGTGTTAGTGCTAGGAGGAACTCCTGTTCCAGCAAAGGAAGGGTTGCCAACATTTTCCTAGCTCTTCAACTCGGTTTTTAACAGCAACATAGAAGTTTATAGAACAAAGCTTTTCCTGGCATGAGGATAAAATAATAAGGAAAGCTTAAAGTTCCTTAATTTTTGTGTGTTGAGCGAGTGTTGAAGGCCCTGGAACTGGAACAGTTAAAACCTGGCAGCCCTTCCTTACCCACAAACTCGCTAAATGGCCTTGAGTAAGCCATGATCCTCCCTCTTGCAATGTGGAGATCATAATACTAGTTTGTACATTACAGGGTTGTTGTGCAGATCGCTTTAAAGTATGTGAAGTGCTTTGGCACCTTGAAACATAACTGCTATTATAATTTTGGGGGGGAGAAAGAAGGGAGGGGATGAGAACTACTACCTTGGTGGGCCTAAGAAAGGCACCCAGGCACAATTGAATTAGCGCTAATCAAGTTGGGCTCCTTGGCCATATGACCTGCTGAGCTGTCCTGCTATTCCAGGTCAGGTGCCCTGATTGTACCGCGAGTGCCGTGGAGTCGGCCTTGGGTATCTTAAGGGCAGGTCGGTTCTCATTAGCTCCTCATAATTAGATTGAGCTTCCCAGATCTGCTCGCTTTCCTAGGAGGGCTCCAAGTAGAGGAGAGCTCTGACATGTGACAGGCCATCGGAAGGAGAGGACGTCCCTTACCAGATGAGCTCATACATTATTCACATGGCCTGCTTCACCCATTTCACTTTGGAGTGTATCTTTGGTGAGGCCGACAGTGGATTCTGTCCAGTAGCATCTGAGCTCAGACTGTTTGGAATGTCATCTTCCATATGGGACAAAGATCGCTCAGTGGAGCAGAAGTGAGAATGTTGGCACGTGCCACTTCTCACCATGGAGAGCTGCACTCATGGGAAAAGCTGAGCCTGCCCAAACAATGCCTTCTTGTTGATCTTGTTGTCAGAGAACCCATACAGACAATTGATCTGGTTACCTCCAGGGTTAACTTGGTTGTCTGAATCACCACCCTGAATGTTACCACACAGCAGGTGCAGCCATGTGGCAGAACTTGTGGTGAAATGTTCTTCTTCATGAGGCCCAAGAGGACCGTGATTCCCCACACAGTGCACGTTGCCATCTCCGCAAAACCGCTAAACTCTCTCACACCACCCTGTGAGGCGGAAGTGACGTTATGATCCGACGCCAGATAGAAGGACCCATTGTTGTCCTTAGTTCCTTGGCCAAGGGAGATGTGGCATAAGGGCATCCCTTTGTGTTAGATTGCAGAAAACGCCACAGAGAAGAAGGACATGCCAGTCCTTCAAGCCTCGCAGCTGCGGAGGCTGCAAAGGAAACCGAAAGGGAGAGGTGCCCACATTCCCAGCTGCGTGCATCTCTGCCGTCAAAGACAGATGTCAAATATTGCATGGTGATTTCACACGGTCGAGACCTCTGCTGAACTTGATGCTGTGAGAGAGAGCAAGGGCAGGCCCAGCCCTGTCAAAGCGATCGCTCCCAGCGTGGACTGCAAACAAGGCTTCGACCGTGCTGCATTGTCTTTTTATTTTATTTTATTTTATTTTATTAAAACAGTCATATCCAACACGTTTTATAGAACACAGTCCTATAAAATTATGCAAGGAATGGAGAAAGTGAATTGAGAATAGTTTTTCTCCCTTTCTCGTAGCACTGGAACTCAATGGACATCCAATGAAGATGAAAGTTGGAAGATTCAGGACGGATCAAAGAAATAATAATAATAATAATAATAATAATAATAATAATAATAATTTATTATTTATACCCCGCCTATCTGGCTGGGTTTCCCCAGACACTCTGGGCGGCTTCCAACAGAACACTAAAATACAATAACCTATTAAACATTAAAAGCTTCCCTAAACAGGGCTGCCTTCAGATGTCTTCTCAAAGTTTGGTAGTTATTTTTCTCTTTGACATCTGGTGGGAGGGCATTCCACAGGGCAGGTGCCTCTGCCTGGTTCCCTGTAACTTGGCTTCTCGTAGCGAGGGAACCGCCAGAAGGCCCTCGGCGCTGGACCTTAGTTTCCGGGCAGAACGATGGAGGTGGAGACGCTTCAAGCTTCCTTCAAGCTCCCATGGGAAGCAGTGATGGCCACCAACTTGGATGGCTTTAAAAGGAGATGAGTCAAATGTCACAAAGGAGAAGGATATCAATGGCTACTAGCCACAGTAGCTATACTCTGCCTCCTGCCTCCACAGTTGGGAGGCAGCAATGCTTCTGAAGACCAGTTGCTGGAAATGATGGGAGAGGACTCTTGTGCTCTGGTCCTGCTTGCAGGTTTTGCCACAGGCATCTGGTTGGCTGCTGTGAGAACAAGATGCTGTTTACAAGCCTCCGTAGCTGTGATGCACAAAGCAGGGAGGCAGGCCTCTGTGCCAAAACCACCGTTGCTGTTCGTGGTGGGAGTTGAAGAGTCCTTTGTGCCACTTCAGTTCGTGTGAGAATGACTCAGTTGGCAGCTGTGTCTGCTCTTCAGCTGTCCTGAGGAAGGCTACCACTTAGTGCTTTGCATGCAGGAAGTCCCAGGTTTGATCTCTGGCGTCTCCAGAGATCCGGTGTGATGTAGTGGTTAAAGTCCTGGGAGACCAGAGCTCAGATCTCCACACTGGCCACGAAGCTCAGCGGGTAACCTTGGGTCAGTCACTGTCTCTCAGCCTAACTTACGTCACAGGGTTGTTGTGGGGATTAAATGAGGAGGGAGGGACCACGTACATCGCCTTGAGGTCTTTGGAGAAAAAGGTGCAATGCAATGCAATAAATTAATAAGATAGGAATGGGAAGGTCCCTTGCCTGAAATCCTGGAGGGCTGCTGCCAGTCAGTGTTGGTAGTACTGATCTAGATAGATCAGTGGTCTTGCTCAGTATAATTCAGCTTCCTACGATCCCTTTACAATTCAAAATGTGTCCAGGTTAATAATTAGTTGCTGACTGGGGTTATGCATGCATTTAGAATTAACTGTCAAATAAATGTGATCAAATTGCTGATGTGGATTTGCTGAAATGCCCTTTGTTCACAATGAAGGAATGATGGCACCTCAACATTTGAGGCCGAACCATGAATGCAGGGGTAGTTTTGCTTCATCCCAGGGCGCGAGCCGAGTGACTGTGGGAAAAGGGGGCCTCTGACAGTGATAACATAAGGAACACTTGGCACATTTGGAAAACACTAGGCTAAAAATAGCAGGAGAGAGCAAGGGGACAAGGAGCTTGAGGATTTGGAAGAATTTGTCTCTATTGCTAAATGCTCTGTTTTGACTTCGCTTTGGTGAGGCAGTTTTTAACTCCTTTCATGCTAGACTAATTATGGGATTTCTGGCAGGGAACACAGCCCTAATATAGGAGTGTCAGGCGGGGTGGGGTCCACATCTGAGTAGGAAATACTTTTCATTTTCCCAAGTTCTTTCAGTTTGAAAGCTCTTTTTGTTTCCTAACAATTTCTTTTCCTGCTGTTGATGTTCCTATCATAGATTATTCTGATGGATTTCTGGTTCTTGGCATGAATATCTGATTTGTAATATTTTCCAGACAACAAAAGAGCCCAGAAAAGATCTTTGCATGCGTATGTGTATACACACACACACACACACACACACACACACACACACACTACAGCCCTTCCTCTTCCCTTCAATATCATTTTGTACAGTGGTACCTCAGGTTACATACGCTTCAGGTTACATACACCTCAGGTTACAGACTCCGCTAACCCAGAAATAGTACCTCGGGTTAAGAACTTTGCTTCAGGATGAGAACAGAAATTGTGCTCCGGCAGTGCAATGGCAGCAGGAGGCCCCATTAGCTAAAGTGGTGCTTCAGGTTAAGAACAGTTTCAAGTTAAGAATGGACCTCCAGAACGAATTAAGTTCTTAACCCGAGGTACCACTGTATTTGCGGGAAGCTTGGGGGAGGGGCATGTAATTTTGCAGTGCAAACCCCAAGACCTGTGTTTTTTACCACCTCACGTGAGAATGGGCCAGCTTTGATTCCCACACTACAAAATGTGTATGTGCATGTGTGCACAGTTATTTGAACATGATTAATGCCAGTGAGTATTGCCACTCTTGATTTAAAGTAATAATAATGCTGCGGACTCTGGGTAAACTTATCTTTCGTAGCCTTACCTGTAGGGGGTGGCAGCTTTACTAATGCACCAGAGTGATGCTAGGACAGGGACATTGTGGGAAATGGAAAGGTGGCTAGACCCAGCTGCCTCACGCTGATTGGATTTAAGGGTTAGAAAAAAGTAACGAGAGGGGGGTTCGGGGCAGGCATTGGCAGATGCCCAAGAATGCTGACCCCTTTAAGCTTTGCATCTTGTATTTTACCCCAGAGAGGGAGAAGTTGCAGCCTTGCAGTCCGGCACTGACACTTTGCGATTCCATCATTGTGATGGGTAGAAATAGGGATGCAGGAGGTTAGTACGCATAGGAATTGGGGATTAAACGTTGACATTTTAGTCCTTCGTTATTGCTTGGAACTCAGGCACACACTAACGAATATTGAAAAGCCAGAAGTGTACAGGATCATTGCCCTTGAACTGAAGACATTCCGCTTTCGCATTTTGCTGTGTGTGAGAGAGTTTATCCTGGGAAATGCTGGCACAGGCAGGAATGCATTTTGCCCATCTGAGCTGAAGCAGACTAATGACATCTTTTGCAGTTTATAATGGATAAAACTTCCAAAATCCGCAATTGGGCAAGAAAACATTGCCCAACTGTTGATTTTGGTCCCCCCCCTGCCCCTTATGGGGCAACATGGCTACCTTTGCTTTTTATAGACTGAAAGTCAGTTCACACTTGATTTCTCTGTCCTTCATGATGCATTTGGTGATTGGCAGATGAATGCATAAGCTACCTTAATCGAAAAGCCTTGCTTAGAAGGTAACATGAAAGTTTCATTTCGTTTATGGTGTCTGAACTGTGATAGCCAATGGTATATTGGATTGCAATCGCAAGACTGGTGGGGGGGGGGCACTGATTCCAGGATGTGTTTTTTTCAGAGCAGGAGTGATTATATGACCTTTCAGAGCATCTTCTGGAATATCGGGATGATTTACAGACTTTCTGGGCCCTGGAAAATGAGTGAGGTGATATTGAGGCTTTCAAGTTTTACTGTTGTTTGTGAGATGAGCATAGAAGACATTGGGAGAATGGAGAAAATAGTAATCGGAGGCTGTACATTTATTTCCTTTTGTGCTACCAACTTAAATAGTAACAGTCTTTGCAAGATGGTTTGCATTTCCAATTAAAAGCTAAAGGTTACATTTGAAGCTCCATGTGTTTTTTCAAGTTGAACCTATGGCAGCCCAGAAGTAAGCACCGCTGTGTTTAAGATTGCAGTCTACTGACCCTAATAAATTGGATATTGTGCTATGTGCTGCTGTGCTTTAGGTGTGTATCTTGTTTGTGTGCATGCATCAACATATCAGCACATCTGCCTAATTTTTTTTGGACTCTCTTTAGCGGCCTGGCTGTGGGGGCTGGCATGATGAGCAGTTGGAAATTTACCACTACACCACAGGGATGGCTTGTTTACATATACAAGGCACCACTGGATGTTGTAAACCACAAGGAATTGACATGTATGTGTGTGAACCAGCAAAAAGGGTGGAAGTGCCCCCATTATCTTTGTCCCCCCCCCCCAGGTTCTTCACTGGCTGGGCATCTGAAGAGTGAAATAAGCCCCTCCCCAAATATCCCCCCCACTGCAGATTTCCACCAAGAGCTACTAGCCCCGTTTCAGATCCTGTCAGGTGTGACCCAAAACTGACACTCACCTGGTCGATTTCTCTTGCATGTAATTGGAATTTTCCTTTCTCCTGATCCTGGATGTTCAGATTTTTTTCACCCCAGAGTACAAAAAGAAACCAGTGAGCCTGGTTAGGGGGATGCTGTGTTTGCGTGTGAGAAAACTAAACAAAACTGGGGGGAAATCCATTGTCTCCCTTGATGTTTCCGGCCGCTGACCCTTATTGTTGCCATCTGCCCAATCCCTCCTGCTTCCCATCAGCAACCCTAGTGCGTGGGTGGGGGAGGAAAGGAGGCAGTAGCATTAACAAAATAAAAAAAAGCAAAAAAAGGAGGGTGGACAGTACAAGATATGCTGATAGAGGAGTTTCTGCTTGCAAAAGGAGAGTCAGATGAGGCTGGTGTAGCGCCTGTTGCCCACATGCCTTACTAATGAGCTTTCGGAGCATCTGGCCAGCTGTAGTTGGAGATCTAACCTGGTGGGTTCAGCAAGGCAGTTTGTTTTTTGTTTTGTTTTACATATGTATGTGAAAAGGGAAGGATGGGAGATGGAGCAGAGGAGGATGCCACAACAAACTTTTTGCTCATTGCTTGGCAGGTTCTTGCCCTCTCTTGTTGCATGTGTGTCTTGCCACCTGTTTACAGGTTTTTGTTTTTTTAATTGTTTGGCAGGGCCCTGTGGGGTCCTTGCCTCCATCACAAGCAAGCAGTGAGAAACGCGTGCCTCTGATTGTGTCCTGCTGCTGCGTGTGGGTGGTAAAAATAAATATCTTGCAAGTGTGGGTGTCCTGTAATTGCAGCAAAGATGGATGGGGTGTTTTCTTGAAGCTGCTGGGCTGTAGTGGGAGGGTGGGCTTTTTATAACTCCTTATCAGTGTACAGGGTGACTTTCTGTTTCCTATGTGGTTGTTCGTTTGTAAGCGGTAGTCCTTTGCTCTTGCTGAGCAAGGGGTGATTCAGTCCATAGTGAGAATTTTTAATTTATGTATTACATTAATTTATGTATTGCATCTTATATTTCAAGGTGGGTCCCCCGACTTTTATCCTTGCCATGACCCTGAACAAGGGATCCATCCTGTAATCTTTGCAGTGCACCCAATACCTAGATGGGATCTGATAGGAGGGGCTGCAACACACTTATTATTTGCTGGGTGCTGTCAGTACTAAGCTTAGATAGTACCTCTGGGAGCAGGTAAGAGCTGGCCTGCTCAACAGTGTAGAGTAATTTCAAATGTAGCACCATGCAAGAGCTGGTTCAAAAACTGTTCCGTTCTGGGCATAGCTATCAACTTTCAGATTTGAAAATAAGACATCAGCAGCCTCGAAAATAAGGGATCAGCAGCCTCACCTGCCCCGGGGACAGTCTACGGGATATCTAACAATCCGGGATAGCAGCGGGAAACGGCGCTGGAATAAGGGAATTTCCCGCAAAAAAAGGGAAGGTTGACAGCTGTGGTTTTGGGGTGGATCCAGGCAGAAAGGGACAAGTCTGTGTTCTCGTGCCAGTGCTTTCAATGCCACAGGGCAGTTGCTGGAGCAAGCGGCCGCAAAAAACCTCGATGTCCATGTGTGTCCACTTTGACACGGCCTGGATGCCTTGATTTGTATCACTCACTCTCTCTGAAAGGTGCTTGCGCTGCCCACAGAGCAGCAGCCAAAAGAGCAATGAGCCGCACTATGTCCAGTGATCCTGTGACTCTGTCACACTTTGGGTGTGCTCTAAACTGAAGGAACCGGAGATCGAGCAGCGCTAGACTCCCTTGCCTTAGAGGTTCTCAGGTTGCGCTAGGTAGGGCTTGGGGTGTTCTGCAGTAGTGGCTCTTCACTCCATCCTCACAGCTATTGGACAACACATATATTATTACCAGAGGATAAGTCATATTGGACTGTTCGTGGCAAAAATAAAGAAGAGACTTGTGACGTTTGAAAGGTGCAGGCAGGCAGACGGAGCCCGAGAAGGTGCTCACCCACAACCTTCTCAGGCTCTGTCTGTCTGTCTTTCTGCACCTTTGTCATCTGCAGGCCATTTGAGCTGGCGCAATGCATTGCCAGTTCAAATTGTCTGACAACCAGTATCGCGATCTGAACGCCATACCAGATTCAGACAATTATCAAGACATCGCCCCACCTAATTTACCTCACAAGGGTATTGTGCAAATAAATAGAGGGGAGGAGGGGAAAGATACCCAACTAGGCTGCCTTGAGCTTCTTAGGAGGAAATGCCGGACACAAATAAGTCTCCTGCCCCCTTGCTGGGATTTCACCACAGATTCACCACCGGAGTTGGCAAGTTGATCAAGCTCTCCAAAAAGCACTATGCAACTCTTTAGGTCAGAAAAGCGAGTGTTTGCTTGGCAGCCTCCCTCCGGGAGGGGACATATGGAATACAGTGAGCAAAACGCCCTCTCTCCTTGCCTGGTCTCTGTGGTGACATCTTTGTAAAAATGTCAGGAGGAGTTCAGAGGGATTTTCCTCTGCTTACTCTGGGGCTTCTTTTCAGCGAGTTGCTTTAATGCCTTGGATTTTTGCTGGGATTAGCGAGATGTATTTACCTCAGAAGGGGGAGGAAAGTGAGGGTATAAAAAAAGACAGATTCTCTTAAGTCGTAGATTGGAATCAAAGCTGGAGGAATGAAAGGAGCTTCTGTGTGGCCTGGAGCCTGTTTTTGAAGTGCTGAGCCTACAATAATACACTGCTGGCTGCTTTCTTTGCTTCCATCTTCTAATTCATTTTTTTCATTTGTTACATCCCACTTCTACCATGATGGAACAAAAGGGTGGTATACTTGGGGTTCCTAGATAAGCAGACTTAGACCTTCTTAGCTTCAGTGAGGTATCTACATCAGGTTCCTGTAACCAAGGGTTGAGGAGCCTTCTAGATGTTGTTGGATGCCAACAGCTATCAGTCCCAACCACCTTTTTCCCGCCAAAAGCCGGGCTTGAAGGCTGTGATCAAGCCTTGCTTGGATCAGCTGGGATCCTCCTTTGCAGCATGGCTTAAACTTAAGCTGCACAGCAAAGGAAGCTAAGGACCTGGTCTGCCAGGCTAAACAACATTTCACACCCAATATAAATGCACATGCATGAAGACCTAAGGCATCATGCAGTGCACAGACTGCTATTTCACACCCTGCAGGTGCTGAGGTCTAATTTGAACTGTTGATGACATATTGTAGAACAATTATTTTCCTGCTAGTATATCTTTAAGTGGAAGAGAAGTCAATCACTTATCTTCTATTAAATTAGTATTGGGCCACCTGTTGCAGAGCAGAAACATATAATTGTACATAACTACCACCACCCTAACCCTGCTAAATATAAATCTGAGTAGGTGGATCAGCAAGGATTACATCAGATTTTGCTAAACTCGCCCCTTTTTTTATTTCCAGGGATTTGATGGGGTGGTGCAGAGCTTCAAGTGAATGTTTCCAGGCCAGAAATGTATGAGGTGCCTTTCTTGTTTCTTATGCTGCCGCTTGTTTGTTTTTCATAGGCTACAGAAGCTTGGCCGTAGAGCTGTTTTCCACTGACTTGAACCCCGTGGTGCAGGAATTTTACCGTAAGTGTGGCAAGGCAAAGAAACATTGGAAGCTACTTTTTGTGGTCAATACTTTTGTTCATATAGCTTAATATTGTCTACACTGGATGGCAGAGGCTGTTCACAGTCTCTGAAAGAAAGTCGAAACACAGCTTAGCACGAACGTGGGGGCTCCTGGAGAGGAGATAGTGGCCGCTTTGCTCCCCTTTTGGTCCTGCTGCTGCTGTGAGCCAAGCCATGGCTTGGCTTAGCGTGTAGGCCGAAACCAGATTCATGGTTCGTCTTGTTCCCGATAAACCACAAGCTGCAACCAAAGTTTGTTGTGGGTTGGGGACAAATCACAAGCCTGGGTTCGGATGGCAGCCTAGGCCAAAGCAATGCTTAGCTCACAGCAGTGCAACAGATGCAGTATTGGAAGAAGGCTGAAGTTACTGTGATCTACTCTCCAGGAGTCTATGCTTCTGCACCAAGTCATGCCTTGGCTTGTGTGTAAACTGAACCAGAGGTCTTCCTTGCCCCTGCCCGGATATGCCAGAGCTTGAACCTGGGACTTTTTGCAAGCAGAACATGTGTTCTCTCACTGAGTTATGACCCTTCCGAAGAACTGGATGGTAAGGAAAGCCAGTAATCACCCGGATATTAACCAGGCCTGATCCTGCTTTGCTTCAGTGCCAAACGTTGTCAGGTGCCATCAAGCTACTCACTGGGACAGGAGCAGCCAATGTGGTGCCCTCCAGATGGACTTCAACCTCCCATCAGCCTCATCCAGAATTGCCCGTGGTCAGGAATAATTGGAGCTGTAGACCAGCACCATCTAGAAGGCACCACGCTGGCCAACCCCACCAGTGCTTGCAGGAACCAAACAGTTCCAAATTGCAACTTCATCAGGGCTCCTATGCATTTAATGGGCAATACATAAATGTTATAATAAAATGAGAGTTCCACCCCCCCCACACACTTTCTCCAAAACCCCAACCCTCTGATCCTTTTACGAGACACCCCTCTCTGTCACCTCACACCCAGCATGTCCAGCCAGTTGCAAGAAATTGTTGGCATGAACTAGATTACTGTTTTTGTATTTTCTCCCAGTAGTTGCTGTCTGTGTTGGCTGCTCACTTGCTGGCTCAGGTCCACAATCTCCCGTCCAGCAGCTTCTGAGTTTCAGCAGATTTTTCTCCACTTGGGAGGCAGATGGAAGGCGAGGTTCTTGGCTTCACACGGCGAGGCTTTTCCCTGGAAAGGCTACGTAAATGACAAGATGTTCCTTCTTAATCTGTGCTTGTGTGTGTTCCTTCTGCAGGTGCTGAGCTTTCCTGCATCATCACTTCCACCAAGACAGTCAATCCTAGGATTGAATGGAAGAAAATTGCGGGCAAGGACACAAGCTACGTGTATTTTGACCACAAGATGCAGGGTAGGAAATGTTTGCAGTGATTTTCTTCTGGAGGTTTCATTTGGACCCCGAGCAACTTTCTGTTCAGAGTTTCAAAAAAGCAGATGGGTGCCTAGAACTTTTTGCCATTTCCACTTAAGGCTTTGTGAGCTATGAGGGCTAACTAAGATTTCCAGGGGGCCAGATGTATCAGGGGACACCTTCCACCCTTCTTCCTTGCTTTTCTGTAGGAGACTGGGTGGACCGTGCAGAGCTCCATGGGAGGACATCACTGATCATCCACAATGTGACCCGTGCAGATAAAGGCATCTACCGGTGCGAGGTTGCGGCTCCTGAAGACACACATATTGGAGCTGAGATCAACATCAACCTGACAGTTCATGGTATAAGCCTAGATATCCTCACATTGTGCACGTACACAGGGATTGGATGCCTTTTGTTCAAATCACTTGGTGCTAGGAATGGCTTTGTTCCATCCTGTTTCATTCCCGTTGGCGCTCAGTCATAGACCTGCACATCCCGTTATGTGCAGATTTTTCAAAAGGCACAAAAAGCCTGCATTTAATTGTACACATTTTGTGAGCAATTTCCCCATAAACTGCAGCTTTTCCAGTGCTTTTCAATGCATTTCCCCTTAAGATGTGCAGCTTTTTTAAAAATGTAAAATATATTAGCTATAAATTCTTTGGAGAAGGAGAAATATATGAGTACATTAAAGTACCTTTTACCAGTCTCTCTAACTCACTGCTGTCTACTTTACGCAGAAGAGTCTTCCCAGTCTCAAGGGGAGGTTTCTCCCAGCCCTGTCACCTGAGAATCCTCTTAACCCGAAGTCCCAGGAGCTCAGCTGCAGAACTTCTGCTCTGTCGCTTTGTGATAAGGGCTGATTGATGCCCAATGGACAGTGAGACAGCAGTTGATGCCTGGCAAGCTTGCTATGTTGGTCCCCTATTCAGCCTTGACGTCTGCCTAGCTTCTGAGACCAGGAGCAGGGAGCCATTATTGTTGTTATTATTTAAAGCAGCTTGATCTTATAATGTGCTAAAAATCAACCAATCACCAATTTCCCAATCCTCTCAGATCATGCTTCTTGAGAGCCGGCTTGGTGTGATCTGTGGGGCTAATTACAGCGCAGAGTGAGGCCTGCAGCTGTGGCCTGTCTCTGCCTTGCTCTGTTGCTTCCCTGCTCTCTGGCTCACAAGACTGGGGGGCAAAACCACACCCAAGCATTGTGCATGTTTTTTGCAGTGTTCATTGGAGTGGTGCTCTTTGTGTTTATTTTGTAACCGACTTGGAGTGGTTTAGCTTCTACTCTATTCAGCATGAAGGGATGAATGAAACACATGTTGGGTGGGATGTGAATAGTGGCAAATGATTAACCAGTCTGACTTACCTAGTGGGCATCTCTTTCCCCAACAGTGAAACCAGTGGCCCCAAAGTGCCGAGTGCCCCAGTCAGTGCCCGTGGGTAAATCTGCTACTCTCCACTGCCAGGAAAAGGAAGGCTTCCCCGAACCAACTTACAAATGGTACCGTAATGGTGAAACTTTGCCTCTTGACTCCAAAGCCAGCTCCAAATTCCAGAATTCCTCCTTCACTGTGAACACAAAAACGGGCACGTTGGTAAGTCTCACGCGGAAGGCAGGCAGGCAGAGGAAGGGTGGATTGTCCTATCTTTTGGGCAGCATGTTGGATTGGATCAGGGTTAGCCAATGTTGGTGCCCTCCAGATGTTGTGAACCAAAAGTCCTGTCGGCCCTATCAAGCACGGTCAGTGGCCAAGGATTATGGGAGTTGTAGTTCAGCAACATCTGAAGGGGCACAGTTTAGCCACCCCTGAATTGGATGGTCTTCTGTTCACCCCTAACTATAATGCTATTAGCCTGTTCAGACATTCACTGAAATGGAAATTTTCAGTGAGGAGTGGGGACATACGGGCATCCCCCTGGACTTAACCGTCCAGGGGTCCTTCACCTTCACCTTTACCTTTACCTTTACCTATGATGCTCACAATGTCACAAGCTGATGTGCATAAATGTGTACCCAGACATACCTGATTTGCAGAATCTTTTTTTTTCTTGGAAAATGAGTTTCAGAGGGACTGTTTAATTAACTTATTTATTAAACTTAATAGTTGCTTCTCACCCCAAGGTCTCCAAGCGACAACCACCCACAATACCATAAGGGAAGGGAAGAATGGGGGGGGGGGTGGATTGTACAATACATCATCAATATATTGCCTACTGTTAACATTTATGAAAGAACACACCTACCATACAAACTACGCTCAGATAATAAACAAACAATGCTCTGACCCACTAATTAGCAGATAAAACAACTGTTTTGTTCCCCTTTTAACGTCCTGCTCCACCCAAAAGGCTGGTTTCAGGCCAGCTATTGCAAATCAGCTGTGGGTGGGTCCAGCATCCTCCTCCAGGGATACTCCAACTCCACTCCCTTCAGAGGAGAGCTGTAGCAAAGCAAAGCAGGAAGATGGTAGCAACTCATTTTCCTGCTTTGCAGTTGGTCTGGCTTAAGTTTTTGCTTGTTTAATGATGTCTGTGCTGGGTATGTGCACCTGCTTTCTCATATAAGGGATGGGAAGTTTGTACATTTATGACTGATGGTTCACGGTTGAAAACAGTCTGCTTCTCTATGCCTGGTGACAGAAACTTGAGGCCAAGCGGGGTTGTTGTTTTAACCAACCATCTGGCCTTGAACACTTAGATCTTTCCCCACAATATTTTTTTTAAAAATCACAAAAAATTGGGCAGCCAGCCATTTTAATAGCGCCCCTTCATGCATTTTAGAGGCACCTAAGTTTGTCCTATAAATCCAAAATACATTTTTACCAGGCACTTTATTGCATAACGTGTCATTTGAGCGTGCAAGGGAGCACAGAAGTTTCAAATCCAGAGGCAAATTAGTATCATTAATAAGAAATATGCTTATTCTTAAGAAACCAGCTCATTTCAAGCGCAAAACCTAAAATATATTATTTCTCGGTGGCTGCAAATTCATTTCTGACTGAATGATGGTATATGGTGTTGCCGCCCACCTTTTTGGGATGGTAGTTAAGAACTTTAGAAATAGCACAAATTGCTAGATTAACAGATGCTGGGGGGGGGGGAGATTATTTCTGTAGAGTTTTTTCCTTTTTCCAGAAATTTACCTTTTTAATGCGTACCAGAACGCATATTATAATGCTGCAAGACTGGGTGCTGTTATATTTTATGTAGAATACTCATTCAGAAATTAAAAAGAAAAGAAAATTTGTTTCTAAAAGAAAGCTCTTTGTACTAATGGCTTATTCTTACGGTTTAGGTCAGCCTTTCACAGACTGGTACCCTCCAGATGTTGTTGCACTCAGGCCCTTTCAGCTCTACCCAGCCTGGCCAAAGAACCATATAGGCACTCAAGTTGCTGCTTTGATGGCTGTCACTCAGAGCAGTGTTTCACTTTTGGAGTAGGGTCGTATCTCAGTGGTAGAGCATCTGTTTTGCATGTGGGAGGCACCAGGTTCAAGCCCTGGCATCTCCAGGTAGCGCTGTCTGAAACACTGGAGAGATGCTGCTGGTCAGTGTAGACAATACAGAGCTAAGTGGACTAGGGGCATGAATCAGTATAAGGCAACTTCCTGTGTTCCTAGTGGGAGCTGGTGATGCCAAGCTGGCCAAACCTTAGCAATAATGGCTGATATACAACTCATCACACTTGGGGTCTGGAGGGAACTGGCAGGGCATTGCCTTGGTGGCTCATAGTGAACCTTTATCTAGTCCAGTATTCTGCCTCAAACAATGAGGACTCCCTGCTCCAGCAGATGCTTTGTGAAAGCTCACAGACAGGATGGCAAAGACCACCTTTCCTCCTCTGTTATTTGTCCCCAGCATCCTGGTATTCCTAGGTAGACTGCCTCTGAGCCTGGAGGCTCCATTAGGCTATCATAATAGCTAAACGATAGTCCTTCCCTCCACTAGTTTGGCCAGTCCTTTTATTTGTAAGCCATCTATGATCAACCTATTACCTCATTTTGTGGCAGCGACTCCCATAAGTTAATTGTGCATCAAATAAAGGAGAGAAAGATTTCCTTAATGCTTGCCTGTTTCATTGCGTTACTCTTGAGTTTCAGTCACTAACAAGAGAGGAAAAAATGCCCTCCCTGCCGGCATTCATTTTCTCCATTTTACTAATTGATGCTATAACCCCACTAGCATTTGTAGCGGAGCACCTTTTTCCCAACGTCGCACACGAAGAGAGCGAAGGAGCTGCCAGCCTCTCTTTGATCTTTCCCTCCTTAAAATGTTCAGTAGTTCTTCCAAGTGCTAAATATAGATACAAAACGTAGGAGACACTTCTGTCCCTTCAGCAGGCACTCACGATGTCCTCTGCCAGCCTCAATTTACACTTTGGCAAGAGAGGGCTTCCTCAGCAGTTTTCTGCCAGGGGAGAACCAGTTGCTGGTTCGTTCCTGGACCACCGGCCTAGCACAGCACGGGGAATGCTTCCATTATTCATATCAAGTAGAGACAGTCAAAGTGCCAGGTCATTTCTGGGGCTCCCTGCATTCCATGGACCTAGCAGGCTGGGGGTATGTTCTGCATTCCCAGCAGATCGGCTTTTTATGCTCTCGCTCTCAGCCCCATCAATTTTTATAATGGTGAACTTGAGTGGCCACTGAGAAGCAGGAGGGAGGCATCACCAGCAAGGCTCTGTGGAACCCAGAGGTATCCAGAAATACAAAAACTGGGGAAAGCATTTGACTGATGACTAAGCATGGTCAGTAGCCCTGGAGTGTTCGCCTGTCAATTGGAAAAGAAAACCAGCTGTTGGAAATGGAATGGAATGCCTTGGAAAGGGGGTACAGCTCAATGTCTGGATCCCTGAAAATGAATGCTCCCATTAGGAGGAAGGGTACACACTGCCACTTTCTGTTTCGGGCCCCGCTTGTAGCTTCTAATTCTCTAGGTAGAGTTCAGAGCCAGTTTACACATTCAGGGGGGGAAAGGCATGTGGTGCAGACATCTGGGACCGTGCCATTTCAGAATGCAGATGGGGGGAGGGATATTATAGGTATTACTCTGTCATCCATAGGCATGCCTTGTGCTTTACAAAACACAAGAGGACAGCCCCTCCTGGTATATAATTCAGTGCAGTGGGGAGATGAGAGGAAGGAAATGGAGGCAAAGGAAATGGGAGGGGTATGCATTTATTTCATGCTCTTCATGTAGAAAATGTCCCTGTATGCAGAAAGCATGCTAGGCTTAAACCTTCCTCTCTCTTAAGCGCTGCTTTTTCTACACGCAGGGAGTTTTTTTGATGGAAGGAGCCTTCAAATATGTGACCTCCCCCCTCCAACCACCCCCACCCCATTCTGAAAGGGTACAGTCTCACAGAATGTACTGTACAAGAAACACACTGAGTGCTTGGGGAAAGCTTTCATAAATACCACCTATTACTGGGAATCACAACTTGTATTTGTGCAGGTCTTCAGCGAAGTGCAAAAAGGAGACACGGGCCGTTACACCTGTAGAGCGACGAATGCCGTGGGTGATGCCTGGTGCGAGGAGATGGAGATGGAAGTCTGTGAGTCTAGGAAGTGGGGCAGGGGTGTTTTTTTGCTGATGTTCAGGATGCATTCTTTCCCCCGCAAACAGGGAGGGGCTGGATGTTCATGGCTGTCTTTTCTCCTCCAGATGACCTTAACATTGCTGGGATTGTTGGAGGGGTCATGGTGGTCATTGCTGTCCTATTGCTGACTACGGTGGGAATCTGCTGCGCATACAGGAAGGGATTATTTGTGAACAACAAGCAAAATGGAAATAGGTAAGCCTAAGCAACTGATTCCTCATCTCACTGCTTTCCCCCCAGGTGATTTTCTCTCAGCAGAGGGAGCGAAAGACCATGTGATTAAAGCCAATCTGCATGCACACATGGGACTGGGTTGCATGTAAGGCCAACTGCTTTAAAGAGCAAATGCCTCAAATCTGGTGCAATGAACTGAGCGCTCATTACACAAGGTAAAAGAATTCTAACAAAGGGGCACTCTCAATGGCTGCAGGACAGTCAGCTCACATAGGCAGCTGCCTTCCGACAGAAGCACAAGCAATGGCCTACTCTCCCTACTTTGAATGGAGAGAAACATTAAAGGAAGCAGTCCTTGGTGATATTGCTACAGTGGTACCTCTGATTGTGAACAGGATCTGTTCCGGAGGCACGTTCGCAACATGAAAAGAGTGCAGCCCGCAGCGGCGTGTCTGCGCATGCACGGGTTGCGATTCACTGCTTCTGCGCATGCGCGTGACGTCATTTTGCATTTCTGCGCATGCGCAAGCAGTGAAACCCAGAAGTAACCCTTTCTGGTACTTCTGGGTCGCCACGGGACGTAACCAGAAAGAACGTAACATGAGGTATGACTGTACAGTGGTACCTCAGGTTAAGTACTTAATTCGTTCCGGAGGTCCGTTCTTAACCTGAAACTGTTCTTAACCTGAAGCACCACTTTAGCTAATTGGGCCTCCCGCTGCCGCCACGCCACCGGAGCACGATTTCTGTTCTCATCCTGAAGCAAAGTTCTTAACCCGAGATACTATTTCTGGGTTAGCGCAGTCTGTAACCTGAAGCGTATGTAACCTGAAGTGTATGTAACCCGAGGTACCACTGTATTTCAAAGTGTGGGAGGGATGACAAGTCAGTGGCAATGTGTGTGTTCTTCTGCATGCAGGAAGTCTCAGGTCCAGTTCAAAGAATCTCTAGTTTAAAAAGATCTGTTTGCCAGCTGATGGGAAAGGTCTCTTTCTATTTGAGAACCCTGGGGAGACACTGCCAGCCAGAGCTGGCAATACTAGGTTAGGTGGACAAGTTGTCTGACCTGTGATGAAGCATCTCCCTGTGAAGACAGTGCCAGCCTTGTTCTTTGGGTGGGTGTTCACATTCCCTCATCAAAAGAAATGGGGGTGATGGTGATTTTCGAAGCTGGGGGATAAGCTCTGACTGTAGCAGATTTGCCCATCCTGAGAGAACCAGGGCTTCTGGAATGCTGCAGGTCAGGATGGGAGCACACAAGTGAAATAAGGCAGGATGGAGATGCAGGGCCCATTCTCAACAGGGCCCCTGTGCCCTTTAATCTATGCCTGTGCAGTTTTGCATCATGGCTTCTGAACACAGGAGTTTTAACTTACTGGCACTGGGCAGAAACCTTGTGCTCAGACGCCTGACTTCATTTCTGTCATCTGGTGCTCAACTTTCCCGTTACTGCATCTGCTGGGTGACGTGAAATGAGGCAACTTTCCTGCGACCAGCTGCAGTAGTGAGTGAGCCCAAAGGGAGCAGATGGCTTAAAATTAGTCACAACAGGAAATGACACCCGAGGAAAAGGAAGACCCCGGGGCAGTGACCGGAGAAAGATAACGTTGTTCCCATCTTAATTTGTTAAAACTGACTCAGGCTTCCGAGCTGCCGGGGCTTAGGAGTTGGAGATCACCCTTGCTCTTAGAGCAGCCGTTGAAGTGCTCCAGCTTGGGTATATCTTCAGTTCGATGTTTCTGTTTAATCGCAGAGCATATACATAACACAAAGAGCAGGAAGTGTGTGTTATTTGGTTTTATATAATCAATACTAAGACAGAAACAAACCCTTCTAAACTCTCGAAAAAGTTGCTTTCCCCAGCTGTTCTCCCATGATGCAGCAGGTCTGCTGAGCGTGAGGTACAAATGAGCCCACTGTGCAGAGCACACAGCTCAGCAGGGCTGTTCTTGGGTCAGGGAGCATTTTCTCCTAGCCAAATGCCAAGCTACCAAACCACCAAGTTCTGCCTGAAAGGCGGGTTAGTGCCCACAGCTTTCTTTCTCCTTCCCGTCCCTCCCAACTTCACTCCTGTCGGCATTTTGTCTTGCCTTCTCCTTGGACTCCTTTAGTATTGCTCCAAATGGGCATTCTCAGAATTCATGTCTGCTTATTTCAGTGCAATGGAAAGAAACTTTGGCCCTTTCGATTTGCCATTATGGGGAAACCTTTTTGGACCTCCTGGCTTTTAAGAGTTCAAGCTGCAGGTACAGAGCACGGTGCGTCCTTTCTGAGCCCCAGACCAGCCTATGCATTTTACCCTGCAGTTTTGTAATGTTCCCTGCGATCTCTTCTAAATAAATACATAGGTAAAATCATGTGAGGGAGCACACACACAGTCCTCCCAGCAACAGATGCTTGAAAACCAGTGATCTAACTAAGAGCCTTCTTTCCGCGCCGCGAGTAAATTGTGTATTCCTTGTTTCCAGCTACAAGACTCCAGCGAAGCCAGACGGTGTGAACTACATCCGCACAAATGAAGAGGTAAGAAGGTCCCCCGGGGCCCAAAGTCAATAGATAAATTTGAAATAGGTTAGATCTCAGGGCGATGCATTCACTGCGGCGTTTGAGATGAGCCAGGGGAGGCAGCTCCAAATAGTGGATAGACGTTGGTGCTGACTTTGGACGTTGAAGCTTCTTGGTTCAATGCTGCTTTTATATATATTTAAAAGGCACCCTCTCCCATAATGCTCATTTAATAATTAGGGCAGAGTTCCAGGGCTATGTGCCCTCTGGATAAACAAATTCTATGTTTCTATGAATTCAACTGCTGGACTGGGAAAAGATGGGTTCTGTGACCTGTGTAAATTAAGAAAAATTGACCTGATTTGCATATTTGTTTCTTATTTATAAATTATGTGTTTAATTCCCCCCAGCCCAGTTTTGCTTGAAGTTTTCAGCCTTTGCTAGTAGTGGGTGAGAGAAGGCAATGAGCTGCTTTCCTCCAGAGTTGTATAGATTAAATAATTATATCCCAAATTATTTTATTTGCACAAGGTGTACAGGTTCATTGCATGCAACTTTGGGCTTTTTAAGTGCAGAATAGATGTGAATCCGGGCTTCCCTTCGAAGTGCAATTATTTAGCTTCACAAGGCAGAACAAAGCACCTTGAAAGTTAAATGGAGGAAGCCAGGTCTCTGCCCCAAGCAGCTTTCAACGGTAGGGGAGCCGACAACAGAAAGGGAGGAATGAGTAAAGGGAGGCAAGAAAGGGAGGAATGTGAGCGAGTGCCGTTAGCAAGCACCCTTCCTGCCCATGCGCGGCTTGATCTGCTTGCCACTTTCCCATCCTGTCTGACCTTCTCAGGCCGGTGAGAGAAACAAAATATCTACCCTGCAGCAGAAACACGCAGGTGGCTGCTTTAAGGAGCCCTGGGGTCATTCAGAACCACAAGCTAAAGGGTGAGCTGCAGCCGCCTTTGTATGACTCCACCTATAGGAAGAGGCCAGGGAAGTCTCAGGAGATTGTGTTGGTTGGAGCACTACATGTGGCAGGTGTGAGTGGGAGGCCGAGGAGGAGGAAGAACAGAGTGCTGCTTTCTTGACTCCATCGCCTCCATTCTGAAGCCACACGGACCGAAGGGATGTGTGGAAAACCCAGAACCCCTCGTAAGTCTTAAGTGTAGGATACAAAAATGGCCTATAATGACTCCGTTTCATAGAATGACTTTGCTTTAATTTAGGCTGGGGCAAGCAGTTGCAGGAGGTGTACCCTATAGAACTTCTATACCCCCCCCACCTGAAAACCTTTCTTGTTTCTCCATTCCAGGGTGACTTCAGGCACAAGTCGTCATTTGTGATATGAAATGGCAGAAGAAATCTGGATTTTGCCCATCAGCAAGAATGGAATATGGATAGATCCTCCTTCTGGAACTCTTTATGAAAGAGCAGATAACAAACGGCGTGTGCATGGATGCGCTTTAGAGGAAAACTGAACAAATCACCCATGCACACAAACACACACACACGTGTGCATACCTGATTTTTATTTTTTGGCCAAAGTCAAGCGATGATTTCTTTCTTTCTTTTTAAAAATAACCAAACCAATCTCTTCTTCCCTGGAAAGTGCCATGTAGATCAGCACAGTCCAGACCCTGTGGACAAGGAGAGGACCTTTGGCAGGAGAAAAAACGATTCCCTAAAAGTATCCATGGGACCACGTTCCTCCATCATTCCTCCATGCCACTGGAGGCTGTGGAGCTGCCTCCTGCCAGCGTTTTACAGATTGCCAGGCTACCAGCACTTAAAAGGGGAAATCTTAGAAATGGGCTTACACTACTTCCTTTTCCATTTCTTCTCTCTCTCGTTTTTAATTCTCAGAAGTGTTAACAATGGCAGTAGAACGAAATTCTGCCTAGAGAGATCAGAAAGGCCCTACTGGCCAGCTAAGCATCTGGTGACCTGATGCTTTGAGTTGGAATCCTGCACTCTCACAGCAGCTGCGTTGAAAAGCACAGAAGCAGTGTGTGCTTTCGTTTTCCTAAAGTGCAAATAACGGAAACAGCAGACACTTCCAGAGCCCCCCAGAAACTATGTTGCTGCCAGCCAATTGCTGTAATTCTTGCCAACGGTGTCCGCTTATTAAACATGCACACAAGGCACCAATCAACACATGGAGATGGCAGGAATTCCAGGATGGTGCCATAGGATGCAGTTCCCATGACAACACACACTGCACAAATAGGATGCCATGAGCCTTCTGCCATCAAAGCATCCTAGGGCTTAGGAGGCTACCATAGTCTTTATTGATGTCTTTTGTGCACCATGCCCTTTCACAAAAGTACTCTAAGCGTGGGGGCGGCACCCTCTCACGAGTCTAGATATATACAAGCCACATTCCTTGCTGAGGCTTATATGCTCTTGACACTCTGCTGTGATTTTCTTCTGAGTCAGTTGCAATCCTCCATTGTGTCTAGGAACAGTGAGGAAGTAAGTGGGACAGCAATTCCCTTCTCCCCACTGAGTGTTCGTTAAGGTATGACAAAGTATTTCATTGTCATAACTTTTTGCTGGCGGAGAAGGCAGATTAAGAGGGTGGGATTTGGTCTAGGATAGCCATTCCTCTGATCCTACACTGTCTCTGGCTCACGCCTCCCCACCTTGTAGTTGACAGTTGTCATGCCATCACCACACTTCACTATAACAGCTTAATTTGGGCTTAGGTGATGGACATCAGATTGTAGTTCTGGCAGTTAACCTCTGTATCAGCAATGACAGAACTAAGTGAATGATTCTCACATTGAAAAATAGCATGCCGTCGGGAAGGTTAGGCGAAAATCCTTCTTGCTGACATTCTAGTTTTCTCTGTGTGGGGTGTTTTATTCTGTATAGTGGAGCATCTGGTCATGTGAGCCACCCCTACCTGTATTAGGAAGTGGTACCACATAGGTGAACCACCTCGCCTTGGAGTTATCCAGGTGTTAAGGGTTTTCTTGGTGATGCTGCCTTCAGCCAGCCAGTGTAACTTGTGGATTCAATTATCACGTTGTTAGAAAGACTGGGATTTGGAGGGTGGTGCTGGCAAAAAATATATATATTTGTGTGTTTGTGTGAATCTGCTTTAACTGCTTGGGAGGATTCTTTGGTCATTCCATCTTTTTTATTATTCAGTAGGCTGATCAGACGGTGCATGGTCAGCTCAGCCTTGTCAGTTTCCAGTGCCACAAGTTGGTTGTGTCATCCTGCTCCTCCACCGCCACCCCCCGTTTGGCGTCTCCAAATTGAGGTTTTGCCCACAGCGAAATTCCCAAGAAACCCACATGAAGCAGGATAGAGTGGGACAGAGAACCTTTGCCGAATTTTCCATTCAATGTCTCCGCAATGTTTCAGCCATGTTCAGGCCAGCGTGAGAACATTTCTTCCTCATTTTACATCAAAACGCCCCCTGTGCGCATACAGCACCTAATTCCGCTAATCTGCATTGAGCAATCTTGCCTGTTGTGCACCCCTTTCCATGCCAGTCAAAGCAAACAGGTGCTTCCCTGGACAGGTAAGCGCAAAAGCCAAACCTTCTGTGCAGCAGGGCTGAAATTCCAACATGGTACCAAGACTGACGGCAAAGCTTTTCTACCGTTCCTCCTTTTGTAGAATTCCGCATTCTAAAGTTTTTGCAAAGATATATTTTGATTACTTAAAAAAAAAAGTGGTTAATGTTTCTATTTAAAATGTAAATAGGTTGGTAGGCCAAACAGTGTTTAAGTAATAATGTAGCTTTTTTGAAAAAAGCTTCTTAGGTTTTGTTTAATGACAGGTGGGAGATCCTGTGCTGATTCAAACCATATCAGTATTGTTAACAGAGCACAGAAAACTGTAGAAGACAAGGAAAGTGGGCAGCTTGTTCTCTTCCTGTTTCCCTTTATTTGGGGTTGGGGGTGGTTGGGGAATAAGACATCTTGTAATCTGCAGGAATAATTGCTTTTATCTCTCAGTATTTCTGCTCTTCCTGCAGCAACAAAATGGACCAGGATGGAAGGAACTGTACAATTAGTTGCAGGAAGGGAAGTGTTTTATCAGATGGCAGCCTTCTGATGCGTCACGCCGAACGGACAGGTTTGTGGTAGAATGTGGCGTTAGAAGGAAAAGCCCCAAATGTGGGCAAGACCTTTGGCACACCCAGGGCAGCTGTAACCCTTTGGATGTTCCCATTGAATCCTGGACAGACGTAAAAGCAAAAGAAGAGGAGGAGTTGCCAAATGAATCTTGTTAAGTTTTAAGAAGGCTAAAGCCGCCTCCCTCTTAATCTCATGTGATTCATTCAGTTTCAACTCGAAAAAACTTGGGTCACAAATTAGAAAAGGAGGTTGATTGAGAAAGTACACAGGGTCCCCCCCTTTTTTTAGTAGTAATGATGGGGGCTGCCAATACATCTAGCTATAAACTGATAATTCCGAGTTTCTTGCCATGTTTTATTCCGCCGTCTGGAAGGGTGCTGTGGGGCCAGTCATTGTGCTGCAAGAACAATTTCCTGCCGTGGGATGGGGGTGGGGAAGAGGGGCAAGCGTGTGTTTCTTCTTTTTTAAAAAAGCATAGCGTACTTTTGCAGCAATGGTGTTTTTCAACTACCAATTTTATGGTCTTAACTTTGGATGCAGACAGTATTTTATATTATTATTGCATTTTTTGATTTTTTTTGGACTGTTTTGTGTTTCCTTTGTTCATGGTCTGTATTAATCTGCCTTGGAATATCCAAAACAGCGAGTGGATTTTTCTTTTTTTTTCTCTTGGAGTGTGTGTGTGTTTAAAGAGAGTTTGGAGATGTCATTGATGTGTTTCGTTTCTTTGCAGGGGCCCAGATCCCTCCCCTCTCTTTTCCAGCTAAGGTGGCAACAATAAAGGGGAAGCTGTACCAGGGCATTTCACTGCCGCTATCTTGTTTTGATTTAACCATGGCTACCTCTAAGAGGCATTCAACCAAAGCATAATTTTCTTCCACTGCCGAAATGCTTCCCCCCTCTAAACCTCAGTGATAGAATAGGGTTGCCTTCAGAATCAAAACAGCTCTCCTTTCCACTTTTGTTTGTTCATTGTGCTGCTTGGCAGAGAGCAGAGCAAAGGCTTGCAGTATTATAATTTATTAGAAGGAATTGAAATGAAGGGCTAGCAGCACCACCCACCTTTGAGACATGTCTGCACGACTCAAGCCCATCTGGGATTAGCAGTCATGATTTGCAGGCTGGGAAAATGGTAGTTCTGCAAGAGGGATAAGGTCTTAGCACAGGGATGGGGAGCCAGTCGGGTCCTCCTGATTCTGTTGGATTCTAGCTCCTTTTAGCTCCAGCCAACATGGCAAAGAGTCAAGGATGATGGGATTTGGAGTCCCAACAGCATCTGGAGGACTACAGTTTCTCTCCAGCCCCAAGCAGAAATATAGTCCATCCCCTTTGCAAAGCTGCCACTGTAGGATATTGGGTAGCTGGTGCCTAGGTATAAGGGGAACATGGAGGTTTGGTTCTCAGTAGGCTTGGGAGCAGGGAGAGGACTCTGTTAAACAGCAAGCTGGGGGATTCAGTGTGTGCTATCAGGGCACCTGGCTAAGGCTGAATTGGTCTTGGGTTCAGTTCTTTCAGCGCTGCCACTTTGCACACAAAGTTGCAGAATTTTGGATGGTGCAGTTATAAGAATGCAGTTGGAGAAACCATTTTTGAATGGTCCTCTGTGGCTTAAAAAAAACAACAAGCCACCACCACTAGAGATAACAAAGTCTCAATTAAGGAGGAAAACAATGCAGTTTGGTATACGGAGTTAACTTTTCACTTAGGAAAGTGGTTTTTTCCTTTTAAATAAGTGAATGAATTTTTCACTTATACTCTGAAATGCTACTGTCCATCCTACCACCTCTCAGGACCATACTGTCCCATTCTGCAGCAGGTGACCATGCAGCCCCGTATCATGCAAAAGGAGGGGGTAGAGTGGGGGAGCATACCACTTCAACCTGCAGGTGGTGAGGGGGTCATTTTTTGAATGCTCTACACACCAAGCATGCAATAATTTAGCACTTAAGGAAGAAACTGTTCATACGGTCATTTCCTCGAGATGCTTCCTTTATAAGCATGCACTGTGTTTTAGATGGAAGACTGTTTAAAAATGTGACCCTGCTAGCTGCAGTCTAAAGTGGCACAAGCCTGCCTTTTTACCACCATAATCTGCTCTTATATAGGAGTTGGCTGTGGTTGTTGCCTTCAATGAAGTGTTCTTCCAAAAGGTGAAAAGGGAGAAAGACCTAGATAGGAGGGAACGATTATTCATCTCCTTTTTATTTATACCATGGGAGTATCTTAGATTGAAGTCATATCAGTAGATCCAGTTTTGTCACATAGATGGGTGCTTGAAAGGCTGATTCCTCATTTTACTTGGATACTCCACCCCCGAAGAACATGACTATTCTGGGTTCAGAAATGTACCAGTGGCATCTCTTCCCAGGTCAGGGGTGTCCGCCCTTGAAATAGCTTCACAGAATTCATTGTAAATATTTGACAAGTTTGTACTAATGTGTTGCATTTAACTTTGCCAAGAATGTTTTACATAAATATAAAAAGAAAAGGTGTGTGGAGTAGTCTTTTGTTGTGGTTTGGGAAGTGAGGTGGGATGAGTTCTCTGCAAATAAAGGGTGGTGGACACATGGAGGTGCTTTTGGAGGGGTGGGAGATGGTTTGACGCTGAAGCCACCCAGGGGTTGTGTGAACTTGTTCAGCAGGTTCCTGTGTAGAATTAAATATTACCTAGCATTTGGGTGAAATCTGTACAAGACAAATGTTAGAGGAGTCTCACTAGGTTACTGAAACCAACTTAGCACAGCAACTCTCCCAGAAGGACAACTGACCTTTCTTTGTGACAGTGTTCCCTTGGGGAGGAGGATAACTTCACTGGACTGCAGCAATGATGGATTGCTTGTACGTATGAAGTCAGCACCACAGACACAGCTTTGGGCATTTGGGCATTTCACCCAAATGCAGACAGCCTGAGAGCAGCTTGGCTGCAAAGATGGGGTTACATGATGAAACACAAGGTTATATATACTGTCACTGTTTAAAACCTCAGCGCCACATGTCTTCTGTGGGTAGGACAGAGGTATATAAATGCTTTAAATAAACAAATGGACATTTAAAAAAATATGCCAGAAAGCACACCACAGTTGAATTAGCATTTGTGTGTTCAAGGAACAATCTGCAGTCCATACAGATGCGAGTCAGATTTTTTTAAAAAAGGTTTGTGACCCATAGTTCCGCCTTCTCTCTATCACCCAATAGCATTTCTCTATCTTCTCCATGCAGAGGGCCTACCACTTGCTTGTTCTTCCTCTTGCTTTGAACATAGCTGAACAAATCTTTATTATTAGCTTTGGCCTGCCAGGCCTTTGCCCTGCAACTGTTAGCTACTTGTGTATATTCTCCCTTTGTGATTTCCCCTTTCTTCCATTTCTGATACATAAATTAGCCTCTCAAGCAATTATGGAATCTAGCTGCTAGCACAACAGAAGGCTGAGGCAAAGCTGTTGCAGCAGGTGGAATGGAAGGCAGAGAAGCTCCTCCCACACCAAGAGGGTCCAAGTCATTAGCCTAATCCTACATATAAAGCAATGCAGGGGCACAATGCACAGCTGGAAGCCTCCACTACTGAAGGAGCATTTCTGATGCTGGATGGGTGGTTAGTATAATTTCTCTGTATTGATAGTGCTTTTCCCTAATTCACACAAGATCCAAAATAATTCCAGAATAAACTATGCAAAAGTTGCACAAAACTACACAGGTTAAATAATCCAGTTCCCCCTCTAAGCAGACAATTCCAAACAATTTCATACAGGACCGCTTTTACCAATAGGTCCTTTATGCCAGGTTTCTTGAGCAGCTGACTGGCCCCTATGAGTTAGAGCCAATGCTGAACTAGACTAACCATTAGTCTAACCTTAAAAGACCCTTTTATTTTTAGAAAGTCATGCAGTCAACCCATCTGGGAATTTAAACATAGTCCTGCCCTTTTACATTTGACCCTCATAACAGTCATGTTTTCAGACCCCTCTTTTATAAGAACTATTTCTAGGTAAAATGCTCACAACTTTGAGAGCCTCTTGATCAAGATCGTCTTCAGATATTACACTATTTACCTATGCAGGAAACAAATGCATTAGAGAAGGCAGCAAGCGAAAGGCTCAAACAAGTTACACACACACACACAATCTGCAAATATGTTTTCAATCAAATCAAATGTAAGCTTAGCTCTTATTTATTGTGCATACAATCATAACCAAGCCTAAGTTAAGAACTTGGCTGGAAACCAAGAAATAATCTATTAAGATAAGAACAGGAAGGTTGTATATACACAAAGTTATTCACATGCTGCGATTATTTGAATAAAGCTCTCTCACCAAGTTTCTTCTCCGGGAATGGCTTCGGCACAAGTCTTCAAAGCCCTGTAGGTCAAATTTGGAAATGAAGCACCTAGTTTTGCTCAAATCCCAGAAGGCTGTGGCCCTTGGTCCTTTCTCCTTGCACCCTTTGCTGGCTAGGGCTCCAAGTTCTAAACAGAGGACAACACAGATTCTCCTGACTTCTTGACATTTGGACTTTCAAGAGAGCAGAAGGAGCTCAGCGGAGAAGGAGTGCTCATGTATAGAAACTTCCTGTGGCTCTTTGGCTTTTTCGTGGGGTGCATGGAGGGGAAGGATTCTGTAATAAGGGATGTCCAACTGCAGCATGACACTGTTCACATGCATTCTTTCCATGGAAATAATTGCAAAGGCTTTCCCTACAGTAGATGATCTGATCTGGACAAAGCATTTGTCCATGGAAGCCAAGCCTCTTTCCCATTTGACTAAACACTGGTATTACTCAAAAGGTGCGTGTCCAGAAAGTAAAATGAGATAAAAGCTGTGAAGGTAAATGTTTGAAGAAAGGTTTTTTGTGAGACAGTACATGTTGGTTCCTTGGCAGGAGCAACTCAGATGTGCAGCCCCACTGACCTGGATTCAACTGCCTCAATGACTTTTTAAAATTATTCCAGTACATGTATATACAAGCTCAAATATATACAGAGTGTGCCCCAACCAGTGCAGTGATGAATTACTAATATTAACAGTATCAAAATAGACATTTATCATACAGCAATTACAAAAGCAAGCCGTGATCTTCAAATAGTCTCTTCAAGCCATTGCAGAGAGGACGTAAAACATGATCATGCTTCTTTACAAGCTGGGGCTATAGAAGGCAAGGGCCATCATTTGCTTGACAGCCTGGGAGTCTTGCGGCTGGACCTCCTCAGCCCTACACTTGAGGGGTTGCTTCTCATTGGAGAGTTTATCTTCCATTGCTGAGGCTGCGGCAGCCTACAAGTTGAGATGGAAAATAGTTTTGAAAAATAGGTTAAGTAAACTAGTGTTTAGAGCAGGGATGGGCAATCTGTGGCCCTCTGCATGTCATCAGACTCCAGCTCCCATTAACGCCAGACTACATGGACAGAGGATGATGGGAGCTGTAGTTTAATTAACATCTCAAAGTACACAGGCTATCCATTCCTGGCTTAGTCATTCTGCACTACAACAAGCAACACAAGTTTAGCATGCAGCCAAAATCTGCACAAAACGGGGGTCTCGCCAAACAATGGGGAATCTGCTTTAGTTCAACGAGGAAAGCAAGGATTGCATCCATTGTTGGTCCTACCCAGAGCAGACCAATTGAAATGAGTGGGCATGACGAGTGCTATTTTTCTAGAAAATCGCTTGAATGCTGCTCATGTAAACAAAATCCCTACTCGCTGAAAACTAGAATGAGAGAGAGAAGGCTGGCCTGGAATACTTCTTCCTAACTTACTACAGTGGTACCTCGGGTTAAGTACTTAATTCGTTCCAGAGGTCCGTTCTTAATCTGAAACTGTTCTTAACCTGAAGCACCACTTTAGCTAATGGGGCCTCCTGCTCCCGCTGCACCGCCGGAGCACGATTTCTGTTCTTATCCTGAAGCAAAGTTCTTAACCTGAAGCACTATTTCTGGGTTAGCGGAGTCAGTAACCTGAAGCGTATGTAACCTGAGGTACCACTATTTGACGGATGGAGAGGGTTTTGCTCTGAAATATGGCATGTAGTAGTTACTTATTTCCAAGACTTTTGTGTACAGAGTTATTTTTAAAAAGAGAGTTATGGGAAGCACTCTTGACATCTGTCTCCCAACTGCAGTTTACAGTGATATTTTCCACCAGCAAGCTTTGAAACAAAGGTCATTTGGGTGGCTTTCCGATGAACAGCACATTGACATCTTCTCTATTCAATAACTCTTTGCTGGCTGCACCACAAGACACACTGTATCACTGTCATTTTGCAAAGAGGGCAGTTACCGCTGGTTTCTGCCAGGGAGAAACAGCACTGGTGCCTGGGAATGAATTCTGTCTGTGATCTCCACTGCAAGGAGCACAAGTGTTGGTTGGAGTGCAGAACTAGAACTGGGGGAGACCAGCTTCGAATCCCCGCTCAAATGCAAAGTTCAATGGGTGACCTTGGGGCTGTTGCACTCACTCTATCAGACTAATACATAAAACGGCAGGAGGGTGTGTGTGAACTATGTGTGTCACCCTGAGCTCTGTGGAAGAAGAGTCAATAAAAACATGCAGAACTACTGTTTGGCACAAGCTGATTTTGGGATTGCAGAGCTGCCCCATCCAAGGCATCTAGTATACTCACGGCGAATCTGGTAAAGGCAAGCAGATAATCTGACTTGGTGGCTCCTGGGCTCCTTGATCTCCTGCAAGTGGAATGGCAGAAATATTAATATGCCTTGGGTTTGTTTTTTTCTTTCTTTCTGTCTGTGTTTCGTTTCTTTCTATCTAACCACAATAATGCACAGCAGCCACTTACCTGCATCTGAAGCTGGCGTTTGGGTTTGGTGGATATAACTGACTCCTGACCCAAAGGTCACGTTGTTAATAGTCTCTGGGGAAAAAACACCACAAAGTTTAGCACAAGCTCACCTGGACACTTAAGAACTGAAAGGAGTGTTGCGAGAAGGGGGAGTGGCCAATACTAAACCCCTCCCTAGCAGCCAGACCTCCTCAGATTGCTATAACAAAGATGGGGGAATCAACCAGGTATGCAAACACCTAATTGCTCAGGGTAAGGGAAGGAAACAGTTTGAAATATGGAAAATTCACCTCCTCTCCTTTAACTTCCATTTTTCAGGCTCCTGATATGCCATTCATGGCTTCATGGAGATTTGTGTGTGTAAGCAGGCTAATAAAATGTTTGGGTAAGTCAGTAGGTAGGTTTTGGGGAGGAACCATATTCGCATGCTTTGCCTGCACAATATCCCGGATTCAAGCCCTGGTTGATAGCCGCAAGAGACTCTGGAGAGATGCTGCCCATCTGTGTAGCCAGTTCTGATTAGATGAATCAGTGGAATGACTGCACACCAAACTGCGTGCAGAAGCAGCTCTTTAGTTTCTAGAGAACCCAGAAGCAGGTTCAGAATAGTGGCACACAACAGGAGAGGGAGGATGGGAGTCTTGTAGCTGCTCATACATGTAACACCAATCTATGGCTTGGCATTATGTCCTAAGGGACTAAGTATCCTGGCTCACAAATAAACCTATGGTTTGTTTAGCCTAACTATGGCTTGCTGTTCTCCCAAAAGTAAAAACACTTGTTTAACCATGGCTTGCTTGCATACTCCACCCAAGGTACTCACCACCCCAAAGAGGCACAAGAGCAAACTGTGGCTTGTTTGTTCAAGTCATGATTTGTTGAAGAAACAGTGGGTTGGCACACACAGTGAGTTTTTGTTCAGGTTTCTCTCTGTGTCTGTTGATTGTTTTTTGGACCATATAGTTTCCTTCTCATTTTAGGACCGGGGGACCCAGAGCCAGTGGGGCGATGACAGCTCAATCCTGGCCAGCTCAGGCAGTACTAATGTGACACACAGCTTGTGTCACTGCTAGGAAGCAAAGCTGGAATTTTAAGCCTTGGCCCCCAATGGGATTAACAGTCCCCTCCCTCCCACTCTCCCCAGCATATGTTGCTTAAATGGAGCATCAGTGCCAGCCCCCAGGCAGAAAGGAAGGCATGGTTTTCACGGCTGTGGCATCCCAAGACTTTGCGCAAAGCTGACGTCGGGAAGTTAAGGACATCTGGTGTTAATGTTGAGTCTATCAACTCAGCCAAGTCGGGGAGAGGATGGCACAGAGGGTCAGATGTCTGCAGTCAGCTTGCTGTGAATATCACAGCATGGCTTTGAAAAAGAGACACTCTCCTGGTCACCTAAGGTCTCAGGGCACGGTCTTTCCCTGGCCTGTTGTAGATCACTTTTAGACTGAAGATAGCAGCAGCTATCACAGAGCATTGGAGCCCTTCCAGAATAAAGGCACAGGCTCCTGTAGGCTTCATGAGGATTTGGTTTCACAGAGTGCTGCCTTTATTCCCCCACCCCTTTTTTGGGGGGGGGGTACACATGCAAACGCGAATGCCCACCAGTTTAGGACAACTTGTAGCAACACACACAAACTTTATGACCCACTGCTTAAGGTACAGTCAGAAAAGTGTTCATTCCACAATCCTGTGTATGTGAATAAAAAATTGGGTCTCTGGGCACAGCATCCAGCATCCTGTGGTTCATCTTTTCTTTCAAAAGGTAAATTTCAAGCCTTAAGTAAATGTGAAATCTTGCAAATCAGAATGGCGCCCATTAGCATTGCAAGTGGTCAGGGACATGACTTAGTGCCCTGCATGGCTCCTTCTTCTGCCATGATTAGGAAGATCAGGGTACAAAATACAGGTAATGCAAAAATAAATGTAAACTTGCAGCTTCCTTTCCTTCCAGCCAAAACCTGCAGACTGACTGTCACTAGGGACAGGCAACCCACAAAATTGCCTGAACTACCCTTTGCTGTCTCATCTGCCCAGTATGATTTGGGAAGAAGGGGATTCAGGAAGAGTTGTCAACATGTGAACACACATTTATCAGCTAATGTCCTTTAGGAAGATGGAATACAATTTTGAAGTGGAGCCTGAAGCCAAAACACTGTGCTGGGGAAGGTACCAATGAGTGCAGGTCTAATGCTGGGTTGATCTACCAAGAAATGGTCATGAGGATTAGTGCTGAGATACTTGAACAGAAAAACATATATGCACATCAGGATTTCAGACCACTGAGAAAGAAAGACCATATACTAGGAATGGAGAAATCTGTCCCTTCAGATGCTGCTGGACTACAACTCCCATCATGCCACCACTGGCCAAGCCTGATGGGAGTTGGAGTCTACAGATGAAAAGAATGGTGTTCATTCACCATGAGCTGTTACTGGTGGACGCATCGTAGGAAGGGATTCATGACTCTCTTAAAGTAGCTATTTGGCTGCCTGGTTGGACTCTTTGTTGTTATGAACTGTGTGCACTGAATTTGTAATACTCTGCCATTTTCTACCGTTGCACTTGCCAGGTTTGGTTTCTTTTCTTTGCAAGGTTGCAGTGGAATGCAATTTTCCTTTTGCGTTTTCTTTATGCTTGACCAGAAATGGCAGGGCTAGGGGACTAGGAGACCCCCGAAGCCAGCCCTGCCACATTCCCCTCAAAGTAGGGCTGCTTCCACACACCCCTCCATAACAGACCACCTCTTCAGAAACTTACGCTCAGGGGTACTGATTGCTCGACCTTCCAGGGGAACGTTGGTTCCAGATGATGGTCGGTTTAGACTGGCCAAAGACACTAAAAGAAAAAGGAGAAGAGTGTTAGAGACAGTGACTATCCCCAGCAAGACACCTCTAGTTAGTCTGGATCAGGAACTGTGTGTACATTGAAGGTGGTTCTGAGACAGAATCTCTACCGGCTAAAGAAAGGCTCACCTTTACTGTTCTGCCTGCTCCCTGGAGATGTGGGTCTCCCGCCCAGGCTCCTGCTGCGCTGACTGAAAGCAGCCTCTGCGACCTTCTTAGCAGAGTTGAGGATGGCAATGGTATTCAAGGACCTGTTCCTAGGAAGGAGGAAGAGAGATGTTGCTGGCGTTCCGGTCGCTGCAGAGTAAGCAAGCTTTAGAAGAGCATCTGCCGAGCATCACAAGGCGACAGCTAATTGGACCTCTGGAAAAAGATTAATTTGAACCTGCAGTTCAGTGCATTGATACACTTGATTTATAACCTGATGGTATGTAGACAAACCTAAGGCTAGCAGCAACCATCTCGCACAAAGTGTGACAGTTTAGCACACGATAAAAGCCTAAGTGTATAAGGCAAGCTGCACACAAATGTTGTCTGCGAAGATGCACAGAAGATACTCAAATTCAGGATTTGCTGAATCCCAGAAAAGCAGAAGAAGTACAGACAGCCCAACTTGAGTCCACAGAGTCCCGTACCTGGCCTTCAGGATGCCTGGTCTGGGCGAAGTAAACCCAACAGATGCTGGAGAAGGAGGAGGTCTCAAAGGCGAGGCGGAGTCACTTGCAGCAGTTGCAGAAGCACCTGCATTTTGATAACCAGGAAGTGCTTCTTTTTCCAAAGTGGGAGACTATGATTTAAAAAGGAGAAAATGGAGCAGTGCTTAAATTCCACTATGGCGTCAATCAGGGGCAAGGAGGGCTTCACGCTACTGTCAATAGGCTCACGCCAACTCTGCGATGCCAACCCCCTCATCATTCCTGTGTTACAAACAGAAAACTCAAGTTGGGTGTAAACTGTCTTAAAGTCACTTGTGGCAGAGTTGGGAGCTTTTGCCCTGCCAGCTTGGGGTGACAATAGGAGGGGACAGGACTAGGCTGGAAAACAGGAACAGCCAGTGAGGGGTTTCAACGTAATCTAGCACAGGGGTGGGGAACTGTGTATCTCCCATCCCTCTGGGGTGCAAAACTCAGCAGATGAGTGAGGCCAGCCAACTGTCAATCTCCTGACATCAGGACGTCAGCTGCTCCTTGGCATGCTACCGCAAAATCTTGAAAAAGCAGCAGCTGGGTACGCCAGCAGGCAACAGTGGAAGAGGGTTGTGGACTAGCCTGTTGGGAAAAACAGGACTCACATAGCTGTGGCTAGCAAACACAATCCTCACAAGCCCCTGCTTGGGAGGGTGGGAGTTTGTACCTGCGCGACTGCCAGGACGTGGAGGGATCCTGCCTCTCTGGCCAGCTCCTGGTCTTGCTCAGACTCCATTTTCAGCTGCTCCTCATACTTCCTCATGTCGTACTCCAGCTCAGCGGCCAGCTGCTTGTCCATGGCAAAGAACTCTTTGATTTCATTTCGATAATCTTGCATCACCTCCTGGAAGATGCAACAGAGAAGTCGGTGGTGGTTAAACTGGATGCCTTAGATATTTGTCATGGGCTGTTTTTAAAATCTATACCTGGTTGTTCTACTGTTTTACAAAACATTTTTGCTGTTTTTAAGGGTGTGCTTGTAAATCCTTTGGGATGCAGACGTGGAAGGGTATTATTTCATCAGCTATGCTTTCTGCTGATGTTCAAGTGAAGATCTTAAAGCTCCAAGCGGTGAAATGACCCTCTGATTTAAAGAATGTCTGGCCAAGATACTCAGGCAATCATACTGCAGCAGGGAAGATCAATGATGGCACTTGGCTAGTGTAGAGAACAAGCAACTGAAGCAAAGTCCTGGTGTGTGTGCGTGCATACACATGTAAAGACTGACATTGCTCCATAAGGAAGGGCATTATCTCCAAGTGTATCTTGTGCTCCTCACTCAACCTTCAATGTCCAACAATTGTTCTTTGGCCACTGTTACCTATGACACAGGTCATTCTCCCCTCCAGTCTATCAAGACACCAGAACAGGCTGGTGCAAATGCTTAATTGCGCCACTGCCAGGCCGAAAGAGCCTCCAGATCCTATCGAGAGATGCTACTTGTGGCATTTTGACTGCTGATCATTTAGCCCAGCAACATTAAACATGCCCCCAGAGGCTCCTCGGTGTGCGTCCAGGCAGAGAAGTAACTGGCTCTCTTCCTCTGTAGACATCCTTATCAGTCGCACAACCTCCAACCAGTCCATCATGATCTCCCACACCTCTCTACTGCTCAGACCCCAGGACAGTAGGCAGCATGTGCCTTGTCACAATACGTGGCAACCAGGACTGGGCAACAATACGCACTGGGCGCAGCGAATGCCCAGGGCAGGGGGTTGCCCCTGAATCATGGGTTTAACTAAATGACCCTGGCCTGAAATATTACCCGGAGATAGTTCATGAGTTCTCTCAGAGCTGGAAGCCTGTTCTCCTCCAATGAGGTCTTCAGCGACGTGATGATCGGAATGACATTCTCAATAAAATTCCTCTTCTGAACCTGTGGGGGGTTGGATTGAGTAGAGATGGATTCAGTGGAGATGGGGCTGCTTTATTCAAAACAACAGAGAGTTTTAGCATGTTGCTAATGGAAAGCACAGTGGTGTCACTCCCAAGGACTTTCCCAGACTCTCTTTGGAGCTGCTATACTCACTTGCGAGATCATTTTCTTCTGGGCCACCCGCACGACGGCGTTGGCAATGGCCAGCTGGTCCTCGTCCGGCTCAATGTCATCCTCTGGCCTGGATTTCATGGCCGAGAGCTTGATCTCCTTGCAGCTCAGGACCTCAAAGGTGTCGGAGAGCAGAGCGCTGGCCTCCAGGTCGAGAGGCAGGGCTCTGTCCACAAAGCAGGCTGGAAACAAAAAGGATGGAGAAAGTGGGACAAGTGGTTACTTCCAAACACCAGAAAAGTCCAACATTTTAAGCTGGGAGCAGTGGTCTTAGCTCTGCACAAGGCTCTTTGCAGTTAGGGACAGCTCACCTAGTCAAGCGGCTTCACAGGGAAATGCAAAATGAGGTTGGGGCTTGCTTTTAAACTCTTGTGCAAGGGACTCAAAACACACACACACACACACACACACACACACACACACACACGTATCCTGGCACCCACTGCAAGGAGAGAGGGGCCTTGTTCTTATGAATGTGTCTCAACCAATTAGATGGAGATGAGAGGCTCTTGTGAGGCCAGTGGCATAACCCGCCAAAGAAGTCTATCCAGCACATTCAGAAGAGTAGCTGCAGAAGCAGTCTAGATTTTCTATCTCATGGTGAAGGCCTCCTTTAAAAGCTCCTCCCAAGGATAAAATGAAGAGGGCAGTGATCTTCAAATAGCAACTCCCAGATATTTAAGCCAAAAGAGAATTTCCCAGAGCACCACTCTAAGCCTGGGAACAGACACTGAGCACAGCCCCAAATCCACTGCACAATGCCGGTTCAATCGCAGGCTCCTGCAACCGAACCTTGGAATTAACAAAAAAGTGTAAAATGTGCACAAGAGGCAAACAAACCAATACCTCCCATACAAGAAATGGGAAACCCTGCAACAATTCACAGCTAATACTAGCAGTCTGGGAATATTTTGTAGTATCCATGGCATTTTGGGTACATCATCACAACAATCCTTTCAACAACGCTGCGAGAAAGGCTTGTGATCTTTGGAACTGGGCAACTTCTGAGCCACTCTGCAGGGGTGTCACCCAATAGGCACTGAACTTCATGCACAGAAGGAGTTTTGGAAGCTCCCCCCCCCCAAAAAAAAATCACACTGTGAATTAACATTTCACACAGTGCCTTCTGCGTAGGAAGATACAGCCATACCCAGAATGTTCAGGCTGATTTTGGTGGTGATGTTGAACCTCTGCTCATCGGTAAAGTGCTCCAGCAGGAACTTGTAAATCTCCATCCTTTTCTCTTTGTTAGCTTCGCCCTTCAGGGAAAAGAGTTTCTTCTCACTGTAGTAGGTGAATGAAATTCATTGATAGCTAAGAAACACAAGTGCGTGTAAGCTACCCATCTATTCAACATTCAAAACACAGACATTAGATCCGGCATATCACTGAAGAGGGAGGGTAGGAAACAGGATTCGGCCTGTCGCCCCGAGGTCAATCATCTATCATTAAAATGGGCTTGATGACAACAACAACAAAAAAAATGTGATTCCTGCATTCACAGTACAATCATCTTCTCTTCTCTCTCTCACCCCAGCTCTCACTAACCTACCTGCCACGTTCTCCTTTCCCTCCTTCCTGAGGTCTCCTCTTTCCAGCATCTCCTCTGCAAGTCAGGGATGGGTGAAACTAACTGCCCTCCAGATGTGGATGGCCTGCAGCTCCAATCATCTCTGACCATTAGCCATGCTGGCTGGGCCTGATGGGAGCCCAACATCACCTGGAGGGCCAGCGCCACATCCCTAACTCTGGAGTCTCCTCTCCCTCTCGCAGGATTCCACAGAGCTTCCCCTACCTCACATTCCATTATGTCAGGGCAACAGACAGGCAGCTAGCAAAATGTCAGTCCTCAGGAGAGGCAGAGCCCAAGTTTGATCAGGAAGGGCTTGGGCATTATGAGAATCAGAGGTAAAGCAATGTCTCCCTGCAAACAAGCAAGGGCTGGGTTCATCTGGTATCGGGGCTGAAGCGCAAGCTTTGACCTCGCTGCGTCGTTGGTGGCCCTGACGTACAGAGCTTGACTTTGCCCCACAGAAGCAAGCAGCAGCCCGCCTGGGAGAGGGCAGGCCAAAGGACGCATTAGGACAGGACTGCAACAGGGGTCACTTCGGCACCTCAGGATCCTGCTCACTGAAGATCAACCCCACAGCCAAAGTGCATCACCTCAATTTAGGGTCTGTTTCCCAGTCAGACTACAGTGCGGCAAAACTTTAGAAACTGGCGTTTACTTATGTATAAAAAGATGGACTAGCTATTCACTCTGAGCCAGTTTCATCAGAACATTCTATGGGGATGTTTGTCAGTAGTGCAGCATTGCAAAATGCCACTATGTGGGGTGACGAGAGGGGATTGTATCACTCCAGTCCTTAAAACACTACACTGGCTGCCAGTAATACCGGGCCCAAACACTTCCCAGCCTCAGTGTCTCATCAAATAGCAGCAGGTGTCCTGCTCATTGCCCCATCAGTAGGGGCGGCTTGCAAAGCCTTGGTGCTGCTGCTCTATTTATGCAATTCTCTCCCAGATGAAATCTGGCAGTCCTGCATGCTAGCAGCGCTCATGCGCAAGTTGGAATCGAATCTGCCCAGCTGCTGGCCTGTGCTCAAACTCTGGGTGATCATGGCTGTTGAACTGTGGTTCTAAGGACTGAATTATTTTGTTGTTAGTATCCCCATGCCCTGTTGGCAAAAGGGTGGGATATAAAAGTGATGACAAGTGACGCTTTGACCGCAGGAGGATCCTGCTCACCACTACATGCAACTCCCTCCCTCCCACCCCATTCATGTTAATGAAAATAGCCACCACTCCACGGACCGCTCACTCTGGGGGAACCGGTTGTACTTCTCATGCCTCTCATAGCTGTTGAAGTGGAAGATGCACTCGATGAAGTGCTGGGAGAACATCAGCGGGTTCCTCTTCAGCAGGAGGTGCGCCAAGCAGAATTTAGCTAAGCTGCAGGGAGGAGAAAGGGAAAGCACGTCAGAAGGCCACCTCAGTGGCTTTGGTTTGCAGGCAGCGACTCGCTTTTTAAAACTACCTGGGAGCCATATTCTGAGCTAAGCATGGGATGGAGGGGTCAGTTACATTGGCTCTGCCCTTCGGCTCATTGCCACGTGACCAGAGAAAGGCAAAGGGCTCCTTAGCCCCTTTTCTTCCCAGGGTGGAGAGAAACAGACGCTTTGGGCAATGTGAGATACTCTTCCCTTCTGAACCTCAGTTGCTGGGTTGCCACTTTGTGTGTGTGATTCATGTGCAAGAGAGTATTAAAGAGAGAGGAGGAGGGAAGAAAGACTATGCCAGAGCCAGAATGAGCCCCTGGGCCACCACTTGCCGACTCAAGGTTGATCAGCAACAGGAAAAAAGTATTAATTGTTGTATCAGCAAAGCAACAGAATGGGCTGCCAAGGGAAGAGCCCAAACTATGATTGGAAATACAGTTTACACAGCCCTGATTAACAGGCATTTAACCCTTTTTCTTGCGACACAATCGCAAGATATGGACCAAAAGTACCTAAATCACATAAGGCAACGCCAGATTTGTGCGGAGGTCACATTCCAGGTTATTGTGCGCTTGTATGAAGTCGTGTGTGGTTGAAACACCCCATTCTGCCTCCCCTTTTTAGTGATGTATTTTATGACGTTTCTGGGTCACTTCTGGGTTTGTGCTACGTGCACCAAGCATGAATGTGCACATATCTGCCGCGTCTAAATCGGAGGTTGCCTGTCCTGTACTTTTTTTCCTGCAGACTGGTGACATTTTGCAACGGACCAGCTGAGCGGCACAGAAGCCAAGAGAAAAGGGCCTCTCTCAAAATGCAGCCTGGGGTGGGGGGTGGGGGAAATTGTGTGGTTCTTCTGATGGTGAGCTTTAATTCCCATCTGCCCCAGCCAACATGGCCAATGATGAGTATGTTGAAGGGAACTGCAGTCCCAAAGCTCTACATGGCCACGGGTTCCCCTCCCTTGCTGAAGCCCACCTCAAATCAGACTGGTGCTTAAACATCACAATGTTTAAGAAACATGGGGTCTATTGTTACACCGCTCCCTTATCCAAGACTCCTTTGAAAAGCTTTCAGGGCTCATCCTGCAATTTTGCTTCTAATTATAATTCAACATAATTAAAGAGAGAAATAACTCAGTTGAACAGTAAACACCGACAGTAATTACAGTGTTTGTGATAATTAACCAGCAGTCACTCGTGCTAGCAAGATCTTATTAAGGAGATCTGGTATTCCCGGCCTGAGACACAGCTTGGAATCCACAATGACTAGGGAGCGTTTTTTAATAAAATTACTCGCTCCCTACGTGTGGACATTTATTGAGAATACCCCATTAATAGCCGGGCAGCTTTTAAATGAAACGTTGATGCGCTCCACAGGAAAAGGCAGCTCACTGCTACGGTCTCAACGCTGTAACAGGCTGCTGTGGAAGAACGGATGGGGGGGGAATGGGGAAAGCTGCGCATTGAAGAATGACTGAAGTACAGATAAGTAAAATTAAACTCACACAGAGTCAAAATGAATGCATAATTAAGCTCGCGGAATATATTGCCACAAGGCGGGGGCGATGGTGATTAACATGGGTGGCTTTTAAAAAGCATCAAGATCATTTTTTAGAGGGCCTGTCTGTCAACAGCTATTAGCCACTGCCACTAAATGCAACCCTCAGAACCAGAATACCAGGAAAGGGCTCCCAGGAGAGCATCTGTTTCACACACGGGTTCAATCTCCAACGGCATTTCGAGGCAGAACTGGGAGAGACTCCTGGCCTGAAACTGCAGAGAGCTGCTGCCAGACAATATAGACCAGGGCTTCTCAAACTTGAGTCTCCTGCTGTTTTTGGACTACAATTCCCATTAACCCCGACCGTAGGTCCTGCTGGCTAGGAATGATGAGAGTTGTAGTCCAAAAATGGCTAGAGGCTCAGGTTTGGGAAACCCTGATATAGACAATACTGAGCTTAATGAACTAATGGTCTGACTTGGTATATGGCAACTTTCTGTGTTCCTTTTCAAGTCGAGGATGCTGGGGACAAACTATCAGAGAAAGTGCTTGTCTTAATCCAGAAGAACCTGGCTATCTGCTGTGTGTGTGTGTGTGTGTGTGTGTGTGTTATTATTTTTTAAATAGAATTCTCAAGCTCATGGCCAAGGAGTCTTACATTCACACCAGTTAAAACAGTAAGGGGGGGGTAAGATATTGAGGTAGACTTTAAACCAATTTCTTCAAATAAATCCTGCAGATTTAACCCCCAAATAAGCAGGCTATCTAAATGCAGAAAATCTGCAAGGGTCTAAATGATGACAGGGATTTCAGACTCAAAAGAAGATGCAATATGGATCAGCAGCAGCTCACACCGATATGCCCAAATTGCATCTTATGCTACAATTAATGCCTGGCATAAGGCACACAGTGAGCTTAGGAAATGTCACATTCTGATTTGGGATCATACAGGGAGGTCTAGAACATTCACCTTATCTGGTTGAAGGCATTTTTAATGGCCAAGCTCAAAAGCTTCCATTTAAGAAATAAAAAAATTAAGAATAAAGAAAAAGATATTATTATTTTTGAATCTGCGGAAATATAGGATACAAGCGAGTTTGGACTGTACCTTTTGAAAAAACAGGTACTTTTACCATGTAGTAAGTTTTAGAAAGCCACAGAATTAGACTACACAAAGAGTTCCGTGACTTCCAAAGCTTGCTATTCTGTCAATGACGGACCTGATAAGACGTAACCTGAAAACATTTGGGATCCTGATTGTCTTTTTGGAAGCACAAGAAGAGAGCCACCATGTGGTGTGAGCCACTGTGATGGAAGTGGATAGTGTTGGTCTCAGGAAAGATAGGTTCAAGCACCCGGCTTATTTGGTCACACTGTACACAGGTCTTTTTCAGTCCAGGTGGTCTTGGGCAAAATCTGTACCTGTCAGCCTAACCCCATGGCTTTAGATTAGCCATGATTCATTTAAAACCCATTTGATTTCAGTGGTTCTACCCAGAGTATGACGAAGTCTCAATGCCTACCATTTCCAACATCCAAACTCAGCTGCTTAGTTTCTCTGGGTAGAAGTCTGTCTATAGCAGGGGATATTTTAAACCTCAGTCCTGTGGCAGGGGTGGGGGCAAATGAAGCTCCCTAAGCCTCTCCCCAGACTGCATCTCTCCCCAGCTGTCCTAGCTATCATCGTCAGTGGTCAATGATGCTGGGAGGTGGAGTCTTACAGATCCCCCATCCCTAAGTTAATTTCACCCAGAGCTTCCAGGTGAAAGAGACACAACATTTAATTGTCCAGATCAAGTAGATTAAATATTTTTAATCAGGTGAAAAAAGGTCTCTTAACAGATCAGACAACAGATCTTTTAAATCATTTAAGGACAAATACTGATTTTAAAAAAAGAGTGGAAAACACCATCTCAGAAGAGGCACCATTTCTTTGTGTCTTCTGAGATGATGAGTGTGTAAGATGATGCGTGTATTTGTGTGTGTGGCCTAAAAACAAAGAAAGGATTCTTCTGGCTCCTGGACTAGTGTTTTGTCTGCAGTGCAAGGTAATTAATCGATTACAATTAATTGACTCAGATTTCTTTAATCAGGTGTCCGTTTTTACCCTCGAAACAGAAAGTGGAAACACACAGAGACATAAACGGCTGTGCAGAAAGCACATTAAAGATGATACAAGACCGCCACCAGCTGGAGAGACAGGAAAAATGTGGCACCAACTACAGGTGCTGCATGAAAGCCAAAGGGCAACAAGATTGTCCCTGTTAGACCCGTAATTTAGGACAACTTCTTAAAAGCCTAGGAATGAGTTTCAGAATTAATCTTAAGAAAGCATACATGTGGGAAATGTCAAATTGCCACTGACAATCCCAAAAGATTTTCCAATCCCAAACCCACAGTAAAGATTTTAAAACATTAAGCAGACTTATAAACACTTTTTTATGAAAATAAGAGACACACACACGCTCACACGCCTACTCACAGCTCCCCATTTCCCAGCTGATGTGAATGGGCCTGGTCCATCCCTGCTCATCAACTGACTGGAGAGGGGGCAATTTGCATTGCATCCAGATGAAGTTTAAATCTCTCCACCCACCCAATGGCTGTGCCTACTCAACATATTTTTCTTTTGCAAATGCAGCCAAAAATTAGGTTAAGGCCTTTTGTTCTTGCTCCTTTTGGTGGAGAGGAGGGAAAGAACACCTGAATGGGTGTTATCCACACCTGCTTTGTAAGGACTAACAAAGACATCATGAAAAGATAAAACGATGGGAAGGGTAAAATAGTTTCTCCCCAAGTCTGTGCTTGCTGAGCGGAACTGTAGACGCCAGAGCTTTTATTTAAAAAATGTTTTCTACTTTTCAGAGTTGTTCTTATAAATAACCAAGTGGGAACAAATTCCAAGATTTCACCCATCATTCAGACATAAGCAAAATGTGGAAGCAGAACCAGGTTTCATCCCTTTTATGACTCTGGGGCGGGGGAAGAAATGATGGTGTTACCTTGCGATCTCCTGATATGGGTCCACCAAAACACTGACAAATCTGAAGAAGAGGGATCCTTTCCATTTCACAAATTCTTCCTATGCCACAACAAAAGTTGGGAGGGGGAGAGGATGAGCATGCCTCAGAGGCTACTAGACTTTCCACAGAATCCACAGCATGCATACAAGTCTGCTAACATCCACCGCAAATCCTTGATGTGCAAGTTTAATGAACTCTATGACCCATAATTACATAAAACGAGCAATGGTTGTATATCTTCACCTATTCTCTCATTCTTAGTTTGATGCCCAAATTATTCTAGTTTTGGTTGCCAAGGGATGAGGTGCATAGAGGAGCAAAGCCCTGCTCCCATCTACTGGAAATCACATCCCTGCCCAGATTCCCTCCCCATTTTATCTTCCCAGGGACCTTGTGAGATTGATTAAGATGAGAGAGGAGACAGTGACTGTCTGAAGGCTATCTTTTGAGCTTCTGAGGTGGTGGTGGTGTGGAACTGAACTGACATCTGTTCAACCCATCTGCTACACTAAACTGGCTCTCCTTCACCATCTTGAGGGCTGCAAACTTAGGGCTTCCTGTTGTGACATGCCACCCTTGACATAAGAGGCAAAGTGCAGCACAACAGAGAAGACCCCAAGGCCAACCTGTGCTTGACTCACCTGCAAGAGGTTGGTAAGGAGAATGAGCGTCTGCTTCCGGATCAAAGGTTCCGGATCCTTCAAGCATATGGCGACATCGGGGATGTACCTGTCTACCTTGTTGGTGTAGCGGATACAGAGGTCACAAATCACAATGACGACGTTATTGCGGACAGCCACGTCCTTGGACAGCTCTAGTTCTCGAACCAAGGCGGGAATGCATTTGTTTGCCAGGTCCTCATGCTGGAGGCAAAGCTTACCTATCAAAGAGGAAGAAACAGGGAGGAAGGAGGAGGATTAGGCTTGAGCCACTGGACTGAACTCTTCCGCCTGTGCGGCAGGCCCAAGCAAAGTGACACGGAAGCAATCGGAAAGAGAAATAATCCTCTGTAAGAACAAACGGGGGAAGGGTGGCTCAAGGGCCGCAGGGAGACCCTCGTGTGCAACCTGCAGTCCCACTAGACTAACACACTGCCATCGTTAAAGACAGTCAACTGGATCAAGACTTAACCATTTCTAGTGTAAACTCAGAAATCAATGGCATTTAGATTAGCCATGATTCATTTAAAACCCATTTGATTTCAGTGGTTCTACCCAGAGTATGACCAAGTCTCAATGCCTACCATTTCCAACATCCAGACTCAGCTGCTTAGTTTCTCTGGGTAGAAGGAGTCTGTCTATAGCAGGGGATATTTTAAACCTCAGTCCTGGCAGGGGTGGGGGGCAAATGCAACTCCCTAAGCCTCTCCCCAGACTGCATCTCTCCCCAGCTTTGCTTTGCACTCTCCTTGAGTGTGTTTGCCTAGCTGAAATGTGTTTTTGAACTCTGATCATGCCCCTTGCTTGCCTGCATGGAGGATTGGCTGGGGCACACACCTACTGCACATAGGAGAAAAACCTATCAACTTTCCCCTCTGGCCCCATCCACACTGGCATGGAGCTCTCAGAAGGTTATGCAGCTCTCGAGCTGAAAAAGGCTCACTGGCCCTCATATATCACCAAGGTTTACTGGAGAAGGATGAGGAGAACAAGAAGAGGTGGCACATGGTAAGGAGTTCTTGTGCAAGGGAGAGCTCTTACCTAGCGTAATGAATGCGTGAGCTCTGACAACAGACGGAAACACAGAGCCTCTGAACTGGGACAATGGTTGAGATGGTGGAAGGTCCTCGCTACTCCCAGAGCTGGACGCTAGGGAAAGAACCATGCCAAAGTTAGAATGGGGCATCCAAAACTGGGCTGCTACCCTCTAAAAGGGCACACCAAAAGAAGAGGAAGGCCTTACCTTCGCCCAGTGTGTCAGAACTAGCCAGGATGGACTGTATCAGTAAGAAAATGTGTTTTTCCACTTTGGCGGGACAGAGCTGTGCAGCCTCACCCAAGATAAAGAGATGTCTAACCTACCAAAAGGAGAACACTGAGAGTTAACATACTGTACAGAACAACTCTAGTGAACTGTGAAGTTTCTAGCTCCGTCACATCCCTTGTTTAAGCTGTAGGTTGGTGCTGCTGAACAAAGGAAGATGTTAGAAACACAACATTTAAGAACCAACAGATACCACCCGCCCTTTGAGGATGAAGAGGGTGAGGGAGGCAGGTACAGGGAAACACCAGGGCCTGCTCTAGTTGGTCGGCTCCTTTCTCCCCGCTCCCAATTTTGCATGTTAGAACATTTGCCTTAGTACTTTAAAACTGTAAACTACCTTGGGTGCTTGGGAAGAAAGATTGCATATAAATGCAGCTAATAAATAATATTCTGGTCTCACTTACCAAGGCATCTTCTTGTAGCTGCTCTGCGCTGCGCTCTTGGAGGACTATACTCGAGATGAAATGATCACATGTGGCTACAAGACCCCCAAATAAGTTGTTCAGCATATCCTGTTCGAACATGGAGAGACCTTGATTTAATTCTTTACTAAGGAACCACTGTTGCTTCTCTCCCTCTCCCCTTCTCTCCCTCCCAACATGTAAGTTTCTCAGACCACCACGCTGAGAAAATCCCCTGATCACTCTTAAAAAGTCAGCAGTTTTTCCTTTGATGAGAAGCCTCTTCCAGAAGAGAACAATGTGGGTTTATTTTGGAAATGCAGCTGCAGGCACTGGGCTAAATTGTCTTAACAGACCCTTCTACTTTCCACAGTGGCCAAAGAATCATTAAGCGGTTTTTGAATTTTCTGGCATCAATGAGACCTTTCCACATCAACTCCTCTGCCAAGAACACCACACCCCCCGCTTCCAGCAGTTATTGGGGAACGTCTGAGTGATTCAAAGGGCTCTGAGAGGTATTTTAGGGTATACTATTTTTTTTTTTGTAATGCTGGGTGCTGGGCAGACCTCATCACTGCTCCTTGGTAAGCAAGAGAACACCCAACACTCCTCTGCAGTGACAGGAAACTGCTTTATATCAGGACTCACCCAGCAATAATGAACTGAGATAGGAACAAGGTCTTTGCCCACCCACACAGCTCCTCTCTTCATGGCATAGGAGCCAACTCCTAGGGGCCGTGGGGGCTTCGACCCTCACAATAAAATATTTGAGCCCTCCCCCCCGTTGATGGTCATTCCCATTCAAATGGTGTGTGTGTGTGTGTGTGTGTGCGCGCGCACGCACTGCATCATGTGATCAATTATGTGTGGTGGGGCTTACCTGGGCCCCCACAACATTTTATTGAAGTTAGCACCCTTGTATAAGCAATCAAATGTGGAAGCCTTTCATTATGCTCTGGCTATCTCCTGCTTGGATGACTGCAATGCAGTCTATGCGCACTCTATGTGGGGCTACCTTTGAAGGTGACACGGAAACTACAACTAACCCAGAATACAGCAGCTAGACTGCTGACTGGGTGCCACTGGAAGCATATAACACTGGTCCTAAAGGATCTCCATTGGTTCCCAGTACATTTCTGAGCTGTTGATGCGGTCCTGTATACGTGAAGATAAGTCTCCACCCCCATCTTTCAGCCGGATACTGAGATCCAGCTCTGAGGGCCTTCTGGCAGTTCCTTCATTGTGAAAAGTGAAGTTACAGGGAACCAAGCAGGGGGCCGTCCTGATAGTGAAACCCACCCTGTGTAACGCTCTCGCATCAGATGCCAAGAAGGTAAGAAACGATCAGACTTTTAGAAGACCTCTGAAGGCAGCCATATAATGGGAAGTTTGTAATGCTTGATGTTTTTATATTTTGCTGGAAGCCACCCAGAGTAGCTGGGGCAACCAAGTCAGATGGAAGGCATAACAAAATAAATAATAATAATAATAATAATAATAATAGACACAATCTTCCCTTTCTTCCAAACCAGGAAAAGATGGCTAGCAGTCTCAAAACTGGACTATTAAAATCAACTTCTATGCTCCCATCAACCCAGCCCAATCTTGAGTGGCAGCATCTCTGCAGGGTCTCGGGCAGGTGCCCCCACAGCACCTGCTAGCAAATCTTTTTAACTTGGCAGTGCCAGGAATTGAAGCAAAGCAGGCCCGCTCCGACTAAATCCTGGCAGCTGCTACTATCAAAAGGGGCAACTTGTGGTGTCGAGAAAGCAGTCCTTCAGGGAAGCTGATCGGCTACAACTGATTGCACTGCTGAGAAATCCCAAACAAACTTCAGAGGAACCCCTCTGCTCAATAGGACTCACCACTGCCTCTCTCGTGTTACTAAGCATGGGGAAGCAAGCATAGCACAAGGACAGTTTCAAGAAGGATAACCAGTGGGACGTTCAGTGCTTAGAAGGCAGTTTTCTGAGCCTCACCTGGGTCTCCTTTGGGGAATCTGAGGAGGCACTGCACAGCTTCTGCAGAGTCTCTATGGCTGGGCTAATCACCTCCAGAGGACACTGGGAGTCCTGCAGCCAACATTTGATATCATCTGTGGGGGGAAAGAAGAATGTCAAGCAGCTTAACATGAGCTGGTGAGAGAGGCAGACAGACCAGATGGTTAGTTCAGGTGACAGGTAGAGAGCTCTAGGACAACACGAAAACACTCAGAAGATGGGTAAAGTTGGCTTTTCAAATGGACACTCACCCATCAGTCTGCTTTGTATGCTGCTGGGCAGGTGCTTTGCAGTGTTCCCAATCACACACAGGATGTGCACCATGGTCTGCCAGCAAGCACCAGGCTCCCTGAAAGAACCAGAATGTTCAAGTTGCAAACAGCCCTGATGGAGTAAGACAAAAATCCTTCTCCTCTGAATGACACACAGGGCTGCCTCCCACCTGGGCCAAGTCACACTTGCCTGCTGATACTGTCCCAGGCTTTAATTATCTTGGTGTAATCTAGCTTGGGTGAAGAGCCGGAGACCTTTGCCAGCAGCATCCAAGCAGGGGCAGCACGCTCGGTTTCGGTATGGGAGACGACGCTGCTAACAAACACGGAGGAGAATTTCCCCTGCTTCGACCATATGTGGAAAGCTCTGGTCAAGTAGCGGCTGAAAGACAGGACAGAAACAAAGGGTGCTTAGTGGTAGCAAAAAATGCTCATCTTCGGATGAACTGCCTTAAACTGGGCTGTCGCATGTCATCCTCACAGCCACCTTGTGAGGTAGACTAGGTTGAGAAATGCTGGCTAGCTTTACAGATAGCAAGAATTGGAACCCATGTTCCTCCAAATTCCATCTGCTATACCACAATAGTCTGGAGGCAGTCCTAAGTCATAGTTCACTCACTGCAAGAAGTGAGGTTACAGGGACCAGGCAGAGGGTCTTTTCGGTAGTGGCGCCCGCCCTGTGGAATGCCCTCCCATCAGATGTCAAGGAAATAAACAACTACCATATTTTTCGCCCCATAGGACGCACTTTTTCCCCTCCAAAAATGAAGGGGAAATGTGTGTGCGTCCTATGGGGCGAATGCAAGCTTTCGCTGAAGCCTGGAGAGCGAGAGGCATCGGTGTGCACCGACCCCTCTCGCTCTCCAGGCTTCAGGAAGCTATCAGCAAGCCTTGCAAGCCTCGCGGGAGTTCCTCTGGAGGGCGCTCCGTGCTTCGGGCGGGTATGCGCAAGGCTTGGGGTGGCAGCCTGCGGCCCGAAGCACGGGGAGCCCTCCGGAGGGCGCCCCGTGCTTCGGGCAGGTGTGCGCAAGGCTTGGGGGGAAATATTTTTTTTTTATTCATTCCCCCCCCCCCCAAAAAAACGAGGTGCGTCCTATGGGCCGGTGCGCCCTATAGGACGAAAAATACAGTATATGACTGAAGACATCTGAAGGCAGCCCTGTACTGGGATTTTTTAAATGATTGATGTTTTACAATTTTTTATACATGCTGTGTAATACCCAGGTGGATGGGGTATAAATATAACAACAACAACATTATGCACAAGCCTCATGCGTTCTCTGCTCTCCTTCTCCGACACAGCCACCCAACTTGCTTGGAACATTTGACTACCACAGCTTGGTGTTATGCCTGGATGGCAACAGTGGTTAAGCCAACCTCAAAATTTGGCTTACAAAGGTGGCCTGTTTAAACCAGGTAACACAAAACTGTGGTTAACTGAAAATAGAAGCAAAGTTTCTATGCTCCTCATCACTGTACCGGAAGCAGGGGGTGAGACATCATGTGAGCACCCAAGACACATTCCCATAATAACAAGTCATCATTTATCATTATGTCTGAACACAGTCATTCTGTTCGCCTGGTACTACCATGGCAGCAATAACTTGCATATGTTTTAGATTCCTGGAAACCTTTACCATAGCAGATGGAAAATTAAGAATATTCAAAAACATTAAATTCAGAACAGCAAACCTGCAGACAGCTTTCTATCCCACCCCACCTCAAATATGAAACATATTTGTGACTAAGAGCAGGTTGGACCTGCATCATTTCTGGCCACCAAATATCTTACTTCTCTGTGCGAAATGCTCCCCCGTTGTGGCCCAAATGAATTTTAAAAATTAGTAATTGACTTACGTTTTCCCCAGTTCTAAAGAGGGAAAGGGGAGGAGAGGTATAGGCGTGCTTTTGAAAATGCAGCAAGCAATATAGAAATGCCAATTATACCACGCAAGGCCCAAAATTGGGACTCATGACAGTATCACAAATTCCACCACGGCACGACCCATGAGCGGGTGTTCTATTTCAGTAACTGTTGCACGTTATTGACTAATAAAACATACGCTGCTTTTAATCAGCACACGTATTCTTGCCATTCTAAAAGCATCTCCTCATCCCTTTTGAGGTCTCTTACAAAAGATGGAATCAAAGCTTAGTCAGACAAGCAGCATATTGCACTCCAGAATGAAGACAAATGCCTTTCTTAATGAATGATAGTTGCCTTTCTCATTTGCATGCTTCCGATTAGCATTCCACAATCTCTGCACTCAAAAGGGCTACATTAAGCAATAGGCAACTAGCGGCCCAGAGGTTCCCTATACAAACACCACCACAGACCCAGATCCCAAGAGCCTCCCACTTATCAGGGTTCCACAAATTTTGACTGGCCTTGGCAGCCAACTAGAAATGACCCTTTCTCAGATGGAAGCAGCTTGTTCATCTCTTCTGCTTCTCAGTGTGAGTTCAGGAAGCTTGGAGTTTCGGACTATGGGAAAATGATTCCTGCAACCACACAAGCTCCAGATCTTTGTCCCTCCCCCCCTCCAGAGGTAGAGATGGCCACCAACCTAGATGACCTTCAAAGAATACTAGACCAATTGATACATGACAGGAGTTTGATGGCTACTAATCATGATGGCTATATATTCACTGTCAGAGAAACCATGCTTCTGAATACCAGTTTATGGAAAGCGCAGGAGGGGAAAATGCTCTCGTGATCGGGTCATGGTTGTGGGTTTCCTACAGGCATCTGGCTGGCAACTGTGAGAACAGGATGCTGGACTAGACTGATCACTGGCCTGATCTAGCAGGCTCTTCTCATGTTCTTAAGGGGACACATATCCGTTATCTTCCAATACCTGTACGTCTGGCATGCTTGTTCTCTGTTGCTCTGCAGGACAGGACTGGAGCTAACAGGTGGAACTTGCAAGGAAGCAACTCTTGGCTTAACATTAGAAGAAAATTCCTAACAATAAGACCAGGTGAACAGCTGTGGCTCAGTTGCAGAGCATCTGATCAAAGGCAAAGCAGTTATATTCATATAGTGCCAAAAGTTAAAAATGCATGACAACGTAAGCGTAAGATTATAGGTGAGGCTCCGCACAGGGATAGCTCTGCATGTGCTCAGGTGCTACGGACTATACCTCAGTTCTTGACTCTCTTTTGTGAAGTGCATAAGGAGGTCCCAGGCCAACACTTGGCCTCTGTCCTCACGGGAGAACTTATTGCAGTGCTTGATAGGCTGCAACAAGAGCCGTTCCAGGAACTCCAAGGCTTTCCCCTTCACCGAGTCCTCGCAGTCCATGACGACGGGAACGACACCCGTCAGCCAGGCCTTCTGTATCAGAACATTGTCTGGCTGAGACTGAAAGGAGACCGATAGAGATCAACTGATCACATTAAGACAGACATTTCAGATAATGAGGCCTCAGAAGCAGGCAAATGATCACAACGCTCTTCAGCTGATCACAGGTTGCCTGAAATGGTACAAGGATGAGCAGCCTTGAATTTTTACCTAAACATGGGCTGTCCTGCCATTAGAGCAAAATAAAATGGGATAGGGCAGCTTGAAAGCCTTCCGTTTGGTTCCTTCCTCTTTGATATAAGGATATGCAGAACCAAAATATGCTTTAAACCAGGGAATGGACTGACATTTAACTTATCTACTGTTTAAAAATCCATAAGCGCTAAGCACTTTGCATAGAATATAAAATATTCATTAAAAAAATTGACAAAACCAAATGTTAAAGGAAAGCTAACATTAAAATATAAGCAAACCCATATGTAAATACATACATAATAAAATTCAAACACATATTAAACTTGTTTTGTTTAAGAAAGTCTGCCCAGACACACAAGTCTTTAGTGGGCGTTGAAAACAATACAGTGAAGGCATCTACCTAATAGCAATGGACAAGAGGGTTCAGAGAATAGGAGCTGCCACAGTGAAGGATCTCTCCTTTGAAAAAACTTGTGCGGTCTATTCTGTTTTTACACTAGACCTCCAAGGTCCACCCATCAACGTTTGGTGTAAAATAGTGTGTGGGGGGTGATAGTGATGGCCATGCACAGAATCAATAAACAAAGTATCACCAAAGTCTCAATTAGAGTGGTACCTCAGGTTACAGATGCTTCAGGTTACGGACTCCGCTAACCCAGAAATAGTACCTTGGGTTAAGAACTTTGCTTCAGGATGAGAACAGAAATCGCTTGGCAGCGGCGCGGCGGCAGCGGGAGGCCCCATTAGCTAAAGTGGTACCTCATATTAAGAACAGTTTCAGCTTAAGAACAGACCTCCAGAACGAATTAAGTTCTTAACCCAAGGTACCACTGTACTCATCTTTCATTAGTGGAGAATTTGTATTGCTCGGGTGCTGCATTCTGAAGTTGTTGTGATAGGCTTTTTTTGTAGTTATCATACACAGCCACATCCAAGAGCAAAGCCAGCAACTTCTCTCACCTGTAAGAGGTCTGTTATACACTGCAGGGCTTGCTTCCTCACAGAGACGGCAGCATCACGACATCGATCCTGGAGCGTGCCCAAGTCTTCCAAGGTGCAGGAAATCACATGGTGCTTCAAGATGCTCATCAACACCTAAGGATCGCACAAATACACATCTGTCAGAGATGGGGGAACCTCAGGCCTGGAGGCCAAATGCGGCCCTCCAGATCTCTCTATCCAGCCACTGGGTCTCTTCCCAGGCTACACCTCGCACCAGCCTCATTGAGCATCTTTGCCTGGTTGGAATGTATCTCTGAACTGTGAGAATGCTTCTTCCTTGCCTGGAGGATAGAGAGGGGTATATGAATTTGAGTAGCAACTAGCTCACTATACAAAAGAGAAAGGGACGCGGGTGGCGCTGTGGGTAAAACCTCAGCGCCTAGGACTTGCTGATTGCATGGTCGGCGGTTCGAATCCCCGCGGCGGGGTGAGCTCCTGTCGTTCAGTCCCAGCTCCTGCCCACCTAGCAGTTCGAAAGCACCCCTAAGTGCAAGTAGATAAATAGGTACCGCTTTCTAGCGGGAAGGTAAACGGAATTTCCGTGTGCTGCTCTGGGGCCGGTTCGCCAGAGCAGCCTCGTCACGCTGGCCACGTGACCCGGAAGTGTCTGCGGACAGCGCTGGCTCCCGGCCTATAGAGTGAGATGAGCGCACAACCCTAGAGTCTGTCAAGACTGGCCCGTACGGGCAGGGGTACCTTTACCTTTATACAAAAGAGAATGCTAGCATTTGTTGCCCCGCCTATTTCCACCTTTGGCCCCACCCACTGCTGCCAAAAGTTTGTCAGGAAGGGAAAAGCACCGGCCCCGGTCCTTGCCTTAAGTGACAGACACACACTGAGGGATGTCAAGATCATCCCAGAGCTTTCATCTGGAAATTTGGGACAGGCTGTCTTGCCAAATTTGAGACCCAGATGTCAAAGCCATCATGCTAGCAGACTTTGGTCCCCGGATGGTGGCCACCCTCGGGGGAGTCTGGAACAAGCCAATTATCCCAGCTACGGAAACCTACAATATTCAGCACAACTGACGTCTGTGCAGTTCCGCATTCAAATATGTGCCAATTCATTACCTTCCCACACAGATTCATTATGCCACTATAAATATTCTAAACATGAGGGTTTAAATGTTAAAAAGTGATTTATTCAAGCTTACATATTTCATTACACAGTAATAAATCTCTCAGCAGGAGATCAAGTATTTGGCCAAGTTAAGGTCACATTTCTCAAGTCATTCATCATTCGCTGTCGCTGTCAGGGACAGGAATCTTCTCTCAGCCATTATCAATACCAATCTAAGATAATTTGATTTATTTAGAAGTATAGCCCTCCCTCTCGCAGTGACTTTGGCGCGGATTATGTATGCTTCCAATTCCGAATTAAGGGAGGATGAAGATGGTGGCCGAATGGAGAGAAGGACCAGAACTAAGTGGTAGAGCATCTGATCTCATGGAGAAGGTCCCAAGTTCAGTCCCCAGCATTGACAGATTTTGGGTTTCTTTTCTTTTTTAAGGATCAGATGACAGGTGATGGGAATGGCATCTGCCCCAAACTCTGGAGAGCTGTTGCCGGTGAGAGGAGACATTTCTGGTCTGGTATAAAATAGCTCACTATGCCTCTAGCTTAAAAAATAATAATGCACACACATGCAGTGGGAGCTAAAATCCCTGGTACCTCCAGTTAAGAGCGATCAGAGCGCATAGCTAAAAAAGACCCTGGAGAACCTTCTACCTGTCAGGGTTGAATGCACTGTGCTAAGTGGGCCAACTCTTGAAACCACCAGAAATACCTTGATCTCAGTTATGGAGACAAGTGAGACCTGCAATATTACATTAGTGTTGAGCGTCCCTGCTCAGTGTTCCAATTAGCTATGCCTTCATCCACAATACTCCATTCCCCACCTCTAACAATCTGTATTCTGTGGCTGCTAAAGATGGATGCTGTGCCCTCCCTGGGCTGTGTGGGTTGTTGTTGTTTTAAGGGAGGGAGATTACCTCTCTGAAGGGGGAAGTGTAATTTAAAACTTTTTAAAATTCAGTATTTCTGCAAAAACCACAAACACCCCAGTACCTCTCCACTTGTTTCTTAGCGGCCTCATTTTGGTTACAATCCTTTTGGCACTTGCTGACTGAGCTTGCTATTAGAGGGAGCCATTATATTGAGAACGTCGCTTCTGGGTACTGTGCAATTTTCCATGTCTTCCTTTATGATTCATTGCAAAGCTGGCTACTTTTAAAGAATACAGCAATGTCTGTTGGTACTGGGAGCACAAAAAGAAGACAGAAACATACCTGGAGGGCGGATTTCCTAACGCTTGGATTGTCATCCGCAGCTCTTAGTCTCAGCATGACCATGATCTCTTTTCCTGTTGCAATGGGGTGGGAGAGAAGAGAATGAAGCTCTTAACTTTTTGATGTATTTTAAATTGCGTACACAGTATGCTTTTTAAATTGTAAGTGAATAATAAACACAGCAAACAATAACAAATATGGTGGTGGAGGAGGTTTTGGAAATATCGTATGCTCAGCAGAACATTGTATGGATTTAGCATTCTTATACAGCGCTTCCAGTACTCAAGAGGACTTCACATACATTGTCTCAGTAATCCCACAACAGTTGCAAAGGTGTTATCCAATGAAAATTGGAAGGGGGTTGAATTGACACCACACAGAAACATTACTCCTGTTTCTCAGGGTGGGCCCCCACCTGTGGATAGGCTGGGTTGGAAAATGAGCAAAAGGCTTGCTCATGACAGTGCCACCCTACAGGGCGAGATGTGTAAGAAAACTGGTTAAAATACTCCCCCCCCAAAAAAAACAACAACCCCAACAACAACCAATTGCAGGGCTCTGTGTGCAACTGCTTCCTGGATCAAGTAGTGGGGCTTTCCCCAGAAGCAGCTTCACAAAGGTAGAAAATATGGGTCAAAGGCATATTTGCTGGGACCCACAAGTGGGTGGAATGCTGTTGCACACAGGGAGTAACAGTGGGAAAGGGCTATTGCCTTCTGTCCATGTGAATTGGGGCTCCTAGAGGATTTCAATGCAGAGTCTTTGGAAAAACAAGATGGTAGATTAAGATGGGCCTTCATTCTGACCCAGCGGGGTGTCTCTTATGTTCTTTGCCATACTGCTATGCACATCAGACTAGCACATGAACCATTCTATGCAGGTGGGCCTGTCTCCTCTCTCTCAGCTATCTTCCTTTAGTCTTCTCTTCTGAAAGTCTCCTTCAACTGCCCTTTACAAGCTTCTTCTTTGAGGGGGGACTTCAAAGTTTCCCACCACCACCACCTTGGCTTCCTATTGGCCGAGAACTGAGTTCTATCTTCAGGAAGCTCCACTGCGCCATAAAAGTAGGCCAGTATCATCACTGCCATAGTAAAAAGGGGAGCATGGAGTGAATAGGGTCAGGACAGAGATACTGACCTGCCTGAGGCCATTTAATAAATCTGTGGCTAAGGGGAGAGACCTGAACCTTCCCAGTTCATACAGGCATGCGCTAGCTAGCTATCCTCACACACATACTGTCAAGCCACCTTTTCAACTCAGAAGTGCCCAAGGCAATATGCATAAAGAGAGATAAAAGAGGCACTATGCACATCCAGCTCTCTCTCCTCTCAAAGATAACCAAACATTACAACAACTCGCATACCACACACACATAAAGTCGAAAACCAAGCAGTCAGGATTCTCTCTCATCTCTTCCTTGCTCAGCTGCTAATCAGCACACTCCTAGGCCTACGCAGAATTATGTACCACTGAGTTCAATGGGGCTCACTTCAAAATAAGAGGGGGGGGCAGGATTGCAGCAAAAGTGTCCCATCATCCAACCAGCGTGGGCAAATGATTTTAATAAAGGGTATACAATTCCCACCTTTTTCATAGGACTACAATTCCCAAGGCTCTTCATTCACACATACAATTGCCATGTGGGCTGCACACAATTCCTACATAGGTCTGCCCCACATGTAACCATGATATAATGTGAGAAATCTTCTTCTATAAATAAAATAGACAATATTCTGTACAGGTAACTATTTCCTTAATTAAAAAACAACAACCCTGAATATATTGAAGATGATCAAGTAGGAGAAAGCGAGTGAATTTTAAAAAGGAAAACCCAAGAATGGGTCCAGCATACCATCATACTGAGTAGTGTTGCGCTCTTCGGTCACCTCTAAAGTTTTGAATGTTGGGAAAGTCTTCAGACAATGGCTGGAGGAAGCTTTAATAATAACAATAATAATAATAATGGTTACTGAACAGAAACTACACATAAGTGTATCAGGATCCATTTACCCGTAACCAAAGAGTTGCCCAGAGATCAGACTACCAAGAAAGAGGAGATGTGTGATGTCACTCTGAAGCTGTGATGTCATAATGACCCAAGATTTCAAGGAAGACAGCTTGGAAGGAGAAAATAACAAAGATGTGGATTATCATTCATTGGCCTGTCTGCTACTTTTTTTCCCAAATAACTCCATGGTACATTCATCCTGTATCAGAGGCAATATACCTCTGGATTCCAGTTACTGGGCAGAGTGGGAGCAGGTGCTGTCATGCTCATGCCCTGCTCATAGGGTCCCCCATGGGCATCTGATTAGCAACTGGGAGAACAGGATACCAGACTAGCTGGGCCTCAGGTCTGATCCAGCAGGACTCTTATGTCTTAGACAGCTGGTGGGCAAGTGATTAGGGACAAAAAGAAGGGTCTTACTAAACATCTCACCCACCTGTCTGGGATGTCAACTCCAAAGGTGACCAATTGGTGAGATTGTAGCTTTAGGATTACAGCCTTAAGCCAAGGCACATTCCCATAATTAAGAGTTAGGTTTCTTTGTTTAATTTGTGTCCTGCCTTTCTACCCTATGGGCTGCTAACAGCATTAAAAGTAAAATCCAAAATAACCAAAGACAATGTGAGAACAGAGTGGGTACAGCAAGACATCAATAAATTCAACACAGTTGAACACTGGCTATAAACAACCAGTTGATCAAGCGAGCTGCTTGTTGGTATTAAGGGGAATGGAGAAGGTTCCCTGAGCAAAGAGTTTCTGACAGACCTCTCTTTGATTCCTGCTGAATGGATTTCTGGCATCGATAGAAACAGAGAGAACTCTTCTGAAGATCTGGGCAGGCTTGTATGAGACATGGCAGTCTTTCAGCTATCCTCCTTTCTCTCCACCAGGAGTCACTCCTAACAGGTTCAAGCATTTATTCCAAGTTCCTCTGGTACATTACAAGAACAGGCATGGCAATTTTGAAAGGGTTACCAGTATCTGGTGGCTTGGCTCACCTTCTGTGTTGGTTATGAATGTCTTTGCAGGCATGTTTGAGTCCTGTACTGTAGAACTAGCAGCTGTGGGGGCAAGTAAAAGGAAGAAGATTAAATCCAATTTGGCAGCCAAAGAAGGCTTTTTACACACACACACACACACACACAGTCTGAGGATAGCTCACATGAAGCAGAGGAGGGGTTGACAACTAGCAGCCTCTGAGCTAGATCATGCCCAGCTCTGGACCTTAGCTCTGCAATCAACTGAAGCGAGTCAACACAAGAAAGGAAACCCAGCGTGCCAGTTCTCTCTTGCTGCATTGAAGAATCTCTTAGTTGGCAGCCCTTCTTCCAATGAACTCAGAGCTGTGCACATGGGGTTATCACACTTCTCAATCCTCTCAACAACCCTGTGAGGTAGAATAGGTTCAGAGATACTGACTGCTCCCAGGTCATCAGTGCACTTCAGGACAAAGCAGGGATTTGAATCTAGGACCCTGTTAGTCTAACGTCCCACATTCTGTCCGAAACATCATGAAGCCTGTTGATGATCAGAGCTCACTTCCCCCACCATACTTACTGCCCTGCATCAGCTCCTGGATGTTCTCTCTGTTTAGTGTGGATTTCGCTTCGAGACACTGAGCAAAGCTTGAAAGTGCTTTGCTGCGGACAGTTGGGGCTTTGTCCACGCACCGCCCGAGGACCATGGTCTGCATTAGGAATTTGTGTTTCAGAAATGCCTGCTGCTCCTCAGACAAGGTGATGTCCTCCTCCCGCTCTGGAAGGTCCAACAGGGCCAAGGCCACATCAAGAGCAAATACTCTGTAGGAGGCCTGTTGGAAGAAGAACCCCAAGATGCCATGTAGCTTAGAAAGCGGGGCACCACTAGTCACAGGCTACCTGGGTGTTCAGTTTATCGCTCGCAGCATGTCAGGGATGTTGCTGGCTCCCTAAAGAGCCAGTGTTCAAACCACCACTGCCCTCACCTTGTCATTGAGTGAAAATTTATACAGCCAAGCTATGAAGTCTGCGCGCTCTGCACAAGGGAATTTGTGCAGCAGTTGCGTCACAGCCAATGCTGCGTATGTTCGGTATTCAGACTTATCAGGAACCTGGAACAAATGGAATAAAGGAAATTGTCAAGGCTAAGTGAAGTCAGGTGATCCATCATAATTGCTGCAACTTCTGGAGCAGGGTAGAGAGATTGGCAACAGATAGCCCTTGGATGAGACCCAGTGCAAGTGAGATCCCTGGCTTGACAACCAATTAAACCAAGGGACTGGCCTTAGGCTGCCAGATACAGAAGCCGGGGGAATCCTAAGGAATGCAATGTGATGTATTGAATGACAGCATAGAGTTGTGTTGCATCATAAAGGCCTGCTTAAACAAATTATGAAATTCAGTTACTGTAAATGTCCTTAATAGATTACTTCAAGATCTGATTCCTGGCTGGTTTGGTTTTAAAACCATTTAGCTCCAGCGTTACAAAAAACCACATGGTCCTCTATATGTTGCTAAAAACAGCACCAACAAGATGGTCATTCTAAAGTTGGGGAGAGGAAACAGGCAAACCTTGGACTGAATCCAGTCCAAATAAAGTTCTCAGGAGGCCAGTCCATGAAAGCAGCTTGGTCACCAGCTGCTGCCACTATACAGCTGTCTTTAAGAAAACGATACCTCCTTTTTTCAGAAGTGAGACATGCTATGCTGCTGGACAGGAGAGTAAAGATTATAACCCACCTTGACACAAATATGCTGCAGTAAGATTCGCAGCACAGGGTAGGCAACTTCTTTCAGTTCCTCGATCAGAGAGCTGCACAAAAATGGAAGAGTCAGACACGACATGGCAAAAAGCTCTGGGTGCCTGGCCAAGATACACCACTGATCCATCTAGCTCAATACAGTCTACTGTGATGGGCTACCCAGATCTTCCCATCCCATGGAGATCGTGGGACATGAACTCCTGACCTTGAACTTTGGCGCTTTATCTGCCTTAAGAGAAGGAAACCCCATGAAATTATGTGCCCCTGTTTGTACATTTATGGTATTTCTATCCTGCCCTTCCTCCAAAAGTAAGGGCAGCAAATACAAGGTTCTCTCACTATGAAGTTGGTAGGGCAAAAGATATTGAGCGTCATGGAGGAGCAGATACCTATACTTGGATCTGCCCCCTCATAGCAGGCTTGTAAAAGGCCACTTGTCTGGTCACCTGTGGCAAGTAGGAATTTCTTCCAGGCAAGAGATCAGTTCAGTGAGCATCCATGTGATTGTAGCAGGTTGCATGTAACATTATTTTACATATTTATATTCTACTTAAAAATACACCCCCAATATACAAGGCACGCAGTAGTCTCCCATCCAGATTTCCAACTAGTTCCATATAACTGCTTAGCTTTAGTAATGCAGCAACATGCTGTTCCCAGATCATAATATGTGAAACAACAGCAACTCTTATTTTTACATTTCCAGTCCTCACAGCTCTGGGGAGTTAATAAGTGCATAAAGGCTGCATATGGATAAAATTGTTCACTTCTTAAAGCTATCTCAAGCATTCAGACCACGAACCTGAACTACAGAATGCTAAAGCCACCCACAAAGAGTTGACAGTTAAGGATGGTTTAATGCTGTCCTGCTTAGATGCACAAGCACAAACACCAAGCGACAGCCACTTTGAGCTTCACCTGATGAATCCAATGGCTAGGTTCCTAGCGCCAACAGCCTGAGATGGAATAGTGGCTGATGAGCCACTGGAGGCACCTCTCTCTGGCTGCATGAGGATGACAGCGAGCAGACGGTGGAACACAAGGCGAAGAACCTAGAAAAGCAACAAGAGGCAGGTGAGTGAGTGGGTGGGTGCCAGGAAGAGTTATCCATGTCATCAGTTTCCCCGCACCTAACACCACTACTCCCCTTTTACAGCATGTGCATCTTTATGTGAAGAAACTAGAGCCAGTCTCTCTCTCACACACTACCTTATTCCTCTGGTGAGGGAACTTCAGTAGGCTTTTAGCATAGGTCCAGTTAATATTGGATTGCTAAAATAATTATTCCCCAACACCCTGTTATGCACACAGGAGTGGAAAAATGGAAAGTCTACCTTTGATCGAAGTGTTGCTGCTGATTGCAATAGAAGGCAGACTACATACTCTATTATTAGCATGCCCTGTATGGCAAATTAAAGCTTCTACACCACACCTCCTACTCTTCTTACCTGGCCAGATGAATGAGAAGTGTGCATCACATTTATTTACGTGAGCTCCCTTTTAATGCACTGCGCCTTAGTTGAGCAAGCAGCACTCTCAAGTAAATAATAATTTTTTAAAAAACTATGGAAAGAATGTGTTGTGCAGAAGTCCTCCATTAAAGAAAAACACAAGGAGCAAAGCCTTTTGAGGAAGCGAGTGTATAGAGCCCGCAGAAAATTTGTCTTAGCTCAGTACAAAATGGTGTGAAAATGCCTCCGCAAAACTCGCTCTGCCCTACTTTGTGGTAAAACGGCACACGTCAGTTTTATACAGCAGTGTTAAAGCTCCCTCTAGCAGCCAAACCAAAGAGGGCACACATTCTGCTGCAGGTCCCATTGGTTTGTCTTTATAAATGAGAATAAATTAATGTCTCTCTCCAGAAGCGAAGCAAGGCTCACTGACTCAGATCAGTTGGTTTCAAGAAAGAAAAATGGCCATATGTGGACCCCTGGTTGCCACAGCACTGTAGAGAAAGCACTGAGCCTCGGAAGGGGTGGGAAGCATCCAGAACAGGAAAGTGGGGGATTGGGAGAACCAAACCTCTATGAATCTCTGCTGGATTTTGCATAGTCCTGTCTACCGGTTTTTTACAAGTCCCTTTAAAAAGGCCCCTAAATATCTGATGCACAAGGTGGTTTGCCATTCTAGCTTGATGAAGACTGCCGAAAAACCCATAAGCTTGCACATCATTTTGAAATATTTTGGTTAGCCTATAAAGACAAAGTTCTAATGTGGGCTTTGACTAACGGGAGCCTTTGCACATGCTAAGAATTATAGACAGAGAGGAGACACATCAACATGCATGTAAGTCATTTTTACCTTATCTTCTACACCGTGAAGTGGAGAGCACAACAGCCGTAAGCCAAAGCAGGCAAGTTCTGGGACATACTTGGCTTGGCTGATAGTCCTATACCAAAAACACACACCAAAAAACAAACATTTAAAGCTCACTGCTGGATCCATTTTATGTGCAGGCTAAAAAGTCCTAAACCAAACACTTGTAATTACAATTCCCCAATTCTTGATCACAAATAAGAAATAACATGTGGCTTAACTGTGGCTGGGGTGGGGGAGAGTTTAATATTTAAAAGATCCCCTCACATTCTTTAAAGTACAGTGGTACCTTGGGTTAAGTACTTAATTTGTTCTGGAGGTCTGTTCTTAACCTGAAACTGTTCTTAACCTGAAGCACCACTTCAGCTAATGGGGCCTCCTCCTCTTGCTGCTGCACCGCCGCTGCACGATTTCTGTTCTCATCCTGAAGCAAAGTTCTTAACTCGAGGTAATATTTCTGGGTTAGCGGAGTCTGTAACCTGAAGCGTATGTAACCTGAAGCGTATGTAACCCGAGGTACCACTGTATGATATTAAGACTTAACAGAAATAACTCACATCCTCTCTGAAGGCTCAAATCCATGCACGCAGGGCTCGAAACTCATCAGCATAACAAAGATCTACAAGAGAAGTCAAAGCCAAGAGTTAAATCAAGTGGTAGGGAGAATAGTCTTGATTAAGCTGCCTTGCGACCCAAGGGTAAGCCTATTCAATCCACTGGAGCCAATAGGAGGCTGGAATTCATATTAAAAAATGGGCAATGGCCGACTGTTGCAGGGCAAGGGAATACAGACTTAACAGGCACAGACATAAAACATGGAACATGAGGCCCACAAATAATATCCTGGCCTTCCAATGCTTTTGCATGCTCCATGTGTCCCATAATTTAAAAGTGCACCAGCTGCAGGATCCAGAGCATAGTGAGCAAATAACCACAAATCATTCTAACAGAGGATCATGGAAGGCCAGGCGATTGCTCAGAACCCCATGTATCACTTACATTGTAACTATAAATATTTGAGATGACACCCTGAAAAACTGGCCAGAAGATGCCTCTGGGAAGCTCCGAAAGCATGGTATGAAAGCCAGTATCCTCCTCTTGATTTCTGTCCCTGGCACCTGCTTTTTAGAGGGATAGAGGCTCTGAACACAGAGGTTTCATATAGACATTATTGCCAAAAGGGGTGTAGTTGGAAATCCAGTGTGGTGTACAGTAGTGGTTAGAGTGCTGGACTATAACCTGGGAAACCACAGTTCAAATCCCCACTAGATATGAAGCTCACTGGGTCACCTTGGGCAAGCCAGTTGATCAGGTTAAACTACCTCACAGGGTTCTTTTAATGATAAGATGGAGAGGGCAGAACAATGTACACCACCTTGAGACTTGGTAGCCATTTGTTGAGCCTCTGAAACCGGGGGCCTTCTTGGGGGAAAAGATGGTATAAGAATGTATTAAACCAATAGATTTATCCTCTGCAAATCTGATTAATCTTTTTGAAAAGCCAGCCAAGCTAGCAACTAACACCTTGCAGCAGACGGATCTGTATCTGGCTAACCAAACTTGGTGCTCGCCATATGTTCTGGGAGTTGTAGTCCAAAACATCTGTGGGGCACCAGGGTAGAGAAGGCAGATTCTACACAACGTTGTTTTGATCCCAACAGTTCCAGTCACCTGAACACACGTCTGCACACACTGTGACCTCTCTTTCAGGGAAAACTTAGAGAGAAGCCTCAGGAGGTTCTTCAAGAGAAGGAAGAGGGCCTCCCGGATCTGAAGCAGCTCCTGTGCAGAAAAGTAAATCTCTTCTTCCTGGTCGTCGTCGTCTTCTTCAAAGTTCTCATCTACCTAGAATGGCAAGAAATGGGACAAGGATTTGAAAGAGCAAGGATGCTCCACTGGCAGCCTGCAAGTCCACTCCCAATAAATCTGAACTGGCCCACATCAAATTTGAACACACACCAAAAGGACTGACCACTAAGCAGAGCAAAAAAACCAGACGCCCGAGAGGTGAAGGAGACAAATGTACCTGTAAGCCACCCAAAGATCTGTAGCACGTTTGGGAGCAAATCATCTAGGGAACCGTAAGATTCCTTCCATAGAAGACATGCTTAGCTGAAAAGGCTTGCACATTTAGACAACTGGCATCAATACATTTTATACCAGTTGGCCATGCCTGCTCTAGCAAGCTACCAAATTTTAAAGCAACATAAAGAGTCTGCTCACCATTCAAACCAGAAGGAAAACTGGCTTCCAAAAGTTGTAGAAAATGAGGGATCGCACATTCGAGCATTACTTTTCTCTGAGTTTTTGTGTGCATTTGTGTTTGCTATAATGGTGAAGCCTTAACTGATGTGTGGTGACCATTTTATTACAGTTGCTGACAGTCAACAAGGGTGCCTGTTTGTGTAGAAAGACACACTTCACACTTTCAGACTTGTCTCTGGAGCTTGGAGTAACGTTCAACAATACAGAATGGCTACCTCTGGCTAGATGAATCACTTCTCCTTGGAGGTGGGAAGGTTTTTTTTATAGAATTTCGGTAACGCATGGGTAATTTTCTTCTTACCATTGTGTTTTCCTCCCTCAGTGGCTTTCCCCTCTTCTTCCGATCACCCTTACAGCTTTTAAGATGGTCTTTTTTCCTTTTCCTGGACATGTCTGAGTCATGGGGCCAGCATTTAGACAGAGTCTGGAGGCATTTTTCAAACATCACTGGATGGAACACCCGGTTAACTATGCTACCTGTCCAAAAAGGAAAGGTGGACAAAAAGCCTGCACTTTAAGGAAACAGCATTTCTATACCGGCACATCAACCATCACCATAAGCAGCATAGAGCTAAGCAAGGCAAAAAGGGGAAGGAGCATTTTGCAGCTCTAACACAGCATGTTGGCTAACTTATCAGAAGCAGAAAATCCAAATATGACCCTACCCTATGAATGAAAGTATACTAATCCCCACCACCCCACTAAATATTAGATAGACACCATCTCTGCTGTCTTTTCAGTAGTCACTGAATACATTCCTCTTTCAAGAAGCCTTTTAAGTAGAGATTTTTCCAGGTCTGTATCTGCATTGGAATTGCTTCTAGGTGTTTTATCGCTTGTGTGCTTGCTACCCTAGGCTCCCTTGGAAGGAAGGGTGGGATATAAAGTTAATAAATGATAATAATGAAAACAAAATGGATGACTTGCTGTCTTTTAGCAGGATCCCCAAAGCTCTGAGTTAAGACAGACCCCCTCACACTGCCTAAAGTGGGGCAGGCCCAGATTAAAACCCTCAGTGGGAAGCATCCATTTCAAATCTTCATTTGTTCGCGAACTTATTGGACTTTGGTTATAAGCAACGTTTGCACCTTCATCCCCGGCTTCACTGGCCGGCCTCCTCCCTACACTCCAAGTCCTTCCATCATTGGTGCCTTGGCCAGCTGACACCATCACTTCCTTCAAGACAGCAGTGATCTCCTTCATGAGTCACTCCCAGCACTGCAGCTAAACCAATAAACACAGAGCCTGTCCTCCACTCTGCCATTTTAACTATTTTTGACAGCTTATGACAGCCTTGCAAGTAACTTCACAACTATTACTAACCAACAATTTTATTTTTATTTTGATGGCCTACTTGCCCCATGTATACCCAGCTCAATTGTCTTTGGTCCATTAAGGGTGGAAAATCTGATTGCCTGGAATTAATTCTCTGTCACCACAGGCAGCCAGGAGATTGCTTATTTACTGGCCTGATTTAGCATAGCCTCATTGATACCCATCAAGCTTATATCCAGTTACAAACATGCAGGGCGACTGTGCAAAGGACTGGCAAAAGTGTTATCCAAGCATCTCTCCTGCTTACCTGGAATTTCAACCAATAAGAAGTATAATCCAGCAGCATGAAGAGCATACAACCGCTGATGAAAATTGGCGTTTTTACTCTGGGCCTCTTGGACAAAGTGATACAAAACAGCGACAAAGGCATTGTGGCAGATATTGTTCTCCACAAACAGGGTCCAGGCACTCTGAAACAAAAGGAAAAAAATATGACAAGAAGAAACACAACACCTGCCATATCACGACATCAAATATCCACATGGGAGCCCACTGCATGTTCTGAGTTTCAAGGGAGAAAGCGTTACTGGTTCAACTTTCCCAGCTGCACAATTGGTTCAGAGCAGGGGTTGCCATGCTTTTGACCTTCAAGGAAGGTTTTCCACATTTCCTGGCCTACTGAGGAACTCCTGCATGCCACAGAAGATTCTGGGACATGACAGTGCATGCTGAGCTCACTGGCTAGGCCCATCAGGCCTCATTATCGTGCCATGACACTTGAGAGCATGTCCTAGAAAACTCCCAATACTTGTCTGTGTCTGCACATTCCCAAAGAGCAACCATAGTGGCAGTGGTTTGCAGGCTCCATCTCAGATAATCCCAGTCATTAGTCTTCTCATCAAGGAAACCCATTAAGTTTCCTAAGATTTCCAGAGTTCCTCAGAAATTGGTTAAAAAACACTGGCTTGAAATAATCACCACCTATACCAGGCGAGGAGCCCGTGGCCCTCCAAATGTTGATGGACTACAACTCCCATCATCATCACTCACCATTGGCAATCTAGTTAGGGCTGATGGGAGTTGAAGTCCTGCAAAATCTCTCTCCCACACCTGATGGAATGGCTATAATCCTTGGGGATTACATAGGGCATGTTACAGATGACGATCACATGGAAGGCTGGGATTCTGTGCAATTAGGAATGCTTGAAGGTTGCAATTCTATATAATTAGGAGTGCTGGTTTAACTCTGCTGGTTCCCAAGGGCTTAGGTGTAGCTCAACTCTGAATAAGGATCAGGCTGTACATGGTCAAACAACAGGCTTCAGGGAGGCAAGAACTGTTATGTATCCTGCCAGAGCTCTAACTGCCAGTCTTTTGCAAACCTATCCCCAACCTGGTGCCCACCAAACACTTTGGACTACAATTTCCATCATTCCTGACAATCGGGCCATGCTGACTGGGGCAGTTGGGAGTTGCAATCCAAAACATCTGAAGGGCACAAAATTGGGAAATGCTGGATTAAAATCTCCACCAATGAATTAGAACAAAACAAGCCAATCTTTGCTAACATCACAAACATGCTTCTTACTTCTGTGGTTTCGTGGTCATCTGCAGCGAAGGGGTAGAGAGCCATGTAGAGTTGGGAAAAGGCATCCAAACCATTGCCCGTTATCACAGCCTCTAGTTCAGAATCCAAAGGCTCAGTCTCTGTGAAATCTAGCTCCCAGGTTGTGTCAACCCAGGCTGGGGAGGAAAAAGGTTTATTAGAATGTATAAAGATGTTTTCAGACCAGAAAGCTTTCCCTCAGTTACAAAATGCAGTGACCATCTTACAACATACGGTAATAAAATGGAATCACATTACTTCACTAGAATCCAATGAAGCTTTGGGGGAAGACCTGACAGCTTGAACAGTGTAAAACTAAGCAAGGCAGATAGCCCAAAACAGCATGCAAACTCTAACACAGCTGAACACAGGCATAAAATATGACAACCTCCTGAAGATTTAGATTTTTTTTAAAGACACTATTAATTATAAAATGGAGACAAAAGACAAACATCAAACATACTGGTACACAAAGAGAAAAACAAAGGATTAGAATGGGCAAAAGGGTGGAGAATGAAATAGAAAATAATACCCTATATTAATTCACACGATGCATTTTTTTATAGTCACAATGCAAGGCATCAAGAAATAAGTTTTTTAAATAATTTCCCTTCTGAGGAAGAAAACCCCAAACAACTGACCTGCTGGGAGGTTCAGGAATAAAACATCAGGCATTACTATGTCATTATCTTTTTATTTGAGGTGGTGAACAGGGGGTTGAAGCATAAATTAGAACCTTTTATTAAAACTAATTATGGCATATCAGCTTCTGCAGTTCCAGAGCAAACATCGAAACATGTTTCATTAAAAAAATTGCCAGTGCTGGGGCACAATAATCCTCACGCTTTTTAAGATTCCAAGTCATTCAACATCCTTATTACAAGGATAGGAGCCAATGGCCAGGTTCGGTTCAGTTTCCCTTCAATATTTTAGGGCCTGTTGGAAGCCACCTGCATTTAAAAGAGTGAATAACTTGGCACCCTATGTGATGCTTCCACCCCAAATGTTAAAATATTGTAGTTTGTAATTACAGGACATAGCTCAACTTGCATTTCATTCAGTGATGGCTTCAATAGAGCAAGGATTGCTCCTTTGAGAGCTATTTGCCATATTAGCATCACCTAATTGCACTGATTATTGTTTCACGGTGAGAACTGTGAGCCTACAGAGGATCCAAAAGTCCCTGACAAGATCAGGGTTTTTTGATTTACAGAAACAGAAATGAGGTCCTTATGCTTGTTGGGTGGTTGTCAAGACATCTGCAGGGAAACACAATGACTCATCAACACTCCACTGCAATTGAAACAGGTCAAATCACACCAAAAATTCCTTAATCAGAGTAGAGGTCGAGTTCTGCAGTTCACAGACTCTTGCTGTTAACAGAGCACAGACAATTCCAAGCTTCTGTTATGGAATAGATTGTCTAGGGAGCGTTAAAATTTTCCCCCCTTTGAGATTTAATGAAAGCTACACTGTATTTTTTTTAAAATAATTTTTATTAACCGACCAATCAAATCAAATCACATCACAAATTCCGAATTTTAAATTTTTGTTGAGGGGACCCATATTTCAAGATCCGAAGGGGGATTCTGATCATCTTCTTGCTACTGCGTTCATATCTTGCTGTTTCCACATCTCATCTTGTTCGTATATTTTTTCTTTTTTCTTTAAGATCTCTTCTGATAATCTCCTTAAGCAGAAAAACACCAATTATATCCTGTGTGGATTTTTCTGTTCGTCCAATCCTCATATCGAGATGGCTTCCATATATCATCACTTTCATAAATAACATCGCTCTTCCCATCATTAATCTCAGGATCTGTCGTTCTTAAGTCCCACTGAGGAGTCTCACCCACAATATAAAAACAGCTCTATTCCTCCTCCCAGACTCAAGTCCTCCAACAGAGCTTGCCAATATGGTGATGGTATTTTTAACTGCATCATTCCAGAGCTCTTAAACCTTCCACGTTCTTCTTAAAACATGCTTTGGTTAGAAAATTTATCTCCACACAGTCGTAAATCCACAGCTTAAGTCATTAAAACGGCATTTCTGACTTGTGAGGGGGGGGGGATTCTTGTTTAATCACATAGAGGAAAGAAAGGCAAGTTTTTTCCCCCTCCCCTATCCAGTCCCTTTGCCATACCGAGTCTTGGCATATCTTCTCATGATTGATTCTTGTTCCTCCGACTCGTCTTGTTTAACAGAGAACTCTTCAGTTAGCAGTCTTTACTCCCCCTCCTTCCTTGAAATATGTGCATTCGCTTCTTCATAATTGTTCCTTTTGAAGTTCTTGCAGCTAGCAGCACGGATCAGAGACAGCGTCCAGGAGCACCGAGATCCACAGGAGGGCATTCTGCCTAGTGCCCCCATCCCTACAAATTCGGGGGTGGTATAGGGCACAGCAGGCAAGGGCAGCCCCCCCCCCCCCACAATCTTGGGGGGGTAGGGAGGCTATTTACTCCCATCACAGCCTCCTAATTACCCCCTGTGGGTCGGAGAGATGTTATTGTCAGCCATCTTCCGATGCGCCCCTAGTGGCCCCTCGAAAGCTACACTGTAGAAGCCAACAATTATTGTCTAGATTTGAACAACATACTTGCTTTCTTGCTTTATTTGGAATTCCCATTTTATACTTAGCAGTAATCACACAAGACTATTTTTAAAGAAATTTAGAGGATTTTTTCTTTGTCTTCAGGCAACTGTATTCTCAGTGGCTTACATGCAATCAAAACAAGACAGTTCCTGCCCACAGACTTACAATCAAAAAGAGATGACACAAAAGGAAAAAGGGATAGGGAGGGAAAAGGAGGAAACAAACAAATAATAGCTCTTCTAATGACCACTTAGAATGACAACATTTCTATTTACTGCTGGATTTGCAGGCAGTGTTCAGAGGGCCTGATAGAAATGGCAACTGAACTAGAATTACATGTACTGTAACCTAAAATATCCTTTGTCTTGGGACTTTGACCTGCTACTCCTTCATCCAGGAATGAGTTTGCATGCCATATGATAGGGTACTTTCCACTGCTGATCACTAAAACCTCTTCTGTATGCCTCTGCATTTTCAGAAATAATATATACTGCTTTAGTAGCTGTGCATCAATATCTAATTGCACTCTAATAAAGAGTTTTTTACATGGTTAATGGTTCCAAGCATTTTATACAAATGGACACTGTCAGTGACACCAGTATCTGTATGTAATTGTTATACTCATCTAAATCTTGATAAAGTGTACATTCAGTGAAGGTGTGATGTTGCATTTTACCAGTAAAGATCAAATATGCATCAATTCTTAAACCTTTTGAGGGAGATCCAGGATTGGTGGTGGTTTATGTATAACTGTCACTAATTGTCTGTGAAGGTTTGAATTATTATCATCACCACCATCATGATTTATTACCCACCCTTCATCCTAAGGTCTCAGGGCAAGTTACTGAAGATACAAACACACACAAAACTCCCTCAGTATATGAATACATTTTTGCGTGCACACACACACACACACACCAATGATGTGATTTTGGTGGGGGTAGGTTGTATGCACAAGGCCCCTTCCAATTCCTGGATGCAGCACAGATTCAATTCCTGAAACAGCAAGGCTAGCTTTAAGTATGGGCCATTAAGGTAACAAAGGAAGAGGCTCAGGTAGGTAGCAGTGTTGGTCTGAGGCAGTTGATATATTGATAGATAGAGTCCAGTAGCACCTTAGAGACCAACTAAGTTTGTTCTTGGTATAAGCTTTCGTGTGCATGCACACTTCTTCAGATACACTGAAACAGAAGTCATCAGACCCTTATACAGTATATAGTGGGAAGGTGGGGTGGGGTTTTTCTCAGGACAGGTGATTGACTCAATGGGTATGGTAAACCTGTTGGCTAATTGCAGTTTAGTAGCGCTGCAGAGAGCTTGCTGGGGAGACCATGCAATACAAGGAACTTTAACAAGGTTTTAATAACAAAACAAAAACTCCTTTTACACTAAAGATAACAACAACAAACATGACCCAACTACCAACCCACCCGCCAGGGTAATGGGAGAGCTAGGTGCTGCCCCTTATCTACTACACTCAATTGCTGACACAGCTTGATTAACACAACTCAGCAGCACCTGCTATGTTTCACAGCTGTAAGACTGGGTCTCGTTATTTGCCCTGGCCCTGGCCCTGGCCCTTAAAGACATACACAACTTGTGAAACAATAATGAACCTTCACATTTTAAAGTGACCATTCAACAAAACCGTCCCAGACACCAAATGGGTGGGTGGCCCTCCATCAACTCACAGGTAGCTAGAAAGACAAAAGCCAGAGTTGAAAGTTGAGTTATGTGCACTAGAAGCTGGCAGGCTGCGCGGCTAGGAGACAGCTATGCCTAATTTCTACTGGAATCCAAGGTTGGGACGGAGAGTTCGACAGCAGATTCTCCCCCTCTGCCACAGTGCACATATGTGTGTGTCTGTGCATATAAAAAGGACCCAGAAGTCCTGCCTCTCACCCTTTGTATGTATATATTATTTAAAAGAAACCATTAAAAAAGAGTCCAAGCAGCTTACAAAAATACATGAAACCAGAGTAAAAACCACATAAAACAAGTTAACAATGGGTATCAATTAACCATTGTAGAATATGTGCTCTTAATTGGCTGCATAGGCCCGGCAGAGTAGAAAGGTTTTCTGCCGGCGTTAAAAAGTTAAACCGTGTTGGAGAGCGAGGTTTGATGGGTCCCTTATATATGTTTACTGTATACAGAAAGGACCCAGGAGTCCTGCCGCTCTTCCACAACCAATGAAGGACTCGAGGTCGCTATCCCAACCCCGCCCGAAGCCGCGGCACTCACCCTGGCTAACATCACGGAGGCCCCACCGCCCCAAAGCGCAGAACAACCTCTCCGCCGCCATCGTTTCTGCCGCTTCCGTCGAAGCGACTCCAGCCTAAATCCCCGCCGCTGCCTTCGAACCGTCCAATTACCGCCTGCCCTCCCCGTTAGCCAATCACCGCCGCCCCGAGACGGGAGGGAGTGGAGCGGGCGCTGGCCTCTCGCACTGCGCCGGCGCACCAAGGGCCGTGGACCCCGCCTCCGCGCGCGCCTCGGAAGGAGGAGGACGGCGCATGCGTCCCGTGAGCGCGCTGGGGTGGAGGGACGGAGAGGCGGGCCTTCCCCTCCCCGGCTCCCCCTCCTCCCCTTTGCCCAGGAACTGGAAGGGCGCGTGCGCAGTACGAGGCCCCTGGTCCGGGACGCGGCGCGAGCTCCGCAGCCAGCAGCGAGCGCAGCCCAGGCGAAGGCGGGGAAGAGGCAGCGCATCATCGGAGCGGCGGCGGCGGCTGTCATCCTTCTTCCTTTATTTTATTTTTTTGCAAAGGCCCGGCTGTGCAGTGAATGCTCCGGTGCTGCGTTGCATTTCGCTGCACGGCATTGCTCTCCGGAGCCTCGGGCCTTCCTGCAGCAGCCTCCCTCCGCCACCTTTTCCTTTCCTCCCAGGGAGCAACGCCTCCGCCGATTTTCCAACCCCTCCCCCCCATTCCACCTCTCTTATTTATTGATTTATTTATTTTTAGTTATTATTTAAAAACCCCAGCGAAGTGGGCCCGTAGATTGCACACGCCTACCCGCTCCGCCCGCTCCCCCTTCCTCAGCAGCAGAGTCCTCCGTGCATGCTTCTCCCGATTCCCTGCCGAAGCTGCTGCTCCCCCTTCCCCCGTTACCACCAACCATGTCCCCCACGGCTTGCAACGTTGCATTCCGTCTCCAGCTGTGAACGCCCCTTCCCGCTTCTCCTCCTTGCACGCCCACCTTCCTTGCATTGGCGCCCGAAGGTGAGAGAGCAGCGCCCCCAACCTGGGGCTGCCTTGATCCCTGCCAGTTCTTGGGTCTAGCCTTTCCACGCCTTCGGAGCTGTAGCTTGCAGAGCATCAGTTATCATTCTTCTTATTGGGTCCAAACAGCACCTGCCTACCCCCCTTCCTTCCATCACCCCCACCAAATAGTCCTCCTTTTGCTCTGAGCCCCTTTGCCCAACAGAGCCTTAGTCCTGCCCATCACACCCAGGTTTCCTTATGCACCAGGATCCTGTGGTTTCCTTTTCTTACTTTGGTAACTGTTTTTTAGCCAGACAAGCCGAGATTGCATCGTGGGCTGGCAAGGTTGCTCCTCCTTCACAGCATTGGTGAAAGCTCCTGCCTGGAGAACAAGGCTTGCACAGCCACCCCAAGGTGCTGCTTGCCCCGTTCTGTGCTGCTCGGCACCGCCTTAGCCTCCTGAGGTGCTGCATCCCTTCCCCGACATCGCCATGAGCTTCTTTGGGTTCGGACAAAGTGCGGATCTGGAATTGGTCCTGAGCGACGCAGAGAGCAGGCGCCGGGCAGAGCATAAGACCGAGGAGGGCAAGAAGGAGAAATATTTCCTCTTTTATGACGGTGAGACGGTTTCAGGGAGGGTCATCCTCACCCTCAAGCACCCAAACAAACGGCTGGAGCACCAGGGCATCAAGGTGGAGTTCATTGGGCAGATTGGTAAGTTCGGTCGGTACTTGCCATCCATGGTGGCAAAACTAAACCTCCATCAGTTGGTGCAGTTGGGTTATTTGGGGCCACATTCACACCATACATTTAAAACACTACCATACCAAAAGTCATGGTTTCCCTCCTAGTAGAATTATGGGAACTGTGGTTTAAGGATTCTGAGAGTTGTTAGGAGACCTCACAGAGCCACTGTTCTCAAGAGTCCCCTGGGAAGGAGTGGTGGGAAACCACTCTGGGAATTGTACCTCTGTGAGTGGGATAGGGGCCTTCCAACGGCTCTCAGAACCCTTAACAAACTACAGCTCCCAGCATTCTTTGGGGGAAGCCATGGCTATTCAAAGTGGTGTCATAGGAGTTTAAATATATGGTCAGAATGTGGCCTTGGACTCTGGATTTATTGGTCTTTGGGTGGGGTGGGGAGAAAGAGTGGCTTTTTAGATAGCAATAAGCCTCCACAGTCAAAGGCAGAGATGCTTCTAAATACCAGTTGCTGAAAGCCACAGGAAGGGAGAGTGCTGTTGTGCTCAAAGTCTGCTTGCAGGGTGTTCCACAGGCATCTACTTGGCCGCTGTGAGAACAGGATGCTGGATTAGATGGGTCATTGGCCTGATCCAGCAGGCTCTTTTTATGTTCTTATGTAGTCACGTCTTGAACATGTGGATGTCTGCCCCTGACTCTGACAGCAGGGATGGTGCTGAGTATGTCAAAGGCTCAGGGTCTGGGTTGGTTGGTAAAAACAATTTGCTGGGAGTAGTTTGTATGCATAGATGCACATAGATGTCACAAAAGGCAAGCTAATGTAATTCCCCATCCAGATAACCCCAGTTAAATTATTCAATTAATGTGCACGCGTGCACTTGCAGATCACCCCAAACCAACTCCTTTTCTAGTCGTCCGCCCCCAGTTAATTTTCCCAATGGGTTCTGCTCCAAATCAGTTTAGTTCTAGTTCAGTTGCCCCTATTCATTATCCACCCTGTATCACCTTCACATAAAGTCATCTTCATTTAGCCCCCCCAAATTTAATATTCTACCCAGTACAGGCAACTCCATGTGTCAACTGGACACGCCTGTAATGGTCCCCGCCTGAAATTCAAATCAATTTCCTCTGAATGTGTTATTCAGAATCCACTGGGCTGTTGAAAAAGATTTGTGTAGGATGTCTGGCAGCATCACCACATTTTCCGTGTATGGTCTCAAGACACATTCATGAACGGTAGGGCTATCTGTGGCAACTACCCATGATGGCCGTGTTGTACCTCCAGTGTCAGAGGCAGTATCCTCTGAATATTAGTTGGTAGGAATCATGCTGTTGCATTCAGGTCCTGCTTCTGGGCTTCTCATAGGCATGCTGTGGGCCATTGGCCTGATCCCATAAGGCACTCTTTGTGCTCTTCTGAGTCAGTATACCTCTTGGTAAGAAGAGTGGGCTGATTTTCATGCTGGATAGGTCTACTCAGAGCTATCAGGCAAGATGGATGAATAGAAGCTCTATGTATCAAAGCAGTGTACCCCTTAGTATAAAGGGAAAAGAGAGAGAGAGAGGCCTAGTGAACAGAACCTCACAGACATAACTAGCATATATATCTCTTTATACCATATGCTGAAGGAGAAGAATAGTTGGGAAAGGGAACTGTTTTAATAGATAGACCGTACAGGCTCTGGGTTCTTAATGTGCTGATAATAGGCACATCTCCTTGTCAAATTCAGCTCCACCATGTTGTAAGCAAGCGAAGGTGTTTCTGAATTTTCAAGGGGGACCCCTTCCATTTTTCTTATTGCTACTTTTGAACACAGCCATTGATTTAGCCTAGTTGGAGGGTGAAGAACCTGTGGCCCTCCAGATGTTGCTGGGCTGCAACTCCCCATCATCCCTGGCCATTTCCCATGCTGGCCGGAGCTGATGGAATGAGAGTCCAACAACTCTTGGAGTTCCCTAATCTTTGGCTTAGTGTTGCCTTGTCCCAGCCTGGAAAAGCTGTGCTCTCTGTGGTTTACAATCCTTCCAGTGGTGTTGACCATGGTAGATGGGGAGGGTAGCAGGCAGGGGCACGTGGACCATATCCATCCATGTTGATTTCCAGCATCTGTTTCTTGCATTGCACTGTCTTTAAAAAGAGAGACAAAGAGAAAGTTGGTGTTTCTGGCTGCTGTGACTCACAGCCACTGACAGCCTTCAGGTGGGAGCCTAAGAAGCAGCCTTGTGCTGAGTCAGACCACTGGGTCCATCTGACTCAGCATTCTCTACGTTGCCTGGCTGACGGTGGCCCTCCAGGGTTACAGGCAGGGGTCTCTCCCGGTCCCAGCCCCACCTGGAGATTGAACCAGGGACCTTCTGCTTGCAAGGTAGATGCTTTGCCCCTGAGCCATGGCCCTCTAATGAATCTAACTATTGGGTCTGTCCTGACTTGTATTGTCCTCTTCAGTAGGTTACTGCTTTTCCTGCATCCCAGGCAAATTCCTTCCTGTCCCATAGCAGGCAGTGATGGCCACCAACCTGGATGGCTTTGAAAGAGGATTAGACAGATTCATGGAGTAAAAGGCTGTTGGCAGCTGCTATCTAGGATGGCTGTATTCTGCCTCCATTGTCAGAGACATAATTCCTCTGAAAACCAGTTGCTGGGAATTGCATGTGGGCGGAGTACTGTTGCACTCAACGTCCAGCTTTCAGGCTTTCCACGGACATCTGATTAGCCACTGTGCGGGCAGGATGCTAGACTAGAGGATCTATTGGGCTGATTCAGCAGGTTAGTTTTATGTTCCTGCTACTTGCTCCTTTTAACTGGAGGTGCCAGGATTCAACCTAGGACCTTATTGGGTGTGCCAGGCAAATGCTTTACGGCTGAGCTACAGCCTGCTTTGATTTTTGTTCTCACCAGCCGTGAACTCGGGGTTTTCTTCTGAGAATACTGATGTTTGCTTCTGCCAATAATGGTAGAAAAGGTTACCTGACTATCATTTATTTGCGCAACTGCTGATCAGTGGGTGGATGCAAGCTGCTTGTCTGAATACCAGTCATTGGGGAGCAACAGCGGCAGAGGTCTCTTGCGCTGATGGGCTCAAAAACTGTATAAGCATGATGATGGTTGGGCACAACAAGTCTACACTTAAACTGAGCATGCATGCAAATATAAGTAGTAGTCAGTGTTTTATGACAAGGCCAACTGTTAACAACAATCTCTTTAGGCACCTTAAGTTATTAGCAGTAGTGTGGTAAATTCAGAAGTGCAGGGTTCCTTCATGATAGTCACAGCCCCCTGGAAACTGCTGACCCTGAATCTAGGGTCCCTCTAAAATGTAAGTTGCAGTTAATCTGCTTTTTCTTATCCCCTATTTTCCTATCTGGGATTTGATCGCCTGCCCACGCATCCATTGCCCTTCAGGTTGATGCTCATGTTACCCTTTAATACAGTGCTATTCCGTCAAGTTCCAGCTGAGAAAAAGCCCTGCTTTCATATATGAACCCACATGATTCTTTACCAGCACAACCCAGGCACCTAACAATGTTGACCTGGAAATGGCCACAGGCATCACATTTGATTGTGATGCAGGTGTTGAGAAAGTGTATACCCTGGCCCACCTCCTTGTCAGTGCAAGGGAACCCAAACTTAATACATGTACTTGGCATAGACATTCTTAACGTTGCACTCTGTGGGCAACACTTGCATCACAAAATCTGTGCATGCAGGAAAAATAAACTTGAGAATCCCAAATATCCGGGAGCATTTGGAACACCAAACTAGCATGTTGAAGAGACAGGGGTTGGCTGTGGTTGTGTGAAGGATCCGCCGCATGCTCAGTGTTGCCCCAGCCCCTTCTCCCCTCCTCTTGCAGTCTCCAAAACTGATCTAAGTGGATGGAGTAACAAATTGGGGTTGATTTCTGGCAAACTCATTCGGCTTTGTGAGTTCATTGTTGGCTGGCTCCTTTGCCTGGCTTTCCAGATTACATGAAATGTTGTTACTAACAGTAAATGCTTATGTGGCCAGGATTCTGTACCCGCTTTCGGTTCTCTCTGTGTGGTGCATCCACGCCTCCTAGTCGTTTTTGCAGTCTGAGAAGCCGGATGACATCCCAAGTGCCTATTATTACGTTGGAGGGGGGGGAAATTCTGGCTTTCTATTTTGATTCCCTTGTTCCATGTGGTCAGCTCTGACTGTTCCCTGAGCCAGGGCTTGTGGGAAGAACCTCCCGCCTTCCCCAGCTATACTCTGTCAACCTGTTTTTCCTGCCTCTGCTTATTAGAAGGAACCTGAATGGCAGAAGACCTCAGTTCAATTCTGATTCATCCTTCCAGGTGTGGTATCTAGACATATTAATGGCGTGGCAGGAGCAACAGTAATATGACAGGGAGGACGGCTGTTTGGGGGAGGACTGCAGGTCAGTGGCTCATGCTTTGCAGGTCAGAGCTCATGCTTTGCAGGTCAGAGATCATGCTTTGCAATCAAAAGGTCCCAGGTTCAATCCCCAATAGCTCAAGGAAGGAAGGGTCCACTCACTGCCAACCAGTACTGAACTGGGGGGAGAAATAGTCTGACCTGGCTTAACACAGTTTCCTATTAATCCATCCTTACCTTTTTACAAGGCACCAGATTGTTACCTGCTTTTTCAGATCTAGTTACTGTTTAGTCCATCATTGGTTGGTCCTTCAGCAGGAGCTGAAATCCGATAGGCATAGGATTGCACTACACTCGCTTCCTGGGAGCACAGTACCATTGAACTCAATGAGGTTTTCTTCTGACTTGGCATGTGTAGCCCTGTGACTGTAGTAGAGCCGATGTTTTAAACCTTTGGCCCTCCAGATGTTGCCAAAGGTTGCCAAACTGCAGCCCCAGCAAGCGTGGTCAGGGGTGATGGGAGTTGCAGTTCAGCAACAATTGGAGGGCCAGTGGTTCCCCACGTCTTTAGTACACAAAGCTTTTTTTAAAAAAAATGATGATGTCTTAATTTTACATCCTCAGTAAACATCTGAAAAGTTTTTGCAACAGCTAAGAGTAGTTAAACTGAAACAATTTGATTAGGAAAAGCAAGTTAAATAAATTGTGCTTGGTGTAGTTTAAATGTATGCAAACAATTCAGAGTATTACTTGAAAAATTACTTTTATTGGAATGCTTGCAAACGTTTCAAGACTTGACAACAAAATAGCATACACGTTGCCTGTTACTTCAATTTTAAGAAATAAAGTGAAGGCACTGAAAACTGCTTAACATTTTTATTTTCATGTGCTGGATTAGTTGTGTGCATAAATCTTAGGGAGAAGACGTTTTAAAAAGCTAATTGCAGCTTTGAATTTAGATTTGACTAGTTGCTGTATCCAGTTTGACTTGTATTGTAGTTATTCATTGTGCTACTAATTGATTTTTTATGAAACAATACGTTTCTAAAACTGGTAAGCTTTGCACAAGAAAAATATTGCATTGGAAAGTTTTCTTCAAAAATTCCATGCCAGAAGATTTTCTCCACATCACTGCTTGAGGGAGGGCTGTCATGGCAGTTCAGATGTCTACTGCAGGTGAAAGCCCTAAACAACTTGGGAACCTACTGGCTTTTGGAACTGCTTTTCCCTTGTGGATCTTCCTGGGCCCTAAAATAATCTGCTGATGCCCTCCTCATTTCTGAAGCACAGACAGTGGCAATAAGAGAGAGAGTCTTTTCAGTGGTGGCTCTCTATTTATGGAACACTATTTGTATAGACCAGGGGTCTGCAACCTTTAAGACAAAAAGAGCCACTTGGACCCGTTTCCGAAGAAAAAAAAACCTGGGAGCCGCAAAACCATTGTGACATTTAAAACAAATATATCTCCGGAGCCGCAATCTGACAGTGGGCGGGAAGGTGACGTCGGGACGGTGCGTGACTAACGCACGCACCGCCCCCATGCGACATCACAGCCAGTACAGCGCCCGCCACAGTGGGGAGTGTCGGGGCGCACAATGCACCTCCTCCCCTCGCTAATATCCGCCCCGGAGCTGCGGCAAAGGTGTAAAAGAGCCACATGCGGCTCCAGAGCCGCGGGTTGCAGACCCCTGGTATAGACTCACCTGACACCTAATGTTTTTTCAGCACCAAGGAAATAGATTCTTCCAGGACTTCAAAAACAACTTTTAGAGATTATTTTAGCTTCTCAGATTTCAGCCTCTTTTTAATGTGAAGGTTATTAGTCTTAGGGTTTTGATCTCTATGTGATTGGGCCAGCGTTGATACTTTTTTTTTCTTGTTGATTAGCTGCATCCATTTAAATTGTTAGCTTTTTTTTTGCTGGTGCTTTGATATACTTTACTGCAGGGGTGGGCTGACTTCAGGCTTCTACTTTGCTTTTTACTGGAACCCCTAGATCCACCAACCAGTGCTTGGCCACAAAAGCCTTGTGCTTAGAGCTAAATAATTCTGACCTCAGTGATTTATTTTGGGTACCATAAAATAACAGAGCTCACCGGCTTCACACACAAAAATCTACCGTTGGTTAATCCAAGCTGCTTCTTTCTTTTTCTTCAGCAGCATAATTTATGGCAAGAAGGATTCGTTTTATTGCTTCTATTATTAAACAATTGGGAGCCATAAATCCTTGCTAATCTACTGCTAGTCACTCAGAGATCTAGATCTACCAGTTGCTGCAGGGCTACCTTCTGCCTTAATGTTCATTTCCTATTTTCTTGCACTTCACCTGGAGGCTTCTAGAATGAGGCCACAAATAGCCTTGCTTCACCAAGAATCTTTCACTTCTAGAGCTATATTACGATCGAGGGAACCACCATGAATTCGTGTCACTTGTGAAGGACTTGGCCCGCCCCGGAGAGTTCACCCAGTCACAGACCTTTGATTTTGAATTCACACACGTGGAGAAACCGTACGAATCCTACACGGGGCAGAACGTGAAGCTGAGGTGAGCTCCATCTCGGCTCCTCCAGCCTTTCCCAGTTTTCTCAGCAGCAATGCCACTAAGATGCCACTAAGAAATTGACCTCCTTCAACCTGGTGCCTGGCAGGTGTTTTGGAATACAGCTCCCCACAGCTTCACTGGCTGGGACTGGTGGGAGTTGAAATCCAGAACATTTGGAGCTGTCGGATTGGGGATATCAAGGCTTTGGTTGTCTGAAATAAAGTTACTGTGGTGGAATTAAAAATATGAATCTCTGTGGACTTACTCATATGGGTAAACAAAAAAATAAAAAATAAATATCTAAGTGCCTGGATTCAGAATGCAGAACTTGCACATGAAGAGTCCCAGTAGCAGAGTCTTAAACTCACAAAAATAAACAGCAGTATAGCATTAGGAATATAGGTTGTTAAACATTTTTTATCCCATTCAGCTGCACACAGCAGCTCTTACAATGAGCAAACCACACGCCGTTAAGTAAGTTTAAATGCTTTACTTACAGATTCAAGGTCTCAGTCCTGCATTGCTTCCCCAGATGTTCTTCCTCACTGGTTACATCATGGAAAAGGGAACAGACAAAGGAGGGAATTTGACTTTCTTCCTTCCATGGTGAGGGGTCATGGCAAAGGCTTTGCCAACCCCTTCCTCCCAAGGAGAGGGGGGTGATCTAGCTAAGCCTGGGATGACTTACAGTATGATCATAACTCATGAATGCTAGCTGTATTTGACCACAGTCTCCCAGAGTTTGTATGTATTTTGGTATGTAGAACCAAACCAATTTTTTAAAAAAATTGTTTAATCCACTGGAACCTCCAGCTATTTCCTAGTTGTCCCATTCATGCAAGGACTTCCCTTTGCACGAAAGAACTGCACCCACTCCACTGTGATTTTCTCCGTAGGGTTGTGGGATTGATTAGTGTATAAGCTGCTATGGGAACCTTTTTGGCTGACAGCGGTGCATGTGTGTGTGTGTGTAAAAATTGCATTTTTTTTCTTTAAAGCATTCATATCCCACCTTTCTATCCAAGGCCACTTATTGTCAGTAAACTCAAACAACTGGAAAATCTGAATGCAGTTATAAAAAATCCTAGCATCCAAAATGAAAAGAAAGGTTTAATTTAAGTATCTATTGCAGATGCTTAATAGACATGAATCCTCAGGCTGTTGAGAGACTTGCTACCACAATTGGGTCTTTCTTTTTTGCAGGTACTTCCTCCGGGCCACCGTGAGCCGCAGACTGAATGACGTGGTGAAGGAGATGGACATTGTTGTACACACGCTTAGCACGTACCCAGAACTTAATTCCTCCATCAAGATGGAGGTGGGCATTGAAGATTGCCTGCATATTGAGTTTGAGTACAATAAATCCAAGTAAGTTGTTCCACAAAGGCTTCCTAGTGAATGAGTTGGGTATTTGAGGTTTGTATACGGGGATGTAGCCAAGTGACTAGGGAGACGTCCCTTGGAGATTGTGACTTTGTCCTTGTGCACTTCTTCTCCCATGGATGGTCTTCTTGGTTGCGTGGCAGGCAGTCCCTTAAAAGAGGTGCAGGGGAAAACCTTAGGCCCTCAGGAGGTTGCTGAGTGACCACTCCCATCAACCTTGGCCATGCTCGCTGGGTGATGGGAATTGTAGCTCAGCAACATTGGGAGAGCCCAAGGTCCCCCACACTTTCCTTAAAGAATGGCAATAGCTTGGTGGCAGTATCCATGCAGAAGGTCGCAGGTTCAATCCCTTGGATGTCCCAGTAGGCCTGAGAAACCTCGGAGAGCCATTGCCAATCAGTATAGACCAGCTTTGGGGAACCAGTTTGTAAACTAGCAACATCTGGAGGGAAAAGGGTTCCCCACATCTGTCCTTGACCTGGCTGGAACTTACGAGAGACAGGAGTCCAACAGGGCTGGGCAATATCTGGTTTCCAACATTGCAATATGTCATCAGCTAAATAAGGATGGAGCTATGTAAAGATGGACAGTATGGCTCAGTGTTAACTAGTTTTCACTTTGTGATATATCGCCTGCTAAGCATTGTGATATAATGATATATCACAATGTCTGAAATAAGGATGGAGCTGGTTTTGAACCTCATGATGTAACACCAGCTAAACACTGTGATATGCTTGCTATTATATAACAATGTCTGAAATAAGGATGAAGCTATATAGAGGCATTGGCTGGCTTCACAGTTTTTCCCACATTGTGATTTTTTGCATAGCACACAAACACACATCTTGAGACCCAATATATTTCCAGGTCAAAACTTATGAAACCAATAGCACAGGCACCCCCAAACTCGGCCCTCCAGATGTTTGGGGACTACAGTTCCCACCATCCCTGACCACTGGCACTGTTAGTTAGGGATGATGGGAGTTGTGGTCCCAAAACATCTGGAGGGCCGGGTTTGGGGATGCCTGAAACAGCATAATATGGACTTGAAACCAGTTTTGGACAATATATCACCTGGCCCTAGAGTCCCAACATCTGGGGGGACCTGTCATTCTATTTTGTTGTTTAAAGGTTGTTACCTATTTGTTAATGCTTGTTTTGACCCACTTTGATCTGGAAAAGCTGGGTAGATTTTAAAAATAAAATAAAATAAGCAACATGCAATTAAAATAAAATAAGCAACTGTGAAAGGAGAGATTCTCTGGTCTGTTGAGTCTACTTCCTCTGTTGATTTCCGGCTCTCTCCAGGTACCATTTAAAAGACGTGATTGTTGGGAAGATCTACTTCCTCCTAGTGCGGATCAAGATCAAGCACATGGAGATTGACATCATCAAGAGGGAGACCACGGGGACCGGCCCTAATGTTTACCATGAAAACGATACAATAGCTAAATATGAGATCATGGATGGGGCACCTGTCAGAGGTAAGGAGGGATTCCTTGGAAGGATGCCCCAAGGCAGCCATCCCCCCCCCCCAACCTGGTGGCTTCTGATATTTTGGACTGTAGCCCCCAGCCAGCATAGCCAATGTTGAGGAATGACGGCAGTTGTAGTCCCAGCAACATTTGTTAGTGCATCATCCCTGTGCTAAAGGGATATGCCGGTTTCAGGTGGTTAACCTGGCTTCTCATGCTAAAAAAGGCATGAGTTGTACCACCGAGCTGCAGCCCCTCTCCACAACACTCTTTTACATTCCTCTTCCCCCACCCACTTTTTTTGCACATTTACTTAAAGCATCTCAAGAAAGCAAAAATGCAGCATTAAAACTGTGCTATAAGAGCATATCAGAACGGGGATTTGGGGAATTTATACAGATCAAAACAAGGGTAGCGGCCTCTCAATTTCACACTTTGGCCTTGGTAGCTGAATGAGGACTGGAACTCTGGTCTCCTTGCCCCGAACCCAACACTAGGAGTGGCTTCCAGATGTTCCTAGATACTGTTCCTGTCATTGCTCACCATTGGACCTGCTGGCTGGGGCTGATGGGCGTTGTCGCTCAGCCATGCCTCAAAGGCTGCAGGTGCTGTATCCCTGCCCAGTGCACCTATTTGTTGCACCATTGCTTTTGCTCCAGTGGAAACGTGAAAACAAAACCAGTGGGAAGTTCTGTTCATCTTACGCTTTGATGTTATAAGTGTGTTCCAGCTTGGAAAATTGGTTTTGATTGGCCTCCTTTGCAGGGGAGTCCATCCCCATCAGGCTCTTCCTCGCTGGCTACGAACTGACGCCGACCATGAGGGACATCAATAAGAAGTTCTCAGTGCGCTACTATCTCAACCTCGTGCTGATTGATGAGGAGGAGCGGCGCTATTTTAAACAGCAGGTGAGGTGGCGTGGGGCCCTACCGGGACAGCTGCCTGAGGTCCCAAGCGGGCAGGCCTGTTATGGGAACTTCGACGGAGACAGTGGGGCCGTTGTCTCTCCTTTGCTGCATAGTTAGGAGATGTGGAACCAGTAATCCTCCAGATGTTTCCGGATTGCTATTTATCAATCCTTGACCTTTGGCTATGCTGGTGGGGGCTGATGGGAGTTCATGAATTCTCCAGCCCCAGTTTAGGCCAAGAACTGAGTGTCTCAGGACATACTAACACAGGAATATGTTAGTGTCTCAGGACATATTAACTCAGGAATACAGTGGTGCCTCGCAAGACAAAATTAATCCGTTCCGCGAGTCTCTTCGTCTTGCGTTTTTTTCGTCTTGTGAAGCACGGCTATTAGCGGCTTAGCGGCTTTAAGAAAAAGGAAACAAACTCGCAAGAACTCGCAAGACGTTTCGTCTTGCGAAGCAAGCCCATAGGGAAATTTGTCTTGCGGAACGACTCAAAAATCGCTAAACCCTTTCGTCTAGCGAGTTTTTCGTCTTGCGAGGCATTCGTCTTGCGGGGCACCACTGTATGTTCCATGCAGTTTGATGGTTCTCTCTCTCTCTCTCTCTCTCTCTCTCACACACACACACACACACACACACACACACACCCTCCAGTGACACCTTTTGTGATACTGTTGCCTGGATCCTGAGGGTGTTGTGTGCACAGGCAGCGACCATTTTAGGCGCATCCAATATGCGTGCAATTGCGCACATGTGCATCATGCTAAAGTAACCTGAAAATGTCACCCAAAGGGGCGGAATGCAATGTTTGCAGGCTTTTTCAATGGCGTTTCAAATATGCATGGTTTCACTTAAACACGGGGAGCCATTGCCTGTATTTCAGGGGGAAACGGACACATGCATGTGAATGACTTTGACGAGGAAGGGATGTAGCTCAGCGGCAGACTGAGGTTCAATCCCCAGCCTCTCCAGTAGGGCTGGGAATGCCCCCTGCTTGTACTCCTGGAGAGTTGCTACCTGTCACCAGGGACAATACTCAGGCCCCATCTGCACTATGCAGTTAAAACGATATCATACCTCTTTAGATTTTTGTGGTTGCTCTCCTCCCCACTTGCCAGAATCCTCAGAACTGTAGTTTAGGGTGCTGATTTGTTAGGAGACCCCTCTCCCCATCACTGAGCTACAATTCTCAAGAGTGGTTTCACTTTATTATTAAATTTATTTATATCCTGCCTTTTCCCCAGACCGGGGGGGGGGGGGGACTCCAGGCAGCTTACAAAGATTAAAACCCCCCAGATAAAATACAGAAGGCTGAAAACATATACAGTGGTACCTCGGGTTAAGTACTTAATTCATTCTGGAGGCCCGTACTTAACCTGAAACTGTTCTTAACCTGAAGCACCACTTTAGCTAATGGGGCCTCCTGCTGCTGCCACACCGCCGCTGCACGATTTCTGTTCTCATCCTGAAGCAAAGTTCTTAACCTGAAGCACTATTTCTGGGTTAGTGAAGTCTGTAACCTGAAGCGTATGTAACCTGAGATACCACTGTAGCATGTAATAGCTAAAAAGTAATTAAACTATAATAAAATAAAAACAGATCTATTAAAGTACAGATAGGAAAAACAGCGCAGCACTATTTGAAAGTTCTTTCCTTAACAAAACAGCTCCCAAAAGCCTGCCCGAATTAAGCAGTGTTCACCTGCCAGCAGAAGGACAACAAGGAGGGATCCAGTCTGGCTTCTCTAGGAAGGGAATTCAACCCCTCTTCCCAGCGGACTCTGAGAATTGTTATTCTCTGGGAAGAAGAGGGGTCTTCTAACAACTCTTGGCACCCTTAACAAACTGCAGTTCTAGACAGAACTTTTGGTCTGCTGCATGGCACAAACCGGGGGTACCAGCCCATTATTAATACAATTCCATCTCTCCTTTTGCGGGAGCAGGAGGTGGTGTTATGGCGCAAAGGCGACATTGTGAGAAAGAGCATGTCCCACCAAGCTGCCATTGCCTCTCAGCGGTTCGAAGGCACGTCTTCCCAGACGGAGAGCAGAACGCCCAGCCAGCCTTCAGAGAACAACGGCCGGCAGTGAGGGGGTTGCGGGATAAGGGGTTCCAAAGCGCTTCCGTGTTCAAGGCTTGAAGACGTCGACGAGGAAGGAGAATGCAGAACGGATCTTTCACCAGAGACTTGCGAACACAGATTATCTTGTCAGGTTGTGTGTGTGTGTGTTTTCTTCATTTTTCTTTGTTCCTTTCCCCCTGAGGACTCGCAACCTAAATGGAATGGGGAGGGAGCCAATGGATGTGACAGCGACAAGGTTTGCCTCCCTCTACATTCAAATATTCCTTGGGGATAGGGCAGGAGCTGGATCAGTGGCTTTAGAAAGCATGATGAAGGGAAGGGTGGCTGGTGAAAAGTGTGTCTGTGTTCTGACATGATGCTAAAAGCATTCCCCCCCCAAAAAATGTAAAGACACCCCCATCGGTTTTACTGTACATTTGGGTTTTTTAAATTTTTTTTAAGAGCGCTCCATTTTCTCTTCCTCAGTGGCATTATTCATATGTGTACATAAGTAGCACCAGAGAGGCTCGTTTAGCATTCAAGTGTAAAAATAATAATAATTTCCCAGCATTTCTTAAACTCCTAAAAGCTGATGGGACACTTCTTTCCCAAATTAAAATGTGGAGTCTCGCTTCATTCTTACACCCAAAACGGTTTTACTTTTTAAGGTAAATCTTATGTCCCTGGGTGAGTCTGTGTTCTGAGCACAGCTCCTGCTTAGAAGGAAGCAGGCACAGAACAGCATCTCTCATAGACACACACAGCGGACAGCCTCCTCTGAAGGCAGCCATAGGAAGATCTGCACTGGCTGTAATTTGAATGACTGACGGGAGAGGTGCGTCTGGTAAATCGCGCAGAGAGGTGACAGGGAGCCTCTTTGGCTAGGTTGGTGCACTGGGCTCCTGGTAGCCTGGCCATCCAATGTCATTAGATTCCAACTCCTTATCAGCCCGAGGCAGTATCGATAAGGGGCAGGGTTGATGGACATTGTGGTCCGGTAACATTTGGAGGGCCACAGGTTCCTCACCCTTCGTTAATTTAATTAACTTGCTGATTGTGGCATGGGAATTGTTTTTTACCCTCCGTCTTCCGAGTTTCTTTTGTAGAACTGGAAAAACAACACTACTGTTTTCACCAAGCCAGTTGTGTACTGTTGAGACTTCCTTCGTTGAAAACTGGAGCGCGAGGAGCAAACCTGTACTTTGGGGGCCTTAAAAAAAAAAAGGCATAGTGAGGGAGGGAAGCTCACGCACCCCGTTTCTGTTGTAGCCCACTTTAAAACATACCCTCCCCAATAGCATTCTCCTATTTCCCAAGCTGTCCGCATGCACTCTGTTGCTATTCCAAAAGTTGGATCAGCACAGCCCATTCCCAAACTGTGTTCCATGAGGGAAAAACCCCCAAGGACCTGGTACCTTCTGTACGTACATTCCTTGATCGCTGAGGTGATCCACGTTCTTACACATCCTAAAAGCGAACCTTTGGGGAGGTGGAATGGCAAGCTGTGTCTAAAAGTGCGTCCCTTAGGATTAGATATTTGGAAAGCCCTGATGAATTGGGCTGCTTTTCCCTAAGTGTGCTGGGGGCACCTGCTCTTGGATTATCTTTCCCCACATCCTATAAAAGACCACACACACCCTGCAGCCAAAGCTTCATCTCTCCACCCCTCCACCCCCCTGAAAAAGCCTGATATAAGCTTAAAGTTAATTGAACACTAAAAATGTACAGAGTTAAATAGATGTGTCTTGTTCTGTAAGCATGAGTTGGTTTTATTCGTCTTCACCATTGAGATTGACTAAGGAGAACAAACACAGTCACTTCCCTCCAAGCCCATTTTGTGATAAATATGCACTTTCTTCTGTAGAGGTGGGCGTAAGACTGAATGTCACCTCAAAATATTCAGAAATTCGTTGGTTGAGTTGCTCCCCCTCTAATACAAACCATTTACCCGTAATTTAATAGCATAAATATTTCTCTGATTTGCCTTCTGACTTCAACACTTTTAGGAATATTTCTTTTAAGCTTCTCCCCCTCTTTATTTCCCTTACGTGAATCAATGAGAACTAGAAACTTGAGCACCACAGCTGCTCCCTCCACAAAAATGAAACCTACCTGCAGTTCTTACAGATTCCTGGGACCAAGCAAACGTTTTGTTTTTAAGACACCCACACCTTCATTCCGTTTCTAATCAGTGGGATATATCTATGCAGAGATTCTACCAGATCACTGTAAAAGCACCAGAGGACATGACAATTGTCAGCTTTTATTTTAGGAAAGAGACACGTGGGCAGCTTGTGTGCATGTGATGGCTAAAAATGTGTAGGCTATGCCTGATGAAATTTCAGAAGGCAGAGGGGCTACTTGAATAAAATTTCTGGTGGCCTGCATGTGTCTTTCCCTGTATCAAAGTGATTAAAGTGCATTTTTTTTACAGCTTGTAGAATAAATTGCACAGGATTTTCTTAAATTTGCAAAATTGGTGCAGGGTATGTGATTTCAGTTTTCTCAGTTGTCCTTATTTAGAACTCCTACCTTTCTTTCATAGAATTAAAGTACTGTAGAGTTGGAAGAGACACCAAGCGTCATCTGGACTAACCCCCCCGTCATGTTTGAATTGAAAACACCCCCACCTATTTGGAAATACAGTTCTCTGAATAATCCAGCCTTTACATGAGGGATGGGGAACTTGTAGCCCTCCAGATGTTTCTGGACTACAACTGCCATCATCCCTAAATCTTGACCATGCTGAGCAGGGTTTATGGGGGTTGGAGTGGGAACCTGTAGCCCTTCCAAATGTTGTCAGGACTCTAAATCACAACATCCTTTGCTATTGGTCATGGTAGCTGGGGCTGATGGGAGCTGGAGTTCAGCAACATCTGGAGGGCCACAGCCAAGCCGGCCATTATTGGAAAGCTTTTTCTCCCTGTTGCTTTGCGACCCATGTAGGAAGAGTTCAAGGATTGTGTGTTGCTTGTGGGGGTGGGGAGAGAATACAATGCCTTCTGTAAAGTGTAGGTAGATCTTGCAGTCCTGCTTGAGCATAAAGCCATATTCTCTGGCAGGCTGTATTCTGAAGAATACTGCTGCAAATGTATTTTTAAACGGGCTGTGCCCTTGCTCACTTCACCTGCCAACCTTCCTCCCCTCCCTTTACACCTCACCCAAAAAATCCCTCCTCTACATGGTTCATCTGGGCCACCCACTGCCTATGTATCCATCTTCTGGTTCTCTCACCTTGCCTGGGCTGCTGGAATATCCCCCCTCCAGTTCCCTCCTCTTCCCTGAGCAGCTTGTCACACTGTCATTTTCATCGCCATCTGGCTGTAGCTAAGAGAACTGTAGTGTGATGACATCCTTAGAATTTTTTATATTGCAGAGATACAGAATCTGGTACTAGCTAGTGGGATCCATGCAAATAACATTCTTATCTTTATTCTGACAACACCTTTATGAGATAGGTCACTATTAACCCCCATTTGGGCAGATTGGGAATGAAAGCTGTATGCCTAGGATAGCCAATTTGGTGCCCTCTGGGTATTTCCCATCACCCCTAGCCAGCATGGCCAATAAGGATGATGGGAGTTAAAGTCCAAAATATCTGTAGGACACAAAGTTGGCTATCTGAGCTATAAGCCACACCCATACCCCCACCAGTGGATCACATGTTGGAGCAAAGATTTCAAAGCCAATTCTCTTACGTCACAGAGACAGGAAACCAATGCTCTGACAGCTGTAACTAATGGGGACATTCCCCCTTTCTCAAGTTTTTTTGTTGCTAATGCTTGCTGTCTACTACTTTGAAGGTTTTAGAATCAGACAAATACATTGCTTGGTTGGCAGAGAACCTGTGGCTCCCCCCAGATGTTGCTGAACTACTCCTTCCATCAATGTCTGGAGGACCAAAGGTTCCCTCTCCCAGAGCTTGGGAGTCCTACATTAAGTGGGGAAGAACTGGCATCTGACATATGAAGGCCAAGGATGTTCCACCAAGAAGAAACCAGGCTGAAACTAAACACCAAATGTGTTGGGTCCGCAAAGGGAGAGATGATGCTTTGGCTCTCACCACAAAGCAGGCTGGGTGCTGCTCCTAAGTTTATTCCATTCTTGTGTGCAACAGCTCCTTTGCTGTGCCAGAACAGCAGTGAAACCATCTTCATCGTCTTTAACCAGCTTCTGGTGATCATTCCTGTCCTGCTGTCGGGTGATTCTTGCTGCGAGGCTGTTTTCTGCCTATTTAGGGGATACTTAGTCAATAGGTTTCTCCCTGTTTGGAGATGTAAAGTGAGGAGTGGGGAGTGTAAATGTTTTCCAGCTGCACATAATGGTTGATGGCTGTTCGGACCTAAAAGACAAACCTCCTCCACAGCTGGTGATGAATTCTTAGTTTTGTAAAGCCATATAATATGTGCTGGCATTGGATATAGGTTAGTGGTTTTGAAGCTTTTTAGTATTCAGGCTGCTGTATGGATCTGCTCGCTCTTTATTGGACCTCAGCATTTTGTGACCCGTACCAACTGCATGAGGGGGTACTTGAAAGAACTTTGCATTAGATCTCAAGAGCCAGGGGTGTGTGTGTTCTTTGTTTTCCAGGCCAAGGGTCCAGGGCAATATATGCTCCGCAGTTTCATGGAAGAACAAATCACAAGATGTGGTAGCAGGTGGAGAACCAAGTTTCTAGACAACCATAAGTTTTCATTCTGAAAAGAAAAAGCCTATGCCAGGACAAATGGTTCTCATGTTGAATGGTTGAAGAGTTATGCTTCCAGCTGTGCTATTAGTCCATGGTGAGATCACAGCAGCCAGAGGATGGGTGGTTTCCAAAGTAGCGCTGAATAACATGGCCCACCTGCACAAAGAATTCTGCTTGTGCAGGGGGGCTTCCTTCCCCCTTCCCCACATCTCCAGTGCCCCAAAGCAAACAGGGGGTGTGGGGAAGGAATCCCCTTTGTAAAAGCCTGAAATTTTGTGCTAGTTAGACAACATCCAGTATTTTTTTCAGCCAAGGCACAAGTGCTCATCTCCCCATGACTAGGAGTAGTACATTATTAAAAACTGGGGGGGGTGTTAAATTATGCAAAGTAGTTGGCTGATTTGCATAATTTTATGCAGGCAGCTTGGGGCTGTGCAGTATAGAACCGCCGGTGTATTTGTAAGGTACATCATACACCCTGGTTCAGTTTCTACTAAGCCTTCTAGAGTAGGGTCCATACCCATTTTGCGCCTAGCCATCCCTGGAAAAAGCCATGTTTAACGTTCATCTCCAGTGTGAGACACAAGAGAAGGAAAAAAAAATCCCAAGCAAAGACCACCCACGAGGATCTGACTGCCCCGCTCTGGCAGGGATGGGTGGGTGGCGAATCCACAGGTACTGAATTAAGCTGGGCAACTTGTAAATTTAAGCCTCTGCATTGTTTACATGTTTCTTAATTCATTGTCTTTTAAATGGTTGTATTTTTAAATGATGAGAGGTTGTTCTCCCAATTAAAAAAGAAGCCATTCTAGGCTTTCAAAGGTTGAACGTCAAGCTATTTTTCTTGGGTTGCGTGATATTTCTATTTGTCTAAAAATGATTTAAAAAACCACGAAAGTGGGGTGGGAGAGTAAATCCAAGGTTTCCTGAGAGTCTCCGTTTCCAGCCTTGCACCCATGCCTGTGGGGTGTAGGTAATTAGGGGGAGGATAAAAAGTACTGCACATATACTCAGGGGCATTCTTTCCCCTCAAAGAATTCGGGGTGCTGTAGTTTAGAGCTCACAAGAGTGAACAGTTCCCAGCAACCCTTAAACTACAGTGCCCAGAATGCTTTGAGGGAAAGAATGTGCCTTAAAGGCACGGTGCATAACCAGCCCCCTGCCCTGCAAGAGAGGTTCTGCTAGCCACATCTCATGTGTTCTACACCTGTTAAGACCTCCTTATTTGGTCAGGTTGCTGGCTGGTGCTGAATCATGTCCCCTTTTTACTTTAAGGTGCAGGTTCTCATCCCAGTGACTGCACTAGCTATCAGCTCTTGACTTCCACTGTACCAACTATGGAATTTCTGTATGCATAAGCCACCTCAAGGGTCCTTGTGAAGGCCAAATGGCAGGGAGTTAATTTTTTTAAAAAGACTCCTAGGTAAAAATAGGCACACATATTAAAAATGTAATTTAAAGCAAACAAAACAGAAGGCTGCAGATAACAAATGCAGCTATAACCAGGCACTGGTGGTTTTCGAAGGTCACCTCTCCAACCAGTTAAAGCACACCGTTGTTCAGGAACAAACTGTTTTTGGGGTTTTTTTGCGGCAGCAGCAGCAGCTCAGCCAAAGCGATAGCAATTCGGTGCATCTCTCAGTGCTTTTCCTCTTCCAGACTCAAAATGAATGCAAACTGCTCTTTAAAAGAAAACAGAGAAAGGTGCGATAAGGCAGGGGTAGCCATCCTGGTGCCTTCCAGATGTTGGACTCCTCCAGCCACAGATTGCAGGGGGTGGGAGGGAGATGAAGTTCAGCAGCATCTGGAGGCACCTGGGATAAGGAAAGTCTTTTGCCAAGGACATGGCCCCACCTGTTTGACTGTGACACTTCTGAGTACCAGGTTGCCGGAAGCTGCAAGAGGGGAACGTGCTCCTGTGTTTGGGTCCTGCTTTGGGGCTTCCCATTGGGGCATCAGGTTGGCCACTGTAATAACATGTTGCTGGACTAGGTGGGCCACTGGCCTGATCCAGCACAGCTGCTCTTATGCTCTCCCCAAAACGGGGGCACCCGGCAAGTTAAAACGCAGGTAAAGCTAAGGTGGGGTACGAGTTAAGCATTCCTGCATCTTTAGCCTCCAATGGCTGAATGGGCAGCCTGATTTGGGTTATTATTGTTGTTTTGGTTGGCAGGATAGGGAAGAGCTGCCATCCCTTGCATCAAGTGATGCTTTGAAGATGCAATCGTGTAGGTGAACATCTAGCAAAGTGGCAAACAGTCTTACCATCCGTCAGGGGCTGGACCGAGAGCCTCTGCCTGGTGAAAAGAGCCGCATCTTTCAGGGGCCCTCCAGAGATTTTGTGCGTCTGGTGGTGAAGTTTCAGCTCAGCCAGAGGGATGAACCGCTTGGTCATTCGCATAAACTGGACGTCCACCTGTAAGCACAAAGGAAGGAGCATCCATCAGGGGAGGGAGTCGGACCTTGGGGTCTGCAACTTTTGCTCTTCTACCTGCAGAATTGCGGCTGCCAAGATTGTCCTATCTGGTATTGGGAGGCACTTTGCAAGAAAATTCTGCCTCCCCTTTGCCGGCTGTGCAGAGCAGTTAGTTATTCAAAAGTGAGTGAAGAGTCATTAACACTCTGAATGAGAGAAGCTCAGAGAGAAATGGAAGGATTTGTCTCTGCATCTTGCCGGGTGATGTGAAATATTAAGCAGAATGAGTAGGAGTAGAAGACTGCTCGAAACATCCCTCTTTTGGAAGAAAAGCATCCATTAATTAATGCTTTAGAAAAGGAGGCTGATAGTATATATCATTTGCGAGATATACTTAGCTGTGAGACTTACTGCAATGGAAGGAGATTTATTTTCAGCCTTGCAAAAAAACCCCACAAGTTTGTAATGCACCATTTGCCTTGTTTACAAGCCCACATATACAAAAATAACTCATTTGTGGCTGTTTTAAAGAGGAACAAAAGGAGCATTATTTGTCCCACTTCCATCTTTGACACGAGGGATGGGGAACTGTCGGGCCCCTCAGGGTCAAATGTGACCCGCAGTATCTCCATATGAGGCCTCTGAAGCCTCTCCCCAGGCTAAACCTTCCTGACCCTGTTCCACAGCCTCCTCAAATGCTTTTGCCTGGCTGGAATGTGTCCTTGGACTGCAAGCGATGCCTCTTGCCAGCCTGGATGGAGGATACAGAGAGCTGTGCTCTCAGGGCCATCTTAAGCATATGTGGTGCAAAGATCTGCCTGGCGCCCCGCCCCTGGTTGTCCAGAGTTGTTGACCTTTCTTTAGGGGGAGAACCCCAAAGTTGTTGACCTTTTTTAAGGAAAGGTTCCCCAAAGCTGTCAACCTTTTTTTAGGTTGCTGACACCACGCTTATCTCTGAGAGAAGCTGGGCACCTCGTGGTGTAAGCAGCATGCGCTGGACAGGCTTCTCCATGGTCCTGTGCCAATCCTGGGCATGCAGGAGGGCAGAGCCAGCTGGCCACCTCAGTGTCTTGCTGGCTCGCTTGCCCCTGAACTTGCAGCGCAGAGCCACCCACAGCAGAAGAGCCCGCCATGGCGCTCCGACCGACAGGTGGGCTATTCTCCGGATGCCAACTCTTGGGCCCCAGACTTTTGGCCTGGCGCCCCTGAAAGCCCGGTGCCTGGGTGCCCTGCACCCCTGGCACCTATGGTTAAGACGGCCCTGTGTGCTCTGTCTGGAAACCTCTGACTCCTGCATGGCTGGTGTGCAGAAGGAAGAGTCAAGTCTGTTGCTCTGCCAAAGAATTTCCCTAACCCTGGTATACGCATGATGAGATTGGAGCCAGCCGTGCCTAACCAGAGCCGATTGTTGAAAACCCATTTGCCAAGCAACAGCAATCTTACCATGAACCATTTGGGTTTCTCTTTGGTGCTGGAAGCATCGTAGTGAGGATCTTTCTTTTCAAACTGGGTGTGATCAGGATACGCCTCCTTCACTATCTAGAATTCGGGAGAGAAGCACAACCAGAGGATGACTCGCAAACTGAGAATAACCGCAGAGTAGACACTGCTTTGAGATAGTCATCATCATTTGTGACTTGACACTCAGATCCAAATGTGCGACCCACTCAACTGAAAAAGACTGCAATTTGAGGCAATTTGCCAACTGTATGTTCCATATCAGAACTTCCAGCTCTCCTCTGTAACAACAGGACTTAGGCCCCAAATAGCTGGAAGACCATCTCCTTCCCTGCAGACCCTCTAGGGTGTTAGGAACTGCACACTGAAGATGCACTTCTCTTTGACACCTAAGATATATGTCTATTTTTGGGAGCCACCCCTATTCCTGAAACTAATTTGTTTTAAATGGGTTTTAATATTGTTATTTCACACAGTTGTGAACCATAGAATCATAGAGTTGGAAGAGACCACAAGGGCCATCGAGTCCAACCCCTGCCAAGCAGCCCTGGTACCTCTCACCTTGATAATGCCAGCAATCCCGGGCTCTTTACAGTTGCTGTGGTAGAAGAAGGCTTCCTGGCCAGCTTTCATATCCTTCAGGAAATTCCGTGCCTGCCAAAACAGAAGAGCAGGGACCATCTTACTGACACCACCAGACAGAAGGGCTACAGATAATCCATATCTCCTTGCAGGTAATTAGCACTATAGCCACCATGCCTCATATTTTGAAGGAGAGGATGTGAGGTAAGCAGGGGACTCAAAGTTCAGTTCAGTTATATTAAGCCATGGATTGTGCTAACCCTTGTTTAGAACTCGATGCAGGGAGCCAGAACTCACAGACAGGCAAACCATAGTTTTAGAACTATTTGATCGCTTTCCTTTTCCACAGGACCTCCTCAGCACCCTGGTCTCCAGGGAGCTGGCAAAGCAAGAGGTGGACTGTGATCTGTCAGTTCAAACATTGCACCAAACCATAGTTATAGCCAACAATGGATAACAAACCATGGTTTCTGGTTCTGGTTTGCTAGCTGATTATAAACCATTACTCATCAATCCAGACGTCGTGCTAACCCAGAGAAGAGGAACCGTTTTCAGTCCAAGGGCCGCATTCTCTTCTGGGAAACCTTCCAGGGGCCACATGCCAGTGGTGGGTGGGGCCAGAGACCAGAGGGGGCAGAGCAAAATACATGGATTTTACCTTTCTTTGCTTGACTAGTTTCGACACATTCACCTATCCCATCCAGGCAAGCACGGAACATCATCAGAGTTCAAAAACACATCCCGGCCTAGGCTCATTCTCACTAATGCTAGAAACGATGGGTTGAATTTGCAACTCAACTTGTCTTAAATATCAACAGCACAGGCAAAAATAAAAGGTGGAAATGGACAGCAGAACTTTAAAGTGCCAAAGCATATCTGTGTTCTCCCACTGTCAACTTTGATTGGAAGGTAAGTTGATTAGAATCTACGCAATATCACATCCATCCAGAATAGCTATTTGCTGCTCAGAAACCTACTTTTTTTTTTTGTGAGAATAAATTTATTGATCAATGCCATTGCTACAGTTGACTTTACTTACCTGGTAATTCCTGACTCCGTCCCAGCATGCTGTCTGATTGGGTTGAGCTTTTAAATCTTCAATGCCAAACTGGATAATAAAATAAAATAAACATACATTACCCAAAATGCCTAATTGCGCCTTTAAAAAAGAAAAGAAAAGTTCAGCATTTCATTTATTACTGGCAGCCTTGTTTATACCTGGTGTTGCTTGGTAATTTTAAGACACCCCCCCTCCCAAAAAAAAGATCTGTGCAGTTTTGAAAGGTTTGGTCTGCCCTAAGTGAGGCATGAGGGGCTTGGGGTGATTTCTGGGGGTGGGCGAGATATAAAGGAAGGGGAGGTTGGTCAGGTGTGAGGAGCAAAGGGGTTGGTGGGGTTGGTGAGTAGAGCGTGCAGATGGAGAGACAGACAGACAGAGAGTGAATCTGTAATGTTACACTAGGCAATATATTTTGGTTATAATATACAGCTTTTATTATGGGAAAAGTTATGGAAAGAAGATTTAAAATTTACAGCTTACTATACATTGAAAATAGGGATGTGGGTGGCGCTGTGGTCTAAACCACTAAGCCTCTTGGGCTTGCCGATCAGAAAGTCGGTGGTTCGAATCCCCGCGACGGGGTGAGCTCCCATTGCTCGGTCCCAGCTCCTGCCAACCTAGCAGTTCAAAAGTATACCAATGCGAGTAGATAAATAGGTACTGCTCCAGCGGGAAGGTAAATGGCATTTCCATGTGCTGCTCTGGTCTCGCCAGAAGCAGCTTAGTCATGCTGGCCACATGCCCTGGAAAACTGTCTGCAGACAAACGCCGGCTCCCTTGGCCTGTAAAGCGAGATGAGCACCGCAACCCCAGAGTCGTCTGCGACTCAACATAACCATCAGGGGTCCTTTACCTTTACCTTTTATACACGGAAAGAAAATTATTTGAAAATGATGTACCGCTGGTATCTAACACCTAATAAACTAGCAAAAATGTATAGAACTGCTTCAAATGTGTGTTGGAAATGCAAAAAGAAATAAGGCACCTTTTACCATATGTGGTGGACATGTGGGGTGGTAAAAGAGTTCTGGGAAATAATGTCTGGACAAAATATAAAGACTTGCTGGAAAATAAAACACCAAGGTGGCTTTCACCTTTGGAAGCTAAGGCCCGAAAAAGACCCAATATGGAGGCTAAATGGCCAAAATATTGGGAAATACTAGAAAAGATGGAGACAATTGGAAATTGCAGAGTTTGGAGAAAATGAAAGACAAAGTGCGAGATTGGTTACATTACGCTCAGATTAAAGAAGTTTTTAAAAATGATAAGAAACTAGGGTTCCAGGTGGAGAAATCGAAATTAGAAACAGAATTGTTAGAACCAAAGACTAAGGTACTTTCAAGGATGTATAACTTGCTGTTGGAATGGAATACACAAGATGAAATGGTTAAATCGGCTATGATAAGGTGGGCACAGGACATTGGGTATAATATTATGTTTGAGGACTGGGAAAAGTTGTGGAGTAATGGATTGAAATTTACTGCATGTAACGCTCTGAAAGAAAATGTAATGAAAATGATTTATAGATGGTATATGACCCCAGTTAAACTTGCAAAAATTTACCACCTGTCTGATAACAAGTGTTGGAAATGTAAAGAGTGTGAGGGAACGTTCTTCCACCTCTGGTGGACCTGCCCTAAAGTGAAGGCGTTCTGGGAAATGATTTATAATGAATTGAAAAAGGTATTTAAATATACCTTTACCAAGAAACCAGAGGCTTTCCTTCTGGGTATTGTCAGCCAAGGGGTGGCAAAGAAGGACCCGCGCTGTGTTATGTATGCAACAACAGCAGCAAGGATACTTCTTGCAAAACACTGGAAAACTCAAGATTTACCCACACTGGAAGAATGGCAGATGCAACTGATAGACTACATGGAACTGGCTGAAATGACTGGCAGAATCCGTGACCTGGGAGAAGAGAGAATCGAGGAGGATTGGAAGAAATTTAAGAACTATCTACAAAAATATTGTGATTTGAGTGAATGCTAAATAAGATGCTAGACTAAATAACTGAGCACCACTTAACTTAGAAGTTTTTTAAGAAAACAAGTAAGACTGTGAAAGTTTAACTCTTTATGAGAACCATAAGATTATGAAACATTGAAGAGATATAAGAATTTAAATAAGATGATAAATTGCTGACAAAATGTTATAACGATGAAAGTGGGAGCGGGGGATGTGAGGAAGTCCAAAGAAAATGTGAAACTATGTTAAGACAAATGTTATATTGTTTATTATGTTTATTTTTATTGTAAAACCCAATAAATTGCTTTAAAAAAAAAAAAAAAGAGTTCTGGGAAATGATATATAATGAATTTTTTTAAAAAAAAAACTGTTTAAGGTAACTTTTGTTTAAAAAAACAACCCAGAAGCTTTGTTAGGAATTGTAGGTGCAGAATTACCAAAAGAGAAAAAAAGACTGTTTATGTACATGACGACAGCAGCATGGATGCTCTTAGCCCAGAAACAGAAAGAAGCTAAAGTCCCGATCAGAGAAGAATGGCAGACCAAGTTGACGAACTATGCCGAAAGGGCAAAAATGATGGGAGAGATCAGAAATCAGGAAGACCAAATTTTTAGTAAGGACTGAATAATTTTATAACCTATCTTAGGGACCACTATAAGCAGTTGAAATCATTAGCAGGAATACAATAACTCTTGTAAAGTAACATGAACTTTAGATACTCTGGACATATAATAGATAGGTAAAGGTAAAGGTAAAGGTACCCCTGCCCGTATGGGCCAGTTGTGTCCGACTCTGGGGTTGTGCGCCCATCTCACTTAAGAGGCCAGGGGCCAGCGCTGTCCGAAGACACTTCTGGGTCACGTGGCCAGCGTGACAAGCTGCATCTGGCGAGCCAGCACAGCACACAGAAACGCCGTTTACCTTCCCGCTAGTAAGCGGTCCCTATTTATCTACTTGCACTTAGGGGTGCTTTCGAACTGCTAGGTTGGCAGGCGCTGGGACCGAACGACGGGAGCGCACCCCGCCGCGGGGATTCAAACCGCCGACCTGACGATCAGCAAGTCCTAGGCGCTGAGGCTTTACCCACAGCGCCACCCGCGTCCCCTATATAATAGATAGATTACAGTAAAAGATGCAGGAATAAATTTTAAAAATGGAACCCAGGGAGGGAGGGTAGTCTGAAGCTTCGAGAGAACCTTTTGTTTTTATTTTTTCTTTGGGATTGTTATGTATGTACATAAAACTATTAATGATAATAATAAAAGCGAGAGCGAAATGCACACGTCTCCCATAGATGGCGGCTTGCTTACCTTCACATCTACACCCTTCTCGAACCTGCTCTCGGGTTCAGATTTCATTAGCCAATGGGTGTGGGCTCTCTTGTTTCTGTCCTGCTCAGCATGGGCTTCTACCTTGGAGGTTTCCGCAATATTTCCGGTTGCAAGGCTTTTCATCTCGACTCTCTGCGATCTGGGTCTCTTGCTCTCCCCCTGCAGTTCAGATCTGGCCTCTTTAAAATCAGGTTCTTTTGGAGCTTGAAGGATCCAAAGAATTCAGAGGGCATACCACGGGTATTTGGAAGATGAATTTTGAAAGGACATGAGGAAAGTGGGAAGGGGAGCAAAGAATCATGTCAGCTTGGTGGGCTTCAGCTAATCTATTAAACAAAGTCACTTTGGAAAATGATTCATAAGTAACTGGGAGGAAATGGACGCACAATGTCCATCTCTAGATATTGTGGTTTGCCTGCTGGAGGCTTCTGCTGATTTCTTCTGTTTGTGCTCAGACACAGCACATTTACCAGCAGCTGCTTGCTTGCTACTTGCTAGACTCATTTGTCATTGGCTGTGCTGCTGTGAGGTCATGAAATACATAGGAACATTCCAAATGCTCAGGGCAGGGGTTTTAGCCACAGACCTGGGAGGCAAGTGAAGAGGAAGGGCCCTATAGCTCAGTGGTAGACCATCTGCCTTGTGTGCAGAAGGTTCCAGGTTCAGTCCCCAGCATCTCCACGTAGGGCTGAGAGAGACCCCTGGCCTGAAACCCCAGAGAGCCACTGCCAGCCAGTGTGGGCAATACTGAGCTTGATGGACCAATGCTCAGACTTGGTATAAGGCAGCTTCTTATAAGGGAGGGGCTGCATGTAAATGGTCCGAGGCTCAATCTCTGTTTTTCCCAGGTATATCTGGAAGAGAGACCTTTTCCTCCTGACTCACAATGCTAATGAAACAGGGTGCTAGAGAGAGAGATCTATCCATTGCTTGTCCTCTGCAAGCTGCTAGCACCTACTAAACTTGCTTGGCAGGCTAGTAACTTTGCAGCCTTATTTGCAAGGCTGCTGGATCAGAGAGGCGAGAGGGCGTTTTGGGGGGGAGAGAGACCAGGGATGAGTGAAACCAGACATATTGGGCAGGAGAGAGGTCAGAGAAATAGGCCAACTATCAAATCCATCATTCAGTGGGGGAGAGGACACTTGTGGTCCTCTCTATGTTGCTGGGCTACAACTCCCATCAGCCAACATAGTTGATGGTCAGGAATGATGGGAGTTGCAGTCCAGCGACCTCTGGTGGGCCACAGGTTCCCTATTCCTGATATAAATCTTTTAACTACAGGTGCTGAGTAGCTCACATTTCAACATCCCTTAGTGTGTATAGCCAAAAAAAGAGCAGCACACAAAAGATGCAGCCCAAGTTGGCTCTTTCTTTATCAATAGTTTTTACTTTTTTTAAGTAAACTGAACTCTGGATAATATTGGTTGAGCCTGACTCCCCCACTGACCTGTCAAGGCTGCTCGGCCTCTTTTCTTCCCTTTCGGAGGCATTTATCCAGCTGCCTAGAAGAAGAGGAAGAATCTTAAGAGAAAGCAAAGCAGGAAATATGCTCTTGCATCAACAGCTCAGTCGGTAAAACATGAGACTCTTAATCAGGCATAAGCAAACTCGGCCCTCCAGATGTTTTGGGACTACAACTCCCATGATCCCTAGCTAACAGGACCAGTGGTCAGGGATGATGGGAGTTGTAGTCCCAAAACATCTGGAGGGCTGAGTTTGCCTATGCCTGCTCTTAATCTTAGGGCCATGGGGTTGAGTCCCACGTTGGGCAAAGGATTCCTGTATTACAGGGGGTTGGACTAGATGACCCTAATGGTCCTTTTCAACTCTACAATTCTATGATTCATTATATGAAGCGCAACAAGAGAGGTCAGACTTGGGGAAGGACTGGAGCTTAGTGACAGAGCCTCTCTGCTATGCATGCAGGAGGTTCCAGGTTCAGTCCCTGGCATTTCCAGGTAGGGCTGGGAAGGTTCCATGCCTGAAATTCTGGAGAGTTGCTGTTAGTCAGTGTAGACAATACTGAGCTACATGAATTAGTGGTCTGAGTATAAGGTAGCTTCCTATGTATTTTTCGATTTGATTGGCAGTGCCTCCATCACTCCAGGACTGAAAAAAAAATAATCAAGGCTCAGATCCCAGTTCTGCTATCAAAAGGCCGTTCTTTCTCTTTATCTCAGCCCACTAGTCTTCAAGTGATGGGTCACAGCTTGATCCAAGATAGCTTGCAACAGGAGCATTACCACCGTGAAAATACATGGTAAATGATTAAGAAACGGTTCCCCACGTGCATGCCTGGGCTACAAGGGGGTCCTCCTGGGTCTGAAAAAGTTGAAGATACCTAGCCTAACCTACCTCGCAGGGGTGTTGTTGAGTATTAAATCGGGGGGGGGGGGAGGGAGAACAATGAGCGCTGCTTTTTGCTCCCAGAAGGTAAGAGAAAGTTATACATGTATTACATAAAAGCCCATCAAAAGTTAAAGACCATGGGGAGGGAATAGAACCCACCTGTACCTGTAAAATTGGTGCCTTGGTGGCACAGATACGCGACTGTCCAACTTTCCTTCCTCTTAATAGCGTCCTTTCTGTCTCTCCAGCTTTAGAAATTGGCGCGCCTGATTGCAACAAAAAAAAATAAATCCGAAACGCTTCCGCTGCTAAATGCCTGTTAGGTTCGGAGGTTAAATACTCGTTTTGCAAACCGCAGCTATGCCTTTAAGACCGGCCCCTTGCTTTGCAGCCAATCGGAGAACTAACAGCTGGAGAACCCTGGGGAGAAAAAGACGCCACAACCCCAGAAGCCCGGGCAAGCCCTTTGCAATGGCTTCTGGGGATTGTAGTCTTCTTGGGTAGGAGCCAGAAAGAAAAGTAACGGCAGTCTGTGGAGCTGAGAACAACGATTCCCACAATGCAGAGCGGCCACCCAGACCTCGTTCACCAGCCCGGGCGACTTAGGTGGTGCTGGCCATGGCTTGGAGAGTGTGCTGCAGGCTGGGGTCCCAACTGAGGAGGCTTCCTGGACGGAGACACGCATGGGGGCGCCGAGACATCGCCTCCTGCATAGACCGTAAGATTAAGGGGAAATAACCTAACAGTCTGCTGTTTCGGGTTAGGGACAGTCCTCTGGGGAAGAGCGGAGTTCGTCTGTTAGCTGGGGGGAAAGCAAATAGCCGGACTTCCTTGCCTTTAGCGGAGGTGTGGCAGGCAGAGATCCAACAGGTTGCGTTGGCCACCGCGTGGTAATGTACCGGGAGGAAACCACCACCGGTTGAACTCCTGCCAACTATTCTGCTACAGCAGTTGATTCTTCTTTTTTTTTGCACGGAGATGATCGGAGGGGAGGTTGCTTGCCGTTCTCAGCAAGGGGGTGTGCTGTTTGGGTCATGCTTCGTCTGTTGGACTTCTGTCTGCAATGACGCTATTAAGGAGGATTCTTGCTGGAGAGGGAGGTTGGTTCTGGCTTTCCAAATACTGTTGGGCCACAACTCCCAATTGATCCCAGTCAGCATGGAGATGCCACTGTGGATTCAATCTGGGGCCTTCTGCATGCAAAGCAGATGCTCTGGCAGGGAGCTGTGACTTTCCCCATTGTTCCTCATGTGCTGAGATGAGAAGCAGAATTCATTCCATCAGCTCTATGAGGCCATTCCAGTTATTCATTACAAGAACCATTACTTAATTTTTAACAATTGGCATATCCAACCCCCCCCTCTCCCTGCCCCCTTTTCCTTCTGTGCTGTGGCTTTTGAATTGCAAGCCTGCATGCAGAAAACTTGTCTTGTTTTAGCTGATTATGTGCAAGCTGTTTCAGAAGCAAAGCAGGAATGCTCCAGATAAATAATGTTGTGAGTTGGGCCGTATCCCCAAGTCCCCTTCTAATTCCTGGACCTGGCAAGGATTCAGTTGCTGGAGTAGTCAGGCCAGTTTCTTGGCAAGATAGTGGTCTAAGTATGTCATTAAGGCAACCACGGAAGCAGCTCTGGGCCAGAGGGAAAATGGGTGCTCCTGTCCCTTAACTGGCTGGTGAGAAGGACAAGAGCTAAAATAGAGTGTGTGAGAGCTAGAATCTAGAAGTCGGCTGGGCTGCTGTGAGTCAGCCATGCCTGGTTTCTGTTTAAATCCAAACTATGGTCAAGGGAAGAACAAGACCTCCTTGGGGTGTTAGTGGTGTGATTCCCTCCATCGTAGGCTTAGTTTGTGTATATGTGTAAATAAACCATATATCATAAAGACACCACAGTCTCTACTGTCCCCAAACCCTGGGTCGGAGTCTGGAACCTCGCACTACTTGGAGATTGGGTGGTATGCAGCAATAAATATTACTTTCATTAACCTAAAGTGACCTGTTTATTGGAGGACCTCTTCCTCCTTTTTTCCTTGTATCTGCTTTGAAAGCTTCTCCCCTTTCTTCTGCCTCCCAGCCACAGTGGGTTTGACCGAGGAGCAGAAGGAGTTCCAAAAAGTGGCCTTTGACTTTGCTGCCAAAGAGATGGCCCCCCACATGGCTGAGTGGGATGAAAAGGTGAGGAATCCACTAGGCGCATAGATACCAGATCTGACAACAATGCTTAAGTGTCCTACCAAGAGAGCAGGTGGGGAAAGCCTGCCACTGTTTGCTACTGCTGATTGGTTCGTTTGCTTGGGGCTGCTCGTTTCTGCTACTCAGTAGCAAACATAAAATGTTAAAGGTGACCTTTCCTGGCTTCCGAGTGGTAGCGCTTGTTTATTCACCGGTAAGTTACCCTATGACGTGGGTGGCGCTGTGGGTTAAACCACAGAGCCTAGGACTTGCCAATCAGAAGGTTGGCGGTTTGAATCTCCGCGACGGGGTGAGCTCCCGTTTTTCGGTCCCAGCTCCTGCCCACCTAGCAGTTCGAAAGCACATAAAGTGCAAGTAGATAAATAGGTACCGCTCCGGCGGGAAGGTAAATGGCTTTTCCGTGCGCTGCTCTGGTTCGCCATAAGTGGCTTAGTCATGCTGGCCACATGACCCGGAAGCTGTACGCCAGCTCCCTCGGCCAATAAAGCGAGATGAGCACTGCAACCCCAGATTCGGCCACTACTGGACCTAATGGTCAGGGGTCCCCTTTACCCTTTACCTAAGTTACCCTATGCTTCGAAAGGCACATCAGTGGCGGTTTTAGTATGTATGCATCAGGTTTCACCACTTCAAAGCCATGCAGTCTTCCCTCCACATTTGTAAGGAGTAATTCCTTTTGTGTGGCAGCACCTGGAACTGTGGAACTCCCTGCCAATTGACATTCGGCAAGCACCATCATTATATTCTTTTAGAAACCTGCTGAAAAACATCTGTTTTGGTGGGTCTGTCTGGACACATGGTCTGTTCTTCAATTTATTTTGGATGTGTGTGGTTTTTAAGAAGTTTATAACAGTTTTAAGATGTTTTCATAGAGTCGGAAAGGACCCCAAGGGCCATCTTGTCCAACCCCTGCAATGCAGAAATCTCAACTAAAGCACCCATCCAACCTTAGTTCAACAACCTCCAATGAGGCGAGTCCAGTACCTTCTGAAGGGAGTCCAGTCCACTGTCGAACAGCTCTTAGCCTCAGAAAGTTCTTCCTAATGTTTAACTGGAATCTCTCCTTTCCTGTAACTTGAAACCATTAGTTTAAGCCATCCCATTCAGAGTTCATCCATGTGGCAGCCCTTTAGATATTTGAAGATGAGAGCATTTGCAGATGATTTAGTATTGACGTTACAGGAGCCAGAATCTAGTACTAAAAGAGTTTTAGAACTGATTCAAGAATTTGGTCAAGTTGCAGGATTTAAATTGAACAAGGTAAAAACTAAGGTTCTAGAGAAAAATCTAACACCAATGGAGAAAGAGAGGTTTCAGAATGTGGCAGGTTTAACAGTGGTTAAGAAAGTGAAATACCTGGGGATTAACATAACAGCAAAAAATGGGAATCTATTTAAAGATAATTATGAAAAATGTTGGGCTGAAGTGAAAAAAGATTTAGAAATTTGGTCAAATTTGAAGCTTTCACTGCTGGGCCGTATCGCTGCGATAAAAATGAATGTATTGCCTAGAATGTTGTTTTTATTTCAAACATTGCAAATTGTGGACAAAATGGATTGTTTCAAGAGGTGGCAGAAAGACATTTCTAGATTTGTCTGGCAGGGCAAGAAGCCTAGAATAAAATTTAAAATATTAACGGATGCAAAGGAAAGAGGTGGATTTGCCCTGCCAGACCTTAAACTTCATTATGAATCAGCAGCTTTTTGCTGGTTGAAAGAATGGCTGCTTCTTGAAAACACTGACATTTTGGACCTAGAAGGTTTTAACAATGTATTTGGATGGCATGCATATTTGTGGTATGATAAGGTCAAAGCACATAAAGCATTTAAAAACCATATTGTCAGGAAAGCGCTGTTTAATGTTTGGATAAGATATAAGGATTTATTAGAAAACAAAACTCCAAGGTGGCTGTCACCAATGGAAGCGAAAGCCTTGAAAAAGCTCAATATGGAGGTCAAATGGCCGAAATATTGGGAAATTTTGGAACAAGATGGAGATAGACTGAAATTGCAGAGTTTTGAAAAACTGAAAAACAAAGTGTGAGACTGGCTTCATTATTTTCAGATAATGGAGGCATTTAAATTGGACAAAAAAATTGGCTTCCAGGTGGAAAAATCAAAATTAGAAACTGAACTGTTAGAACCCAAAACTAAAAATTTGTCAAGAATGTATAACTTGCTGCTAAAATGGAACACCCAGGATGAAACGGTAAAATCTGCTATGATTAAATGGGCACAAGACGTTGGACATAACATTATGTTCGCTGACTGGGAACAGTTATGGACCACTGGTATGAAATTTACGGCATGTAATGCCTTAAGAGAGAATATTATGAAAATGATATACAGGTGGTACATAACCCCAGTCAAGCTTGCAAAAATCTATCATTTGCCCGATAATAAATGTTGGAAATGTAAAGAAACTGAAGGCACATTTTTTCACCTTTGGTGGACGTGCCCAACGATTAAGGCTTTCTGGGAAATGATATATAATGAATTAAAAAAGGTATTTAAATATACCTTCCTGAAGAAACCAGAGGCCTTTCTCCTGGGCATAGTCGGCCAAACGGTGTTAAAAAAGGATAGAACTTTCTTTATGTACGCAACAACAGCAGCAAGAATACTCATCGCAAGGTATTGGAAGACACAAGAACTACCCACACTGGAGGAATGGCAGATGAAACTGATGGACTATATGGAACTGGCGGAAATGAATGGTAGAATCCGTGACCAGGGAGAAGAGTCGGTGGAGGAAGATTGGAAGAAATTCAAAGATTATTTGCAGAAACATTGCAAAATTAAAGAATGTTAGAGTGATGTTGGACTGAAAATAAGTGGCTTCTAGCTATACAGGTTTTAAAGTTATATATAGATCAAGATTAAGGATTAGGATTAAAAAGATAAAGGAAATGGAAATTTGGCTTTTAAGAGGTAAAAATGTAATGTTATGTTATATTAAGATTAAGGATTGGGATTAAAAAAAGAGGGAAAGAAATTGCTGGACATACAAATTGAACTGGAATACAAAAGAGGGAGGTATGAGGAGGTCCAGAAAATAAGTAAATTTAAAAAATGGAGATGAAAAGGTGGTATTGCTTTTAAATGTTTTCTTTTTTGTCTTTTGCTTTTTGTTTCTTTTCTTTTTTTCTTTTTGGATTATGTATTGTGTATTTCTGAACTGTGTATTTTTCTTTTCTACTTTTAATTTTTAGTTTGGAAATTCTAATAAATATCATTTTAAAAAAATAAATAAATAGATATTTGAAGATGGCTCTCATAGCTCCTCTCAATCAGCTAGTAAGCCAATATTGTGGTTGGTGGGTGAGAGGTGTTCACCTGCTGCTTCAAAGAAATAGTTGTCCTTGAGAAAAGGAAGGGGGGGGGACAAAACCTCAAGATTTGTCGAAAACCCAAATGAAGAACTGTTTCCCCTCTCTCCCTTCGCAGGAAATATTCCCTGTGGAGACAGTGCGGAAAGCAGCTCAGCTGGGGTTCGGTGGGATCTATGTGCAGCCAGACGTGGGGGGCTCTGGGTTGTCCCGGCTCGACACCTCCATCATCTTCGAGGCTCTGTCGACGGGCTGTGTCAGTACGACAGCTTATATCAGCATCCACAAGTGAGTAATGGGAGGCAGAAGTGCTCGGCCTGGAAGGCCACCTTCAGGCAGAGGGTCTGCATTGTGACCCCTTTTCTTGTGGTTGTCGCTGCTGCAGCATGTGCAATTGGATGATCGACACCTTTGGGACAGAGGAACAGAGGCACAAGTTCTGCCCGTCGCTTTGCAGCATGGAAAAGCTTTCCTCCTACTGTCTGACTGAGCCAGGTGAGGGAGATTTGTTCATTTAGTTAAAAGTTTTTCATCAAATTATATTGCATTGATTTCTGTGGGAAAGCAACAGAAGCAATGAAGAAACAGGTAAGTGTCCCCGCTCCCTCATATAGAAGAAGAAGAAGAAAGCAGTTGAAAAACTTTTGAGGATATCCAGAGAAGATGAAATTAAGAGTCCAAATGGCAGAGGACAGAAGCCACTTCAGACAGTGTTCTACAGTCTCAGGATTGCAGATGGAAAATGAGGACCCCTCCATGAATGTATCCAAGTCTTTCAAAGCAAGCTACAGTGGTACCTTGGGTTACATACGCTTCAGGTTACATACGCTTCAGGTTACAGATTCTGCTAACCCAGAAACCTTGGGTTAAGAACTTTGCTTCAGGATGAGAACAGAAATCATGCTCCGGCCAGACGGCAGCAGCGGGAGGCCCCATTAGCTAAAGTGGTGCTTCAGGTTAAGAACAGTTTCAGGTTAAGTACGGACCTCTGGAACGAATTAAGTACTTAACCTGAGGTACCACTGTAGTTACTGCCTCCTGCGGGAGTGAGTTCCATAGTTGAACTACGCATAGTACAAAAAAGTACTTTTAATTTTTTATTTTATCAATAAAAATCTTCCAGTATTCAACTTCCCTTTATGCCAACGAGTTCTAGTGTTATGAGAGATGGAGAAAAACTTTTCTCCATCAACTTTCTCCATGCCATGGTTAATTTTATAAACCTCCATCATGCCACCTCTTTCTTGCTTTTTCTCTAAAAGGTGCCAAACACTGCAGTGTTTCTTCACCTGGCGGAGGGGGGGGGGGTCACTCCATCCCCTTGCTCATTTTGGGTGTCCTTTTCTGAACCTTTTCCGGCTCTACAATATCCTTGTTGATCTGAGGTGACGAAGGCCACCCTGTGAGCACCCCAAAAATTGGAACCCGGGCCTCTCTTGTCTGAATCTTACTCTTTATTGCTCTTTTAACGGTATCTCAGTTGCAATTGTCTGCCTCTTGTTTCCCAAACAGGAAGTGGAAGTGATGCGGCTTCCCTGCTAACTTCAGCCCGGAAGAAAGGGGACACTTACATTCTGAACGGCTCCAAGGTACCAGGCGTCCTCCTCTTTGACACCCACTCTTCATCTTTGCCTCAACGAACCCTCTAAAATATTCTCCTTCTCATGCAGAACTAACTACCTCCCCTTCCTTAGGCTATTTCGGTGCTCCAAGCAGTCGTTGCTGCAGATGTCCAGAATGCAATATTTTCTCCCTTCCGCAGTCCCTGCCCCCCGCAATGCCTTCTGCACATAAATTATTTGGTTCTGAAGATTGCTTTGGGAATTCCACTTGTGTTTCTTACAGCTATCTGGCTTAAGGTAGCTTTGAAAAGGGAAGGGGATAAATTCGCAGTGTGTTAGGTCAGGTGATGGTTATCCCCACATTTCAGGGGCAGTCTTGTCACCAGATGTGTGCTGTGGGCTAGCGGTCAGATACCTGCCAGGGCCCACAAACAACAAAGCAGGGGACCCAATCCTTAGCCCCCCCGGCTCCTGCTGCTTTGCAGCTGCCTCCCCCCCCCGATTCCCTTCCCTTCTCCAGATGCGCAGGTATTGACCAGAGTCGGAGATGCTGCTGCTCTTGCTTTTCACTCTCCTTCAGGTTCGTTGTGTGGATTGGGCCTGGAGGAAAAGGCCAGGAGTGTCAGTGTCAAGGAAGAGAGAGGGGCCTGCTCCCTGGGAGCATCTCACCCCCATTCCATCCAACATTTCTCCAACGAAAATAGGGATGTCGTAGGGAAAAGCTGGACATTCTGGGATCAAAGCAGAAACCGGGACAGCTTCTGTAAATCTGGGACTGTCCCTGGAAAATAGGGACGCTTGGAGATTGCATGTGGGATCGAACCAGGGACCTTCTGCATGCAAAATAGGTGGATAGCATCCCACTACATCCTTTTCCAATAATAATAATAATAATAATAATAAATTTATTTATACCCCGCCCATCTGGCTGGGCTTCCCCAGCCACTCTGGGCGGCTTCCAGCCAAATATTAAAACACAGTAATACATCAAACATTAAAAGCTTCCCTAAACAGGGCTGCCTTCAGATGTCTTCTAAATGTTTGGTAGTTGTCGTTCTCTTTGACATCTGGTGGGAGGGCGTTCCACAGGGCCGGTGCCACTACTGAGAAGGCCCTCTGCCTGGTTCCCTGTAATTTGGCTTTTCGCAGTGAGGGAACCGCCATAAGGCCCTCGGCGCTGGACCTCAGTCTCTGGGTAGAATGATGGGGGTGGAGACGCTCCTTCAGATATAGTGGGAGAGGGCTGATGTCCTCACCCTTGTTTGTGGCCTTCCTCAAAGCGTCTCCCTGTGTGCTGCTGGAGGCAGGGTACTGGTGCCTGATCCAGCGGCGCCCTTCTTAGCTCCATGTTGCCACTCTGCCCTCCCTGTTTATCCTCCCTCGTTTCATCTTAATCTTCTCCCCTGTCCTTTGTTCTCACTCCAGCCCTTCTCTGCTTCCTGGACCTTGCATGGCCTTGGATGCACAGGCCCCCCAGGGGCAACTTCTCTGCTTCTTGAGGTCGCCTGGGCTGTAGTAGACTCTCCCTCCCTTCCCTCCCCTTTCTCTTGAGTCATCCTTTTTCTCGTCTCCCTAGGCCTTCATTAGCGGTGGCGGCGACACAGACCTGTATGTGGTGATGTGCCGGACGGGAGGGCCAGGCCCCAAAGGAATCTCATGCCTGGTTCTGGAGAAGGGGACTCCCGGCTTGAGTTTTGGCAAAAAGGAGAAAAAGGTAAGCAGGTCGGGGTGTGTGTGTGTGTGAGGAGACACTCTTGGCTTTTGGGGTGCATGCTGCATTCAGATTAAAAATATGCCACTTTTGCCACTGTGGGGACTTGCTTAAGTGGCCAGCCAGTATATTTTATTTAGCTATAATAAAATTCTATATCCTATTTATACATCATAAAAAAGAAAAACTATCAAAACAGTTTTCAGCAATAAAAACATAAAACCATAAAAAGTTAAAAACAAACACCAACAAACCACCAACAAAATTATTATTATTATTATCATTTATTAAAATGTGCAGTGCTTTTTTCTAAAAAAATGTTTAGGGGTGCTCTCATTTTGACTCAAGAAAATCACCATTTTATAGTTGCAATTGTGAAAAATAAATACAGTAAATGGACAAAAGTACAGAGATTCACAAAATGTTTAGGGGTATGCGTACCTCCCCATCCCCCCAGAAAAAAGCACTGAAAATGTGTATACTGCCCCATTCCCAGAGATCTCAGGGTAGTTCACAACATAAAAATACAGTATTAAAAAAACACAAAATACATGATAAAAATAAGAACGGAAAGAACATAATAATTCCCCCTCCCACATCACATTTAAAAGTGCATCGGATGACAGTCCTGGTTGAAGAGGAATGTTTTCGCCTGTTTCCTAAAGGTGTATAATGAAGGTGCCAGCCGAACCTCCCTGGGGAGAGCATTCCACAAACGGGGAGCCACTACAGAAAAGGCCCCTTCTTGTGTTGCCAACCTCTGGACCTCTCATGGAGGTGGCACACGAAAAAGGGCTTCAGAAGACGATTGCAGGGTTCAGGTTGGTTCCTGGGCCCAGCAGAACAGAAATGTTTTCAGCTGATATCTAAAGGTTAGCAGTGAAGGCACCCCGCTGAATCTCTAGTGGCGGAGTGTTCCACAGGACTGGGCTTAAGACACAGCAGTGGCATCGGAGCGCATTAGCAAAAAAGGCTCTCCTGTTTTTCCCTCCCCTGCAGATGGGCTGGAACTCCCAGCCGACACGCGCCGTGATATTTGAGGACTGTGCCGTTCCGGTTGCCAACCGGCTGGGAGAGGAAGGAACGGGCTTCAACATCGCCATGAAGGGCTTGAATGGAGGGAGGATTAACATTGGTAAGAGTGGAAGGGAAAGTGGGAGGTTTGGGCTGCCCAAGGGGGGCGGGGGGACATGACGCCAGGCCTCCCGTGCATAATGGAGTCTTCTTCCCCATTCCTTCTGCAGCCTCTTGCTCTCTAGGTGCCGCCCATGCCTCAGTCCTTTTGGCTCGGGATCACCTTAATGTCCGCAAGCAGTTCGGGGAGCTGTTGGCTAGCAATCAGGTGACTTCATCTCACAACAGCCTGTCACTCCTGAAACAAGAGGGGCATCTCAGTGGTTAGAGCCCCTGCCTTTCGCACAGAAGGTCCTGGGTTTGATCCCCAGCAGCTCCAAGTCGGGTTGGGAGTGATTCCACGCCTCCTGTGGCATTCAGGGCAGAAGCTAAGGCCACATTCACATCGTCCATTCAAAGCACAATGATATCCCTAGAATCATAGGTTCTCTAGTCCAATGCTCTAATACTGCCCACTGCTGTCCCTGCGTGGGCTCCAGCTGGCAACTTTCCAGTTAACAGCCAGCCTGACCCGTTGTGCTTCAGATCATGGCTTCCCCCAAAGAATTCTGGGAGCTGTAGTTTGTTAAGAGTGCCAAGAGCTGTTTTGAGGTCCTGTTTTGAGTCTGGACCAGTCTGAATAGTTAGCTTTGGTGAAGACTTGACGTTTTTATCCCCCCAAAAGTTTTTGATTGAGTTTCCACTGAAATGAGGTTGCGTTTTAATGTTTTAATGTTGTATTTTAATTTTGTTTTTTAAGCTGTATTTCAATCGTTTTTATATTTGGTGTTAGCCGCCCTGAGCCCGGTCTTGGCTGGGGAGGGCGGGGTATAAATAAAATTTATTATTATTATTATTATTATTCCCCTCGCAGAGCTACAGTGTCCAGAGTGGTTTAACAAATCAATCCCTCCTCCCCGGGAGCTCTGGAAATTGTAGGTCTGGAAGAGGAATAGGGGATCCCCTCCCAACTCTCATCACCTTTGACAAACTCCAGCTCCCATAATTCTTTGCAAGAAGCACCAATTATTTAAAGTGGTATCGCAGTGCTTTATGATGTGAATGTGGCCTACAAGTGATCCAGCGAGGAGGGACGTAACAAGGCGCTGCCAACCATGAACCCCACTGAGCACGACACCATTTGCACACTGACTGGCAGCCCCTCTGCGGTGGCTTCCACACAAGCATCTGTTCCCAGCCCTACCTGCACACATGGGGTACTGAACTTGGGTCCTTCTGTATGCAAGCATTTGGTCCCCACTTTGGGCAGGCCCCCTCACTCCCTTGTTGGGGAGAAATGGGGGAATAGGGCAGCCTCACAGCAGCAGCAAAATTGGGGCCGCTTGCTGGGTTGGCCCTCTGGGTACGCCTTTACCCGTTTTGCTGCTTCTCTTTTGGCAGTACCTCCAGTTCCGGCTGGCAGAGATGGCAACCCGCTTGGTGGCTGCCCGGCTCATGGTGCGAAACGCGGCGCAGGCACTGCAGGAGGGGCGCGAGGATGCCGTGGCCCTCTGCTCCATGGCCAAGCTCTTTGCCACGGACGAATGCTTTGTGGTAGGCAAATCCCCCCTCCTCCAGCCCCCCTTTTTTAAAAAAACAAAAACATGCATGTTTACTGCAGTTGCAAAGGTGGCGCTTTTTGCATCTTCAAACGTTTAAGGCTTCTTCCTTGGTATTTAAAAGACGCCATCTCGGGAAATGATCAAGAAGTGGTAAGTCAAAGGTAACGATCCAAAGGAATTGGGAAAAGACCTCTATAGTATTAGCTGCTGCGGCAGCTCACTCACTTTCTCTCGAGCAAGGCTGCCCAGAGAGCTCACTGGTGGTACTGCTGCTGCTGTTCACCACAGCTACTGTTGCAAGGAAGCAGCAGCAGCAGCTGGGAAACAAGCACAAGGAATGGCAATTTGCAGACTGCTGCTCCTGTTATCCCAGAAAGCAGAGCAGGAGTAGAAACGGAAGCCAAATCTATAGGTCCGACTATTCAAGTCAAGGGAAGGTTCGTTGTTTAGTGGTTAACTCACTCAACCACTAGGTGGCAGTGTTGTATTTTAATCCAGGCTTCTGTGAGTCTTTAAAGGCTATTGTGTCTGCTTTCTCTCTGCTTTCGTTTTTTTAAAAGACTGGTGCTTAAACTCAATTATTTATTGTCCCTGTTCTACTTTGCTGCTGCTGCTATTATTATTATTATTATTATTATTATTATTATTATTATTATTTACATTTATATCCCAGCTTTTCCCCAAGGAGCTAAAGGTAGTGTACATAGTCCTCCCCGATTTATCCTCACAACAACCTTAGAAGGTGATTCGGCTGGATCCGGCCCCCGGGCCTTAGTTTGCCTACCTATGCACTAGATCTTCTCCCAACAGTTAGGCTTGAAGAAAAGCATCCTATTGGTGCAATAAAAGGCCTTCTTCAAGTTCAGTTGTGGCACAGGGGGGTGAGGTTTTTTTGGGGGTGGGAATGCAACAAATGGGTATTGGAGGGTTAATTTTCCTACCCCAGCTATAGCAAACACACCCCTTAAAAAAATCCCAGTCCCCTGGACTTGGAGAAGAGCCTTCTGTCTGTTCAAATAGAAGCCAAAGTGGGACAGAGTCAGCAGAGCACTGTAGACCGGATGGGGAGGTCCCAGGGGCCACATTTGGCTTGTGGACTGGCTCCTTTCCTCCCTGACCCTCCAGGCTCTAGGGCTCAACTCTTACTTGATTCTGTCTTGCGCAGATCTGCAACCAAGCCCTGCAGATGCACGGGGGCTACGGGTACCTGAAGGATTACAAAGTGCAGCAGTTTGTACGAGACATCCGTGTGCACCAGATTTTGGAAGGTGAGTTATGTGGGGTGCTGCCCTGCAGCCTTGGCTGCTGCCTGCCTCATTCCAGTGACTGCATGCAGAAGGAACCTGCTTCAGTCCCTGGCATCTCCAGGTAGGCCTGAGATCGTTCCCCCTTGAAGCCCTGGAGAGCTGCTGCCAGCCAATGTAATGTATGTCAGCCTTGGGTTACCCAGATGGGACTACAATTCCCATCATCCTTGACCAGTGGCGAGACTGGCTGGGGATGATGGGAGTTGTAGTCCAACAGCAGGGTGAAGAACACAGGTGCAGACAACACGGATCAGTGGTCTGAACTCGGTGTAAGACACTTTCCTATGTCCCTAGATTCCTGTGTTGATGGTTCACTGCAGCCGCTGCTCTGTAGTTTTCTGTTTATGTTGAGACCCACATTAATGTTCATTAACTGCTAAGCTACAATGAGCTGATTGCACAATGGCTTCACCAATGTCTCCCACTTGCACGGGTCGGCCACATCTCATGGTGCGAGCTGTGGGAACTTGGTCCCAAGTTAACAAATAGCTAGGAAACCTGCTGCTTTTTAAAATCAACATAGGGAAGATAGGAAGCTGCCTTATGCGGAGTCAGGCCATTGGTCCATCTAGCTCAGTGCTGTCTACACTGACTGGCAGCACCTCTGCAAGATTTCAGGCAGGGATATCCCCAGGAAATGCCATTGGAGATTAAACCTGGGACCTTCCGCATGCAAAGGGCATGCTCTACTCCTGAGCTGCATCCCTTTCCCTGGGTAGGATATTGCGGTCGTAAGCAGGTAGTGCCTGCATACTTTCAACCTTTGCATCCATGAGGACTATAAACTTGCTTGCTTTATCCATGGAAGGAAGAAAACTGGGGTTCTTAGAATTCCCCATCTGTGTCTAGATCCCCAGCACTTACAGTGCATGCACCAAATACACACAGTTCTGTGATTTGCTAACAAATACCTCTCTCTCTCTCTCTCTCTTTGTCCATCTGTCTGTCTGTCTGTCTCTCTTTCATCTGGCTTCACTGGCCATAAGGCACTAACGAAGTGATGAGGATGATCGTGGCCAGGAATTTGCTACAGGCATAGCGTCAGGAGCTGGTCTTCAGACCTTTGCTTTGCAGGATACGAATTTGAAACAAGGAGAGTTTGGAGGAGAGTTTTCTTTTTCACCACCAGCACTCCACCCACCTACCGATCTCTGCCCTGATGGGCACGGCTCAAAACCCAGCAGGTGGCAGGTGGTGAATGCAGAGCCTTTGCCCTCGAAAGCCCAGCTGCAGTCCCGTTTCTCTACTCCTCCAAAAGAAACACAGCACTGGCCGAAACTGAACGGCCTGTATCCTCTCCAACATTTTAAGTTAGCTTCCAATTCCTGAAGGCGGGAGCTACAGTCTTTTGATGGGCTTTGATACCAGAACCTTGCAGTGCTGGTGGGCAGAAGGAAGAGAAAATCCGTTCTAGGTTTTGCACATATTGGGGGAAAGGGATAATCTTGTTACATCCTTATTTCCAGGAGATGACACCTTTTTCCCCAGGGGAAAACCACGAAGGCCTTTTAAGCTTTGCCTTTTCCTTCAAGACACAGGTCCTCTTTTTTTAGGTCAAGTTGGCAGGTGAGGAGGAGATCTCTCCTCTCTTACTAAATCAGGGGTTGCTAAATTCAGATGTTGCTGATATCTCCCATCAGCACCGGAGTCAGCATAGCCATTGATTAGGGATGATGGAAGTTGTAGTTCTGCAATATCTGTAGTAAACCCAAAGGAGAGGGAACCTGCAGCCTTCCATCAGCTCTGGCAAGCATGGCCAGGAATAATGAGAGCTATGGAAGTCGGAGTTAATAGTCCTGCAGGACTACAGGTTCCCCATGTCTATTAAACCTCATGGCAACCCCCTCGATTTCCACCAAAGCTCGCTCTGTCTCCCACCATCGTTCAGATGGTGCTAATCCTCTTCACCATTAGATCATTTTGGCTGCAGCAGGAAAGCCTTTTGATGCACAACAGGGTCTCAATCTGGCAATTTCCAGTTGGCCAATAGCACAAAGAGTGCCGAGAGTGCTGATCCGGGTCGTTTTCTTTTACTACTCCATGCTGGAATCAATAAATTGCTGTTTCTAACTTGGTTTGCATTGTCATTTCCCCCCTTATTATTTTGGTTAAGAGCACAATCCTGCCGATGTGCCTTTTGCTGCTTTTTCCTGTGCCTCAGCCTTAAGAGAGCGTTGCAAGGCTGGCAGATTGAGGTGGTCCTCAGGTGGAGTGGTGTTGGGAAGGAAGCAGGGATGAGAGGCCACCTTGCATTAGGTTTCTCAGTGCCATCGGAAGGACCTGCGCAGGCGAGTGCCCTCCACAAAGTAGCTGCTTATGCATCATCAAAAAAGAGGACAGATCCACATTCGCTTATATATAGGTGACAATTTAGAAACAACCACCATAATTTAAATATTCATTTATTTATGTTTTGCATTCATATCTCTGCTTTTTCTCCAAAGAGCCCAGGGTGGTATACATGGTTCTTCCCCACAACAATCCCCCCACAACAACCCTGCGAGGTAGGAGAGAGTGACTGGCCCAAAGTCACCCAGGGAGCTTCATGGCCGGGTGGGGATTTGAGCCCTGATCTCCCAGGTCCTAGTCCGACATTCTGGTCACATTCACACTGTACATTTTAAAGAGCTATGATTCCACTTTAAACAGTCATGGCTCCCCTCCCCCCGAATTATGGGAAGTGTAGCTGTTTGCTTTCTGATGGGCCAGTGTGATTGTGAATGCCAGCAAAAATCTGAGCAAAATAAGGGGGTCAGACCTGTTCCTCCTACCCCTCCCTCTCTCTTTTCTTTAAAAGTTTTTAAAAATTGTGTATATATACAGTATATTACTTTTTAAAAGAAGATAATATACAAACACATCAGCAAAAAGTAAGCAGCATGGCGTATTGGCTTTCTCCTGGTTACGTCAAACTGCTGATATTCCTTTGCATCATTATATTTACAAAGGAACAAGGAATTACACTACTCTTTCATCCATAAGAGTTGGAAGGTACCAAGGCTCATCTACTCCAACCTCCTGCAATGCAGGAATGTGCTTGTTGCTGGGAGAGTGAGATACAAACAGAGAACCAAACCAAAACCATTGTTTGCTGCTATTTATTGGTCGTGTGTCTCACGTAGGAGTGTCCCAAAGCGACCTAAGGATGGCGGCTGACGGTCATGCTCCTTATCAGCTATATGTGCAATAAAACGCTGCCAAATGGTATAAAATGTGACCTTTGCCTTTTTGATTCCGTAGGATCTGTATCTGGTTAGTTAATCTCCCTGTTAAAGTGACCTCCTAGATTTTCAGGTACAAACATTCCAGCATCTTACAGTCCAAATCATTCCAGTGTCTTCCAACTGACAGTTGGGCCACTGCAAAAAATAAAAAGAAAGAAATCCCCCAACTACTTATGGGCAACACCTTTCCCTGGAAGTGGGTCCATGAGTGGGTCTCTGGTTTGTGTCACAAGCCTATGCCTTGAATATTTTCAGGACCTAAAAATCTCCCTGCTCTGTCTTCATTTCTGGAATGGCTGCCTTAGGACAGCACCATTGCATTCCACAACAGTCCATTCCCAACTGCGGAACTTGCCACGCCAAACTTCCTACCTTGTTGCCATTGCAGGGTATATCCCCAAATAGCTTCTCTAGACACTCAGAGAGTCTCGAGAAGAGCTCTGTACAAGAAAGCAGTGACGTAGCGTGGGGGTGCAGGGGGGGCCGGCCGCACCGGGCGCAACATCTGGGGGGGGGTGCGCTCGCAGCTCTCTGTCCCCTGCTAAAATCCACGGGTTAGGGGGCGCAAATTACTTGCCTTGCCCCGGGTGCTGACAACCCACGCTACACCACTGCAAGAAAGAGAGCTTTACAACCTTAAGTGACTTCCTTAAGAGGCCAGGTTGCAGCGTCTGAGACTTTTTAGTATAGAGAAAATTTGGGCAAGAGGTGACATGACAGAAGTTCATAAAATTATGCACGGCATGAAGGAAGCGGATAGTGAAAAGGTTTTTTCTTCCTGGAACTCGGGAGACATCCCATGAAGCTGAATGCTGGAAGATTCAGGGCACATAAAATGAAGTGCTTCTTGACGCAACATATAGTTAAACTGTGGAATTCCCTCCCACAGGAGGCAGGGATGGCCATGAAAGTGGATGGCTTTAAAAGGCCGGGCAAATTGTGTAGAAGACAAGAACTATTGTGTTTTCCACTTCATAAGACACACTTTTTTTCTTCCTAAAAAGTAAGGGGAAATGTCTGTGCATCTTATGGAGCAAATGCATGGTTCCTGGAGTTCCTGGTCCCAGGGGCAAAAAGCAGACCGTGCTCTTATTTTTTGAAAGAGGAAAGTGGGTGTTGAAACAAAGCTGCTGATTGTTTGCTGATTGGGGAGAGAGATAAGGGATGTTAGAGATAAAGGAGGCTGCCTGGGAGGGGGGATGTAAAGACAGCAAACTTGCCAAGGGGGGAAACAGGAAGACTAAAGCAATAAGGAGAGAAATTAGAAGAAAAGGAGGAGCAAAAAACTGCTCCAGCTAAGGAAAAGATGCAAAGGCAAACTAGGGCAGGGAGTGTTGAAAGGAAACAGCTGATCGGTGGGATCAGAAGAGAGATAAGGGATGCTAGCGGAGGCTGCCTGGGAGGGGGGAGGTAAAAGCCCATGGATCCTTAGGATTTGTGCGTTGGGTCACTCCAAATTCACCATCAGATCTCATAGCATGTCCATGGCTACAGCCTGCACCAAAAAAATCACGAACCCACTGTTGCGTGGGGCCGCAATGGTGCAAAAACGTGGTTACAAAGCACGGATCCACATGGATCCTCAGGATTTTTGCATTGGGTCACCCCAAATTCACCATCAGATCATGTCTGTGGCCACAGCATGAACCACAAAAATTATACATCCATTGTTCCATTCAGAATATTTTTTTTCTTGTTTTCCTCCTCTAAAAACTAGGTGCATCTTATGGAGCAAAAAATACGGTAATGAGTGCTGGAAATGCAAAGAAAAGGAAGGTATCTTTTACCACATGTGGTGGACTTGCAAAGAGGTAAAGGCTTTCTGGGAAACGATATATAAGGAGTTAAAGAAAATGTTTTAAAATACTTTTGTTAAAAAACCAGAAGCCTTTTTAGTGGGTATAGTGGGTGAAGAGATACCAAGGGAAGATAAAAGACTATTTATGTATGCAACAACTGCGGCAATAATTCTCTTGGCCCAAAAATGGAAACAACAAGAAGTACCAGCGAAAGAAGAGTGGCAGATGAAGATGATGGACTTTGCAGAACTGGTGAAGCTGACAGGAAAAATCTGAAACCAGCAAGATCAAGTATTCCAAAAGGAGTGGAGTTAATTTATATGGTATCTGAAAGACTATTGTAAGCAATTAACATCACTAGCAGGGTTGTCTGAAGACTTGCAATGAGAAATTTTCTACCTTTCTATATTTATTTAAAGTTTGAGTTATTTTGTAATGAGTGTAATTAGAATTGGAAAATGTACAAAACGCAATGATATAAAGGTTAATTTTGAAAGCCATGAGGCTGGAGGGAAGGAAGTCGATGGGCTTGTGTGTGTGTGTGTGTGTGTGTGAGAGAGAGAGAGAGAGAGAGAGAGAGAGAGAGAGACTGGGCAAACTGATGGAGAGAGCTATTGATGGCTACTAGTCATGACGGCTAGGCTCTTTCTCCATTGTCAGAAGCAGGAATGTTTCTGCATGGGAGTTGCTGGAAACCACAGGAGGGGAGAGTGCTATTGAGCTCTGGCCTTGCTTGCCATTTTTCCACTGGCATCTGTTGGGCCACTGTGAGAAGAGGATGCTGGACTAGGTGGTCCATTGGCCTGATCCAGCTAGGGCTCTCCTTATATTCTGACAAATGCCAGTTCCTTTGGCCTGAAAAGCAAGATAAGCGTCATGCCCCATAGTTGCCTCTGACTGGACTTAACCGTCCAGGGGTCCTTTACCTTTACCTTACCTTTGTTCATAATTCTGGCAGGATAACCAAAGGGCCTGCCATCCTAAGTACTGTACACTTCCTATGTAACAGGGATTACAGTAGTACTTCGGGTTACAGATGCTTCGGGTTACAGACGCTTCAGGTTACAGACTCCGCTTACCCAGAAATAGTACTTTGGGTTAAGAACTTTGTTTCAGGATGAGAACAGAAATTGCGCAGTGGCAGCGCGGCGGCAGCAGGAGGCCCCATTAGCTAAAGTGGTGCTTCAGGTTAAGAACAGTTTCAGGTTAAGAACAGACCTCCGGAACGAACCCAAGGTACCACTGTACTTTGTTTAAATAGAAGAAATCAACAGCATTGGCAACAAGGAAGGATTGGGGTCAAAAATTCAGGGCCCCAAATGCAGCAGAGTTGGTTTACTGTACTTTGAGGTGAACTAGGAAACATCTCAAAAAGGCAGGGATGGAATGTACTATTAAGTTTAGAGTCTAAGATTACTCAGTAGCAACACAGGAAATCAAGTAGCAGCAGCTTTTCTGATAAGATACGGTTTCAGACTGGAGCTAAGGGTTTGCATATCTGAATGTTTTCCCTGTGCATATGCCCGAATCCACACACACTCACATGAATGAATGAACTTTATTTACAGAATTAAAAAAGCATATAGATAAAATAGCAGTTAGGATTTTTATTTTTATTTTATATTCGCATAAAATACTCTGTACATGGAGAAATCTAGCACATAACGGTGAGGGTTTCTATGCTAGCTTTCTGTGTGCATGAGGGCTACATCCCAGCCCCTCGCTTGCAATTTCCTGACTTATCCAAGAAAAGCTTATCAGTCAATTCTGTTGAGTCACCCAGGTGTGTATGTCCCTCAGAGCTCTGCCTTAGTAAACCTGTTTAGCAGGACTGCGTTGACGGTGTTGATAAAGAGGGTGCTGCTGAGCCTGTACAGAGTGCACTCCTGCAACCACCGGGATGAAAAGTCGCCCTCTCCAGTCGGGCCCATGTTCCCCAAGCATGTGAAAAATGCACTGCTGCAACCGATCCCAAGGGAGAGTCGCCTGCTCCAACCCAACTTCTGAACCATGCTGGCAACCGTCTGCCAAAGGGCAGGCAGCTGCTCAGCCACTCGCAACATCATACAGAGTGTACTACAGCGCCTGCCCAAAGGGAGACGAACCTGCTCAGTCCAGCATGTTGGCAGACAACTGCCCAGCGCACGGAGCCTTTGAGCATGTGCAAAGTGCACTCCGGCAGCTACCCCAAGGGAGAGTGACCTGCTCAGTCCAGCTCCACTTCTGAGCGTGCAGGCGGCCAGCTGCCAACGGGCAAGCCGGCTGCCCAGGATCGCTCAGCCTCTGAGCATGTGCAGATCCAGCATCGCTTTCTGGCCCCCCCGCCCCTTTGCTTTTTGCACGGCTTGGCACCTCGCCAGGCTAAGGCGCTCGCGAGGGGGAACAGGTGGGAGAGCGGGAGCCTTAGAATGCAGGGAGCGAAGCATGATCGACGGGAGAACGCCCGCCCAATCAGGAACGAGAGACTGGTCCCGCCTCCCGCGGCGCGACACCGGCCAATCGCCTGGAGGGACCGGGCCGGCGCTCCCGCCCTTCGCTCTCGGCGCTTCGGCGGCGGCCAACGACAACCGAGCGAAGGTGCCTCCCTCCCTCCAATGGGAGGCGCCCGTGTTAGTAACGGCGCCGCCAATGGTAGCGAGAGTCGGAGTCCCTGGTAACGGAGCCGGGGCTGCGCCGGGCCGCCTCCAAAGCATGTGGAGCTGCGGGGGGCGCCGGCGGCGGCGTCTCTTCGCGGGCGCCTTCCTGCTGGTGTTGGCCATCGTCGTGCTGAGCAGGTGAGAGGAGCCGCTGAGGAGAAAGGGGCGGGGCCTGGACGCGATATGCTAATCTGGCCCCGCCTCCTGCCGGCGGAGCCCCGCCCTTCCCCGAGGAGGGCTCCGCCCATGCCCATATATGGGCAAAACGACCCCCATTCCATTCACCCTTTGGAGCGCCCATAGACCCTTCATCCCTCTTCCTCCCAGCCCCATTCTAGTGGGAAGGGGTTAAATCCAGGTTTCTCCTCTTTTACTCCTAGGGTGCCCCCCACCCACCTTCAATGGAACATGTTTTCACCATGGTCCTCTTCCCCCCATTTTTGCCTCCCCCACCCCACCTTTCCAAATTATATACAGCATAAGGTTGCTTTAGGTGTAAAGAGAGTGAACCTACCTTGCAGGGTTGTTCATAGAATTGGACAAGTTGGAATGGAACCAGGGGTGATCTAGTCCAGCCCCCTGCACAACTAGATCATCCATGAGAGATGGCCATCCAACCTCTGTTTAAAAACCTTTCAATGAAGGGGAGGCCGCCACTTCCAAAGGGAGTCAGTTCCACCGTCGAACAGCTTTTCCCATCAGAAAGTTCTTCTTGATGTTTAGTGGGAATCTCCTTTCTTGCAACTTGAAGTTCAGGTCCTACCCTCCAGAACAGGAGAAAACAAGCTAGCTCCATCTTCCACGTGACAGCCCTTTAGGTATTTGAAGATGGCTATCATGAAGCTTTTCTTGTTCACATGCTCTGTCTCTGCAAATCAAACTGCTCTAATGATCTTAAAGGTAAAGGTACCCCTGCCCGTACGGGCCAGTCGTGTCCGACTCTAGGGTTGTGCGCTCATCTCACTTAAGAGGCCAGGAGCCGGCGCTGTCTGCAGACACTTCCGGGTCACGTGGCCAGCGTGACACTAATGATCTTAGAGATAGAAAAAAACAAAACAGCACACCAAGTTGCAGGACCTATTTTGTAGAACTTCTCTAAGGAGATCTGCGAGTCTAGTTCCCCTCAGAATTGTACACAACCATATTAATTGACAGGCACGTTCGTCAACTGACTAGAAATGATCAGCTGGTTGGTTCAAAAATCAGCAGAGTCTGAAGGGTTAGCTCAGTCAGTAGAGCAGTAGACTCTTAATCTCAGGGTTGTGGGTTTGAGCACCAGGTTGGGCAAAGATATTACATTAGCCCATGCCAGCAAGGTCAGTGGTGAAAAACGATGGGAGTTGATTTTACGGGTGACTTATTAAAAACATGGTGTACTAAACTGCATTTTTAAAAATGTCTGAGAAGGTCCATTTGCAATTTCTCAAGCTTGCTGCCTGTACCCTGGTCTCTAACCATTAAATCATTGAACTGGGGCATGTATAGTCACTCTAGGGTGCATACATAGACAGGAAGGTGCTCTCCAGTGCACTTTAGTTCTTTTTGAGAATCATAGGAGAGAGAACTCAAAGCTTTCTAGTATATCTTTAACCAAAATGAGAAACTTCCTCCATCCTCTTAAATCAGTGTCAGATGGGCAATTCCAAGGTAAACAAGCTCAGAGAGGAAGAAGGAACTCTTAGCAATATGCAGAAGGGTGGGTGAGTGTTAACAACGATATGAGTGTGTCCTGTTCTCATCTGAAATATTGGAACATTTGTAAGCAGCCTGGCTTGATTGATTGTGCTTTTCTAGGCAGTTTGTCCTTCAGCCCTCCATCAAAGATTCTCATTACCTCTCTCCTTAGCTCAAGATCAAGGCATTTAAAGCACATCCCAATCCCCAAGCAATCCTGGGAACTGTAGTTTCTTAAGGGTGCTGGCAAGTTGTAGCAATGTGAAGGGTAAGCTGCATTTCCCAGGATTTTTGGGGTGGGTGGGGGATGTGCTTTAAATGTACGGCATGTACACAGCTCAAGAGTTTACAGGACACAAATTCAGTCTTAAGAACTCTGAGAAGTTGTAAATCATTATAACAGGAAGATAGTGAGCCATGTTTACACATGACACATGTACAGCACTGAACGTATGAGGGAGTCTGGGATTGTGCCCACTGGCCAAGCAAGAAAGGGCCTTATGCATGCACAGCTCTTCCTTGTGTTCAGTCAAGAAACAACCTGACTGCCCAAAGGCTCTTGGCGTGCACGTAGGAAGAGCCTTTTCTTTCTAATGTTATTTGGGTGAGTCTGGTCATTGGGTGCAATCCAGCTCCTCACTTATATTACTACCAATGCAATTTTTGATTAAAAAAAATTAGTTTTCCAGTAACCTCCCACTTTGGCAAGGTATAAGACCCCTTATGCAGCCTTGAAACGAAACCCACAAAAATTACTAGCCTTAAAAAAAATTAAAAATGTTCACTAGCCTGAGAAGAGACTAATAGCCTGCATTTCCATAGAAAAGGGGAAGCACATTCCTGCCTTCTGAGGCTAGCATGGAAATGTAGACTAGTGGCTTCTTAGCAGGCTAGTAAAACATTGCCTTCTAAGCAGGCTGGATGGAATGACTAACTCACTCACTGGCCTTCAGAAAACTCCTTGTCACCTATGGCTACCAGGTTCATTGTTAGATAAAAGGCTGCCTTTCATTGTTACGAGACACTTGTTTCCATACAGCAACGCGGAGTTGCCACAGTGCAGCCCAGAGATCCTGTTGCGTTTAAACATTAAAGGCGGTGCTCAACTAATTAGCTGTGCATTTGCAAGAATCACCACTAGTTCAATTAGACTTCCCCTGTCTCTCCCTTCCCATCCCAGCATTATCCATGCATGTCCCCTCCACCCAGATCTGCTATCCAGGGCTGGGGAAAACTCATAATAGATTCAGGACTAGGGAAGAGAGAGGGAGAATGTTCTGTTGTGCACTGAGAAATCCTAGCATTGGTGAAACCAGCAACTTAGTGCTACTTTGGCTACAACCCCCTGGGCATAAGAAGAATCTTGCTGGATCAGGTCAGTGGCTGATATTGTCTGGCATCCTTTTCTAACAGTGACCAACTAGATGCCTGTGGGAAACCTGATTAACAACAGCACTCTTCCCACTGGTGATTCCCAACAACGTATTTAGAAGCTTACTGTCTCCGACAGTGGAGGTAGAATATAGCTTTTGTGGGGCTAGTGGACATTGATAGCCGTATACTCCATGAATTTATCCAATCCTCTTTGGTCTCTAATCTCCTCTTTTGACTATATTCCTCACATTGATCCTGCACTGGCCTTTTAGCCCACTCTCCTCTCCTGTCTGGTGTAGCAAGTAGGACTTCAGTTCTATCAACAGTAGGCAGGGAAGGAAGGTGAGCGAAGGGACTAGTGAAAGGTTCAGCATCTCAGCAGCTTTATATCCTTCCGGTGCATCAGCATGTTTAAAGAGACAAGCAATATTTCTCAAGTGGTTGTCTGGCAGCTGGTGAGAGGAAATGTACTGGTTTATTGTACCTGAGTGCATTTTTCTTTTTAGGTCATGAATAACTGCATTTTGCGGTTTACATGATCACTTACTGTGTCACTATAAAACTTGCAGCACAAACCTAAATATGTTTACTTGGCGCAGTGGTGGGGAACCTGTGGCTGTGCAGATGCTGTTGGACTCTGATTCCCATCCTTCGCCTTGTTGACTGAGGCTAAGGGAAATTGGGGACCGACAACATCCAGACGACCACCGGTACCCCATGCGTGAGGTTCAAGAAGTGGAGCTTCAAGTGTGTCTAGGATTGCAGCCTTGATCAGCTTTAACCCAAGTCAAACCTAGAAAAATTCCACATAAACAAGACATATACAATTCAGGTTGATCTTCCAGAAACTGCCAACCAGGTAATGCAAGCAGTCAGTTTCTCCTGGTGTGTGTCTCAAATTAAATACACTTCAGATGTTAGTGCACTGCCGAATGCTTGAAGCAGGGTTTTGAGCTGTAAGGCCAACTTGAAGGCAAGTTTCTGCTCTGTAACCAACCCTTAGCATTTGTTTTTATCTTCTCTTCCATTTTATTTCTTAACTCCTTTTAGTGCTTCGTTTTGTTGTTTTAATTTATTGTTTTATCTCATTGTTTTATGGTTCTAACTCCCCTAAACTGTGAGGCTGCATGAAGCTGGGCTGGGCTGAGCACTTCGCTAGGCAGTGCCAAACGCAAGGTCAAGTCAAAGTTTACAAGATACTAGTTATAAATTAAGGAAGAGAAACATCTTGATTATCAGACCTGTTGACGAGCTGCTGTTCCATTTTGATGATCACAGTGGGGAATAGGAGAGGATTTCCCCCTCCCTCTCTTTCACATCATGCTTATAGAGTATGACGCTAAGCAACATTATTAGGTTATGATGGTAGGTATTCTGCCTTAAATTAACCTGAAGGGTGTGATTGTGTATGTGGCTCAAAAAAGACAGCCCCCCCCCTTACCATTTTGGCTGTGGGAGAAAAGACTGCTGATTGAGGGGTGCCTTTGCTTCCTTATGATCTGATAGTTTATGCTTCTTTGTTGTTTTATGTGGGTTTATTATCATCTGTTCCCTGGCTGCACAATGTTCAGTGCTAGCAGTGAACCGACATGGATGAGATTTTATAACTTTCCAGGTAGCAGAGGTGATAGAAAGAAATCTGTGTACTGAAAGACTGCTGCTTGCTCTTCATTTTGAAACATTGGCATACTGGGGCCCTGTGTCATCCTGCTATTTCTGGTATCCTTTCAGTAGTGGTCCCCCTCCCTCCCCATGATGTCCCTTTCACCTGCTGTTGCTTGACAGACACACACAATCTTTTTTGTATGACTTGGCATCTGGTTTTACAAAATGTCTAAACTAAAGTGTGATTCAGCCCTCGGATAAAGCTATGGGCAGTTGTAGAATGCTTGTAAGCTTTCTGTTTCCTTTGGGATACTGTTTACAGGACAAGCAAGCTATGGTTTATACTGAAGACACATTTGGATGGATTGGCATGCGACACAACCCTTTGGGTTTCCCAGAATATACCCCATTTCCCTCCCTTGTTTTATACATGTTCTGCCAGATGAACAATTCTATGTGATTTATAAAACTTTGATTTTAAAATATGTAACAGCCTTGTAAATGGGACCACAAATTATCTTGCTAAGAGACTGGTAGCTTGTGTTGGCAACCAGCATAGAAAGATAGCATCTTAGCAGGCTCGTAAACAATGAGTCTTCTACCAAAAGGATGGATAGAGGAGGGATGGAATGACCTGTCCCTCTTGCACCAACCTACTCAGTCACCTATGTGAAATTTCTGGTCACCTGCAGATGAGTTGCTAAATAGAAGGCTGGTCCACTACAAAGTAGGGGCTAGTATTGTTCTTTGGAGCTCTAACATCTGGCAGATTTGGTGCTGTTCAGGACCCACATGTTTTAATTACTCCCCCAGCCACCACCAAAAGCCTAGCAAGAGCAGTAGTAATGTAATGTCGTTAGTTTGTTATCGCTTTGTGAGGTACAAACAAAGCACTATCTTCTCCAGCAAGGTGTAGACAATATCTGTCATTGACCCTGCACAGTGCAAACAAAGCAGCAAAGCAAGCATGAAGGAATCTAGGAAACAGGGCATGCACACAAAGAAACAAAGAGCAATTCTAAAACAAACAATGCTGTGATTTTATGAAGTAGCAGATAGGCTTTCTAAACCTGCCATCTGCTCAGTGGCGTAGCGTGGGTTGTTAGCACCCGGGGCAAGGCAAGTAATTTGCGCCCCCTAACCCGTGGATTTGCGCCCCCTAACCAGTGGATTTGCGCCCCCTAACCCTAACCCCCAGATGTTGCGGCCGGTGCGGCCGGCCCCCCCTGCACCCTCCATGCTACGCCACTGCATCTGCTACTAGAAAAGGGCAGAATTGAGCCTGAGGCAAAATAGGCTGATGTCGATTTAGTTCCATCAATGTAGATGGGGGTTTGCAAAGTGATAAAAGCAGAAAAAGTTGGGTTCCTGTCCATTACTCCAGCTTTCTGGGCTGCACAGTGTCTCCCTACCTTCATTTCTGGGTGAAAGCATTAAACTGCATTCATCCTTCCAGTTCTCCCACCCCTTTTTATTAAAATCATTTGCTAGCTGTCTCCTGTTTTCAGACCTGGAGACTCATGGGACTTGGTTGCTGGTTAGAGAAATTTATTGCTCATAAGTAGAATGGGAACATAGAGAGGCTGCTAGCAATGCAATCTAGCATATGGCACAGTCTGACCTACTGCAGTTCTCCCAAGAACTTTACACCAATAGGACCTGTGCAAGATGCCATTGTGTGAGTAGTTGCTTGAGATCATTGGTGGGGATACACATTTGAACTTTTGTAAGAGTGCCATTCAGAGCCATATAGTTCATATTCGAGGGCGGGGAACCTGTGGCTCTTCAGATGTCACTGGACTCCTAACTCCTACATCAGCCTCTTCAGCCAGAATGATTGGTAGTCAAGGATGATGGGAGTTGTAGTCCAGCAACATCCGGAGGGCCACAAGTTCCTCACCAATGCTGCCAAGTTCCTCATCAATGCTGCAACCTCATTCAGGTACATATATCGAGGTGCACACCTGATTTATGCCTACTGCTCCTGATTCAGCAAGGGATCTGTGAGCATAAATCTGCTTACGCAGATGCACCTCCTTAGGGAGATTGGTTGGTGTGTGTGTGTACAAATATCAGCACATATTTCTTCCTGCAGGAGCCAGTTCTGTCCTGCTTCTTAATTCTTCCTCTTCCAGAGTCATCTTCCAACCATCTCTTGCTTGTAGATTCATTCTCCTCCAAAGAACGCTGTCACAGCTATTCTTATCTGTGACCTGTTAAAGTTGAGTAATAAACATAGCCCTGAGGTCAGTGGGGAGATGGGTTTTTAATAAGGCCTTTAAATGTAATGCATATTCTGGTCAAGGTTTACAGGAGTTTAAATAAGAATTAATCTGCGATGTTATGTCCCTGGGGGGCGGGCGGGTAGGATCCACTGCAGAGTATTAGGGCCCATCCATATCTTAGCTCAATGTGGCTTGTGAACCCCTCAAGTCCCCTTCAATTCATCCTCACCTATGTGACATTCTGCTCCTACTGCTGCCACACACTTTCCCCTCTCCCTATCCTTTGAAACGCCGAAAATCCGATTGCATCCCACGTTACTCACTCTCAGGCCAACCCACCCCACAGGGTTGTTGTGAGGATAGAATGGGGAGGAGGAGAACTATGTATGCCGTCTTGAGCTCTTTGGAGGAAAGGGAGGGATATAAACGCAATAGCATTAAAAAATAATAATAATCCATAAATACAGATTAAAGATGGAATGGGAGAGACGACAAGAGACTGGTTTGGGGATGTTCATGTGTCCCTGTGGGTGTTTTACCCAGTAAGAGCTGAGATCTCATAGCACAGAAACAAAGAGAAAGCCAGAATTTTGCTGAGGCAGTCACTGCCAGGGGAAATTTTTCCCAAGCAGGCTTCAAGCAGGGTGGGGGTGGGCGTGGGGGGTGGGCATTACTGCAGAGTGATGCCATAGCTAGCGGGATATGATTTAAAGGCTTTAAAATAAGCGTTACACATAATACAACCACTCCTTGTCGATCATAAAAAGTAATGTGCAAGGAAAGATGGATCTCCAGAGCTATAAATCTGTTCCTGTGTCAGGCTAATAGTAGCTCATGCCAGCCTTGGTGCTGCTAGTGTGGTGGGTGGGGGATTGTTTTGCTTTTAGATATATATCCATCAAAGCGCTGATGGATGACAAGCCTGTCCCCATAACTCATTCTGTGTCCTGGATCCCACCTGACTTTGAAGCCGGTCTTTGCAGGTGTATCTTTTTAGCTCTCCTGAGGGTGTTTCATCTCTGCAGGGATTTTTGGGTGTCTGTTCTTATGGGGCTTGGAATATTTGGGAAACTTGAGGATCCTGAAAGGTGGGAAAACCATATGCCACCCCCCTTCCAAACACCTGCTATATATATATATAGAGAGAGAGAGAGATAAAGTAATGGTTTGATGTGCTTTAATTGTGCTGAGATTCTGCTGCTTCGTGTTTATTTTTGCTCTGTGTCTCCTGGAAGGTGAGCAGAAGCCTTTATAAAACCCACAGTTCTGCTAAATGCTCCCTCGTGTAAGTAGAAAGCATAAGTCAGTCACTTTGGAGGTTACAGAGAGTTTCTTGTCCAAAGTAACAATTGACTAAGCCTATTATTTGTGCTGTGTGGTTCTTCCCTTTGCATTGTACAAAGTGGGAGTGGCCTGCTGAGGGTAGGTCCTCATACTTTTGGAAACAGACTTGCCCTGCCTGACCTTTTTTAAACAAGTGTTCTGACTCAGCTAGGACCACTTGATGGATCTCAGATCCAGTCTGCAAGCTGCTATTTGACCATCCCAGCTTAAAATCTGCTGTATATTTTGGAAAGTTGCTTGCATGTTCACTATGCATCCGTATACCTCGTAAAGATACTATAACCAACTTTTCCATGATGGTTCTTGGGACTGAGGAGCAGGTTTGCATCCGTGTTTGGATACAACTGGAGGCCATTTTGAATCAAGATGGTGGGTTCAGCCTTTCCAAACTGCACTGATTTTTACCCCGGATGTCAAAACCTCACTGATTCTTTTTGTTTGTTTCTTAGAATTCCCACACAATACCAGGTAGGAGGTTGCTAATAGTAGCACAAGAACAAAACACCGCCACCAAACCAGGTTGCTGCCTTTACGGGACTTCAAATCTAAAAGTTTTCAACAGACAATAGAAAGAGAGTAAAATAGGATAGGAAAGGGTAACTATTACATGTATTTCAGCTGGGGGCAGATCTAAATCAGGCAATATATTGCGCAAAACAGAAGGGGATAAGGAAATATATAACAAAAAACAAATTAGACTGGTGGTGTTGCTTACTTTGTGGCTACATGATCAGCTTATTTTTTGTACATCTGACTTAAATGATTTTTCCTCACGCCCTGCTTGCATAGCAATCACGTCTTGTCCAATGAAACATTATGGAGAATGGGACTTAAGTGCCATTTATTTCCGTGCATCTCCTCTAAACATGACTAAGTTTGGATCCAGCCCATTGTTTCTCATGCTTTGGCAGAGGCCCCAGCCTGAACCCGAACTGGCAAACTTAATTTATTATTTATTTGTTTATTTAATATAGTCCGTGGGCCGTTTTTCTGCACGTGCACCCTCTGGCATTTTTGGTAAAACAAATCGGTTAGGAATAGCAGCCAGACAATCAATAAAACCAACACTGAAAGGCAGCAGCAGGGTGAGCGGCGAGGCAAGTGAATTAAAATGACAAAATGCCTGTGTACATAAAAGCATTTCAACAGCTTCTCTGTAAATGCATCAAGAAGGTGTCCGCTGGATGTCCCTGGAGAAGGAATCCTGGAGTTGTGGCACCACCGATGAAACAATCCCTTTAAAAAGGAAAGCAGCAAAATCTGTAGCATTGGGAATGCTGGACTTTAAACTTATCACCAGGGAATGCTAGCTTGTCATTTCTTGCTGGACCTCCCAATTCAGACATGCCACATTTAATGCGAACTTCTTTTTCCAGGTATATCCCCTGCCTGCCTGTTGTTTCGGAGGCCTGTAGGGATGAGGAGGTTCAGAGGTACTATCTATACTATCTGTGTGGTCAGGATTTCCAAGTTTCAGATTTAGTTTCCTTGATGCTGTGTTGTAGTTCAGAACTCATATCCCTTCCTCACCAAATGTTTCTTTTTTACTCTTTGCTAGTCTCCTTTCGCTAGACTGTGCCAGCAAGAGAGAGGCTTCTTCCCCTTTACCCTGAATTGTGATGTCTCTCCCCAAACCCTGTGTGTTTAGCCTAGAAACGGTATTTATATATCGTCCAGGGTCTAGCACTGTATGGTGTAGCTTGTTCCTGTTGTGGGTGTTCAACTTGAGATCCTGAGATTTAGGAGGCCAGATACAACGCTACGTATAGGTCTTCCTTTCCCTCTGACTGGAAAGAGGATCCCAACCCATGCAGTCACCACTGTAAATACTTCCTCTATGGCTTCTCCTACAACTGGTGGGAAAGCATTTTTGGAATCTGTCCAGTTCAGTTTTCATTTGCCCTTTATAATAGAGTTGGGGATGTTGTTGGACTCCAACTCCCATAATATCCGACTCTTGGTCATGCTTGCTGGGGCTGACCAGAGCTGGAGTTCAAAAACATCCGGAGGGCCACAGGTTCCCCATACCTGGCTTGCAGTCAGCAAGCATGCTTGACGCTGCTTCCCACCGTCACTTGGGAGGTAACATTCAAGGAACTAAACTGTGAGTGGAGAGGAGTGGGGAACCCACACAGGCAGTCCAGTTATGTGTGGCCACTGTGATTTCCATTGATCTCAATGGCGGTTGGGTGGTAGGAAGCCGCTGGTTCAAATCTCAGCTCCACCACAAACATACATTTCTTCACTGTGGGGATAATCTGAATGCCCTGCTTTGTTATAGGGCATTGTAAGGACTGCCAGTGAGAATCCACTGCATACTTAAGGGAAGTGCTTGTATAAACACCTTGAGCTGCATGGGATGGCAACCTGGTGGGTTCTTTCAGAAGATATTTTCCAGAGAGCATCTGATGCTGTGGTATAAACGGGGAAGCCTGTATGGAGCCCTCAGGATCCCTGCTTATCTATACTATTATTACAGCTAGACAGTTTTTTGTTTCAATATCCAAGTTCCTTATTAGCTATCTAGTATTATCTCATTGTCTCATGAAGTGGGAGTGGGGAGAAGCAAACTGTTCAGTTGTGTGAGGAAAATGAACATGGCAGAACTCAAACTCCCGCCACACCCTCTGTATTTCCATGGGTTGGCAGTGACAGAATCTGTGCCTATTTAGATCACTGAAACATATGGAGTCTGAAAACAATGTTCCCATTAACCTACTTGAAAAGGCCTGCCATTTTGAAAACTGTCTTCCTGTTCCATGGGCTGCAAGTTGCCTTTCTCAATGTTGCTGGAGCCTGGATAGATGGTACTCCTACAACTTCAAGCTGCCTTTATTGTTATTATTATTACAGCTTGGGAATGATGGTCTTCTGACCTGGTGGGAGTTGCAGCCCAAAACAGCTGGAGGGCACCATGTTTGGGAAATGCTTTCATAGCCAGTATCATAAAAAGTTGTTTTCTAGTAATGAGTGCAGAGCGAAAAATAAAACGAAAGGTTCCTTGCATCTATGAAATGGGAAGACGGTGACGGGCTAGATGGGAGAAACTGGGCAACTTGCTTCGTGAACCGGGAGGCCAGTAGGCAGGGTGGCATGATTAAGATGTGGGCAGATAAGGCAAATAAGAAGGCAAAAAGGAAAGCAGGTGAACAGTGACCAAAGTGGTAAGAAAACATTATGGCCATGGTCAAACCATTCATTTAAAGCACTCCTAAAAAGTCTGATATTCGCCCAATAATTCTGGGAACTATAGTTTGTTAAGAATGCTGAAAGTTGTTAGGGGACCTCCTCATTCCCTTTGTAGAGCTACCAAGAGTCAGTGTGGTTTAACAATCAGTCCCTCTTTCCAAGAAACTCTGGGAGTTGTAGCTCTAGAAGGGGTCTGGAGGGCCTTCTAACAACTCACATCACACTTAACAAACCACACCTCCCAGAATTCTTTGTGGGTAGCCATGATTGTTTAAAGTGGTATCATAGTGTTTGAAATACATGGTGTGAATGTGACCTGTGTGAGGAATTCTCATCCCAATTTAACTAGTCCTCAGCCAGGGTCATTGTTAGGGGGTTTTCAGCAGGCCCCAGATCTCCTGCACCTGTTTTTACACTTTAATAAACCAACAACTGCAAAAATGTTGCTTTTATGGCTACTGGGTGTGCTGCAAAACACCATTCTGGTGAGATGCCAGCCACCCATCATCTTCATTTCCCAGAGGCATATTTACATATAAATTTGCATTTATGCCAGGTTGTATCATGGAGTACCCCGAGTCCTTCAATGTACTGGTATCTTGCAATGCCCATGTCCTCAGCAGTCCCCCCCTCCGTTGCATAGAGCCCCTCTCTCCTATGTAGCAAGGACTCTGCACATCTTTGATCTGCTAAGTAATACTTCTAGAGCATCTCCTGCTCGAGGCAATGTAAGTGCACACAACTGCATTATGCTCTGTGATGCCGTGGCCATTAAATCTACCTGCATTTAAGAGTAATAAGCCACACTGCATAATTAGACCACCAGGTTACATAAGTAATACCGCCACCCCAAAGCTGAACACTAAGGATTCAGAAAAAACCTTCTATTTTGGATTCTTGAAAAGATGCGGAGGGGTGTGTGTGTCCAGCCCTTGGTGGACCAGTGCTGTACGGTGTTGGATGCTTCCTTAGCTATGGACCTCACTGAGTTACCTATGGCCAGACACTACCTTTCACTGTAATGTAGTCCACAGGATTGTGAGGATAAGGCAGGGTCACTTCTGTAACCTTTTGGAGGAACATAAGGATAAGAATCTGACTGACTGACTGATGGGTCACAGATTGTTTAAACTTGGACTTGTGTGTGTGTGTGTGTGTGTGTGTGTATATACACATCATCATCATCCATACAACAGGGTTGGTGAACCCATAACACATGCTAGATGCAGCTATCAAAGGCACTTACAGCCTGCCCGATTCTAGCAAAATCTCCCTATGCAAAGGCACCTCTTCTCCCTCTGCTCTTAGACATCCTAGCAATGGTGTCTCCCTAGGGAGAAGAGGACCTTTGCAGAGTAGATGGAGCTTTCCTCTCCATTGCAGCACTGAGATGGCAGGAACCTGCTTCTTCTGCTTCATTTTTGCTGTCATCGCAGTGCTGAGCTAGGAGAAGGGGGGGAACCCAGTACTGTGCCTGGGGGGAAATGCAGCAGAGAGTGTGGTTTCCCTTCCCATTTCTGGGCTAGGAGGTGAGAAACCTCTCCTCCCAGCCTAGTGTTGCCTCCCACCCTTCCACTCATCTGCTGATTGGCTGTCTAAATGTGTGTGTGTGCGCTTGCCTGTCTGTATATATCTTGGCCACACACCCTGCTGGCATCCCATCCTTGGAGGGCTAACTAACTATGTGAACCTTGGACCAAAGGTTTAGCCCCACCTGCCAGCCAGTATAATTATTTGTACATATAAAACCAGGATGTAAGGGACAAGGGTTATTTCCTGATCTTCCTGAAGAGCTAGTTTTTAAACATGCAGTTCAAAGTAGCATGACCCAGGCACAGCCTTGCCTTTTCAGCAAGAACTATACCGAAGAGTGCCTAAAAGACCCACACAACCTCTCTCTGTTATCTGACTTGGTCGTGTTCCCCAGCTCGCTTTGACAAGAAGTCAAACTAGCTGTCACTTTCCAGGAAGTCTCCATGTCTTGACTTTGGCTGTGCTACCCCTGAACTTTTCCCCCCATTCTAGGTTTAACTGGAGTGGCCTGGTCCCCATGCGCTTGCGGGGCAGGATCCATGGCTTGCAGGCCAGGAATTCTAAGTTCTTGCTGGAGGGCAAGGAGTTTCGCATCTTTGGAGGCTCAATGCACTATTTCCGCATCCCCCGTGAATACTGGAAAGACCGCTTGATTAAGATGAAGGCCTGCGGCTTGAACACCCTCACGACGTAAGTGCTGCCCTTACTGCAGGCTCAGTCCAGTTTGTAGCTGCTGACTTCATGGGAACATGATAGGAAGCTGCCTTAACACAGAGTCTAGCTTTGTGGCATCTCTCTACACCAGAGATGAATTACCTCCCCACCTTTTGAGGGTCACATTCCCACTGGCATAAACTTTTGAAGGGCGTGTACCCAAAGTGTGTGAGGCCGCATATCTTCCTGCTGCTCCCTTTCTCTCTTATGCCACCCTTCACCCCCTTTTTCCCTTTCCATGCCACTCACATGAAATTGTACCAATGTCTACACTGGCAGTGGCTCTCCAAACTTAAGACAAGCAGTTCTCCCAGGCCTACCTGTAGATTCTGGGATTGAACCTGGGGCCTTTTTGCATGCAAAACATGTGCTCTGCCGCTGAGCTACAGCCCTTCCCTTAAATTTTCTTCTATAAATTGGGGACACTGAACTGTGGGGGCGTGTGTTGTCACACAAGCCAACTACCCTCACCAAAAGGCAGGCTTTGTGATAAAGCTGGAAAAGGAAAGGAAGGAAGATTCCAGTGCACAAAAAGAAGAGAAAGACAGAAGACCTCAAAGAGGGGATACTTAAGCAATCCAATCTCTGTGAATTCCAAAACAAAACAGTTCATAGTTTTCTTACTGATCAGAGATGAGCTGTCCATTGGAGTTTGTACATCTCCAAATGTTGTAATGCTGTTCTTGGAAGTTACACCAAAAGTATGTATTTAAACAGGTATTCTGAAAGAAATGTGTCTACAGATATGTACTAAATACATACTTTGAGAGGATTAAAAAATATCAACAGATTAATGCAAAAATACTACAGAGTTATGGGTAAAAATCTGCAACATGGAGTAGAAATGGATAGATTCACCCATCATTCTTCAGTTATAAATATTATTTGCCAGTTAAGCCTTCCTTGGGAACAACTAATTTATAAACTTTGGGCTAATAAGTCATTCTGTGTGCAACTTTTGACATCTCCCTTGTCTTAATTTCCATACTAAAAGTTGATGTCACCTGGTGTTAAGGACTTAACAGCTTCTTCGAGTGGGTTGCATGTATATTGCATACAAAATTCATAGGAGAGTAATGTTTATGTTTCTTACAACTTGATCACTGGTTTTCTTTTCCAAAAGAGCAAAACTGTTGGCAAACTTTTTACCACACCTCATAATTTTTATTTTTATTTTGCAAAGCCTCCAGCAGCCAGATAAAATTGCTTTGGGGGCCCCAATCCGCCTCACACACCATCAGTTGGCTATTGTTGCTGTAAAAGATTTATGGGATGTGAAGTGGGGATAGTCAGCTGATTTCCTTGCTTGACCCCTGAAACCAGTGTTGAAATGGGCAGCTAATTCATTCTGTCTTTCAGGTATGTCCCATGGAATCTTCACGAGGAAGTAAGAGGGAAATTTGACTTCCGCGGAAACCTGGATCTGAGGTACCTATCCTGATCTGAAGTATGGATCTCACGGTCCATGGCTGAAACAAACCCCCACACAAGTAAATTCTGCAACCTGAGAAATCAAATTTATTGTAAACAAATAATGTTATTCAGTTGGGACAATTTCTCTGGCTTTAGTTGCCCCTGGCTGCAGAATATTGGAGCAGGGTTTGTAGTTTACAGAACATTAGACATTGGAGGGGGGGGGTTGTTGTTGTTTAGGTTAGTAATGCTAGAAGAAGATCTGGGGCCGGGGAGAGAGACTGGGAGGGAGCTGTGCTCTATCCCTTTAGTAGTGGAAATTTTTCAAAGCTCAATTTGTGAAGACACAAATTAAGCTGAGAGGAAGGATCTTCAGGGAGCAGTATGAATAGTTTCCCTCAAGCTCTATGAGTTAAAGATGAGTTAATAAGGAGATTCCTGCCCTGCAATTCTGCAGGCTTATGCCCTGCATAGCAATCTTTTGTTTCTCCACTCCATTTGACAATAAAGCTTGTTCAGAGTCTGCCAACCCTATCCATAAGGGACTGAGAAAGAGGAAGAAAGATATGGTGAGTCAGCATTTGTTAATAACAGGTGCTGAATTGTCTCTGTGCCGGATAAAGCCTGCTTAAGGCTCAGCGTTCATTCCTTCCCAGCTCAGACCAAAGCTGCATCTACCTCAAATCTTTTTACATTTTTAAAAATTAACTTAATTTTCTTTACAATCACAAACAATAAATTATAATTTAATGCTTTTTTAAAGCATTAAATCCTATTCATTCCATGTGTAATATCTAGCAATAGTCACAGAATATCCAGCAGTCGTAATAGAGTATTACTCTTAAGTAACATGAGCCCTCCATTGTCACCGGAATGTGACTTGGTTGGATATCACTATGTATTTCCCAAATCATAATCTGTACAATTTCATATAGTTTTGCAACATTTCAGTTATGCCTCTTTTACCTTTTGAAGGGTACCTGGAATTAATAAAGGTTTCCAAGTTCTCTATAAATTTATTACGGCATTCTCATATGGCTTCATTCAGCAGTTGCAGGAATCTTTGACTGTTTCTTATGTTAGCCAGGGTAGGATGCTTACAAAGGATGTATTAAAATACTGCAGGATACAGCAGGAGGTATTCAGTGCCTTTCTTCTGTTAGTGCAAGTGCAGTGGTACCTTGGTTGTCGAATGGCTTGGCTTCTGAACAAATCTGCTCTCGAACGGTGCAAACCTGGAAGTAAGTTTGTGAACTTTTTCTGGAAGTTGAACGTCCAACGCAGTTTCCGCGGCTTCCGACTGAGTGCAGGAAGCTCCTGCTGCCAATCGGAAGCCGCACCTTGGTTTTCAAACGCTTCCGGGAGTTGAACGCCTCCCGGAATGGATTAAGTTTGACAACCAAGGTACCACTGCATCTACAGTTGTGCAATGGAACTTCCCTCTCCTTCTCCTGCTTCTTTTCCCCGCCCTGCCGTATGTTCTGTGCCCTCCCCAAATCTTCTACAAAGTGTTGGGGGAAACCCAACAGATTTAGGGGGCATACCGGGGAAGGAAAAATCCTTGTGTTAACAGAGAAACATATTTGGGGCTACTTTGGATAGAAGCCCAAGAATAGAATGCTTCAGTCCTCATTATTTCCATTTTCTGTCGGTCTAAAATTTTGATTGCATCCTTGGCAAGAGAACATCCACAAGGCTGACGACTGATACTCCCAACTTTGAGTGACTGCTGTAGGCTGAACTGAGTCCATGGTGTGCAGCCTGTATCATTGTTTTACAATTGGCCCAAATCACAGGTGATGTTCTAGAGGATGTGACTTTCCATCACATCAATGGCACCAGACCTGGGATGTGGGTATGGCGGTGTGGTAAAAAAATCTGGGGAGAAACGGAGATTTGAGCATGCAGTTAAAGTGTGACAAAGCCATCGGATGGCTGTACTTGCACCATATTTCCTGTCCACTCATTTGTTTCCTTTCCAAGCTAAAGTGTTTGGGAAAGGGGTCTTCTCTTGCATTTGAGCTACCAAGGTATTTGGCTAGCCTCTTCTAGAGGCAGAATGAAAAACATATGGGCTCATCTGATGGTTGATGTCCGGCAAGGATAAACTGCTGCTGTTCATTTGCAGTTTAACTACATTTTAATGTGCTAAGCATCTAAGGGATTTTGTGGTAGTAGTGAAGCCATGGGCTGTAATTGGCTGAGATGCTCCAGTGTCACAGACAAACTGGCCAGTGGGAAGAGAGGCAAAGACAAGCATAAAGTTTTGAAATGTAGTGGGCTAGCAGCTATAATTGACTTTAGATGGGAGAAGAGGAAGTAGTCATTAGAAAGAAGGGGAAGAAGAAAAAGCAGAGGTGAGAGTGCAGTGGGAGAGAGAACATGCAGAGAAGGGAATCAGTGTTGCAGAAACATGGAGTGATGTTCTCATATATTGATTTGAAGCAACCAGTTTTAAAAGCCAATGATTTTATCACTACAGCTTGTGGGATCTTTCTAGATCATTGTTCTCCAGATCTGTAAGGTTTGCTGGTTGCTGTTCCTTACAACATCTTCCGCCAGCTTTGTGGTTCCCTCACTCTGCCTAACGCTGTTTCCTTTTCCAGGGCTTTCCTTAGGACAGCTGAAGAAGTTGGGCTGTGGGTGATTCTGCGTCCAGGACCTTATATTTGCTCCGAGTGGGACCTTGGTGGTCTGCCCAGGTAAGTCTAGATAGTTTTGGTTGTCTTTTAGAATGGCAGTCAACCTTGGCTCTGCAGCTCTCAATTCCTACTGCCCACCAGGACTTCAGGGAACAGACTCTTAATTAGGAGAATGCAGAAAGGCTGGCGATTCTGAAATGGCTAATTGTAGTCCAAAATACAGGGCAGCTGGTTTCTGAAGTCCAAAATATAGGGCAGCTGGTTGCTGAAGGCTGGCTTAAATGCACACTTACCTTCTGTATTTTCCTTGTTGGCCCTGGGAAACTGGGTTTCTACCTCTTATTTTTGAACACCATTTCAATATTAAGAATAATAATAAAGATGGGTAGGAGAAATTTCATGTAGTTACTTCAAATATAGTTTGGTTTTGCATATTTGATCTGAAGAGATTTGCTTTAACTGAATCTGTAAGCTGCTTCAGACAGCAGGAGAGACAGGGTACACAAATATTTTAAATAAATAAAAGATGCAGCAGCATCAAAATAGACAGAAATGTCTCACGCTGGTTTACCACAAAGGGGGAAAGAAGGCGTGAGAGCAGAACGAGGGAAGATCAGCTACCCGAAAGGTTCTCTGCGGAGGCTAAACCTCTGGTGGGAAAGATGACTGGAGGAAATAAATAGGTGTGGATCAGCAGCTTATGTCAGCAGCTCCCTCGAGATCTGGTAACCAGGAGAGGATCCCAGCGGCTATGCTGCGCTCTTGAAACCTCTCATTTGCGCTCCCATTTGCATCAACAGGAGGTTCCCATGGGGTGAGGTAGGAGATGAAGAAAGTCCACATGCAAAGCAAACCTAGAAAACAGCCCGAGGATGTTAGAGATTCGCTCCTGCACATGGGGAGGCTGAGAGAGGCGCTGAGAGAGACACCTCAAGGATAAAGCAGGTCACAGGGTAAAGTCAGCCCAGGGTTCCCTGCTGAATTCCCTGACTTAGTACATAGCAATATTCCTACACACATGGTATTTTACATAGGAAAAAGAAACAGAGTCAGAAGGACCTTCAAAGGTCATCTCGTCCAACCCTCTTCCAATGCAGGAAATCTGAACAGTGATGGGGATTTCATGCATCAGCAAGAGGGTGAATGGACTAGCTGATTTTAAAATAAATACTATTATTACATTTAAATCACATCTTTCCTCCACAGAGTTTAAGGCACTGTGTACGGTTCTCCTCTCCCTCACCCTCAACTAGGACGTTCATAATAAAGCATGCAAGTTTTGCAGACTTATGCCAAAAACCCACAAAGTGTCATATGCGTGGCAATTATTGCTTTGCACCCTTTATTATTTTGCAGAGAAGAGAGGAGGAAAATGCTTAGTGTTCAGAGCAATACATTTTTTCTTTCCTCTTTTTGATGCAAAGTGTGAACAAATGTGCCCTGTTTGCGCTGCCTCCTCTTATGGGTGCCTATACCCATTTTCTCTGGAACGCTATCAACTGCTTTTGTGCATAATGCTTGCGGGGGGAGGGGGGGTTGCAAATTCTTTCCCTGTGAATAACTGAAACCAGAAGACTCCACGAACAAATGTTCCTTTTATTCCTGGTGGTAACAGGAACACTCTGATATTAGACTCCTTCTTACTGACTCCACTCTGCATCAGCTCATCTACTGTCGCATCCCCATTCCTGCTCCCTGCCCAATCCCACTGCCTCGTCCACTACTAATTCTTGTCTCCATGACTCTCATTGTGTTTTTAACAGTACCTGTGACAACCGTTCCTTCTCCATTCCTCAGACCCACCTCCTCTACATTCTAAAAGGATTTGTAAGGAGGATGGAACCTCCAAACTGCCTTTCATAAGGAAGCCTTTCCCTAACCCAGTGCCCTTTGGATGTTGTCGGACTACAACTCCCATCACCCCAACCCTTGGCCATGCAGGCTGGGGCTGATGGGAGTTGGAGTCTGACAACATCCAAAGGGCACCAGGATAGGGCTGGGAATCCTTGCCATCCCCAGCCCCTCTCCCCTAAACTACCAAACCCAGGGCTCAGTGGGGAGAGAAGATAACTGTTAAACCCATTTAGATTCTGCAGTACAAAGATACCTTAAGTCACAGGAAGGCTGTGGTAATTTCCCCCACTTGGACCTGCTGCACTCATTCCCTGTCAGGGAAAAAGCCAGGATATCAATAAATATTAAATAGTAATAATTGAAACACATATCCATCCCTTCGTGCTCCACCCCACCTGCATCTGATCTTCCCCAGCATGCCACCTCCTGCTTCCAACATTCCACTTGTGCTCTCCATCCTTAACTTTAACAACCTGTCCCTCTTCTGCACTCTAGCTTGTAGAGCAGAGGTGGGGAACCTTAGGCTTGGGGACCAAATGCGGCCTAGCAGGCTTTTGGGCTTCCCAAAGATACCTGATTGGCCGTGGGGAGGAACAGATGTTCCTTTGGTCTGATCCAGCACGGCTCTTCTTATCTTCTCACAAGCTCTGGTCCTTTTCCCTCCATAGCTGGTTGCTCCAAGACCCCGAAATGCAACTGAGGACAACGTACAAAGGCTTCACAGAGGCTGTGGATGACTACTTTGATCGCCTGATGCGCGAGGTAGTCCATCTTCAGGTAAATCAGATCGTGGGCTACGCTGCTGCTGCTAAGCCACTTGCGTTTTTAGACTAGGGTTACCTGGGTTGGTGCCAAGTCAGGGCTAGCCCTTGTGGGGTGGGCTGACCTGGAAACAGTGGGGTCTGGGAAGCTGCCTCTGCCATTCTGGTTTTCTGGCCATGCTCGGGAACAGCCTTCCCTAATCTGGTGTGCTCCAGACCTCCCACCAGCCTCAACAAACACAGCCCGTGGTCAAGGATGATGGGAGTTGTATTCCAACAGCCCTTGGCTGGCACCAGTTTGGTAAAGGCTGCTCTAGGGTGATAATGCGTCAGGCATTCTGGGGTATTGTGCAGAGATCAAAAGGCAGCTGCTTCCCAGCTGCTTCCACCATAGTAAGCCATGGTAGCAAACAGCATAATCAAGGTTGTCCTAAAGTTCTGTGTTGTTCTGTGCTTGAAACGCCTTTGCAGTCAATGCAACTGTGCTACCTATATGTTTATTATTGTGCAATAACTTCTAAATGTGCAATGCCCTGTGATGCTTTTAATTTTCTTCATAACCTGCATATCTCACACTTGGAGAACCTTGGCTGGGGGAATATGATTTTTCCAAAGCTACTGTAGTGTTCATAGCTAAGCTGAAAGATTGTACAACTTTTGCTGTAACTGTCTTCATGTACTGTTCATGTGAAATAGGTAGTTAATTCATGGACATCTAGAAGCAGAGCCCAGGCAACTTGCCCTGTGGCGACAGGGTAGGGACAAGAGCATGGTTTCATTCCTAGATAATCACCTGATGCCTCTTTCACACAAGTAAGATGTGAGGCTGTGCAGAAGCTTCATTTGTGTAAGACTTTAATTTCTTCATTCTCACAACAAGCTTGGGAGGTAGCCAAGCACTTTGTACTCCTCTGTGCATTAAACTCAGCAGCCCAGCAGGGGAGACTGTAAAGGGGGTCTCATTCGTTTGCAGATAGCGAACCAAGTTCCCTATCTGCATGAACAGTTGATCATTCCACAACCATCTATCATTCATGGCAGAGAGCCAGCTTACACATTCAGAAAAGGCATGTAGTGCAGCTCTTCTGTGACACACCACTTGAGCATGGCATGTTTGGATTTTTCCTGTGTCTAAAGTTCTTTACATGTAGAAGGATAATACAAAGAGGATGCACTTCTCTGGGATGTGTGTATGTGTGTGTTCAAGGAGGGTTTTTGTGACTTAAGGAGTGTTCAGATATGCATTTTCCTCCTCTAATCTGTAGTGGTGCAGAACCAGGGGGACTTTCCCAGATTGGCCCTGGAAGTTGTGGTTTGAAGTTCCAGTTCAGAGCCAATCTAGCCAATGGATCAAACCAATAAGCAAGGTCCTTAACAGTTATCTGCAAGTTCTCTTTCTCAATAAATCTTTATAGATGGATTAGACCCACCAGAGACAGATAGATACCTTATGCCAGGCTTCCTCAATCTTGGCCCTCCAGATGTTTTTGGCCTACAACACCCATGATCCCTAGCTAGCAGGACCAGTGGTCAGGGATGATGGGAATTGTAGTCTCAAAACATCAGGAGGGCCGAGGTTGAGGAAGCTTGCCTTATGCCAAGGGTAGCCAACATGATGCCCTTCAGATGCTGTTGGACTCCACCTCCTGTCGGCTCCAGCCAGAATGGCCAGTAGTAAGGGATGATGGGAGTTGTGGTCAAAGAACATCTGGAGGACACCATGTTGGCTACCTCTGTCTTATGCGTTCTCTCCTGTTCTCTTTTGGTAGTATAAGAATGGAGGACCAATCATTGCCATCCAAGTAGAGAATGAATATGGTTCCTATGCTGAAGACCCAGATTACATGATGTACATCAAACAGGTAAAATGCTCCCTCTGCCTCATTTTTATGCGTATTTTTGATGTTCCTGCCTGTACTGTGAACCGCCCTGAGATCTACAGGTACATAGGGTGGTATACAACTGTTAATAACAACAACAGATAATAAATAGTAATACATTGTGCCTTCTCATCTCTTTCTCTCTTTCTCCTCCCTCCCTCCCTTTCTTTCTTCCTCTGTGCTTTGCAAACATGAGCTGAAAAATTAGACGCTTTGGCTATAGCCTCCCCATCTCTGCCATTAGTTCTGCCTGATTCACTTCAATCCTTTCCTTTATCCTCTTTCCTCCTAAATAAGTGATACAGGGTTGCAGCTGTATTGCTATACACCAGGGGTGAGGCACCTCATGCCTGGGGGTCAAAGGTGCCGTCCAGCCTCTGTATCTGGCCCTTAGAACTCTCCCCAAGTCACACCCTTCAATGGATCTTCTTTGAACCCTGAATGAACTTGCCTGGCTGGAGTGTGGCCTTGAACTTCGATAATGCCTCTTGCTTATCTGGATGGAGGGTAGAGAAGTAGACTTGCCCACCACTGCCAAGTGGTCCTCGGAATATTGCCTAGAAGGGAATGTGGCCCTTGGACTGAAAAGGGTTCTCTACCCTTGCTATATACATTTATCTGTTGAACTTACTTCTGAGTAAGCACGGGTAAGGTTTCACTGTGAACTTGCAATGGAGCAAAGGAGGGTGGGGAGTCCTGTGGCATTCCAGGTATTAATGGAAGTATTTGCATTGAAAATAATACATTTTCTAAACAAATAGTGATATTGTGTTGAATTAAATCAGGGTGCCTTTTAAATCAAGCAGAAGTACTATTTTTTTAGTGACTAAACTATCCAACTGTGTTGTAACCCCCAAAATAACAGAGCTAATTATATTTTTAAATGTCTGTGCTGCCTCTCCGTCAATTTGAGATGGCTCACAGCCATCCATTTTAAATGCAGCGCTAATACAGTCAATACAATCGAACAATTCAAACACAGTGTGTGTGTGTGTGTGTGTGGCCAGGGGAAGCTGCTGTAGCACAAGGCATTCCCCCCACTTCATTTATCCTAGTTGGTATCTGTACTGGATTTGAATCAATATTACGTATGTGTTATTGATGTGTGTGTAAGGTAAAGGGACCCCTGACCATTAGGTCCAGTCATGGCCGACTCTGGGGTTGCGGCGCTCATCTTGCTTTATTGGCCGAGGGAGCAGGCGTACAGCTTCTGGGTCATGTGGCCAGCATGACTAAGCCACTTCTGGCAAACCAGAGCAGCACACGGAAACACCGTTTACCTTCCCTCCGGACGTGCTTTCGAACTGCTAGGTTGGCAGGAGCTGGGACCGAGCAACGGGAGCTTACCCCGTCACAGGGATTTGAACCGCCGACCTTCTGATCAGCAAGTCCTAGATGTGTGTGACAACTTGTGTATATATAAAACGTGTGGGGGTAGCAACTTGGGACCAGTTTACCTACAAAATTGCCTATGCCATATGTGCCCATTTGACTCCTTCAGTTGGTGGAATTGGCACTTCTGCAGGTGCCTAATTATACCCCTTCCACATTTGTAAAAACTCAGTCATTTAGAGCGGCAGCTGCTGCATGTTGGAACTCACTGCCCATTGAGATCAAGCAGGGCTCCTTCACTGCTCTCTTTTCTGCACCTGCTAAAAGCATTATTGTTTAGACAAGCCTATTCAGATGCTTAGAAATTTTATTTTGTTTAGTATTTTAACTTGTATGTTTTAAAGCAGGGATGTGAATTTTTCTTGGATTTTCTTGTTTTATCTTTTTGTAAACTGCTTTGAGGTTTCTTGCAGTCAAATGGTGTATAAACTATATGAAACAAATGAAACACACGCATATGTACATACACGTGTCTTAGGTGTTTTTCAATATGCAATTGTTCTGTGTATGCTTTTATTGCACTTTAAATCGCTTTGGGATGTCTCATGGGACGTGATTTATAAATGGAAATAAATGATAATAGTACTGAAAGTTAGAACGTGGGGAGCCCACAAAGTCCAAGTGGGTCAAAAGAAAAGGGGTGGACAAGCTCCTTATTTAAGAGGCTTTGTATAGTGGATGCATCCCCCACTTCCCTTCCTGAGGGCAGAAAGCAGTGAAATGAGCGTTTGGCACTGTGGACAAACTTAGGGCTTTTGCTTGCAAGAGATTATTTTGCCTGTCAGACCTAGACTGCCTTGTAAACCCCTGTAATCTGAAGCTCAGCCCAGGGCAGGCTAATTTTACTAATGCTTCCCTCTGTTGCCTCGTCCAGCACGGATCTTTCCACAGGCTCTGCCTGCAATCTGGGAAAGCACCGGAGTTGGCAGGCACCCAGAGAAGACCATTTTTAGCTTGGCAAATCCTCTCTGAGCCGCACCCAGCTTTCTCTCTTTGACTGGCTCCGATGCAGCACCGCAGCAGAAGGTTAATTGCCAGAGGCCTTGTTAAGGTCACTGCCAGTTTTTTATTTTATTTTATTTCTTTACCGAGCATTGTCTCAGGGAAACAATGGCTGCTTTGGGCGCGAGAGAGCTGCTCAAGGGAGCTGTCTGCTGAACATCCCGCCATTGTCGTAAAGCAGAAGCAGCTTAGGCCTGTCTGATATTGTTACCCTGAGCGAGGTGGGATGAAGGCAGCTCGTTCTGCGTCTTTCAGTTCCATAATCCATGGACAAAGACCACAAAAACAAAAAAAAGGAAACACTGCTTAGCTCTAAGAAACTTGAATGCAAAAAAAAAGGGGCAGTATGGTATAAGTCAATACAATAATGATAGTTTCACATTAAAATACAGTGAACCATAGCAATGCAATTACTTATGTATTGACAGCCAGTCCTCATTAGCAGAATCAGTTTTGACATCCTTTGTGTGTTTTGACTCTGATGGTCTTCCTCAGAGGTGTACTCAGTGGCAACCCTTTTGAGCAGTGATCGCCAATGTGGTGCCCTCCAGATGTTTTTGAATGACAGCTCCCATCACCTCTGACCATCAGTCATGCTGGCTGGAGCTGATGGCAGTTGGAGTCCAACATCAGGAGGCCACCATGCTGGCTACTCCTGATTTTATGTGACCACCTTTTCATCTTCAGACTTGCCAGCTGCCCCAAAGACATCTGTTACCTTAAAGAGATTCGACCTCTTGGTACATTTTCCCATTCCGGAGTCCTTTGGACCTCTGATACTTCCCTCCTGTTCAGTGTCCCATTTAACAGTCTTTTCCCTATGTTCTGCAGCAGCAGATCCACGTTTCCTGCTGCATCACATGTCAAAGGCTGTTAAACTAGAACTCATCCTTGGAACAAGTGGGAGCCGCAGCCAATCCTGGTCTCCTAATAAGTGCATGTACACACAGGTTCCACTATCCAAACACACGTTATACAAAAATTCACTTATCCAAACACAAGGAAATAGTACCTGCAGACCTCACAATACACACCGCAGATTCAGATATCCAAACAGCCAGACTTGCATGTAGTGCTGTAAACAAACAAGCAGCCTTAAACAAGCCTTACATTTTGTATTTTGCTGGTCTGCGGCAGCTGTGGTGAAAAGGAGGGAGGGAGAAGCAGAGCTAGGATGAAGAAGAGTGCATTTTTCCTTCCTTGTTTGCTTTTTGCAAGGTTTCAGATGGTTTTCCTGGTTTTTTTCAACATTTTCCAGCCAAAATTCCATAGTCAGGAATGCATTAGAAATTTTCCCATTGAAATCAAGGGAAATTGTCAGCTCCTTATGTGAACTGTTGTACACACACACACACACAAAATGCAATGCGTGAATCAGCCTTCACTGATTCAGCCTACTAAAATCCTGGGGTTTTAGTAACTTCCCTCCTGACCAGCGTAGGTGTCGTAACACTAAAAGGCCCCTGGCCAATTAGATCTGGTTGAAATCACCTTCTCTCTCCCTCCCAACTAGACAGTCTGCAGGCATTCAGCCAAGGAGTCACACAGTGAGGCTCCTAATCCTCTTTCTTGTAATTCCACCATTGTCTGACTGCAGATGGGGAAAGTTGCATAGGAGTGATGTGTCTCCCAAACTCTCCCACTCAGCGTCGGAGGCTGGTACATCCTATATCCTATTTTGTTCACAGCTGGAGGAAGGCGAGACCTTAATTGAGATGGCTTCTCTGCTGTAGAACTGCAGGCTGTTGCCTGTGGTCCATAGGTCCATAGTTGAAGACTGGTGACCCAGCATGTAAATACTTTGCCTGAAATGACCAGTCAAAGTCTTTTTGGTGTTCATGGAGATGTCTATCCCCGCCTTCTCTCTCTCTCTCTCTCTCTCTCTCTCTCTCTCTCTGCCTGCATGGAGCTAAATAGTGATGAAGGGTCTGTCAGTTTTGGTTCTTTTAGTTTCTCATCCTCCCCCCCTTTTAAATTCAGTTCCCCGCATTTCTGTAGAAATTTGTTTGAGTATTTTTTTTAAAAAAAGAAACATCCATGAAGATTCACCAGCATTTTAATGCACATTTCTCTAAATAAACACTTTTTTGTATGCAGTCTTCACTAACACACACATTTTTGCAAACCATTTCCACTAATCTTATGCATTTTTGTATTTTATTTTCAGTAATATATCTTCATTTTCATGTGCTCATCCCCTAATACATGCATTTTTTTGGCTGGAGAACTGCATCGTAACGTTTGTACAAGTGCAAATTTTGAAGGATGGCTGTGCTTTGGTTCTCAAACTATTTGCCTTTAAATCTTTTTGTAAACTGCTTTGAGGTTTTTTAACAATCAAGCGTTGTAGAAATTTTATGAAATAATTAAATAACAATAAATGTGAACTAAACTGAGCTCCTCCCCCATTCCTCCCACATGGTGGGCAAAAGAGCATTCATCTGAATACGGCAGCATGCTGTGTCGGCACCAGGCATTTTTCACATAATCTGGTCCCGATCTTCTCGGTTTCTGGATTTCTTGGCTTCTCTCTAGCTGAGATCTCTTGCTGCCACCTACACCTTGCAGAAGATATGCGAGCAAGCATTCAAATCAACTTCCCAATATGTTGATTAGAGCATGCACACACCTGGGCCCTCTTGCCTGTTCCTATTTTTGTTTTCCTTGCATCGCCTTGCAAGCCAAGTATGTGTTGAAGCCTACAGCTCTTTACTCCCGATAATGACATGAATACAACACTCCTGTGTGTTAATGCTTCACTTCTTTTAACTAACAGAATTTGCTCATGGCTATATCTTATTGTGAGCCCTGCACGACCTGTTCGCTGCTGATCTGGTCCATGCCTACCTGGCCTGAGAGGGCAGGGGCCTTGGCTGACTCCAGCTACAAGGGATGCTTCTGCAGTTCAGGATGTCTAGAGACCATCAAGGATGGGATATTGCTTAGAGGTTATTGCTTGGAGTCAGAATTTATTCTTGGAGTTGCATCTATTTCGCTTTTTATCATGACTGTGTTCTTGCATTTGTATTGTTAGACTTTTATTACCGTTATCAGCGGATTGTTTAATTTTGCTGTGCATTTATTCATGTGAAATGTTTTCCTTAATTTATTGTTTATACGACTAATTAAATTTTGCTGTGTCTTTTAACTGAAAATGTAAAACTTTTTGATGTGAGCCCCCTTGAGCAGGGCTTACTATATCTCACTTTAGCTTCATAATAACAACCCTGTGAGGTGGGCCTGGCTCAGGTAGCAGCCCACTTCACATGTCACGTTAAGCTATAGTGTAAAACAAACTATGGTTTAATGTGTATGAGCAGTGTGGTGCTCAAAAGTTCCAGTGCCATTCCACCCCCACTTCTGCTGCGGCTGCACTGCAGTCAAAACAAAACAGAGCCTGGTTTGTACTGTCTGAACTTGGCCTTGTGGTTTGTTTCGGTTATCTATGGTTTGTTATCAGGCAAAGCAAACAATCAGGTTCAGGTATGTGAACCTAAGTCTGCCAAGCCAAGGGCCACCTTGCTAACTACAATGTTATTATGTGGCTTTCAGCTGAGTCTGATAGATTGGATATTATGCTGTGTATGTGCTCAACACAGCTGTCTGCATTTTTGGACTCTCCTAGGAGCTGTGACTATGAGGACCCGCATTACAACCTCTAGCACCAAGATTTCCCACTCCACCATTGGCTGTACCTCAGTGGTTTCCAGTCTGTGTTCCAAGAGGCCCAGCTAGCTGCAAACCCCTCCCCGTAGATCATTTTACAGCACAGCCCTATTCATGCCTACATGGAGATATGTCCCACTGAGTGCAAAGCGTTGCATACAGCATTAGTTTCTCACCCCCTCTTTCAATTGCATTCCCCTTGCAGATGAGGGTAGAAAGATTCCCCCTCTCTCTCTCGCCTCCCTCTGTGTTAAATGCTCCTGATGGGCCACATTACTATTTAGGAGATTTAATAGCTGGGTCAACCTGACTCAACAACCATGGGTTCAATGATCCTTGCGAGATGACACGGAGGAACTTGGTGTTTGCTCAGCCATTTCTTTCCTTGGAACAAAGTGGTGCAATGCAGCAAATATGCAAAGGACTCCTCCCGTGGCAGCAGGTGGATGCTTCACTTGATTTTAAGCCTGGAGGCTGAGTGGTGTGCAATATAAGCTGCTCGGATGAGGTGGGAGCCTGGTGCTTTAGCACAGAGCCAACAGCTTTTGTTGTGACTTTACGTTGTGTGATGCTCTCACCCTCATACCTGCAGAAAATAATAATGAACTTGAGCGTCAGGTTGCCCAGAACTTCATTGAAAGTGTGGGCGGATTAAATTGGTACAAATCAGTGGTTGTTAGCAGCCTTCCCCAGCCTGGCAATCTCTAGAAGGTTTGGAGTACAAGTCTCATCAGCCAACTGGGGCTGATGAGTTTGCACTTTGACAGCATCTGGAGGGCACCAGGTTGGGGAAGGCTGGTATATTGGCAGCTGTATAATTGTCACCTATTAGGATAACAATGGAGTCTGTTTGCACAGGAGCAGATTGTTCTTTAGAAGTTGCAGATATCATCTTGACTCAATATGTTGTAATCCCCTAGTGAAAATTAAAAGCTATACTAATCCTGTATCAGCTGTCTGGTGTTAGCAAGTTTTCTTTTTGTATTCTTATGTTAAGTATGTGTGTATTTGCTTCCGTAAGTAAATAAGAAGGTGGCACTGAAGTTGTGTGTGTGTGTGTGAGAGAGAGAGAGAGAGAGAGAGCAACATCAGTATCAGTGATGGGCACAAATTTGCAGGGCGAGGTATCAGTATCTCTTGCTCAACAGAGAATGCCCTGCCTGCTGCAATGTTGGCCAGGGCCAATGGGGTGGGGCAGCAGAAGCTCAGAAGGAACCTCCAATCCTGACACTTGTTAAGAAACTTAGCAAATGTCAAAAAATCTTAACTTGTTTTTATGTGCATCTGGGCAAAATGTGACACACTCAGTTTAGAGCTGCAGGTTTAAGCAAGTGTACGAAGTGATTGGGTAAAAGACATACATTTTTTCTTAAATAAGATTTGGTCATATGAAAGAGTTTAAAATGGTCATAAATATTAATAGAAATATATATATTCAGATGCCAGAAAATTTGGCTATGCTGGTCCACTGATAATATAAACCACTCACTCTTTTTAATGCCTTTCCCCCTATATCATTTACTACTACTGTACTACTACTACTACTACTACTACTACTACTATTATGGCTTGGGTCATCAAAAGCAGGAATTGGCCCGAGTGTCTCAGGATCTCTGGTGGGCGCCTGCCACCTACAGCAATTAACCCCAGGGACTTCAAATCGGAGTCCCGTTCAGCTCCAGGGTCAGCAACACCAAGAGCCCTGGCCTGCCCTTCAACCTGAGCTCAGAAGAAACCCTGCTGGATCTGACCAAAGGCCTACCTCGTCTAGCGTTCTGTTCCCAAACAGATGCCCATGGGAAGCTCAGAGGAGATGAGCACAACAACCTTCTCTTGCTGTTGTTTCCCAGTGAATGGTATCTGGAAGCATACCGTCTCTGATACTGGAAGGTCTATACAGTCATTGCTAGCCTTATCGATCATGAAAGCTCCCTTCTGTACAGCAGTGTTGACTCCCAACATAATGTGTGTGTTTTCTTCCCCTCCATGTGCAGGCCCTGTTAAAAAGGAAGATCGTGGAGCTGTTGATGACCTCTGACAATAAAGATGGGCTGGCCGCTGGCTTTGTCTCAGGAGGTACGTGGCATTGTGGTGTGTTTGAATGGGTAGACTAGAGCACACCTGGGGTGGGGGCACAAATGGGCCAGTGTATGAATCTTTAGCAGAGTCTCCATCCCCAGCCATAGTTAATAGAGCAAGTTCTGCAAATAGGGAATGGGAATCAATCAAGCTCTCTCTCTCTCTCTCTCTCTCTCTCTCTCTCTCTCTGTGTGTGTGTGTTTGTGTGTTATTAGCAGTTGTGAGTTGTGCAGCACTTAGCTATCAATTGCACTTGAGTAGGGGATGACTTAAGGTGTTACTTTATAGGAATGGGCAACTTTGTGGGGAGAAGAGTCCCAATGGCCAGATAGGGAGGCCTGCATTTAATGCCCCCCCCCCCGCATGCCCGAGGGTCCCCACTCCTGCTTTGTCTCGTTCGGGTTGGACTGTATATTGCACATGTGGCCTGGGAATGTTTTGGATTTAAAGCTCTTTGCGGCAGGGGGCGGGGATCATGTTTTGAGAGTGAAGGCCTTTTGCACTTCTTGCTTCAAGGCTATCTAATCCCCGCACTCGATATCTCTTGAATTCCACTTTGGCTCACTTTCCAGCTTCCTTCCCCAGCCCTGGACCTCTCAGATACCTCTCTGGTCTTCTCCATCTTCTTCAGCCTCCAGTTCGTAGTGTCCTGTGCCTCCTAACTTTGCTTTTTCAAGGTGGCTACATACTGTGTGGTTTTTATTGTTTTACCTCTCCTGGCCACCAGTCTCCTTCACAGTTTCAGCTTTGCTGAATTTCAGAGATCTTCAGTGAGACAGTGCATGTTCCATACACTTGAGTCTGGTTAGCTGGTGAAAATAAGCTGACACAGCCTTTCTTGCTTCCTGCTTTTGTGGGAATAGGGTGAGGGAGTGTAAATGCTAGCTCTCTAGAATCCCAACGGTGTGGCCTAGACATTTGCATAGCTGAATTCACATTATTTGAAGGAACGTGATAGGTTTTTATGGAGTTATTAGGTTTTTGTTTTTGTCAAAGGCGGTGTCTAGTCCTCATTGAGGTAGAAGAGGCTTGCAAGCCTCAAGACCCAAGTCAGTGTAAGGCTTAAAAAGCAGAGGGAATTTGTGTATAGCTATTAGGACCCAATCCTCAATTAGTGGACTGTGAGCCCCAACCTGCCATCTCAATGCCATGTGCATTGCCTGCTGCCCCCAGTGGCTTCTGACCCTACATGAAAGCTGAACATATCATTTAAACTTTCCGGCTCCATAATGTGGGCTTCCATTTTTAAAAAAGGTAGTTATTTATTAAATGTACTTTTCTCCATTAGCATGCTCACGGCACCTAACTCAATCAGAATTGCAGAAACCACTTAACACTAAATCAAATCAAAACGCTAAACATCTTATGATAACGAGTCATGGAAGTCTGATAGAAGATTGAGAACCGGCCCCTCTGTCAACAGCTGGCGGTTGCTGATGTTGAGTGGCAGGGCTGGTCCAATGGGAGGCTGTGCTCGGCCCCCTCTGAGGGCCTTGGCTTGGCAGTATCACTGTGTCAAAGTGTGTCTCAGAGGTAGCGATACTGGAGGCCTCCAGATGTCATTGGCCTTCAGCTCCAATTATCCTGAGCCAACTTAGCCAGTGGTTCGGAATGATGGTTGTCATAGGACATCTGAAGGCCACCACTTTGACTATCCCTGGTGCAACACTTCTGTATGTTTTGTCTGCCATTGCATGCCTATGATTTGGACAACTTATTTCTGCTTAAAACAGGGGTGGGGAACCTGTGGCCCTTGAGACTACTGGCTGGGGCTGATGGGAGTTTGGACTTCATCAACATCTGGAGGGCTGCAAGTTCTCTATCCCTTACCCTTTGGGGAGGAAGCCATTTGAATCATTCAACCATATAGAATAAAGCCTAAGGTTATTTCTGCTCCCCATTAATGCCCCCTTGGAAACTGAGGATCAAGGTGGGTGGCAGTGCTGGGAGTCACTGAATGGCTGGAGCATATTGGCATTCACCGCCACAGTCTTGTGATTGGCCTAGAAGAATCAGATGAAGGAACAGAGACATTTTTTTCACTGGGTGGGTGGGTGATAAACTACAGTTTCCAGAATTCTTTGGGAGGGGAGCTCCATGCTTTGAATGTGTAGTGTGATACACAACCCTAGTCATGTTATTTGGGCATCCTGGTATTGGGGTTCTGGGAAGCTGGAAGGACATTTTAAGGGGAGTGAAGTGTCTAGTTTTATGAGGACACACCGGGGACGAGAAGGATTAAATTAAATAGACTATTTTGGAACATGATTTCTTTTATTATACTGTTACGTTTCAGATAACAAAACTATGGTGTGCATGTGTTTTTAAAGAGTGTGTAATGCTGTCTTATCCAAACACAAGCTGTATCTGCATCTCATGCTGATTCTTAGTGGTGCAACCAAAGTACTCAAAGCCTCTCAGGATTAAGTTTAATGGGCTGAAATGGCTTTTTGTATTTTAAAAATCAAAACTGTTTTCCTCGTGTACAAGCCACTTAGCTGGTTCCCCTTGCTTCCTTTTTTGTAACAACTCAGTGCACCCTTTCATTATTAAATTGGAGCTTAAAAACCAGAAGGCTTAATTAAAGTTGTGCAAGCGAATTGCAGGCTGATAATGGAACCCCCTCCTTTCACCCCCTCACCCTTTGTTTTAAATGGGTTCTTAAAGTGAAGGCAAAATGCCACTAGGATAGCAAAAGAGGGAAGGTCGTTCATAGAGGTGGAGTTGTAATTTTTTGACTTCCCTCTAGGAAAAGGGCTTGATCTGGTTGTTTATGGTGAGCAGGATAAAATCCTGTGGCCCCCAGCACGTTACCCCCAAGGAAGTGTGGCCATCAACACATGAAAGGTTCTAATTAGGGCTGCCCACAGGTCCCCTGCTCTGATCTGTGGTCCAACCCAATGCTTCAAAGAGGCTCTGCTCCATGGCTGCTCCTGATCCAGGTCCTAAACTGATTTGGAATTTTTTTTTGGTGGGGGGATGGAGAAGGAGGAGATGGAAACATGACTTTCCTTTTCTCCCTGGTGCCCCTTGACCATATATTTAAGCAGGGTTTTAACTCCTAATTAAACATGTGGTTTGGTGGATGGAGAAGGAAACATACACAAGGGTGTCTGTGTGTTTCCTTCTCTGCACCTTCCTTCTCTTCAGAAGATTCCCCTCCCCCCTGCCCGACAACCTCAGGTTGCTCCAGGTGGACCCGATCCAACCCAGGGCCATCTAGGGCTGCCTCAACGCGATCTGGCTAGATCCCAGGACTCAAATTGACCTGATTCAGTTTTGGGGGCACACCTCTAGTTCTAATTTTGTGTGTGGATGTGAAGATGGCAGAGTTTGTTTGCTGCTCATTGATCTTTTGCAATTATTCCTTGCTTATATTAGTTAAATAATAATAACAACTTAGCAACTCTTATTGTAGCACAGTATTTGCCCTTTTAAAATCCAGGTACATTTAACCTTCATGCTATGTTATTTTATGTGGAAACTGTATTAAATTTTATTTAATTGTTGAAAAATACAAGTACAGGTGGCACAGCCTGTCCCTGGGAATTGGCTAGCATCCTGTTGCATCCCATCCAGGTCTGACACCTTCTTGTTAAATGACAGAACTTCCCAGCCCTGTCCACACGGGGTCACTCTCTCCCTGCCAGTGGGAAATTGGGATCAGTGGTGTGTGTGTGTAAGTAAGGGGGGAGATCAGTTCTCATTTTTCTCTGCTTCCTGCGCAAATGTGTTTACTGCCTGAGAGCGCACTCGTTTCTCTTGTTTGGAGTTGTCTCCTCCATCGGGCTCATGTGACAAGTGCGCCTTGATCCCAGCTCGTGCTTCGGATGTCACAACAATCTGCTCATTAGAGTCAACATGTCAAGTAATCAGGAGTGCGGAATAACTAGGGCTCTGAGTGATGCGGCAGAGGCAAGGTGGCTGTGAGAACACACAAAGAGCAGAGGTAATAAAAAGCATGCTTGGAAGAGGAAAGAAGAGGAGGTTGCCTTGTCTTCTTGCCTGCAGGTGAAAAAAGGACCCTGGCTTTTCTTTCCTCCTGATGGTTCCCATTGACACCATGGAGTTTGCAGACAAGGCCATCTTTTGACAGAGCCCTGAGTTTTTGAAACATAGTTGTCCTAAAAAAAAATCAGCTTTCTGAACAATCAGCGTTTGCTTGTTTTTTGTTTTATTTAAAGAGCAAGCTACTAGATCTTTGTAATTTACCTACCCAAAAATACATTTTGTATATATGGAGATATGATGCTGGTTTGTGGATCAGACCTTTAGTTCATCTGGCCGAGTTGCTGTCTATTTCAACTGCCAGTGGTTTGCTCCGTTGGTAGAGCATAATGAGACTCTTAATCTCTGAGCCATGGGTCCGAGCCCCACGAAAATATTCCTGTATTGTAGGTGGTTGGGCTAGACGATCCTCGTGGTCCCCTCCAATTCTGATTCTTTTATCGCCACCATAGTGCAAAAGTCATCTGTGAGGGGGCAGAGCAGTTCTGATCAGGGGTGTAGCTGGAGGCAGGACCTATGATGAATACTGAGGGCCAGGCAGAGAGGTCTGGAGGGCTGCCCATACCTTAGCTCAGGGTCCCCCATCCATAGTCTCTGCTCAGTTCTGTTTTTGCAGCCCTGTTGCATGGAATCTTTTCACTGACGATGCCAGCAATTGAACCTGGAACCTTTTTACATGCAAAACATGTGTCATTCGATGGCCTCCTCCATGTATCGCATCCCACGCCTTGTGCATGACTCATTCAAGGTGCACAAAGAGAAGCCGCACACCCTTCCTGAGCCGCTGCCATTGTGCAGCCAATTTGTGGCTGTAAAGCAGATAACACTGGAATCCATTCTCACCAACTTGGATGGCTTTAAAAGAGGATTGGACTAAATTGTGGAGGATAAGGCCTATCAGTGGCTACTAGTCATGATGGCTATAGTCGGCCTCTACTGCCAGAGACAGGAATGCTTCTGAATGCCAATTGCTGGAAACCGCAGGAGTGGAGAGTGCTGTTGAGTTCAGGTCCTGCTTGTGGGTTGCTGCTTGGCCACTGAGAACAGGATGCTAGACTAGATGGAACACTGGCCTGATCCAGCAAGCTCTTCTCATTATGCATATGGGGCAAGGGCAGTCAAACGTGCGATGACCCCTCCCTTCTCTTTTCCTCCCCGCCCTCCCCTGTGATTCTAGGGACTGTCACAATTTTGTGGTGGGATTCAATCACATACCAGCAAATTCAGGTTGCCCAGTATTTGGTGCTCTTATGAAACCAACCAATTTCCCCACCCAAATCGAATGTTTCATGATAAGAAAAGAGATGGGAGAAGTGCGGGGTTCTGCTTGCTTGATGCAAAGTCGTAAAAGCTCCCTGCAGACCTGTCAGAAGGAACACTCCGTAAGTGGCCATCTCCACCTGGCTTCCCCACACACCGGTCAGGATGAATGCTCAACAAACGGGTCTCCTGGAAGCAACCTGGGAGAGCTGGCCAGTTCGTTCCTGTTCCAGTTTTACGTCTGCTTCCTGCTGCTGAGGCTAGGAAGGGCCTCGCCCTTGGAGATGGGCCTCGCAACGGGATGCAACTTCTAATGCTACTGGCAGCTTTGGTGTGCGGCCTTTTATCTCAGCATCCCTAATTGCTCTGCTAGTGCTAATTAAGCCTTGGGACATCCCCTTTTTTCTACAACCACCACCCGGTCTGTGAAGCAGGTGGGGGGAGGGTTGTAATACTGCAAATGTTTGAAGCTAGAATTGTAAGGACTTTAGTGAAAACTCAAAGCAGTTTAATAGTAATTTCCTTTCCATAAATTGAACCCTGGGAAGAGTGTTGGGGCCGGGGCCGGGGAGAGGAGAGGAGGAATCTGTAACTGAGATTTGTCAGCACCTTCACCAATAAATTAATAGGATTAGGAGGGGGGCGGGGTGAGGTAAACTGGATTAAACTGAATTTATTTGGGGGGGGGTTACACATGTATCCTGTCATTCTTCCACCTTGGTACTCAAGTCAGCCTACAGGTCGCTCTCAGGCAGTCTCCCATCCAGGCACTGACCAGATCCAAACCTGCTTAGCTTCACCAGGGCTGTGGCCTCTTGTGCCTTTTGATCATAAGTCCCATCTCTCAGGCAAAGCGCATTTCACTCTTGCTTAAAACTCTCCAGTGGGAAGTTCCTACAAGTATAGCATGAGGACTGGCGGCTTGTTGTGTGAAACTGGATGCTGCCGATGCTTGTTATCCCCTCAGGCCCAGTGATGGTTCCTGCTCCTGGTCAAACAAGTGCATTGTGGCCAACTGATGCATGTGTGAACTGGGTGTGGATGAAAATGAGCAGGATGTAGCCAGGGCAGAATTCTATCCCACGGTTCATGCCAACCCGAGTGTCTGTGCTAGGCTGGGAGGCATGTTTTGAATCGAAGGGGCATTTGCCGCTATTTAAACCTACCTGAAATCTCCTTATCTTCTTCTGTCTCCCTCCCTGCTTAGCTCTGGCCACTGTTAACTTTCAGAAGATGGACCCAGGTATCCTGTCATACCTTGACACAATGCAGGTAAGTATGAAGCATCCAAAGGGTAGACATGCTGTTCTACTGCCCTTGTATGTGGTGCTTCAGGGCTCTGAAAAAGAGTGCTGGAAAAGCAGGGAGGAAGCCTCCTTGTCTGTGAAAACCTGGCTATTGAGTATACATTGGTACCTTGTTTGTCGAACATAATCTGTTCTGGGAGTCCGTTCGACACTTACTTCCAGATTTGCGGCATTCGGAACCTGATTTGTTCAGAAGCCAAGCCGTTCGACAACCAAGGTACCATTGTAATGCAGGTACCATTGTAATGTAATGAAGATAAATAATCCTTCACTGACACTCTTTAGGCATAGCATGCTTGAATTGGAATATTTTGAGTTGTGCCTAAGAGTTCCCTTGAGGAAGTTGGTTTTGTCCTTCAAAGCCTTTAAACCAGGAGTAGGGAATGTGGTCCTCCCAACCTCTCTATCTGGACCTCCAAATTATAGAGTATAGAAGTGTGTATGCAGAAACTAGTATACTGCACAAACATAAAATTTGCATTTGTTGCGCTACCCACTTTTTCTTCTCACACCACCCACCATCAGGATGTGGCCCCAAAAAGGCTGCCCAGAAGGGAATGTGGCTGAAGAAGACAGTCCCTCACTCCTGTCTTGAACAGTCTTTCTGCTTGTTGCTGCCAAGACGCCATCAAGAACCTGATTTAAAAGCTGACTGGCCCAGCTTGTGAGTGTTGGTCCTGGCGCTGGGATACTTCAGCTCAGATCCTCCTTTGCAGAGGATTCATTGGAACAAAACCAGAACCCTCCCTTCCTCCTCCTTTCTCTTCTCTCACCTCTATTTCTTCTCTGTTAAAAAAAAAAGGAAGAGCCCTGCCACACCCACACAGCAAGTCTGTAAACACACCAGACAAAGCGCTTTGCACACCAGAAAAACCGTAAAACCTGCAGTTGTAAAAGCCAGCTCCCATTATTCTGTGCAACTTTCCCAACCAACTTTTTATCATCACCAAAAAGCAAAACCCAGACTAGAGCCGTATAGCTGAATTTCCTTCCACCCCAGGGACTTACTTGAGTGCATCCATTGACTTTCCTCTGAAGAGAGAAAGTCAGTGGTGGTTGCTGTAATAGTCGTGCACTTGGGGGAAGGATAGGACCTACCTACTGCTGACACACTTTTGTTTGGTCTTCACCAGTGTGAGTTCCAAAAGTTCTGTGTATGTGAGTTTGTGTGGGTTTTTTCCCCTGCATGCATGAAATGTACCTCTAAGCTGGAGTTGCCAACGTGGTGCCATCCAGGTTTTCTGGAACTGCAACTCCCATCTTTCCCAACTAGCATGGGCAGCGGTCAAGAACGATGGCCGTTGTGGTGCAGCAACCCCTGCTCTAAGCACCAGTGTGTACACACCCACCCACCCACACCCACCCACACCCCTCAAGTCCTATCATATGCAAAGTCGCTATCAGGTTGGGCCCTGCAGACTAATGGTCCTGGTAACAGCATACGCATTAGGGTGGCTCAGGCATGTGGGTCGCAAGTGTGTTCGGGCCCCTTCTGAGCAATTTGGACAGCAGGGAGAGGTTCAACCTATGTCTGTCTCTCAGCGGTGCAGGGGGAACAGTAGGAACGCAGAGCGCCAACCTCTTCATGGTAGATTGGCTTTGTCACAAAGCCACCAGCAAGGTGTGATTAAATCATTCCCCTCGCCTCAGTCGAATCTGCAGCATGAGGTCTGTGCTTGTCTATCCTTTTTAGTGCTTAACATATCTGAATGGCTGGTAATTCCTTTTCTAATATTGAGCAATCGATTAAGCAATTAAAGGGAACAAGACTTGGCAGGAGGAGGCCAGGCAATGCGGTTTCCGTTTTCTGGCAGGTGGGTCCTTCCTAGCCTAGCTTGTTTATTTTGTGGGGCGGCAGGGGGATGTTCTGGGGGCAGGGAGGAGGCAGAGCGGGCCGTTACAAAGCCTGCTGCTGGCAATCTTTCTCTTCTGCACTGGAGGCTGCAATTTAATTATTCCAGCCCCAGGTTTCTCCACTCCCATTATTCCTCCTGCTCGGCTCAGTTCATTGTCTTAGCCACAGACCATAACAGTCTTTGCTATGATTGATCCACAGCCAGAGGAAAGCCAGTGCAGTGCAGGAGATCTTGTTTATAAAATAAAACTAATAATTAAAAACAAAATTGCAAAGCACAACAAAAATACTTTATTGTAGATTGTGTTGGCTGCAAACAACAACAACAGTTATTCTTCTGGTAAAGGCCTGAGTAAAAAGAGAGATGTCTAAAGCACAGAGTCATAGGTGCTTATCCATTTGGCAAGGGTGCAAGAGTTCTACAGTGTTGGTGCAGCCACAATGAAGGCCCTGTTGATGGTGGCCCACAGGCTGAACGCATGGCACCATCAGTAAGGCCTCATCAGCTCAGTACAGGGACTAGGCAGGGATCTAGTGGACAATGAGGTCTATAAGATAACCTAGTCCTGAGTTGTTTAGGGCTTTATAAACTAAGACCTTGGCCCAGTAAAAGTAAAGGTGGCTCAGTTGCAAATATGCTAGCTGTATATTTGAGATTGGTGGGGATCCTGGTAGCCAGGCAAGTTGGCAAGCCAGAGGCAGGTAGGGCAAGGAGCAGGCCTGATAAAAGTTGTGTTGGCTGGAGCTACCAAGGAAGAACCAGGTCACCTTCCCCAGCAACTAATGGGTTGCACTGAGGCAAGTCACCAGATCTGCAAGTTTTTTATATTTGGCAGCCCCTGATTGGCCCTTAATCTTCACCTGACTTCCCAGGCCCAGGGGATCACAGAATGATTTCCACTTCACTTCACCAACCAGGAGCCTCAGTGATGCATTGAGCCAGTGTCGGATCTTGCAGCAGGTGACACCCCGTGTGTACTGAAGTCTCTGGCTGCTTGTAGCAGTTCTCATAACCTGCCAGGGAGGCCTGTTCCAGCCTTCTCAGCAGGAACTCACTTTACCAAGATGAGCTGGCCACTAGCTTTCACGACTTTGCTGTGTGTGCGTGTGCAGGAATTAAAGTCATGAAGGATAAGTCTGTCTACTGCAGACATTAACTAAACAGCTAAGTGAAGCCTCTGTGCCGAGCAATCATAGAAGGCCACTGCCTTAATGCCTTTCTTATGAGCACCTGCGGGTATTTGACTACTTGCTGTTGGAGTTTGAACAGCAAACCTGTTTCTGATCCAGCAAGCCAGTTCTTCTGTTTTTACTGTGCACCAGCATTATGGATTTGAGGTAATGACCTTAGGTGGAAATAAGCTGCACATAATACACTGTGGTTTTTCTCAGTGCTAGCAAATTCTCTCTAGCTACTGCTTCTGGCTTGGTAGACCTGTAATTTGCCGCTTGCTTGCTCCCCTGGGATGACGGCTTGGGGAGAGCACCTAAGTGACAAACAAAGCCAAAGCGGAGCTGCTGGTGTGCCTGGCCCAAGAGATCTGGAACTTAGCTGCCACCACGCCAGGCTGCACACCAGCTCTCTGTTTCCTTTTAGTCTTAAAGCAGGCCTAATGATCCATTGCAGGGCTTAGTGAGCCCTGGTGGGCCACCAAATATGCAGCTTGGTGGCTTATGTACTGGGCAGGCCTGCCTGAAAGGCTTACTAGCTTCTCTGGGCTGGAGGAAGTCAGAGAGAGAAGCACACAGCCTGGAGTGACCACAGTGAGGCAGTTCCCCCATCTTTTTCCTTGGGGATGGAGAAGAAATTGGCAATGCGTTCTTGGCCCCTGTTGCAGCAGGAGGGAGAGTGTGAGCATCATATCTGCCAGTACCTCTCTTGAGCTTCTGCAAAGTGGCAGGAGGAAATTAGGAGGCTACATTCCAGCCACATAAAACTCTAAGGATTGCATGTACTCACCTCTCATTCCAAAGGCATCCCAGATGCAGCCAGGCACAAATATTTGAGCACAGCTGGTGAGTGGTGTGGCCAGGGGAGAATTCCTGGAAGTAGCTAGGCCTGAGGTCCCTGCTTCTCCTATAAACAATTATTGTAGGAAAACAGAGAGATCTCATCCACAAGGCATGTGTAGAAGAGGGTGGTGTGTGTGTGCATGTGTGTAGGGTGTTCAAATTGGTATTCAAGGATTTATGGGGCTTCAGGGCTAAATTCACCACATACTGACTTCCCCTCCCTCAAACCAGGCAGAGTTGAGCTTCCTTTTGTTTACTTGTTTTAGCCTTAGGTCTGGCTTAGTGCATTGAGTGTGCTTCTTGGATTGATGATTAGCAAAAGTAAAACCAGTAAAATACAATTGGAAGTGGCAAGGAAGTCTCGAAATAAGTGCAGCAGAGTCGGCAGCTAAAAACCAGTGAAAGGGTCTTAAATAATATTTTAAAAGTCTGGAAGAACAGGACCAGTTTGGCCGGGTGGCATCCTTGTTATCCTTTAGGTGGCAGCTAAACAGGTGTAGGGAGAGCATTTGACCATTTCAATGCCACCACAGAAAACAGCCTCCCACATACACACACAACTTCTGCCTGCTTAACCTCCCAATGAGACCCTATTTCATGCTGTATGTTTCAAGCAGTCAGCTCCTTGAGATTAGCCATTGCAGAAAGTTCTTCAGATGAAAGCTGACATGGAACATTGGAGCATAGGAAGCTGCCTTATACTGACCCAGACCAAGAGTCAATCTGGCTCTGTGTTGTCTATATTGACTGGTACCTGCCATCCAGGATTTCAGGCACTGCATTCTCAGACTTTGCTAGAGACTGAACCTGGGACCGTCTGCATTCAAAGCAGGCACTTTGCCCTGAGTTACAGCCCTTCCCTATTTGCTGAAGAATGAGCAATGCTTGAAAACAACTTTGCCAAATTAGATATTGTCAGAGCTGCTTCCAGATCCTAGCTCACAGAGGATCACGCTAGCCAGCGATCATTAAACAAAAGTCTTTATTGAGTTACAGTTTCCATTCTCAAGCTGCTGCGTGCAACTCTACGTCTCATGCTTAGATCGGCGAAGCTCCGTCTGAGTCTCCGCCCCTTGTACACCAACTTAATATCCTAGCCCTGCTCCACCTTTTCCGCCTGACTGTTCTTCTCTGGGTCCCTCTGCCCCCCGGGGTCTCTTCCTTCCGGGATTCCTCTGACGCTGACGCTGACTCCCTGACTCTTCTCCCTCCTTTCGGCGAGCTTTAGGACCTGGCTCCCTTTCCGGGCTGCCTACTGCGCCACCTTCCTGTGCATTTGAACTTGCGCGCGCGCCCAACCTTCCACCTTCCGTCTGACCGTTTCTTCGCTCCCCGATGGGGGTGTGGCCACTCCTGACTCGTGCCCTCCCCCCTGTTGTGAGTTGCCAGCGCTTGATCCCTGGCGCCCTTCCTCTTCCCTGCTCTCTGGCGGTGACGTTGGTCCCGATTTCCAACTGCTCCCCTCTGAGTCCCCTCTGGCTCTATCTTCCTGGGGTGTCCCCCTAGGCTCCCCCCTTGCCCTGGCCACTGGTGCTCCTTTCTGTGAATCTTCTGATTCACTGGAAAGACTCGGAGATCTCGGGTCGTCGTCATCACTCATCTTTTCTTCTGCCTCCTCCCCTCGCTCTCTGTTTCCTCCCTTGCCCTTGCCTCTGCTCCTGAACCCCTGACATCCATCCCCCTCGAAGCCCCCTCTTCCCCTCCCCTCCTTCCGGTGCGGGATCTGGGTGCTGCCGTGTCAGGGGACGAATGTCGGATACAGTTCGCTTCCCGTGGCGGGCCGCCATCTGAAGTCTTCCGGTTCTTCCTCCCTGCTCTCGTTGACGACGGTCACCTCCGCTTCCATCTCTGTGCCGCCGTGCTCGAAACCCGGGTCGTCCCCGAAAAAGTCCATGTCCGTCTCTCCCTCGTTGCCTTCTGGAGACGTTGCTCGTCCTGGACCCTCCAGCCACCTTCTACGGAACTGCTCCTCTGGTCGATCATCCCACCAATACGAGGGTTCTGAAGCAGATCCTGAGGGTGACCCTCCGGGGAACGGGCGTCTCGTGTCGGTTCCTCGTCCGAGTCGAACCCCGGAACGTGCTGGCTGAAAGCGTGGGCGTGAAAAGCCAGTCGTCGAAAAGTCTGCTGGCATTGGCCTATGTGGGAAGAGGGCATGAAACTCTTCTTTGAGCAGAGGTTCGTCTAAAGCGTAGCCCGGCACCCAGCTGTTGGCACTGGCCGGGGTGCCCTCCTTGGCGAGAAGGTATTCTACCCCTCTTCCCCCCATCTGGAGTCCAAAATCTCCGTGACTTCGTTGATGCGCTCCTCCCGTGCCACTCCCCCCTGCCCGGTTCTCTCTCGGAGCGGACCCGGTGCCGTTCCTGGTTCCTGAAACCTGTGAGGTGCCTTGTAGGGAGTGAGCACCGATCTGTGGAACACCGGATGCATTCTGGAACCCTCCGGAAGAGCCAGCCTGAAAGCCACCGGGTTGACCTGTTCTTCGACTCTGGTAGGGCCCCAGTTGTTTATGCCCTAGTTTCTTCTTCGCCAACGACCTGGCCGAACTGCGTGGGCTGCTAACCAGACCCAGTCTCCCACATGGATCTCTTCGCCAACCCTTCTGTGTTTGTCCGCTTGTACCTTGTATGCGTGTTTAGCCAGCTCCAGGTGCCGCCGCAGCTGATCGTGGACCTCCTGCAACTCCGACGCGAATGCATCTGCTGTCTGCGGCTCCCCCTCCCCCAGTCTTTCCAGTCCCGGGCCGGTGCTGGGGTGCCTCCCGTTGTTGGCGAAGAACGGCGTGACCCGCGTGGACACGTGCTTCGTGTTGTTGTAGGCGAACTCGGCGAGAGGCAGGTAATCCACCCACGTCGCAGGCTGTTGATTCGCATAACATCTCAGGTACTGCTGCATGATGGCATTGACCCGCTCCGCTTGCCCATTGGTCTGTGGGTGTCTAGCCGACGCCAGGTTGATCTTGACGTCAGGAAGCCCATCAGCCTCTGCCAGAAGTTCGAGATGAACTGTCGCCCTCGGTCGGACAGAATAGACCGCGGCAGACCGTGAACCTTGAACACGTGGTCTATGAACAGTTTGGCGGTTTGTTCCGCCGTGGCCACCTTCGCACACGGAATGAAATGTGCCATCTTGGAGAACAAGTCCACCACCACCAGCACAGCCGTCTTGACCTCGAGCTGGGCAGATCCGTGACAAAGTCCAGGGCCACTCTCTCCCATGGTTCGAACGGAGTTTGCAGCGGTTCCAGCAGTCCGGCCGGCGGTCTGTGCACTGGTTTGGCCCTCTGGCAGGTGTCACACCTCGCCACGTAGTCCGCGACTTCCCTTCTCATTCCTGGCCACCAGAAGTCTCTGGCTACTAATTCCACCGTTTTCTCCTTGCCAAAGTGCCCGGCAGTGGGCGCGTCGTGCAGCTGCTGCAGTACCTTGGCGCGAAGTTCGTCTCCCGGCACGTAGATGGCCCCTTTACGGATGAGCAAACCATCTCGCAGCTGGAACTCGTCGGTCGCTGCCGTGCCCCTGTGCGCCTCTGCCATCTTTGCTTGCGCGAAGGAGTCATCCTGCAACGCCGTCGCACCGCCTCCAGGTCAACTGTCGCCGCCGTGCACGCCCACACTGTCGGTGCGAAGATGTGCATGGCGGCCGCTGGCGTTGCCTCCTCCAAATACTGTGGCTTACGGGAGAGAGCATCCGCCATGATGTTGGTGTCCCCGGGACATACTCTATTCGGAAGTCGAAATTCGCAAAGAACTCAGCCCAACGTATCTGCCTCTGGTTCAGGAACTGTGCCGTGCGCCAGTGCTCTAGATTCTTGTGGTCCGTGCAGACCTGCACCGTGTGCTTGGCGCCGATCAGGAAGTGCCTCCACGCTTTGAACGCTGCATGAATGGCCAGCAACTCCCTGTCCCAGATGGTGTAGTTCTGTTCGGACTTGCTGAGCTTCCTTGAGTAAAACGCTCCCGGCCTCCAAACCCCTGCGGGTCCTTCTGCAGCAGGACTGCTCCCACGGCTCTGTCCGAAGCGTCTGTCTCCACCCTCATCGGCCTGCTGGGGTTGACATGAAGCAGTTGCTCTTCCGACGCGAAGAGACGCTTGAGTGCCTGGAAAGGACTGCTCCGCCTGCTCTGTCCAGATGAACTTCTTTTCTTGGAGCTGAGCGTGTCCGTGATGGCCGCTGTCTGCATGGCAAAGCCTTTGATAAACTTGCGATAGAAGTTCGCAAAGCCGACAAACCGTTGGACCTCCTTCCGGTTGCGTGGGCTTTTCCAATCCAACACTGCTCGGACCTTGGTGCTGTCCATGGCGAGCCCTTTATCAGACAACTTGTAGCCCAGGAAATCCACCTCCGTCACGTCGAATTGGCACTTCTCCAGCTTGGCGTAAAGCCTATGTTGCTGTAGCCTGCTCAGCACTTCCTTGACGTGCCTGTCATGCTCCTGCTGCGATTCCGAAAAGATCAGGATGTCATCCAAGAAACAGACGCACGTCTTGTAGAGGAGCCCCGCCAACACGTGATGCATGAAAGCTTGAAAACGTGGGAACCATTTTGCAATCCAAAAGGCATAACTCTATATTCGTAGGTGCCCAGGGGCGTGAACATGGCTGTCTTCCACTCATCTCCTTCCCGCATGCGAATGAGGTTGTACCTCCTCGCAGGTCCAACTTGGTGAACACGCTGCCCTTCCGTACCTTTGCGAGGAGGTCGTCGATTCGGGGCATGGGGAAGTCCGATGGCTTGGTCACGCTGTTCAAAATGCGATAGTCCACTACAAGTCTTTTTGGGGCGTGTCCCGCTTCTTAACAAAGAATACCGGACTGCCCCCGCTGCCTTGGACTCTCGGATGAAACCGCGCTCCAAATTATGATCTATGAACTCTTTGAGTTCCTGCAGTTCGTCCTCAGACATGGAATACAACTTCCCTTTGGGCAGCGCCGCCCCGGCAGCAGGTCAATTCTGCAGTCATATGGTCTGTGGGGGTAGCCTGTCTGCCTCCTTCTCACAGAAAACCTCCAAAAATGCTGCGTACTTGTGGGGAACCGCTTGCAGCGTGCCTAGCTGCAGCTGTGACTCCTCTTCCTCTCCTTCCTGCCGGGGCACGATGCAGTGTTCAGCGCAAAAGGAAGAGCCGAAGGTCAGCTGCCTCTGGTACCAAGCCAGCGTCGGGCTGTGCTTGTCCAGCCAACTCATGCCCAATACAATGGGCGTGTCCGATAGTTGAGTGACATTGAAGCTGATGATTTCCCTGTGATTCCCAAGTCTCATCACCATTGGTGGCGTCTGCTTCACCACTTGCCCCCCTAGCAGCTCCCTGCCATCCACCGTGACAACCTGCAGGGGCAGCGTGGCAGGCAGCAACTGTATAGCGTGCCGGTCGACAAAGTCCTGCCCTATAAAGTCCGCATTGCTTCCGGAGTCAATGGTGATTGGCACGTCCATGGTGATGCCATTGGGCAGCTGGAGCGACGCGGTGAGCCTCACTACTGGTTTGGGCGGGAGGGGGTCCATGGGCTGTAAAATCTCTGGGGACTGCTTCACTGACACGTCTGGCTGGGCCCCAGTGCCTCTTTCTCCAGCCAGACTCCGTCGCTTCCCTGCCGTGGTTCTCCTTGCTGCGTTGCTGCAGTTACCATTGCTGAGGCTGCAGTGTGCTTGTGGAGCCTCTGGGGACACTCTTTCGCCATATGCTGTGGATCATCGCAGATGTAACACTTCCTGTTCCCTCTAGGAGGCTTCGCTCACTGCTGCCGGTGCTAGGGCTCTGGCTGCTGACTGAGCCCTTGCACCTCCAACCTCCATAGGTTCCGCTCCTCCTCCTGGCGGAGGCGTGGATTGCGCACGCGCTGCTTCTCTGGGAAGGAAGGAGGAGCCCCTGGCTGGTTCGCGCCCTCCACGCCCTTCGTCCCTGCTCCACGGACGTTCTTCCAGCCGCACCCCCACCGCCAGCGCCCTCTGAACGATCTCCTGCGTGGTCCGGGTCTCTCCCCTCGCAATTTCATCTTTAACCGAGCCGTGCAATCCCTCCCAAAACAGGTCTCTTACAGGAGCCGAATCTCTGTCCCATTCCAGAGCACTGACCAAAGCGAAAAGCGGGCATGGTACTGCCTTACGCTGGCCCTCCCTTGCTTCAGTCCATGTATCTGCTGCCGAGCAAGATCCACGTCAATGCTTGATAAAAGCACCCATCCATCGCTTTAATAAAGGCATCCGCATTTTGGAGCGCCGGATCCTTATCTCTCCACAAATTGCGCAGCCATGCTTTAGCATCTCCATGCAAATGGGACATGATGAATCCCACCTTCTCTTGCTCATCTCTAAAGTCTTTGTTCAGCAGTTGCAGTGCACACATTACATCTGCTCTAAAGTTGGGGTACTGTTGCAAATTCCCATCGAAGTGAGAGACCAGACCGCCCGTTCGACTCCCCCACCCACTCCCCGCCGGTTTGGGTGTCAGTTGCCCTTGCTTCGTAAGCACTTCCAACCTGACCTGGAGATCCCTGTAGGCGGCAGCTGCGTCCTCCTCTCTCTTCCTGGATGCAAGAGCCTCGGCATTCAGTCGTGACACTGCTTCTCTGAGTTCCGCTATCTGCTGTTCGGCCGTCATATTGTCTGCCGTTCGTGAGCTCGCTAGTAGGCACCCGCTTCTCTCCTCTCCGCGAGGCCGTAGATGCCCACAATTTAGGAGACGGAGCTTACTGTCAGAGCTGCTTCCAGATCCTAGCTCACAGAGGATCACGCTAGCCAGCGATCATTAAACAAAAGTCTTTATTGAGTTACAGTTTCCATTCTCAAGCTGCTGCGTGCAACTCTACGTCTCATGCTTAGATCGGCGAAGCTCCGTCTGAGTCTCCGCCCCTTGTACACCAACTTAATATCCTAGCCCTGCTCCACCTTTTCCGCCTGACTGTTCTTCTCTGGGTCCCTCTGCCCCCCGGGGTCTCTTCCTTCCGGGATTCCTCTGACGCTGACGCTGACCCCCTGACTCTTCTCCCTCCTTTCGGCGGGCTTTAGGACCTGGCTCCCTTTCCGGGCTGCCTACTGCGCCACCTTCCTGTGCATTTGAACCTGGCGCGCGCCCAACCTTCCACCTTCCGTCTGACCGTTTCTTCGCTCCCCGATGGGGGTGTGGCCACTCCTGACTCGTGCCCTCCCCTGTTGTGAGTTGCCAGCGCTTGATCCCTGGCGCCCTTCCTCTTCCCTGCTCTCTGGCGGTGACGTTGGTCCCGATTTCCAACTGCTCCCCTCTGAGTCCCCTCTGGCTCTATCTTCCTGGGGTGTCCCCTAGGCTCCCCCTTGCCCTGGCCACTGGTGCTCCTTTCTGTGAATCTTCTGATTCACTGGAAAGACTCGGAGATCTCGGGTCGTCGTCATCACTCATCTTTTCTTCTGCCTCCTCCCCCTCGCTCTCTGTTTCCTCCCTTGCCCTTGCCTCTGCTCCTGAACCCCTGACAGATATGTTTGTACACCCATGGTTATTGGAGCAGGAGCTCAGTGCCAAAGTGTTCAGCAGGGGCCGGGTTCAGTCCTTAGACTCTCCGCTTAATGGATCTTTGGTGGAACACAATTCTGCTTGAGACCCAGTAAAGCCACCGCTAGCCTGAGCAGACAATCCTGCACTAGGTGGGCCGGGGGTCTGACCTTGCTATAAGGTGGTGTCATAAGCTGCTGTGCCTTATCCAGTTGTTGGGTGTGTTTTTCCAGGCAAGGCAAATACGTACATACTACTTGGATTTGTTGTCAACTGCCTGTTTACCGAAAGGTTCCAGGGCAGCGTGTACAAACGTGTGACAAAAGCCTAATTCAACCACAACATATAAAATGCAAACAAACTGAAACTCAAAACAAACTAAAGGGCAAATTAGGATGAACAAAACCCTTAAAAATGCAATAACGCTACACTGCTAAAATGCCTGGGCAAATGGGAAGGTCCCCTCCTGACACCCAAAAGTTGTCAATACCTCCCTGAGGGAAGGATCTAACCCATTCAATTTCTTGTCCTTTTTTAACAGGACAACATGCCCAAGATGGTGATGGAATACTGGACTGGATGGTTCGATAGCTGGGGAGGACCTCATAATGTGTTTGATGCAGATGGTGAGTTGCTGTTCTCCCTCATTTGCTCCACTTTCCCTTCTTCCCTTCCTCCTCCTCTTATTTATTCTTTTAGGGTCTGAATTGCTCATTGCCTGACACAGCTTGACCTCTCTCTTTACTTCTTTCAACCTCATCAGATGAAATGGGTGGCACCCCAAGCAGGGCTGCTGCTTAATAGTTAGTTATCTCAGGGACAGGCCAACATGGTGCTCTCTGGATGTTGTTGGACTCCCAACTCCCATAACACAGTCAACAGTGAAGGATCCTGTGAGTTTCAGTCCACCACCAACATCTGGAAGGTCACTGGTTCCTCACCCCTGCCTTATCTCTTGGCCAGGCACTGAATCTGATGGTGTTAGGCACCTCCCACCTTAATGGTTTTGAATAGCTTTTTAATGACTCCTGTCGTTGTGCTGCTGTTTTTAAATTGTTATGTGCTGCCGTTTTAATTTCGTTCTCTTAGATTTTTCTACGTCCTAATGCAATGTTATCAGCTGCCTTGAGAATCTTGTGCTGAAAGGTGGGTGTAAAATGCTTTAATAAGATTAGCATTTTGTTTTTTCTGGGGATGTTCAGGCTGAGTGGGGAAGGTAGGTCCCTTTGCCGAGAGGAATGGGGCTTTGAGTGGAGTGGGGAGTGGTATCGGTTTGTTTTTGCTGCAGGGTTTGTTTTTGCAAAGTAAGGACGAAGCACTCCTGTGCAAAATGAGTGTTATTGTCAGGCAGGAACTGAGCTTGCAAGGCAGCAGTGCCACCATGCAGAAGGGACTTCCCTGATCCCGATGTCTCCGTGGACACTCGTTGTTTGTACTGCAGCAATACATCAAGGCAATTGCTAGCTCTGAGGCACTCTCAACCCTTTGCTTCCCTGCACAGAAATGATGGCAAACATTGAAAAAGCCATCAAAGCGGGGGCATCCATCAACCTCTACATGTTCCACGGAGGCACTAACTTTGGCTTCATGAATGGTGCTCTGCATTTTGACGAGTACAAGGCAACCATCACCAGCTACGGTAAGGTGTCATTGACAGTGCGTAATTAAACTGTGGAACTCACTGCCCTGGTAGGCAAGTTGCTGGCCATCAACCTGGATGGTTTCAAAAGAAGGCTTGACAAATTCATAGAGGAGAAGGCTATCAATGGCTACTATCTACAAAGGCTATACTGTGCATCCAAGGTCAAAGGCAGTAATGCTTCTGAGGACTAGTTTCTGGAAATCACAGGAGGAGGAGAGTGCTCTTATGCTCGGTCCTTCTTGTGGGTTTCCCATGGGAATCACAGCTGGCCACTGTGAGAACAGGATGCTGGACCAGCCAGTCCTGCAAGCCAGGGCTCAGTGGCAGAGTCTTTGCTTTCCTTGCAGAAGGGCTTCAGCTGAAAGCCCAAATCCTGCTCTGGCTGATAGCAGTTCTGCAAGGTTGTTGGCAAAGGGTCCCCCCACCCGCCTGCTGCCGCCCATCACCTGTCACTTGTCCCTTTTAAGAGAGATGTCAGAGGAGTGAGCCTGGAACCATTTTGCATGCAAAGTGTGTTCTCCCTCCCACTCAGCTCCTGTGCCACTGAGCTCCATCCCTCCACAAGTGGGTTGTTGTTGTTTTGCACTCGTGCAGTGATTTTACTGATACGCGCTGGGTGGAGGGGAAGCTTGCCAAAAACGGCTGTGCTATTTATTTACTTAAGGCCATTTCTGCACCACTTACTACAGGGAAGTGCTAAGAGGCAAGGGGGCGTAAGGGGGGCGCTGGAGGTCACTGGATCAAGTTCATCAGTTTTGTTGAATTAGTTGAACTAAACAGTTTTAGTTGGATTCAGAATAAACGTGCAATTAATCATTACTGTTTTGAATTATATTGTGTTATTTTTCTTAGTGGATTGTGCAAACCACTGTTCTGAATAATGCTTTTTATAGGGCAGCGTAGGGCACTGGGGATGGGTTTATGGAGCCAAGGGGGCGGTGGCTGGAAAAAGTTTGGGAACCACTGCTCTAATAGCTGGCCTTAAAGCTTAGGGAAGGATGGAGAACCAGAAGTCTCTAGCTTCCACCAGCCAGTCCTATTTGGCATGGATTAAAGATGCAAGGAGTATTCACTCAGGAGGAATGAGCTTTCCTGGTTAAGTAAGGCGGCCTGGCATTTCCCCTGAGCCTGGCGTTCTTCCTAACTTTGACTACTGACCCTGCCTTTTCCCCCAGACTATGATGCTGTGCTGACCGAATCCGGAGACTATACTTCCAAGTTTTTCAAACTGCGTGAGCTTTTCACAGGCCTTGCAGGTAATTTTGGGAATGCCATGTGATTGTGGGTGGGAGGAGGCGCGCCGTCTCTGCTTCCTCTTAAGTGCCAGCCAGTGCCACAGGGATGGAGCTTGGAAATTGGCTCCCCGACATGTGTGTGCCAGTCTCCCGCTGCTCCCCATGTAGCTACATCCTGTCGATTAGCCAGGAGCACTTTCCGAAGCACGAGGAGAGACAAAGGGAGGGAGGAGCATCTTGTTATGGAAATGGCCCTTTCAGCCGACTTCATAGCAGCGGGGAGAGTGCGGCCGCTAATAGCAGCGCCTGCCTGCCAGGGGAACGTTCCACGCCAGGGAACTTAAATGCAAATTGGAAAGAGGGAAACTGTTCAAATATCCTCTCCCCCCCCCCCGTTTATTTTTGGGACTCCCGCCAGCAAGTTGATGTACCGCTCTTGAGGCTTGCCACGCTTCTGCTTGTACGGTGCCTAGAAAGCAGGGGTCCAAATGGTTTTCCACCTGTCCCACACTTTCTAAGCACGTGCCCGAGCGGTTTTCCCCTTGCCCTGCTCTTTTTCCAGGAGAAGTCCACTCTTTAGCTCTAAATCAGAGCAAAAGTCAATCTGGAGAAAACCCGAATTGCCATTTGCTCCGACTGAAACAGTGTGTTTTCCCCCTGGGGAAAGCAGCAGAACAAGAGGAAGTGTGGATAAGCCCTTCATTTCTCCACCACTCACAGTCCTGCATCAGGCATTGCCCTTGAATAGGCTGACTCAAGGCACAGTTGTGGGCAAAAGACAGCCTCTGAGACGGTACTGAGCCAAAAGTGCATATTTAACTAGATGTTAATTTTTGTGACTGTCTTCATTTTATTAAAATTGCCTCCTGTTTCTCGCATATATTTTCCCCTCCTTGTGAATGGAGGCTGTCTAGCACCTTTTGTTCCCTTGGCAGGGCTGCTGCTCCTGCTCCTGCTGTTGTTGCTGCTTCTTGGTGTTATTTTCATCTTTCAACAATTCCAACCTCAGTGTTCTCTGCCTCATTTGCCCTCACTGACCATTAATGCTTTTGATTGTGGTGACCCATGCGGTCTTTTGTCAGTGATGCCGAAACAACAGGTTCTGAGTCTGACATTAGGTTACCCCAGTTGCCCATAAACAAAACCATGTGGGGTCACCATAGCCTATTAGATTAAATCACAGTGAGGGCAAGTGAGGTCAGGGAGACTAAGGGCAATGAAGAAGAAGAATAGTGAGAAGACACAGTAAAAAAATGGAAACAAAGTGGAGTTGAACCACACTGGGAAATCACAAATGTTTGGGTTGGGGTTTTTCCCCCCAGGGTGGTGTTAGTTCAGGTGCGGAGAATATGCTAATTTCAAAGCCAATAGCAATTTGGGGCACTTGAGAAGTCACTTTTTTTTCTTTTTTAAAAAGATATGCCTCGTCCTCTACCTCCTATAATCTTAAACAAGGCATCGTATGGGGCGATCCTGATGCAGCAGTATATCTCCCTGTGGGAGGTGCTGCCATCTCTGGTAGAGGTATGTACTCATTTCTATTTTTATTTTTTTGGGGTGGGACCCCAGACTGCAGCCTATAAGAAGGAACGCCACATGAGCCCATGGCCACTTCTGGCTTTCAAGGCTAGTCTTGTCGCAAAACGTGCTGCGTATAGCTCAAATCAGTGTGGCAAAGACTTACTTCCCAACAAGAAGAGGCTTTGTGATGAGTTCCCAACATCCGTGCTTAAAGCTTGTCAACTGCAATATCTGTTGACTGCTTGCATGCAAATATAACATTTACGTGTCTCCAATATATACTAGACACTACAATTAGCAAGGCGTGAACATGCAGGTGTGAGCCAGTCCTAAAACCCCTTCATTGTTGGAACTGAGCCCTACCTTTCCACACACTTGGAACTAAGCACGCAAAAGCAGCGAAAGCTAATGGCTAGGGATGTTTCAAGTGTTTCCCTAACGGAATGGTCAAGAGCACGGTCAGGGTAAGCAGAGCTCTGTTTACAGCCTGCTGTAAGTGGGGCTGTGCTCTCCCTGATCCTGTGGCCCATTGCCCATCCCTTTCCCTGATTAAGGCTCCTCAGAAACGTAGCCATACTCAGTCAGTCCCCTTTTGGAGCATTTCCTCCCCAACAGGTACCGGGCTAGGACTTCTGGTCTCATCACCATCAGTGTGAAATGGCTTTTATTTATTTGCTTGTTTGTTTATTGAATTTATATTCTGCCCTATACCCGGAGGTCTCCGGGTAGCTCACAGAACAAAACCAGAATGCAAAATCACAAAATATATAATCAAAATAAAAACAACCCAATAACTGCCCCCCAACCACATTTTGAAAGGGCATAGGATGTCAATAAGATCAATCAAAGGCCTGGTTAAAAAGGAACATTTTTGCCTTGCGCAAATATGTATAATGAAGGCACCAGGCAAACTTCCCTGGGGAGAGCATTCCACAGACGAGCAGCCACTGCAGAGAAGGCCCGTTCTCGTGTTGCCACCCTCTGGACCTCTCATGTATGTCTGATTCACACTGGGAAGAAGGCCCCCAGCAATTCATTTTCCTGCTAAGGAATCTGGGACTTGTAGTCGCAGTCAAGTGAGGAAAGACTCTCTTCTGGAGAAATTGGCACCTCTGCATTCCCTTTGTCGCAATATAAGGGAGTTTAATCTGAGAAATATACGAATCAAGAAACCCAGATGAAATCTTATGGACTCAAGTTAAGATTCTGTCTGCTCACCCCAGGGTTGGGAGGGGGCTGTTCATAAAGCTGTTTTACTGTGCAGAGAGAGAGAGAGAGAGAACCATCGAACTGCATGGAACATATTCCTGAGTTAAGACACGCTTAGGATTTTGTTGAAAGTTTGCGATTTCTGCTTTGCAGCCCTTGAAATCCGAGCATCCCATTAACATGGAGAACCTCCCGGTGAACAATGGGAACGGTCAAGCTTTTGGATATATCCTGTACGAGACTGTCATACCTGGCGGAGGAGAGCTCCAATCACATGACCATGTCCGGGACAGAGCACAGGTGGAGATTGTAGTCGGGTTAAGTCAACAGCCTCTGCTGAGGGTCTGGGATGGGTGGGGAAGACGTTAATGTTACTTTAATTAACTGAGTGACCATAATGCAACCATGTAAATAAGAGCGTGAAAGTTAACTAGTGTGCAGAAAAATATATGGGTTGGAATAGGAAGGGTGGAGAACTCTGTCCCTCCTGCAGTGTCCAGTTTCATTTTTATTCTGGACGTAGAAGGGAGGGCTGTCCTCTTGACATCCTGCTTTGGTTTCTGTGCTGGGTACAGAAGAGGGTTTCAAGCAGGAAGTCTCTCTCAGCCCTACCTGGAGATACCAGGGATTGAACCTGGTGCCTTCTGCCTGCAGAGCAGATGTTGAGCCGAGCTACAGCCCTTCCCTATGCCTGCTGAGGGTGATGGAAGTTGGAATCCAACAACACCTTGGGGGCTGCAGCAGGTGAGCCACTCCTGGCTTAAGCACAAGGCTATTGTAAGGCTATTCTCAGAATGAAGACGTGTCAAATCCCTGATGTCTCACTAGCTTTCCACACACCACTCCCTCCCATTCTCTGTGAAACCTAAGTGTTTTTAGACATGTGCTTAAAGCTAGGGATGTTTCCAGGCTGCATCCATTTTGCGTGTGTGCCCATTCCGAAGTCTGTTATACTTCCCATTTTTGCATCAGTTTGTGATTTAAAAAGAAAAATCAGTAGGAAGACTTGTATCCACTTAAGCATTTAAATAGGCGTTTTATCTCAGAGTGTGCATTTCTAAACATATTTTATCCTAAAATAAGTATTTTTTAAAAATGCATTTTTGGGTACCTTTTACAGGCTGAGAACTGTCTTGTAAAGATTCAGAGAAGAGAGGGAGTCTCCCCATTTGGGGAATAGGCACAGAGATGGTGACTTTCATTGGTCCTCATCCCTGTGCTTTTGAAGATGGAGGAGCTACCAAGAGGGCCCCTTCTGCTGATATTTACACCCGAGAGGCTCTTTGGGGAAGAAGGTGGTCCTTAGGATACTTATTTTGTTACTGCATAGTGTACCTCAGATAAAAGCACCCGATGAAGTACCTTGGCAGCAGATTGTAACCCAGAGGGAGGTTTATATGGGAAGAGGCATAGCGTCAGGTATCAGCCACCCAAACATATCTGTTGATCCTGCATAATCTGGATTCTTTAATGAATGTGTTTTCCCCTATTCTTAAGTGCTGTTTAAATGATTATCATAATAAGCTTACAGTCAAAGCTTGGAAGAGACCCCAGCCATCCCTGTTGCCACTGGGCGAGGGGGAATTTCTGCTCCTCCCTCCAGCCCCTAAATCCCCTTCTAATCCTCTGGATTTTCACAACTGACAAATGAGGCTCTGGCTGTTTCTTTTCCCACAGGTGTTTCTTAATACTCTGCATATTGGCTACCTTGATTACGTCAAACACCAATTGTCAATTCCTGATGGGCAGGTAAGCAGTCGGAAGGATTAAGAGCGAGTTGCAGGCAACAAGTGCCATTTGTATCTCTTTCCCAGATGTTTTCTGGTGGGCGCCCTCGCACCGTTTTTTGCAGGTATGCCAGGCAAGTTGAATCCAACAAGTTGAATCTTAATTTCAACGGGTCTGCTCTCAGGGCTCATCCAAACTTCCTTTTGTGCTGCGTTTCTAGGCACAAGTCCAACCTTTAAAGCTCCATGTCTGAGCCGTTTGATTATTATTATTTTGTCCCAGCATTTAAAAAACCCATGTTTTCCCCCTGAATTGGAGCAAACCACAATCAGGTTTTACATGGATTGCCATTTCCTCCAAATCAGTGGTAAAACGTGAGTTTTCCTGGGAAAAGTGCCAGGACAAAAAAATCCCCTTGCTCGGACATGGAGTTTTATAGCGCCTGGAAAGATAGCACAATGGAAAAGGAAATCTGAATGAGCCCCAAGAGTAGATGCACTAAAGCGCACTCTCCAACAACAGTATTTAGGTTTGCAGGCTGAACCTGCAACTCCACTGGCTGAACTTTCCCTGTAGCCAATTAAAATTGCCCCCAGAGACGAATTAGCTAGAGGTTTTAATGATAAATCTACTGATTAAACCCACTGAAGCTTGCTGCCCGAGTGTTTAAGCATACATTGTCTGCTGCTGATTTTATTTCCCAAGTTTGAAGATAGATGTAATAGAAAAAGGAAGCTCCCAGTGTGATCCACAGCCTACTTTTGCAAGAGATGAAATGACCAGTGTGTTGATCCCTTCATTTGATTTTTCAAAAGCCCCAACCACCTGATAAGTGTTTTCTTTTGGGTTTTTTTAAGTACGAAACTGCTTCACAAGTAGGAGATTGCTGGAGATTTCTTGGTGACAAGCCAATAAGTGCTGCGCCAAAGCAGCTTCTGCTTTAACTTGCAACCTTTTAGAGCTCAGCCCTAGAGAGGAATAGGTGTGATAGGGTAAAGACAGATGGAGCATTTTTACCTACTCAGGGCAAAGACAGATGCAACGTTATTAGAGCAGTGAGGCTGCTCTGGAAATGCTGAGAGCAATCCAATATTAAATCTGTCTTCACCCTAAGAGGCAGAGCAAATTCTCTTCCTGCCCATATTTCTGCATTTCTCTGTATCTCCTTGTTCTTAGATTAGGAACTGTCCTTAATTGTTCCTTGCAGGGATACAGGCAACTCCGGCTCCTTGTTGAGAATCGTGGGCGAGTCAACTATGGGCGCAATCTGAACAACCAGCGGAAAGGTGGGCTGGGCTACTTCCCCCCTTGTTACATTAAGGCTAAAGAATCATGTTTTTAGCGGGTTGCTTCACCATTCTTTTTCCCCCCTTCATTCCGAAGATGCAATAAGCAGGACTCTATTTAATTATCTGCTTTTAAATATATATATGTATATATATATATATATACACCCCCCCCGGCAACTCCAAATTTTTGTGCCAACAGAAACTGAATTCTGTAACCTCTTTAGAGGAAATGAATAATTTATGCAAATCTTGCATAGTTGCTCTTACTTTGCATAATTTATTCTGCTTCTACTAGTTGCGGGGAACAGCAGGAAATATTTCAAAATCCTGCCCCAAGCCATTGATACCTTTATCTGTCTGGCTCCTGAGGTTTCAACAGGTGGTGCTCATGCACTTCTGAGTGTATCTTTGCAGTCAAAAGGACTAGAAACTTGCTTTTAAAAAGAAACTAAAATCCTTAGCAAGCTGGATTCTGTGCCAAATATGACATTGTGTGTTTTTTCTTTGTTCCCTGAGAATGCCAGCACATACTAGCCCTGTTTGTAATTATCTGAGAGTAAGGGAATCACTGGCTTGTGTGGTAGGCCACACTGGTTTACCGACAAAGAACTAAGACATAGGAGTTATGAGACTCACTGCCACAGTTGGTAGCAAGGGTTATGGAGGTTTTTTTTTGCCATTGATAGGTTTTTAAGCAGGGAAGTTTGATGAACAGGTTCTCTAGTAGTAGATTTCCTGCACTAACAGGGTGTTGGATTAGATTACCTTTGAGGAGTCTTCCAACTCCTGTGGATGTCTGTGCAATACAGAAAAAAAATAGCATTTAAAACAAATAATCTCCAAGGAAGCATACTCACCAAGTTGACCAAACACAACCCACAGCCGCCACAAAACTAGCAATAGAATTAACACCAAAACCAATTACTAAAGACCCATTAAACAGAGCCGACTTTGTTTGGAATCTAATGGTTAACAAATAAGGTGCCAGGCAGATCTTTCCTGGGAGGGGAGTTCTTTGACAAGGTTGTGCATAAATGGCCCATTGAAGGTATATTTCTTACCTGAACAATTGTGTGGCGTTTTGCCTGCTATTTATTTCAGAGCCATGTTAGTGCTTCCGAAGCTTTGATTTGGCAGGCATAACACACTTGCTCTTTCACTCCTTTGCTTTCATCACCTTAATGCTTGGTCAGTTGCAGCCAGCTACGGAAACTGATGCATGGGAGATAGGAGAATGGCCAGCCGCATGGAGCCTCTCGCTCGGGGAGTTTGGTACAGCTTGTGTTGCGGTGCCCAGTTTGGTGTGATCTAATGTGCCAGGTTGCTTGTGAGTCTTCTCGAGTGCATTTCTGGAATATCCTTCGCCCGAGTCTGCTTTGGGCACAGACACCCCCTGGCTGGCTGTCCTCTCTCTTTGCCTGCTTCTGTTGTGATCGTGTGGGGTTTGCTGTGGAGCAGGGAGCTGATATATGGCAGATCCATTCACACAGTGCTGTACATCATCAGCCAACTCTTCTGCAGCTTGAAAAGCAGGGGATTAGAGGATTTTTTGCCTCATTGCCACAGCCTTTTATGAGAAATCTTTTAATTTATTTATTCTCTTGAACTACATGCAGCCTACTTTCCCATTCTATTTGCACCCAAGCCCCTCACCCCTACCCTTTGTGGGAAGGTTTGTAGCTCTGGTTTGCATGCAGAAGGTCCCAGATTCATCCCCCAGCATCTCCAGGTAGGGGGAGAGAGACTTGTGTCTGACACCCTGGAGATCTGCTGCCCATCATTGTCAAGAAAACTAAGCTAGATAGGCAAAGGCAAAGCTAGATGGTATGAGGCAGCTTCCTAATGTCCTTTGTGTTCACCTCAGTTACTCCACACCTGCTCTCCTCCCTGGGATGCCTTCTTAACATATGTACCCTGTAGTCTGAAGACTCCTGGCAAGCATGCAATATCCTGAAATCAAGGTTCAAGTAGCTGCAGAACTAACTCCTCGCCGCAAAGGGGAATTTGGATATGTGTTTCTTGAGCAGCTGCCTCTCGCCCTCCCAGTGCTGCCTGGCAAACAGCTTTGGAAATGAAAACAGAGTATGTGTTTTGAGACGCGATGCAGCGATCTGCCAGTTAAAGTGTCAGGGGGCTGGATCAATAATCCCCGCTAGGTGTGTTCAACCCTTTGGGCTAAAGGAGCTCTTTGGATGGTAGCAGTGATTCAGCGACTGGAATCTGGGGAAGCCATTGCAACAAGTGCAATGATTTCTGCTGACACAGTGGAACTTCCCTTCTCTCTTCGATACCAGTAGGGGCCTTACGGGCCCTGATCTTCCTTCAGAGGACAGCTGCTGCTGAGCACAGCTTGCTCATTCCCTCTGCTTCCAGAGTTGATTCATCAGGCTCACTGCTCAGTTCGGCATTTACTCTTGTCTCTCTTGCAGGCTTAATTGGTGATATCTATCTCAACAAAACCGCCTTGAGGAACTTCAAGATTTACAGCCTGGACATGAAACCCAGCTTCATAGAAAGGTTTGTGCAGATACTCAACACCCGCATACCCCGTTGCCACTACTTGTTTCCCTCTTTCCCTTATTTACAGCAAATGCATTTGGCAGAGGGACAAGACCTAGTTAGCAACTCCACCTGCCAGGCACGGCGGCATCTGGTCCTGGAGTGAGCTGGCAAATCATGACCAGGTAGCTCACGAAAACACACAGAGCACTGCAGCAGCCCTTCCTTATCGATGCCTACATTTCAGGCCTCTTCCGATTTCTGCTCAATCCCAGCAGCTCAGCTTTGCTCAGTGGTCCCATCAAAACTGTTTGGATGGGTAAAACCAGGGACATAGTGCTGCTTGTGTGCGCATGTGAGCCAGGCATGGGCAGAGTGCACTCTCCCATAGGTGGGGGTGGAGCGTGCTTGCCCAATCCTCACCATTACAAGCAATAATAAAAACAAGTTAAATGATTACAACTTAAAAACAAAATTAAAAAATACAACATTAAAATATTGAAACATTAAAATATTAAAATGTAGCCTCATCGCAGAGGGAGAAGGAAAAGAAAAAAGAAAGAGAGGGAGGGAATCAAATTGGCTCCAAGCCAAAGGCCAGGCGGAACAACTCTGTCTTACAGGCCCTGCAGAAAGAAATCAGATCCTGCAGGGCCCTGGTCTCGTGAGGCAGAGCGTTCCACCAGACTGGAGCCAGAGTTGAAAAGGCCCTGGCTCTGGTTGAAGCCAATATAACTTCCTTAGGGCCTGGGACCACAAGGGTGTTGCTATTTATGGACCTTGAGGCTCTCCGTGGGGCATACCGGGAGAGGCGGTCCCGTAGGTACGAGGGTCCTAGGCCGTGAAGGGCTTTAAAGGTCAAAAGCAGCACCTTAAATCTGACCCTGTACTCCACTGGGAGCCAGTGCAGCTTGAAAAGCACTGGGTGAATATGCTCCCATGGCAGAGACCCCGTGAGGAGTCTCACTGCAGCATTCTGCACCCGCTGGAGTTTCTGGGACAGCTTCAAGGGCAGCCCCATGTGGAGCGAATTACAGTAGTCAAGCCTGGAGATGACCGTCGCATGGATCACTGTGGCCAGGTCGGGGCGGGAAAGGTAAGGGACCAACTGCTTGATGCGGCGAAGGTGGAAAAATGTCGCCTTGGCTGTTGCTGTAACTTGCGCCTCCATGGAAAGGGAGGCGTCAAGGATTACACCCAAACTCTTAACGGAAGGCAATGGCACTAATTGGGCCCCCGCAAGAGAAGGGAGTTGGTCCCTCATCCCCATGCCATCCTGACCCAGCCATAGGACCTCTGTCTTCGAAGGATTTAGTTTCAATCGGCTCCCACGAAACCATCCAGCCACAGCTTCCAAGCATCTGGTCAGTGTGTTCGGGGCCGAGTCGGTGTGGCCATCCATCAGCAGATAGAGCTGAGTGTCATCAGCATATTGGTGACAGCCCAGCCCAAAGCTCCGGATAATCTGGGCAAGGGGGCGCACAAAGATGTTAAAAAGCATCGGGGAGAGAATTGCGCCCTGCGGCACTCCACACACCAAGGAGTGGCACGGCGACATTTCCCTCCCTAGTGCCACCCTCTGTCCCCGACCAGAGATAAAAGAGCACAGCCAGTTACGGGCTATGCCCTGTATCCCCACGTCTGCGAGGCGGTGGTCCAGAAGATCATGATCAACCATGTCAAAGGCTGCTGACAAATCTAAAAGGATCACCAGTCCTGACCCGCCTCGATCCAGCTGTCTACGGAGATCGTCTGTTAGGGCAACCAGAGCTGTCTCGGTCCCAAAACCAGGACGGAAACCGGACTGAAATGGATCTAAAGCCGATGTTTCCTCCAGAAACCTACCAAGCTGTTCAGCAACCACTCTCTCAATTACCTTACCCAGATATGGAAGATTTGAAACAGGGCGGTAATTGGATAGGTCTAAGGGATCTAATGAAGTTTTCTTTAAGAGTGGACATACCACTGCTTCCTTCAGTCTCCCTGGGAATGTCCCTGTGTCAAGGGACAAATTGATAATTTCAACCAGGGGGGTCCGCGCAACATCTGGACACTCCCTAATCAGCCAAGATGGGCACGGATCAAGGAGGCAGGTGGTGGGCCTACTAACTTGGAGGAATCTATCCACATCAGCAGGGAGTATTCGATCGAAATGGTCCAACACTGGACCTGAAGTCAGTCGAGGGGCCTCCAGTTCAGTCACTGTATCTAAATTGGCAGGGAGGTCACGGCGGAGCAACAGGACTTTCTCCGCAAAAAAGCTCGCGAATGCCTCACAGCTGTGGGTCGAATTTGTGCTTAAATTTGGTTGTCCTCCTAAGGACGTTATTGATCTAATTATTCTAAAAAGTTGTGCCGGGCGAGAGCTAGCGGATGCAGTGGAAGCTGCAAAGTAAGATTTCTTAGCAGCTTTCATAGCCATCTCATAGGCTTTCATAAGCGTCCTATAAGATGTTCTTGAGGCTCCATCACGAGTCTGTCGCCATACTCGCTCTATCCGTCCGAGATCCCGCTTCATTTTCCGGAGCTCCTCAGTAAACCAAGGGGCCCGGTTTCGACGGGGTCACAGAGGGCGCTTAGGCGCGATCTCATCAATGGCTGCCAAGAGCCGGTTATTCCAGTCCTCAACAAGGTCATCTAATGAGTCGCCAGGAGGAGCAGGGTCCCGCAAGGCTTGTCGGAATCTATCAGGATCCATCAGTTTTCGCGGACGAGCCCAAATAGGTTCGCCACCCGAGCAGGGGAGGAGCGGGAAGTCAATCTTGGCTTTCAGAGCATAGTGATCAGACCATGGCACTTCCACAGGGGGGAGCATGATCACATCTATGCCAGCCCCAAAGATCAGATCCAGCGTGTGGCCTGCTTGATGAGTGGGGCCCAAAACAAACTGGGAGAGCCCTAGTGTTGCCATGGAAGACACCAGGTCCAGAGCCTGTGAGGAGGGAGTGGCATCAGCATGGATGTTGAAGTCCCCCAATACCAATAGGTTAGGGAACTCCAAGTCCCAGCCTGCCACCACCTCCAGCAGGTCTGACAGGGTGGCTGCCGGTGTGCTGGGTGGTCGGTACACCAGCCAGACAGCCAAGCTCTCCTTGGTGCCCCACAGGAGACCAACACATTCAATGCCGGAGATCGCTGGTGATGGCAGGGCTCTGAAAGAGCAATCCTCCCGGATTAACAACGCTACTCCTCCCCCCCAACCCACAGACCGCGATTGATGGAGGACAGAGAAACCTGGTGGTGTTATCTCATGTAGGGAGACTACTTCGCCTTCCCGTACCCAGGTCTCCGTCACGCAAGCCAGGTCAATCCCCTGCGAGACAAAAAAGTCACGCATGGTGGCGGTTTTGTTGCCTATGGACCTGGCATTGCACAGCACTAATGACGGAGGTGGGTAATCCTTGCTCTCCCTACCCTCATCCCTTGGGATGGGGCGTAGATTGGAAGGGGTTCGAGGATCACTGCATCTCGAAACCCTTCGCCGATAGAGATTTCTAGCCCCACTGCCATTCCTCCCTAGCCCTTCAATAGTGGAAATCCCAGACCCCATACTAGCCTCCCCAATAGAGGGGTAACATCCCCTCAATAACAAATCATCCTTGGGCCAGGACTCCTGGGTCAAAATGGTATGGGGAAGAGGTGGAGGTTTGATAGGGTAAGTATCCCTTGAAGATAAAACCCAACCAACCGCACCCCAAGTGGGGAGGACAGTCTCATGGTGTTTCGTTAACTGTCAACCCCCCTCTCCCTCCTGGGTTGATTGGAGGATTGTTGGTTCTATCTGTGGCTGTGGGAGTATTAATGAGGTATGTGCTATAAAATGTGGATCACTGGCTAACAAAGAGCCAGCTTCGAATACGGAAGATCTGTCCATCCTGTCTCGCCAGGAGTACAGTAGAGAAGGTTGATCATTCTGATAAGTTTTTGGAACATTAGGCAAAGGTCCAGATGTAGATTTAGTGCTGGATATCTCTAGATTGTCAGCAACATAGAGTTCTTTAGGTGTTGTTGCCATAGAAATGTCGGAGGCGCCAAATTCCTCATCTAATTCGGTAGTAATGGCACAGGCAGCGGCCAGCAAAGCTGGGCAACAGCAAATCCTTTTCTGTCACTAGGCTTCCTCTCTCAAACTTTCTGCCTTCCAGATAGTTTGGACTACAGCTCCCATCAGTGCCCCCCCCCCGCCAAATTCTGCCACTAAACCACCTATTCCATTTTTTTAAAAGTGTGATCCCAGGTCAAAGCACATTTTGCTTTTGTTTTGTAAATGCAGCTGGTTTCTTGGCTAAAATCCGAGGGTTGTTTTGGTTGGGAGGGTCTTCCATTTCTTTTTTGACCCTAAGGAACTTTGGCGACTGAGTCACAAAGCTCTCCAGAAAGAGATTGTTTCCCTTGCCAGGTTGCAGGTGGTTTAGCTGCACCTCTCTCTTCTTTTTTTCTGCTGTGAAGGCGCTTGCATTTCCAGGGCCAGCTCCACCAGCCTCCTCTCCCCGATAGAGTCATTTGCAGTTACAGGTGTTGACTCTTCGGAAAGGATAAAAAGAAGGTGGAAATCTCTTTGTGGGGTGACAGAGCGCGCAGCACTGAACCGTGGTTGTCCTGAGCTTAGCTCAAATAATGCCACCGCTGTTCCTGTGACTGTTTCAGGCCAGTAATTTCCACCGAATCAAAAGGGGCTTATCATCCCACGCAGACTGATAGCATCCTCTAGAGAGACTTTGTGACCGTTTATTGTTTCTGAAAATCAGTTGCTGGAAGCCACAGGAGGGCAGAGGGCCCTTGTACTCAGATCTGGTTTGTGGGTTTTCCGCAGCCATTTGGGTGGCCACTATGAGAACAGGGTGCTGGACTAGATGGGCCATTGGCCTGATCCAACAGGCTCTTCTTGTGTTCTTCTTGCATTCCCTTTCTAGTCTTCTTTGATCCTGCTTTTTCTGGGGAGTCCTGCCTTGTGCACAATCCATGGCACCTAGGGCAACGTATGCAGCAAGCAGGATCAAGTGGTGAGACTTTTCCCAGATTCTGGCATTTTGGGAAGGAAGGAATGCATGCCTGAATAAAGCTCGCTGTGTGCAGAAAAGCAGGCATTAAACAGGAAGAATTCAGGCTAGTTGACTCTTTGCTGTACTTAATTTCTATGGACAGGAGCAGAGGCGTAGCGGGTGGGGGCCGTGGCCCCGGGCACAATTTTGAGAGGGGGTGCAAACAGGCGCCCCCACAGCAGGCTCCTTCATTGGAGCCTGGCTCCACATCAGAAAGAGCTGTGCCTTGGGAGCGGCAGAGAGCAGCCCTCCTCGGCTGCAGCGGCTCCATCACCAGGTCAGGTCTGACCCAGCGGCGGAGAGCAGGAGAGTTTGCAATGCTGCTGCCCACCCTCCTTGGCTGCGAGGCGCCTCGCCCCCGGCCACAGAAGCTCTGCCTCTGCCACCGGCTCAGGCCTGCCCTGGTGGCAGAAAGCAGGGACCTTTATTGATATTTTAAATGTTTTATTGCACACAGAGTATATCCTTACCACTGTTGTATTGCATACAACACAACAGTGTGTATTGCTTAGTACGTACAGGCTTTACCTTGCTGCCTGGGGCTGGTGAGAGTTGTCGTTCACAGCATTTGGAGGGCACCAGGTGGGCAAAACCTGGCTTAGCAGATAAAAATAAAACATCATTGTTTTAAAACACACACACACACACACACACACACACACACCCCTGGTCCTTAGAGAGTTGCACAGGATCAATGTTGAATGTTCTTCCCGGAAAATAGCTCTTACTCAGAGAAGTCCCACCCACCCACGCAGCATGTGTGGATCATCCTGAACAGAACTCAGGCCCCAGTCAATTTTCTTCTCTCCAGAACTATGCTAGATGATCCATTAGCCATTTAAAACCTGCTTGCTTTGCGGACGTATAGGGCAGAGGAGCAATCCCGCTGAGCCAGCGATCTCACCTCTCACAGAGCATCTCCCAGTTTGCTGCCGCCGCCGACTTAGCACATCTGAAAAAAGCCCCTTTATTGGATTAGGGCCCTGGAGTTTGTTACAGCGCTGTCGCCTCCGGGCATGTAAAAGGGGCCTTTTAATAAGAAAATATACACAGCCCCGGGGAGCTGGAAGGGATTAGATGGAATGCGAACTGGCATTCCCCGTCTCTCCGTAGACGTGCAGTCATCTCGCCTGCCGTCCTTGAGGTTGGGGTTCCTGGTTGGTGAGAAAAGGGAGGTGGAGTTGCCTATCTTGAAAGACTGCTCATCTCATCTCTTGAGCGGTCACACTGGGGCTGCTCTTGATAGCAAGGTGGCAACCTGGAGGTGTGAGCCGGAGGGAATCAGAAATGGGAAAGGTAAAGAGAAAAAACAAAACCAAACCGGTGAGGGTTTGCTTGTCGCAGGATATACGAATCAGCTGAATATTCCTTGTGCAAGGAGGGATGCAGGCGATCATTTTTCATAGCTGTCCTGCTCTGCCAATGCAACAGTGCCTAGAAACCCTAACACGGCTAGATGAGGGCTGAAAGCTGCTGCCTACCTTGGAGGCAGGTGGTGGGGAGTTGCCGCATCATGGAAATGCCAGTTGTTGAAGCCTTCTCCGAAAACTCCCCCCTCCTGCAGCTCTTACTCAGCAATTAGCCCTCACTGCAACAGAAGGAGCAAATGGAACCTGCGGCAGGATGTTGTGGTGTGTTCCAGCCAGCTTTCGAACAGGAGCCTTTTCATCCTACACACACACATGATCTCCATTCTTGGAGACTTTTTCTGGCTATGATGGCGTTGGTGTTATTTACTAATTTAATAGTTGCTGGTTTTTGCCACAGCAGCTCAAAGTGATTTACAATATCTTAAGCAAAAACAAACAAACACAAACATATGTTAAAACCAGCATCAAGAAAACCCTGTATTAAAGCATCGCACCCACACAAAACGGCCACAGATAGTTAAAAGCCAACGGCCTGGTTAAAAGGAATGTTTCTGCCTGGCACTTAAAGATATGTAATGATGGTGCCAGGCAAGCCTCCTGAGGAGAGCATTCCAGAAGCAAGGAGCCACCACTGAAAAGGCCTAGCCTCATGTTCTCACCCTACAGACTTCTACAGATGGGGCACACAAAGAAGGGCCCCAGGTGACGATTGCAGGGTCCAGGTTGCTTGATATGGGGAAAGGTGATTACCTTGAGGTATTGGTTTTTAAAGGGTTAAATGACAGGTGATGGGAAAGGCATGTACCTAAATCCTGGGGTGCTGCTGCAAGTCATAGTGGGCAAGACTGGGCTATATGGAAACATACTTTGACTTGGTATAATAAGAAGGTATCTTTATGTTGCTATAATCCTTGAGGGCTCATGTTTGACACTGTCCGCCTTGAATGTGAGCATTTTATATCAGTTGTGGTTGAGGTCCCTTTTCCATTCTGCCCTCCTGAAATTTCCTCATATAGTACAAGGAAGAGCAATTTTAACTTTTGAGAACACATCACCCCCCCAATTCTTGCTCCCCCAGATACTTAGCATAAGCTCTTGGGGGCTTGAGCCAAATTCTGTTTTTTTTGCTGCTGTGAGCCAAATGAGAGCCAGTTCACATAACTGTGGAAAAGTTGATATTCTGTGACTTCCTTTTAGTGTGCTGGGGGGTGACTGGGGTAGGGTGAAGAAGAGGATGTTTGTGACCTTTGATGTGTGGCTGGATCTCAGATTCCCAAAGTGGACTTGAACCAGGATGCAGCCTCAAAGCATTCACAAGGCAAAATTGCCAACCAGTAAGGCTCTCCCGGCATAAAAACTGGTCCCCAAAATTCTCTATCCTGGGATGCAGCTTCTTCTTTTCTTATCGTCATCTGCTTTCTCCCCGCAGCCTACGTGGGACCACTCCTTGGAGCGCCGTCCCTGACAGCGCAATGGGCCCAGCGTTCTTCCGAGGGACCCTTCAGGTGCAACATATGCCTCAGGACACTTTCTTGAAGCTAGAGGTGAGTTGCTGGATCAGAGGCCTTAAGAAGAGATGCTGGAGAGAAGGGCCTTTGTTGATGAGCCGTTGGGCTTCTTTTTAGACAACAGGGTCCTTGGCAGCAAGAATTGTGTATCCGCTACAGCTAGAGGTGTGCAGAATCTGTTCCTTTATGCCTGCGTGTTTTCGCCTTCCACACTATCATCGTATTGTTGGAAATCTATGCATTTTTTGTGATGCACATCCAAGCCATTGCTGTGCACTGATTAGAACATTATTAGCTGCAGCTGGTTGGATTGTACACCGTGAGCCTCATTCAGAGGAACAGACAACTGAATTTGTTGTGCATTCCACATGAAATCATCTTGTGAGACGTTCTCACCACCTTTTTTTGAGGGATGTGGGAGTGAGGTGCAGGGAGAATCTAGTACAGTAGTACCTCAGGTTAAGTACTTAATTCGTTCTGGAGGTCTGTTCTTAACCTGAAACTGTTCTTAACCTGAAGCACCACTTTAGCTAATGGGGCCTCCTGCTGCCGCCACGCCGCTGGAGCACAATTTCTGTTCTTGTCCTGAAGCAAAGTTCTTAACCTGAAGCACTATTTCTGGGTTGGTGGAGTCTGTAACCTGAAGCATATGTGACCTGAAGCGTATGTAACCTGAGGTACCACTGTATTCACATTCTAAACTCCTTAAGTTGATATTTTTGCTCTACAGTATACTTAACAGAAAATTGATCTAGGTTTGATTTGATGATAAATCTTCTAAAAGCTTCCACTTTTCTAGGACAGTTTCTGAAACATGTAAATGCATTTTTATTTATTCTTGCAGCGGGAATAGGAAAGTGTGGCACCAGTCATGCCCCAAGTGCTCTTGGTGCTTAGCTGAGTAGGCACCCTTATAACTATTTCCTTTTTCCTTTTTCACTTACTTACTGCATTAATATCCCACCTTTCTCTCATGGAGCTCAAGGTGGCATACAGGACTCTCCCCATCCTCATTTACTACCCACAACAGCCCTGTGAGGTAGGTTAGGCTGAGAAGCAATGACTGGCCACCCAGTGAGCTTTGTGGCTTAGTGGGGATTTGAACCCTGGTCTCCCGGGTGCTAGTCTGATTCCCTAACCACTGCACCACATTGGCTCTTTTATGGCAGCATCAAGTTTGGAGAAGGAGGTGGTGAAAGTTTTCTGCCATTTCCCCATATTTGCCTAGGCCATCTGTAGAAATGTTAGCTGCATTCTAGAATGTCCACATATTCTGTTACTGCACTCCTGACCCATCTCTGTTTCCTAGGGTTGGAGCAAAGGTGTCGTCTTTGTCAATGGGCAGAACCTTGGTCGCTACTGGAAAATTGGTCCTCAAGGGACACTCTACCTCCCAGCCACATGGCTCCAGCAAGGGCACAATGAGGTGAGTTGCCCGACTGGTGCCCACAAAGCCTGTAATAACCTACCTTGGCAAATACCAGGGGTAGGTCAAACGCCTTGCCCTCCAGATGATATTGGACTGCAGCTCATATCAGCCCTACCAAAATGGCTGATGGTCAGGTATCATGTATTTGTTTAGCAATATTTTGTATACTGCTTAATCGAAAAGTATCTCTAGTATAGAATATATTCATTAAAAACAGCAACGAAAGCAGGACTTTAAAACTCGTGGATATAGTCATAGTGATCAAAGTGCAGATAAAATAAAAACAGTTTTAAAGGGGAAGTGTGCATGATAAAAAACAGCTCCGAGTTAAGCTCACATTTTAAAAAATATATCTATGGCATGTGATTAGCATTTGCGCAAAAGGTTGATCCTTCGTTGCTGAAGCAGCAGAGGAGCATGGAAGGCTAGGAGTGGACTCTTAATTAGGGAAGAATTATGAACTCTCTTAGTTCATGTGGTTGTTTATGTTTTATGCTTCTGGGTGTAAATCTGAGAAATGTGCCCTATAACAAAAGGATGTGTACGAACAACACAAAAGAAAGCTGGTTTCTTTTACTGCATTTATATCCCACACTCCCTGCAAGGAGCTCAAGGTGGTACACATGGTTCTCCCTCCTCCGTTATTTGTCCTCACATCAACCCTTTGAGGGAAGTTAAGCTGCAAGACTATGACTACGGTCCCTCAGTGAGTTTAATGGTGGAGTGAAGTTTTGAACCCAGGTTTCAGAGCCTAGGCACCTGAATTAGATCTGCAGAAGTACTTTTTCCTTATGTGTGATCAATGCCGTAGAGAAGCCAATTCCCTCCAGGTTTATTGCTTCCAGGGCATGCATAGAGTTTGCAAGGAATGATGGGAGGAGGAGAACGCTGGCCTGTCCACCCTTCACCATGACTTCACTGTCCCTGAGGAAAATGTGGGGAATGTGCTTGTGAAAGTTTAGAAGTACATGAACCACATGGAAGTATTCTAGCTCTTGCTGATCCCAGCAGATACGCCTTTCATTTGTCAGATGCCAATGACAACAACTAGTACTTTGTATGAATGCAGAGTCAAGAGTATTCCGTTACTTGTGTCAAACTGTTCCTTTTCTTTCCATTTCCTTCTCAGATCATTATTTTTGAAGAGCGTGCTGCAGGGCGAATCATCCAGTCCACGGACTTGCCTTTCCTCGGACGGAGCCAGTATGTGGGCTGAACCAGGACAGGGGGTGGGGGGCTTATCCCTGACTGCTTCACCCCCCACCCCAGCTGGTTCATTTGAGGGCATGCGTCTGAAATGGATTTGTGGGAGGGAGGCAGGGAGGGCTTGGATGCAGGGAAGGCTCCACTTCTTCCTCCAAATCCTTGTGAAAGGTGTGCCCCCCCGTCTCCATCGATGAATTTCCAGGGCGTGGGTGGAGTCTGGTTGCTGAATGCTCACACTGTCGATGAATTTAAGAGGCTGGCTTCAAACACTGGAAGCAGGGAGAAAATCCAACGTATCTAGGAGTCCTTCCCTAGAGGAGTTCAGCTCTGCTGCTGGTTCTCTTGCCCTGGCTGGAACAAAAAATGCGGAGAATCTCTCTGCGGGATCAGTGTGCAAGGCCCGTCAAGGATCCACTGGATTCAAGACGCTGATCCACAAACTATTCGGCTTGAGTTGGACATCTTTTTGTTCTCTTGGACACCTGCAAGTAGCCGACCTCTCCGCTCGTCTGCTGGGATTTTCAGACAATTGAAGACCTCCTTACTGTGAAGAAAAGGGAATCTTTTTATTACTATTCCATTTTTAGTCTCCCAGTGTGGTCGTTTGGCTGGGTAGGATGGCGCTGTTCACAATTTTTGCATTAGTCTAAGAGTTCCAGCCAAGGCATCTTTTCTTGTTAACCCGAAAGGCACCCGACTAGTTGCTTTCAGTTTGGTCCTTTAAATGCCAGCCATGGGTGGGGAGTCCCGTGAAAGCCATATTGAAGTGGGTGAAGGTTCCACATTCGCAGCATGCCATGAACTTGCATGCTTTCAGTTGCAGTTCGAACAAGAGGGTGCCAAGAACTCTTGCCGCTGGGGACATGGAGCACCTAACACTATTGCTGTAACTCCAGGGGCCCCTGCCTAGGTGGATCCCTGCCATTGCACTGAGAACCTCCACAGCCCTGCGACAAATTCCTGCAGCCACTGACAAGCATGGATGTGGGTGGGCTTTTCCCCATGCCCCCAGTTGCTGGCGTCCCTTAGAAACACAGCACCGAGTCATTGCCATGGGGCACCCCCCTCACAATGGTGAATGTAACGCAATTGGCAGATCTTGAAGAGCCCCAAAAGGAGACTGAGGAAAAGAGGAGGGGGATGTTTTAGCAAAGAGATGCACTCAGTAAAATCAAAGTCCGCACATATAGTCTTGGGAACTAGTGCAGCGATCCTGTAGTTTTAGCATTCTGCGGGTGGGATTTATATCAACTGTTGCTCTCTCTTTAGGCGGCTGTGGGAAACTTTAAGAGCCCATCTACACACTTCGCCAAACGGTGGTGGTGGAGACTGTACCACTTCAGAATTCAGGGGTCTGTGTGTGCGTGCCATATTTTTTGAACAATCTCCCTGCATGTGGTAAACATGGGCAGCTGGGAGTAGCTAGCTTAACCATTCTCTCTTTACCATATCGCAGACATTTGCCACGCAGGGAAGCCTTCTGAAATATCAACCACCACCACCCTAGACACAGGATGGAGTGGTGCAGCCTGGAATTATACTACCTTGGATGGTTGGGGAGAATCTGCGGTCCACCAGACATGGCTGGACTACAGTTCCCATCATCCCTTGCCACAGGGGCCGGTTGGGAGCTCAGCAACGTGCAGAAGGCCGCAGCTTCCCCATCCCTGTTGCAGTGCAGAAGCTGCAAACAGGGCTGCTTTCTGCATAGTCCTCAGGGTTGTCTCCTGCATCATAAGAGTCAGAGCCTGTGTTTCTCTGCAACCAGAATACCTCTCTGGCTCCTGTTGGCACCAGTGTGCGGCTCTAGCAGCACTGGACATCTGGAGAGTCAACTTGAAAGAGCGGGTGCTTCATCTTTGCAGCACAGTGCCCCCCCCTTGTTTCCAGATGTTTAGCTTGAGAAGGCAATGCAAGGGAGAGGCGGACTGCATTTGCAGCCGGGACACCTGGCATTTTTGCATTTTGTAGCTGGAACACTGGCCTTAAAAAAGGGAAGACTCTGAAAAGGTGTAATGCTTCATCCACACTCTTTTTTGGAGGCCTGCTTCTCTCCCCACCCTTTTCAAAAACCGCCCCAAAGCTTCTCAGTTTCATCTTTCATGGTTCATAATCAAACACTGCAGCAACCGCAACCAGGAACCCGTATTAGTGACCGTTTGGGGAGTATTCCCTTCTGCTCGGATGACATCTCTTGCTGGTAGCTTGCAACAGACTGCATTTTCCAAGCTGCCTCTCCCCTGCTCCAAATTGGAAAAAAAAGAGGAGGGAATTTGGCACCCAACCTCCCAGATGCTGCTTAAGAAAAAATGGGATTTGGCACCCGGTCTCCCAGCTGCTGGTTGGGTCAGGCCATTTCAGGAAGCCATTTAACCACAGCCCCCTGGCTCCGCTTCCCTTCCTAAGCATTGCCTCCCCAGCGACCGCAGGCGTGAGAGATTTCAAGGGGCTTCTGGCTGTTAAAAACCATATTTAATTTTATTTAAGAAATTAAATACAGTTGGATTAAAATTTGAACAGACAGTGCACCTGTAAAAAAAAAGAAAAGAAAAAAAGAAGAAGAACAAAACCAAACCCAGCATCCTCCATCTGGACCTCTTGCTGCTCACTCAAAGCACCAGCCACCATCCCAGCTCTCAGAGCCAACGTGCCCCTGTTTTTGCATCCGTGTCCAAGGCCCGAGCCCCCGCTGTCAACAAAGAGCAACTTTGCAAGAAACAAGCAAAAAGGATGGGAGTTCCTTGGGATGCATCCTGTTGATTCCTTTATTTATTTTCTCCATGATTTGCTGCAGCCTGGCAGGGTTATTGTTTTGCCGTAAATAAAACAGACACATGCAAATAGGAGAGGACAGCCATTGGAAACAACTCCTGCGTTGTAAAATCTAAAATCTGGTGGGGGTTTTTTTTTTAAAAAAAATTAAGCAAAATGCCTCTCAATTCCTCCCCACCCACCTTTTGTAAGCTAGATCTGGGCTGTGTTTTAATTTTATGAAGGCTAGGGGCTCCTCGTCGCAGAGGGGAAGCCTACATGAGCAGTTCTGCTGGACGTTCAGATTTCGCAACTGTTGAGTTCTGGATTTTAGTAAAATAAAATTTTTTAAAAGGCAGAGTTTTTCATAGTTGGAAACAAAAGAGCCTTCTTGGTTTAAAGGCTTGTTTGTTGTTTCACCCCCCCCCCAGTTGATTGTTTTTGATAAATAGTGCCATAAATGGAAAAAAACACCCTAAACTTGCCTTTTCATTTATTATTATTTTAAATATAAGGAACTGTATAGAGATCTGTCATTAGTCCAAAGAGCGGTTTGATTCCACATTGTCTATGCATCTTAGCTAATTAGGGTTAAGGGTTTTAAAAAGTGCATTTTCCTGTACAGTGTTATTTTCCTTTAGGTGGCAGAGATACCATTGTGCTTTTGAAATAGATCAAATACCATCACAAAATATCATTTTGATATTTTTTTTTAAAAAAAAAGGAAAGTGAAGAGACAGCGAGGGCACCTTGTATGTGAATGTATTTATGAAGAAAATTGGAAGGGGCAGGCAGAATGGGTGGATCTTTCTTTGGTCTTTTACATTTTCAGGGGATTAACACAGTCTGTATCCACAGGGCAATGCATTTCAGCCACAGATAACTTTCCATACAGTCCCTCCTACTCTCATCACCCAACTCTTCCCCACCCCATAGTATGGATGGCTATTTGACCATCCATAAATAGGGCTACACCGAGTCATGGGAATCTGCCTCTGTAATTCAGGAAGTGGAACTCTTAGCACCAATACGAACTGCCTGTAGACCATTTGGTCAAGTTGTTCCTGGACTGTGCCACTTTAGAAAGCAGGTGCAGAAATCTGGTTGTCGTTCCCACATAACAGCCATACAGATATTCCCCAAATACACTCCACGTAGAAAACCAGATGTTCAGGAAGAAGCCAGTTTTCTTTGCGCAGGGGTTTTGTGTGTGTTTGGTGGCTGAGCCCTACCTCATTTTCAATTTGACATGGTCTATAGTCCAGGGCCATGGGCTCTGCTGTGTTTGGAGTCCAGCACTCGCTGCTGATCTTTGGCCAATGCAGGAGCAATGTTGAACTGGCTTCATCTGAGCAGATTCAAAGAGAGGCATAGTCAGAGGATAAACCTGTTGTGTTCCCCCCACTTTTTATGACTTGTTTCTCTCGAAAAGCAATAGTTGCACATAAGTAAAAACTTGCATTTTATTTGCTCCCCAAATCAGCCCACCACCCCAGTGCAGATCAGAACACCCCTGACTTGTCAGTACATTTCCATGATTCTTGATTCACTCTGACCTTGTGACACTGGCTCCAACAGGCAGAATAAAGAGACCCAAGGAACAAAAAAACCTGCCACTCATTTCTCACATTAATTGTTTGAGGATTCTGCTGGCCTTTGCGGCATGAAATTTAGAAACAAATTAAGAAAGGTAATTGTTTTTCGGTAGACCAACCAGCTGATCTGTCTTAAAAATAAAGCGCCGTACTTCTAACTCTCATTGTATGAGATAGGCAAAGGAACACCTATCTCCACTGAGATTTGGCCAACTTTCCTTCATATAAGGGCCACACAGAAATGTATCCTGCTTAAGCAAAAGCAAGACTGTGCTGCAAAAATGCCCATTTTTGAACAATGGTAACAAGTACGTTTTGAAATGGAGTGGTCTACATTAGTGCCACAGGGCACCACAGTCTGATGTTTGTTCTTGCCTATTTCCAGAGCATTTAAAAAATGCTTTGATCTATGGAACTCTGTACTGTAGCACTTCAGTATAGAAGTATGTTGGTATGGTTGAGCAGTCCTCTACATAATACTGTCCCCGCATGTAGGACATTAAACACATGAGATAAAAATTCAGTGTTGCCGACTCCCCAATGTGCCAGCTTGCCAAATGCAGGGAGGTTTTTGTTTTGTATTGTTTTGTTTAGGGTCCCACACCTCTAAATCTGAAGTGGTACAGACCTAAGTTGGCTTGCCTTGAAAGGTGTTTGCACCAATCCACCACCACAAAACATGCATATTTGCATTGAAGTTGTCAGGATTAACAAACTAAATATTTGCCATTGGCCTGTGTCTTCCTGGCCCTCATTTGCCTTTTGACTTGATGACCAACATATACAGGCCAGAAATCCAGCGGCAAGTTGGTCCAAAGGGTTATGTGATCATTGTGCAATGCCCAGAACATAAATACAGGTTTCCTTTTGTCTAATCAAATGAGGGGTGAGCTGAAATAGCCTCCCCAATCTGCCACCCCTGTTCACAAGGTCAGCCAGTTCAGTGGTTTTCAAAGCATCACACATGGCTTTGGGCAGCATTGACGGATGCCCATTGAGACAGGGAGGACAGCAGGGAGGCCAGCAATAAGTGGAGCCAGAGTCATTGTCAGGCAGAGCCCTCCCCCCTTCGGCTGCCTGTGGGCAGACATGTTGGTAGGACAGTGACTCATTTCTCCAAATGGAGTAGCTTCAACTTCACAAAGTTGGAAAACAGACTGGAGGATGCACCCAAAATCAGTGCCATTATGTTCTGAAGACCCTTGGCAAGAAACTAGTGATATGAAGAAACCTTCTCCATTTTTCTCTCTACACCCTAGAAAGTTACAAGCAGGATCAAAACTATTTTCAGCCCATTGCTGGGAAATATCTTCTACTGTACGGTTTGTTGCTGGGGACGTGGTGGTGGTGATCAGCTCACAAGCCTTATCCTAACCCGCTTGAGGTTGACACGAATATGGGGAAAACTTGATGCCTTGAGCGATGTGTGCAGTGAGATAGACCCAGCTTAGAAGGGTCAGGCAAATGATCCACAAAGGAAGTCTGTCAGAGATGCCTTGATCTAGGTCAGTGGTTTCCAATTAGGGGCTCAGGGGTCCATGGAACGCACCCAGGGGGTCCGTGGCCGCGGCCTCATCCCTTGCCCCCCTCAACTAAATTTATGTTGTTTTTGCATGGCAATACCACAAATTTTATGGTCTGTTTTAGAGCCGTGGGATTTTTCAATATATTGGCCAAAATCCATTTTGAAATAACACCGCGGTAACAATTTTCGCCCGGAAATATGCAGGAATATATCACTCCTCGCGTTAGGGAGAGCAGGGCAACCAACTTCAAAGCACTGCCAATATCGCACAATGATCTCAGCTGATAACACTGCTGATCTGAGCTGCCTTCCCTCACACTGAGGGAAAACGGGGCAGTGGATTGCGAGGCGCTGCTTTCCCCATATGTTTACCGGACAGCTGCTCACCCTCCCTTCAAGGCACCGTGGCACTACCTTCCCCTGGCAATTAGGTGGAGCAGCTTTTCTCAGTCAGCAGGAAAACAGCAGCAGCCACAGTGGATGTGCATCTTCGCTGGTGCCACTGCTGGTGCCACCCCCATCCTCAATCCCTCCCCCCAAGCCATGTGGTAGAGGTGACTCTGCTTCCTCTCCTCCCCCCATCTGATCTCTGTGACTGCTCCTTCCCTCATCCCCATGCCTGATCTCCAATTTCAGATATCATGATATATCAGAATATTGCAATGCTTAGCTGCTGATATATTACAACGTTGAAAAACGGATATCTCTTAGCTCTAGCGTGTTTCTTAGTATAACTAAAATCCTCTGCACATTTTGTTCAAGAAATTGCTTTGGAGAAGTAACTACCACAGAGTTATCAAAATTTTCAAAAGTAGGGGGTCCATGGCTTGGCTTTTGAAAAATAAGGGGTCCTCAGTAATTAGCTAATTGGGAAGCACTGATCTAGGTTGTGTAGCATTAGCCAGGACTGGGGGCGGGGGGCGGGGGGCGAGGACACAACCTCTTCAGTCCTCTTGGAGCAGGGGAGAGAGGTACGAATTGCAGGAAAGGGGCCCAGATGGTTATTTGCTAGTTTAAAACTAGCGTTCTTTTTTTCTACTTCCCTTTTCCCCACATCATGGCCAAACGCTGCCATCTTTTACAGAATAATAAATATAATTTAAGAGCAAAGGTGCCACTGCCAAAGGCAGTGTTCCTCTCAAAGTAGAGATCTGTTTTCCCTGGTTGTGCCCAAGTATGTAGTTCATGCCTGCTAGGATGGGGACGGGAGAGAGGAATCCATCAAGGGTGAAAATTGCAACCATTGTCCTTATCAGTATCCGTTGGAAGTCCACCCATTGGTCTGATCCTTGACTCCTGAAGGGAGCTTCCCGGGCAGGCATTCTTTTGCCTTCATCGTCCTTGCCTTCCATCCGCACAACCTGCGAGGCTCTGCACTTTGGACCAAAAGTGATGCCAACTCCATGACTTCTGTGCTTTTTCTTTAAAACAAAAAAACAAAAACAAAACTGCTTTGTCTCCAGAGGGTCAGTTGTGTTGTTTTCCTTCTTCATTCAAGAGTCTACGAGGAAGTTCAGGTAAGTCTGAGCAGTTTCGGTCAGTTTGAGAGTAACTGAGCTGAATAGCCAGTCTATTCGACATATCCAGGCTGTTCTTGGAGGCTGGCTGGCTGGCTGGCTCAGGGACTTCGCGAGAGGGAAGAGGCTGCAGATTAAAACATCAGCTTGAATGTCACAGATTTGCCTCTCAAGGGCAAGATGCTGTTCTTTTGCTTCTGACCAAACCTTATATTTAAGTATTATTTTATCAAGTCTTTGGCTAGAATGACACCTCAACCGAACCTTGATGTTTCTAAATGAAAATGGGAGCTTTTTGCCATATTCTAACAATTCGTACCACCATAATGCCACAATGGTATGCATTTCCTTCCCCGCCCTCACCAACCAGCAAATGGGAAAACACATCACTGTGGCCGAATGACACCATATATATATTTATGTTTTTAAAAATGTGTACCCTGCTTTCCCCCATGTGTCTCAAAGCAGCTTGCAGGGTGAAAAACACACCTTTTTAAAACTAAGTTGTGCTAAACATTACAAAGGAGATGGTGAAACTGAGACCCACAGCTAATGGTTTGTGAATGTAGGAATTCTAAAAAATGATACCTGCTATTTGTTTTCTCTCTTTTTGCAACACAATGTCAGATTTCCACGTTTGGATCTGTGAAGCCTTTTTTCCCCTCGTTCACCAGCACGGGTTTCTCCGTCCTTGTGTGCCAGACAAGGATCTGCATGAGAAGAAGGGAGGAAAGAAGTTAGATCTCTATCACCTGAACATTATCAAACCAGCAGCACAGCTAACCAAATCCCCCAGATGCTAAGTCTCAAATTCCACAAGTCTCAAAACCTTGGAGTAGGTTGGTGAAAAGCCTTATGGGTTTTTTTCCCCCTCCTTCCTCTTCTGTTTCTTGTGAGCCAATAAGACAGGGAAATGGAGCGTGGGCAGAAATGACCCATTTTATGGCATCGTGTTTCAGGGCAATAACCCCATCCTTCAGCACACTTGCTGACTGACCTGTGCACTTGTCTTATCAACAGTCACAATCCTTGGGCTTATCCATCTTTTTGCCAGCCCTTACATGTTCCTGTGACGTATGATTTGCTGTAGAGACACCAGCTACATTTTCAGTGGAGGTATGAGAAAATTCCCTCCTTGAACCCATTCCCATGTAAGCTTGCCCAAAGGCTAGGCAAGATCTGTGCAGCTGGTGACCCAATGAGCCAGATGTACTGCTAGCCATTATTTGGGGCCTGACAGATGCTTGGCAAATTGCTCTCCCCTTGTTTTCTCAGTTCCAGATGTGGAGCAAAAAAGGGGGGGAGTCTCTGAGGGCTGAACTGAGTGACTGAGCCACCAGCTGCCTATCTCTCCTGTACCTGAATCACTTGTACAATCTGACAGATCAAGTTGACTTGATCCATCTCTAGTGGAGTTTTAATTGTGCTCAGACCTGCTGGTCTCTAGCATTAGATGCCGTCACTCCAAGTGCAAGATCTGTTGAACCCATTATTGTATTCAAGTTACTAGATTGAGACTCACAGTCATCTCTCCACCAGATTGCTGCTTCTGAGCTGCTAAGATTGTCCGTGTTCTGCAGTGCAGACCAGCCCAGTTACCTGTGTCCAAGTAATGGTTGAGAAAATTGGTGCAAGTTTCCCTAAAGTGGCAGACTTATCAACAAGATCTGCTCCAGAAACAAGAGTTTGATTGGCAGTGTGTCTATGGTTAAAAATAAAATGGACTCCTCTCATAGTCTCTTGCGGAAATGAATTGGAATGTTGCACACACAGGGAGGAATGTATTTCTGTATTATTTCTCTCTCTCATATAGCAGGAGTGGGAACCTCTGGCCTGGGGGCAGAATGCGGCCCTCCAGGTCCCTTTGCTTGGCTCTCTAAACTCTTCCACAGGCTGAAAAGGATTTGTCGCCCCCTCTTGTACATCATGCTGGCTGCAGGTGTATGAGCAGCGGATGCCAGGTACCAAATGTTGCTTTCTGCCAAGCAGGAGCGTAACCTCCCTGGGCACCATTCTCAAACTCGGCAGACTACCTCCCTAAGCAAAGGTCTGTGCCCAGTGACTCCTTTGTTTACAGGTTCCTTCTCCCCCTGCTCTTTCTGTCTGTTGCCACCAGCGTGGCCCTTTGGAGAGAAACCCTCCCGTTCCCCTTCAGCTCTTCCTCTTGATGCTCCTCACCTCGTCCTGTTGCCATGACAATGAACTGCATGTTCAATCGATCCCGTTTTATGCTCAAAGCTGTAGGCTCCTTTTACTGCCTGGCAAGAAAGATGGCCTGGCTGTCTGGAAACGGGAGTCAGGGCTGCTTATGGAAGATGAAAGGATTTCTGCTGGCTTGTGGGGCAGACCCTCCTCCTTCCCCCTTTCCCAACTTTTGATACAGGGTCCCCCCCCCCCATCTCAATTAAAATGGAAGGTGCACTTTGCTCTGCAAGAGAGGTGTTCTCAACCGGCCTGTGGAACAGAAGGCAGGCCTCCCTCCTTCCAGTCACATACACTGTGGTTCATAAACATGGCTTTTTGCCCTTGTCTTATGGCTTAGGCCCAGCCTCAGGCTGTGGTGCAAACTGCAAAAAGATAATTTTTTTGGTTTGTTTTTGGCCTTTGGGACCATATGAAAGCAAATCAGCGGTCCCCCAACCCAGAGGTGAAGAGCCACCTGTGGAAGTCCGCCAAAATAGAAGCACAAGGCTGGGGTAGTTTGCTTCCTCCAGAGGAGACCTTGGGTAAAGAAGCCCCAACAGTTCTGGATGTAGAACATCTGGAAGGAAGATGGTACCTTAGTGCAATTGGCAGCTTTTGGCTCGAGGTCGTTCAGAGTCACCAGCTCCCGGAGCAAGCTACTCTCTTGGTATCCGCCTTTCACTCCTCGCAGTTTGAAGTAAGCCTGAGGTCGCTGGAGGATGAGCCTGAGGTTCACAGCAAAGCCTGCCATGTCAATGGCGAAAGGCCGGTGAGGGTCAAATACTGTCTTCCACCCGTAGACCTTTCCAGCAGCATTCACTTTGGGCGACTCGTAGCGCAAGCCGCCCACAAAGGCCACCGGCCAGACTGACACTTTCCTGGTAGTCCGCATCTGGAAACGAGGAAAGAGAGAGAGAAAGAGTAGGCAATGAAAGAAAGGGTCTATTCAGCCTTCTGTATGAAGTTGTACAGTTGGCTCTATCATCTCAGGTCTTTACCACCTCATTCCCACTGCATTTTTCTGCTGGTGCAGAACAGGTCATAAAACAGATGAAATGTCGGTGGATGTTTACATCTTCCTTAATCACCAAAATCCCTGCATTTGAAAAGCTAGCACACAAGGGAGAAAACTTTTCCCTGATGGGCTAGTTGTCTGAACGGAGGGGAGGATTGTTGTTTGTTGTTGTTTTAAAAAAGCAAGATGTACCATTCAGACACACACAGCCAGAAGTGGCAGAGGCCCACTACGAATGTACCACACAATAATCGAAATGTGTCACGTCTGCTGATTCTCTTTATGGACACGCCTTATCAAGTTGCCCCAAGTCTTGATGTGGGAAAGCAAAGGTTTAATCCCCAGCATCTCTGAATAGGGCCGGGAAAGAATTCTGTTTGAATCCCTGAGCAGCTACTGCCATTCAGTGTAGACAGAACTGAGCTAGAATGACCAATGATCTGGTCCAGTAGAATGCAGCTTCCTATGATGGGTAGGGCAGTAACTCAACGACAGGCCATCTGCTTTGCATGCAGAAGGTCCCAGGTTCACTCCCCGGCATCTCCTGGTGGGGCTGAGAGATTCCACCTGCCTGAAATCCTGGGAAACCACTGCCAATCAGTGCAGAGGATACTGAGCTCAATGGACCAGGGGTCAGACTCAGCATAAGGCAACTTCCTATGTCCCTAAGTGACATGAAAACTGTTCCCAGTGGGGGAGGGCAGGGCATTTGCATGAAGTTGTAGCACTTCAGATTCCCCAAAGAGCTTCTGCAGAATTCTCCTCGGCTTCTAAAAACGGCTCGTTCTTCCTTCTTCCGCACCAGAGGGCCACAGGTGGGAGCTGTCTCTCCGCCGAAGCTGTGGCTGCTCGCTTAACTTGCTTGGTGCTCCACGAGGCTCCGTCTCCCCGATCTTTCATCAAGTCTCTCGTCACTGCTAATTACAGCAAGAGAGCCCGGAGGAGTCCAAGGCACTTAGCCTCTTGCATTATACACTTGCTAAGAGCTCAAGCCACCCACGGGGCCAGCAGAAGAGAGAGACACCAATAAAAGGTTTGCTCTGCAGCAAGCCTCGCTGGCTTCCAGTCTGTCTCCCCCAGCCGCCTGCCCCCCCATGCAGGAAAGGGAGACGGAGATGCCACAAAATACAGCCACCTGCTTTTGCAGAGGGTCTGCAAAATGGCTTTCCTCATACACGAGCCTCTGTTGACAGCAACAGCAAAAACAGAAGCAACGCCTGAGAAACATCCTGCAAAAAATAAAATAAAATAAGGGGGAGGGGAGTTCCGTATTACATGTGCAGCTTCTAAACTGCATCCACTGTGTACTGAATTATATTTCCCCTCCTGGGTGTGTCCACATTCAGTGCCCACTTTCTGTCATTCCCCTTCAACAGCTTTCACCAACCTGCTGCCCCCAAAATGTTGCTTAAGGATGACGCCCATCAGCTGTTTGCTTCAAATCTGCGCTCTTCCAAGTCTGCTGTTACCCTGAGCTCTCCCAAAATAATTCCGGCTTTCTGAGGCCTTCCTTAGACAACCTGCTTGTCCAATATTTCATCCAGGTTTGCTTATACAAAGCTAACACGGAAATCAGACAATAGCCAGTCTTTATTTTTTTTGTGCAGGGTGGTTAGACGACAATGAGCATTTATCCTGATTTGCTTGCAGGATGTTCATAGTCTTTCCACTAATCATTCATTTGCCCCATATGTTTCAGTGCATTTCCTCACCACAAAAAATAACAATAATTTAAGAGTATTTTATTTGTGTAAATCTAAATTTATGGTATGTTTTTGAGTTCCTCCTGCAAAATATATAACAGTTGGGATGCACCCTCTTAAAGGCATTCCTATTCCCCCAGTTATATGGTCATCCAGAGTCCTCCTCAAAATAGACCTTGTCCATGGCTCATTGGGCTTCAAGTTGGTCCACACGTGCCACAAATTAAGATGGGAGACTCTGGGGCCAGGGGCCAGGTGGGAGATGAAGGACTGTGTGGCATCTTCAGGAGGTAGGCAGGTGGTGGGTATCACTTGCCCTGTGACCTTTAAGGTAAAGGGACCCCTGACCGTTAGGTCCAGTCATGGCCGACTCTGGGGTTGCAGCGCTCATCTTGCTTTATTGGCCGAGGGAGCCGGCATACAGCTTCTGAGTCATGTGGCCAGCATGACTAAGCCACCTCTGGTGAACCAGAGCAGTGCATGGAAATGGCATTTACCTTCCCGCCAAAGCGGTACCTATTTATCTACTTGCACTTGACGTGCTTTCGAACTGCTAGGTTGACAGGAGCAGGGACCGAGCAACGGAAGCTCACCCCATTGTGGTGATTCAAACCGCCAACCTTCTGAACGGCAAGTTCTAGGCTCTGTGGTTTAATCCACAGCGCCACCCACATCCCTAGTGCCACCTGCGTCCCTGTGACCTTTAGGTAAACACAAAACCAATTCCCTGCAAGCAGCAAGTTGCTCTGTCCTAGCTCCTTGCTGTCCTACAGTCTACATAGAAGGTTGTTTTTTTTTAAGTGCAAAATGAGCATTCAGGGATGGTACATCTGATCTGCTGTTTGAAGATCTGTGGCACCGTCTGCTCTACCACCCCAGGACTCTTGTCATCTTGTTCCCACGTCTCTCAGTGCATCATAAAGTCATACATTTTTAGTACTTGTTCCCTTACTGAAACAAAAGCTAAGTAAATGAAACTGATTTTACTTTTCTTTGATCTTTTCACTTTTTTTGCATGCACACCTCACTTCTTTTGTCTACACCCACCCTCACCCCCATCCACCAAGACTGTCTAAAATTAGATGACAAAGTCCCTGGAGAAAGGACATATGCGTTGTTTATGCTACTATGAGCATTATGGGTACAGATGGTGCTAGATAAATTATAAAGTGCTGGATAAACAATAGTAAAATAACCCCAAAAGACTGAAGAGAGACAAAGGAATCTAGGGTTGCCTTTCGAATGAATAATTGGTGAATCTAGAAGTGCAAGAGCTTATCATGACTGCCCCCATGGCCTCTGCCCCAAGGAGGGTCCAAAAGTATAGGAAGCACTTGCACAAACGCTAGAGAACAAAAAATGCAAAATATTAGGAGCAGCATGGTTGCAATCCTGTGTGTTCTTGGGAGAAATCTTTGAACTCACAGGTGCCTGATGTTGACTGTTCACCTTGTAAAACACACTCAGCCCCAGCAAAAGATCTTCAGCCAACTGGGATGCAACTGTTAGCTTTTAATTAAGAATGCAAACAATATTGCATAGATGTGTTGCTGTTTAGAGGGCTAGCATGGCACAAGGATGCCAATGAAGGAAAGGAAAGATTCTCTTCCTCATTCTCTGACTTCCTCGCTTATGCTAATCCATCACAAACAAAGCTGGAAACTCCATTGTTGGCCCATTCTTTTGCTGTGGCAAGGAAGGTGGTGGTAGGTAGCCTGAAGCGCCTGAAGATGACATCATAGCCCCTGCTCTGTACAAGTCCCAGAGCTGTGCTCCCTTTGTGTTTCCGCTCCACTCTACCACTGGGCCTGCCATTCCACATTGTAGCCTGTGCCTGTGGATCACCTGGTGCCCTTTAATATTTGACCAGGGAAACAACAGGCTCGTGAAAGGGGAAGAAGGGTCAAAGCTCTATGACAGAAGGCATGATTTGCCTGCAGAAAGTCCATGCCCTCCAAGTGTCCCATTTTAAGTGGGACAGCCCAGGTGGTCAGAAGCCACCCCAGCTTCTGATCCCAACCCAGGACATCCCGTTTTGGCTCCTGTGCTCTGGTCACACAAGTCAGTTGGCTCACACCAAAGCGCAGCACCAAAGCTTACCTTGACCCTGCCATTCTTCTTCCTCCTTTTGTCATGGCACTTTGGGAAGCTGGCTTCCAGAAGTACAGTGGTACCTCGGGTTACATACGCTTCAGGTTACAGACGCTTCAGGTTACAGACTCCGCTAACCCAGAAACAGTACCTCGGGTTAAGAACTTTGCTTCAGGATGAGAACAGAAATCGTGCTCCGGCGGTGCAGCAGCAGCAGGAGGCCCCATTAGCTAAAGTGGTGCTTCAGGTTAAGAACAGTTTCCGGTTAAGAACGGACCTCTGGAGCGAATTAAGTACTTAACCCGAGGTACCACTGTACATCTGCGGTGCTGGCAAAAGAGGAGGGGGCAGAGGCCACCCCAGCTGTGCTGCCTGGTGCAGCATCTCCTGATACCACATGGGCAAGTATTGCCTTATCCTATTATTTCACAGTGCCCACCTCTGAGCAAGAAATATTTGAAACCTGGTAAGATGGATGGGCCTCACCCTGAGCACAAGAACACGGGAAGAGCCAGTAGCCTATCTAGTGCAGCATGCTGTTCTCACAGTGGCCAACCAGCACTGTTTCATGGGAAACCCTCAAGCAGGATCTGAGCACAAGAGCACCTTCGCCTTGTGTGGTTCAGAAGCACCACTGCCTATGACTGTGGAGGCAGAACGTAGTTATCATGGCTAGTAGACATGGATATCCCCATCTTCCATGAATCTGTTCAATCCTCTTTTAAAGTCATGCACGTTCGTGACCATCCCTGCCTCCTGTGGATTTGAGTTCCATAGTGTAACTAAGCACTGCATGAAGAACTGCTTTCCTTTATATGTCCTGAATCTTCCTAGATTCAGCTTCAATGGATGCCCACAAATTCTAGTCTTATGAGAGACGGAGAAAAACTTTTCTCTATCCACTTTCTCTGTGTCATGCATATTTGTATACAGTGGTACCTCGGGTTACATACACTTCAGGTTACATACGCTTCAGGTTACAGACTCCGCTAAACCAGAAATAATACCTCGGGTTAAGAACTTTGCTTCAGGATGAGAACAGAAATCGTGCTCCGGCGGTGCGGCAGCAGCAGGGGGCCCCAT